CACGCTGAAGCCCGTGTCACTGCTCGAAGTCAGGCCAGCTACATGGGAGTTAGGAGGCCGCAATAATCCCCCAAATCACCTTATCTGGGCCGTCCAAGCATGTACTCGTGTGTAGGCAGGGACCGACATTATATGGTATAGTAAAAAAAGGAGGGCCTATAACACCCTCGTAACCGCCCAGATATACGACATCTAAAGACATTAACTCGATCTCGTTTCCCTGCTCGTAAAAAGTCGTCGACCGGAATTGCAACCTCGGCCTATCGTAACTGTCGGATGTCCGACTCATAACCCACCTGCTAATATACATATACCTCGTTTTTTTCCTTTTTTTTCTTCTTTTTTTCGTAAGTCCAAAGCCGTAGAAAGTCCCCCGAGAGACATGTTGACGTTGACGGTCTAGTAACCGTCTCGAATCTAGCCAGTTATGGCCCCGTTTAGTCCTCGATCTCCTCGTCCTCGAGATCCTCCTCGATGTTGGCGGCACCGGCAGCGATGAGCTCGGTCTGATCGATGGCGGCGTAGGTCTTGGCGAGGTCGAGGAGTTGCTCGTCGGTCAAGTCGGGCTTTTGACAGGCCACTAACGTCCTCGATAACTCCCACACACCGCGGTGCTGCGCTTGAGACAAGGTCTCAATCGACGGGCGCCCTTGGTGCTCGACGGGGATAGGAGGATCGGGGTAAACTAACGCCCACAAAAGTGGGTCGTTAGCCTCCCAATCTTGGGCCGCTTCGTCGTTGACCATCGACCGGTAGATGATCCAGCCCTTGCCGTCGGGGTCGGGCTTCGCTGGGTCGTCCTTCAAACTGGCCCTTAAGTCGTCGGTAACCGGCTTCTTTACCGGCCAATACCGTCTAGGTCCCACCCAACGTGGCTTCGACGAGTTTTGGGATCGATACTTCTCCAAGTGGATAGCATCGAGGAAGGCCCCGACTCCGATATACTAAGTGGCCATAAACGGACATCAAACAGCGGGGTTAGTTGACAGTGATTAGGGAGTTACGACATCACGTAGCACTCACCTCGTCAGACAACCAGTACGGGTAGCAGAGCTCGTCGCACTTGTTGGCAGCCTCCTTGTTACCGTCGAAGCAGTAACGCCTCCATACCTTCCATCCATCGGTCTCGATATCGGGCTCATCTGGGCCAGTTTGGGGAAGGACCGGGTATCGACGAGTATCGGGAGGGTCGGCACAGTGCAGCGAGGGGACAAATAACACCCCGGTTAACAGGGTGTAAATCGACGATTTGACGGTCTTGTTCGCCGGACTGTTTGCAAAGTGCTCCAGTCGTCGATCGGCAAGCTGTAAGTACCCAGACCAAGGGTAAGTCAGTCAACTGCCATATAACTGCTCGATAACCACGCTGTTTTTGCCCTGAAAAAAGACCTACCATCCCAAATCGTCGGCGCTGCCACACAGCGAACGGCTTGCCTCCGTTCTCCGCAATCGCCGGTTGTTTGCCCACTCGTGTGGCACAATACTGGCAGATAGCGGCCCGTATCGCATCGTCGTCGTCGATTGCGCCCATCTTCAATGGCCTCCATCCGTCCTTGACGGTGGCGAGACATTCTTCGATGAATGGAGCCCATCTAAATGCCGTATAACCGGTCAGTTACTGGATAGTTATTAGGTACTTGAAAGGCCGATAACAGGAACTTACTTCGCCGACCCAACCTTGACCGCCTTCCAGTCCGGACGCCACGCCGAAACCTCGACATCACCGTTGGCGAGTTCGATATCGGCCTTCAAACTGCCGTCTTCCATGGGGAGTGGCCAGTCGTTCTCGACCAGATATCCTTCGTCGTCGTGGTTGTCACGGAGGTGCCTGCCCCAGTGACACTGCATGCCGATAAGCTTCTTGACGGCGTAATGGACACCGGCCTGATGACGGGGGAGGAAGGGGGCAGTTAAACATCAGTTAAGTGACAGTCTCAAAGTGTGATTGCAACTCACGTCTCGGTGTGTCGCTCGCGGGGGTCTCGACTTCTTCCCGGTGGGCGATGTCGCGCTTGTAGCGGCCTGGTTAGAGGTCCCCGATGGGCCCGCTACGGAGGCCTGAGGAACATCGCTCGGGGGCATACCGACAAGGACACCACGGAGAACCTTTCGAAGACCTTCATCGTTCTTGATAGCGGTCTTCAAATCGGCCATAGTGATGCCGGTTACCGGGGCGTTTTGGGCCGGATGGGCAGGAGCGGGAGCAGCCGCGGGTGCTGGGTGTGCTGGATAGCCGCCAGCGTCGGCTTCGAGAGCCTTGATCCTTTCGTCGAGCTTTTCGTCCTCGACTGTGAGCTGGGCTCGTAGATGATCCTGGACCATATGCATCGCCCTAACCCACTGATAACTGCTCGCTATCTCCCCTGTCAGAGCCACGATTTCGTCCAGTAAAGCCGTTTGCGTATGGATCACCGGAACAAGGCTCTTGATCGTCGGATTCTGGCCGACGGGAGGCAAGGCCTTTCGCTTCTCGAGAACAGCGTGATAACGGGCGGCTAACCGGCTGGGTAGCACCTTGACTGCGTCTTTCACTTGATGATTGGTGACTAGACGTCCGGGTTCCCTCATAGGCCCAAGGTCCTGTGAGGGAATAAATGGCGATTAACTGTCGTGTAAGTGTCCAGATTAGAGGGGGTTTAACTTACGGTCTCGGTTCGGTTCTAGCAAACGTCGCGAAACAGCCCAGTAAGTCTCTACTTAGTGACACGTTTATACGGAGTTATGGCGCTGACTACGTACGACTTTGTAGGTCGCAGCACGAAGGTCGGTAAAGGTCGCCTTGCGTTTGAGGTTCTGAAAGAATACATGACCAGATAGTTAAGGGAGGGTTAGGAGACGCATAGCAACACTCATAGTCGATACTCACCTCTCTTTGAATCGCTCGCAAAGCTTCCCTGTCCTCCGCTGCCTTCGTCTCGGCAAGCTCTCTAGCAGCAATCTATATCGGGCAGTTAACGGTCAGGTAAGTAGGCCTTTGTGGAGGTGAAAGTAAGGACTTACCTGCTCGAGAGTTTCGAGCTCGGGACTCCGACTTGTTTGGGCGGCCGGGCGTTGGCGTGCGACCTCTAAGTCGGAACAAGGAGCGCCACAACTCGTCAGTTATAGCTCGGTTAGAGGCAGGTTGAAGTGACATAAGCGTGGCTGGCTCACCATCTTCATCATCGCTCGACAAATCGCTCAAGTCATCGTCGTCGAGAGTAGGATCAATACCGTCGGCCACCAGGTCTACATAAGCACTCCCCACAAACACGGGGGATACCGGTCAGTTAATTGACAGTTGAGAAGCACTTGACGCGGTTGAGAAGCTTACCAACAGCCTGCTCCCTCTGCTTCCCCTTGTTCTTTTTGACTGATGAGAGCAAATAGATAACAATCAGCTAACTAGCTATCGATCACCCTGATAGAGGCCGGATACAAGACTGGTAAAACTTACGGGGAGCGTAGGCTTCGACGCTGTTCCCCTCCCGGTCCTTGTGTGCCCATCCCTGACATCAGTGAGTTAACGGGGCAGTTCATGGGGAGATAAGGAGTACTTACAGAACCCCGCTCCGACTGCTCCCCCGAACCGGACATTGTCCGTTCGGACCGTGTTTTTACCAGTTGAGCTTCTTGGCTTCTCGATGACGGGTTTTGACGGTTCTAGGGGTGGTGCGTTAACTGGCGTCTTTCCGGGCCGTTGGTGAGTCGTAAGAGAGTCGTTAGGGGGTCGTCAAAGCGTGGAGAGATGTCTAGATGTGTCTGGGTGAAAAGTCCCTATCGTAGTAGTAGTTAGTAGTAAGTTTATTACATGCTTCTCGAGACGCGAGGGTGTAGGTGCTAGAACGCGATAAGCGCGTCGCGTCAAGAGACGTAAAAGCGCGTCGGGCGCTAGCAAGCTGTGACGCGCCCGTTAATTGAGGGCCTGCTTGGGGTACGCTAAGAGGCAGTTAGGATTGGGCAGTTACACGCGCGTATAACTGCCTTTTACCGGTCCCCCTTGCCCCGCTGTGAATGCGAAATGTTGATTGACCCTTCTCTCAGGCGGAGAGCGGAAGCAAATGTGACCAATTACATCCGTCTCTCGACCGGTGACAGCCCCCGGCCCCCTAGATCCTTCAACCGGGCATCGTCCAGACATCTCGCATCCCAGTAATCAACAATTCAACATGTTCTATAGTACCTAGTGTTGAGTAGAATGGATTATTCGGGATGGATAGAGACCTTGCACGTTGACGATCAGAGCGCCCTTTCGACCGTCACTTGATACCGCGTGCGCCCATCTCAATCCTACCCGTCCGGGAAGGCGTCGAAACACCGAAAACCCGTCGGGAGCTATCATCTTCAGATCCCTCTCGTCCTGGATGTCTACTGATTTCTACCAACCTACTTGTACTATGCCAATTAGTCGGGAAAATTGCCAGTCGGGGTACTCTCCCCCGGGGGAATCGACTCCATTAGGGTCGTCAATTGTGGGAAGCGATTGTCGTGGACTGACCAATCCCAATCGAAGAGGCCTTTGATCGAAAATCTATTTTACCAGCGTTCGGCAGTCGAGGTTGGGTAGTCGACTGTAGTTGCGGATAGTGATCTGCTCGCACTGTTGTTTAAGAGTTTCGTCCGCGCTCCTTTCATACGAAACAGCGCCAACATGGCCCACGAAAGGGATCGCTAAAAGTGTCTTGAGGAGGCGGCTTGCGAGATGCGAGTTGATCAAAGTGACTCGGTGACGACAAACATCCAAGAGTAAGAGTTTTGCAACTCATAAAGCATTGTGGTATAGTCTTACAAGCGGCAACGATTTAAATTCCTCGACGATATGGATCTATGGATTGAGGGTTCGTCTTGAAACAGATACACCGGAGTGCAGCGAAGTCAGCGATGAAACGACGATTCGACGAAAAAGCATAAATTCGCCGAGCGAACCGCCTCGATGAGAACGCATAAACGGACCGAAAGAGCCGGTCGGCAGTCATCGTAATGCAACGTTCATCGATCATCCGTTGGAGATTGGACAACCACCTATTCATATAATATATAGCTGCAGGCATCATACAAAATTTCCTTCTCCCAAGTACTCTTTGGACAGCTGACAAACCCGCCACCATAAGTCTCTTTACAACTCGTTTCGGGATCTACCTCCGCCCTGCTCTCTCACACCCTCGGACTCTCAAGGTCGACCACAGAAGCATCATGTCCGGCGCTCCGACTCACACCAACACGGTCGCACAGGTCTTGAACGGAGGAAGGATACCAGAGCTTGAACCTATCGAGAAGGCCAAGCGGTTGGCGGCTTTCGCTGCGGTCGACAAATTTGTGGGCAAGGACTGCAAGGTGGGTTCACTGCGTTTTCCGAGGTGGACGCCCTGTACTGTGGAACCGTAGAGCTGAACCGGGATCTGCTTTCCTCTGGGATCTAAACCTCCTACCCTTCATGAATCGGTTCTGCCTCTTACTTGATAGATCATTGGCATCGGATCGGGTTCGACCGTTCCCTACGTCGTCGAGCGGATCCAATCACAGGGAGCCGAGGTGAACAAGGACAGGATCTTTTTGCCTACCGGTATGTCGTCATCCTCTGTATCATTCCTAGCACGACCTTCTTCTATCGCTGTTCAAGTCGTAGCTGAGGTGCTGACAGTTCCTTTTTCTATCGCTGTTGCGTCGTCCTGGAACCGCGTCGGCTCGCAACTGCCCGCTTCTTCTACCTCTCGCTCAATCTCGACTCCACCTTAACTACTTTCGTTACGTCCCCATATTTTGTCTACTATATTCTGACAGGTTTCCAGAGCAAGGAACTGATCATCCAAGCCGGACTCAACTTGGGAGACGTGGACCAGCACGTCAGGCTGGATGTGACGATCGATGGGGCAGACGAGTGAGTCGTATGGGCTAGATCTGGTCGGGTCGCGGAGAATCGCAAACCTGAGTTGAAATTCGGGAAGCTGACACCCGACCTGTCACATCTCAACCTCTTTTCTCCCCTACAATCATCTATACGCTTCACGCACCTCTATCCGAACACACACAGGGTCGACTCGGACCTCAACGCCATCAAGGGAGGAGGAGCCTGTCAACTGCGTGAAAAGGTCCTCGCAGAGGCGGCTGATACGTGGGTCATGGTCGCGGATTACCGCAAGAACGGGACCGTCTTGGGAGAGAACGTGAGTTGGCGTTTCGCATTCGCATTCCGGTGTCGAAAAGAGAGAAGAGAGACACGAAAAGGAGCTGATCCTTTTCGACCCCATGTATGTCACCCGAATTCCATAGTGGACTCAAGGGATTCCCATTGAAGTAGCCCCCTTTGCCTACGCCAAGGTCATGTACGACCTCTCTCGCCTAGGCTCGCCCATCAAGTCCGACCCTTCGGTCTCGGGGGGCAAGATCTTGACCCTGAGGATGGGGAAAGCCAAGGCTGGACCGGTCGTCAGTGATAACGGAAACTTTATCGTAGATGCGCCGTTCCCTAGGGAGATGATGAAGGATCCTAAAGGGGTGAGTTTCCTCGATTTTTGACGGCAACTTTGAACCTTTTCAGCGAAAACGCGAAATCTGACGCCCTGCTTTGGCCACGCCTTGTTGCGATGGCAGCTGTTGACCAAGATCAAGCTGATGACGGGTGTCGTCGAGGTCGGCCTGTTCTGCGGACTGGCCAAGGCGGCTTATTTCGGAAACGAGGATGGGAGCGTGACCGCGAGGTGGGAGGGTGGCAAGGAGGAGCGGATCGAGGCCGAGGCATAGGAATAGGGTACAGGTCTACTCCGAAGTTAAGTGAGGATGGGTTAGGTTGTGGCAAGGCAAGGTAGGACGAGCACAAAGGGGAAAGGTCGTTTCGGGTGAAAGGGATTTCGGGCGGGACGTTTGTGACAGAAATTTGAACACAACACAACGTACACATCAGACGAGCATGAGCGCATGATATATGATCTACGCGACACATGCATGGCCGCTACTGATCCCACAATGTGGTATCGTTAGGCTCCCATTCTTCAACCTAGTCATCCTTGCAATCCTGATTCTCCCTCCACCCCCTCAACTCCCTCAACTCCCTCAGCTCGCTGGCTGACGGGACTTGCCCGGCCGGCTTGGGGATGCTGTGAACATTGCTGTAGCAATGACGTGATCAGACATTGCAATATAAAAGTATCATACCCTCAGCGCAACTTCCCCCTCGGTTGATCCGGCTTGAACAGTGACGCCTTGGCTACTGCTGCTCTATGATAAGCCCTTCGACATGTTGACTGGCTGGTTACTATCGACGGTCGTTAGAGCCAAGGTTGACCTCCCTTCTCTCCCTGACTCTCACGCGACGTGCACGTGCTTTCGCATCATCGCAAAGGGCTCGATGACTCTGGGTCGAGGTCATCTACATCTCTTCACTTCATCTTCCTACCCATCGAGCATCGATAGACCCAGTCTTGTTGCCACACACTGATTGAAACGAGGACAGTCCTTCAGTTCGACAAGCGACAGGTTCTACCTTCTGGAGCTCCGGGACCCGTTTCGGTACCACTTTACCCCACATTCACGACTCGCAACTACTCCCTTCCCTTCTCCTCCCCCGCAAAATATTCAGATTCGACCTCGTCGTCGATTCCGGCCTTCTTCCTCCTCGCCACCAGCTAACTCAACACACGCACACACAATCATGTCGTCCACCACCGCGCCGACCGGACGTCCGCCTATCAAACGAGCCAAATCGCTCTTGGATAAGCTCCCCGACGAACTACCTTCGGACTCTACCCTCGAGAACGCCGAGGCGATCAGGAGAGCTGAGGAACAGGCAGCTATCCAGCTTAGTAAGGATAGGAATAGAGAGATGCAGGCAGAGCAGCAGAGACAGGATGCTGGGATGGAGCAGGAGGAACACAGACAGGAAGAGATGGCGCATATGCAGTTGGTCTTGAAGGAAGGACTTTGGATTGGGGATGTTTATGCTGCGCAGGACGAAAAGAGCTTGAAGGAGGCTGGGATTGTGAGCATTCAGCCCTATTTTCACCTCTCTCTCCATGTTGATTCCTCTCGAGCTCAATTTGACTTGTCTTGTTTCTGATAATGTAGACGGCCGTCCTCTCCCTTATAATCCCCGCGATGACTAACATCCCATCCTCGATCAAACACTTGTCGATCACAATCGAAGATTCAGCCAACACCGACATCCTCTCGCACCTGGACCAGTGTGTGGACTGGATCGACTCTGTCTTGAGGGAAGAACGAGAGGAGAACATCCAGCGTCAGCGAGACGACTCCACTTCGAACTCGGACAAAGGGGTCATGGAGGGAGAAAAACAAGTCGACATCGACAATACCACCGAGGGGACCAAACCGAAGATCCTGAGAAAGGGAGGCGTGTTGGTACACTGTCAAGCGGGGATGAGTCGGTCGGCTACGATCGTAGCTGCTTACCTGATGAAGGTCTTGGGGGTCGGGGTGGATGAGGCGTTGGACATGATCAGGAACGTCAGGCCTGTCATCGAGTGAGTTTTCCGGGTCATGACAGTTGGAACATAGTTCAGTAACAGTAAAAGACGATTTCGCTTATGATTTGTTCTCCTTGGCAGACCCTCGCAGACGTTCAGGGAGCAGCTCGAGGTGTACCATTACGCCCGCTGTAGGGTCTCTAGGAAGGACAAGGAGACCCGTCGATGGTATCTCGAACGCACGGCCATGGAGGTCATGCAAGAAGGAGAATTCGACCCGGAAGCCACTGAACACATGGCCAAGTTCCCTTCGACCCCGACGCCCTCTCAACCGGCTACACCCGTGGGCGGGATGGCGAGGAGGAAGATCAGGTGCAAGATGTGTAGACGACAACTGGCAACAAGGGAACATATGATGGACCATATTCTCGATCAGACGCCGATGGTGCCTAGGTCGAGGACACCGTCGATGAGCTTGACGTTGCCCTCGCCGATGACCACTATGGACGGACCGCCTTTGGAATCGTCCAGAGCAAGTTCTCCGTCAATGAATGAGGGAGAGAGGAAGCGAAGGAACAGCCGGTTGGGGAGCATGTCGAGCATGACCTCGCCGTCCGTTTCGAGCCCGCTTGGGATGTCCATCTCGACTGCGACCATGGACGAAGCCTTCGAAGAGGCCGTCGTTGAGGAACCAGGTCAAGCTCGTTCGAACTCGAACCCGACGGGCAGGAAAGTACTCGACGCCGAGGCTCTGGCGGCTTCGTTACCGCCTCAATTGGCTGCTCTCCGAGCGGGCGTTCCAGGTCGACCGGGGACTCCCCCTACGGCCGCTTCGAACGCGGCCAGGAGGATCTCTCAACCCAATTCCAGCAGTAACGGCGGCATCAGCCCTAGTGCGAGCGTCCCCATCCCACGTCCGTCCGACTCGGCTTCCACTTCGTCCTCGGCCAACGTCTCGCCCCGAAACTCGTTCTCATACGGACAGAGTCAAGGAGAAACCGATGCTTCGACCCCCTCGACGAGGAATCAAGCGGCGAAACGGTTATCGATGATGGCCCTGACGCCGAGCATGAACGGCAACAGCGCCTTGAGCCGGTTGAGCATGGACGAGAGCGCGATCGCTAGTGACGGCGAACAGACCGGGTCTCCTACCGAACGGACCCCTGTTAGGCGTCGAGGGAGCGCTTCGAGCTTTACTAGCATGCAAAGGGAGCCGGCCATTCTCAGCCACGATTCCAAGTGTTCCGGATACTTTGTCGAGCCGGTAAGCATGGCCACTCGGTTTCGATATGCAGGAAGACGTGATGCTCATCTTGCGCCGAAATCGGCCCCGTTTTAGCTGACCTGGATGGAACCGTTCTTGGAGAACGGGAACATGGCCGGCAAGATCCTCTGCCCGAACGAAAAATGTAAAGCCAAGATTGGGAACTATGACTGGGCCGGTGTTCAGTGTGGTTGCAAGGAATGGGTTGTGCCCGTGAGTCTGGCGTCGACCTTGTCATTATCGCACGATTTATCGACTGCTAAAATTTCCTACGTCGCTGTGCTTAGGGGTTCTGTATCGCCCGGAACAAGGTCGACGAAGTATGGTAATTTTGGCATTCGAGTACAGGTTATGGACGAACAATTTAGACATTTGCGATGGTTGGGACGTGTAACGATCATCGCCGGGGTTTCCTGGTTTGAGGCCGAAGTGATTGGATGCTCTGATAGGGTTGGCGGTATGTTAGAGGGGTAATAACAATATTCAAGGCCCCAAGAGGTCCATACCTCAATAGAGAAGGAAACAGAACAGATAGAAATCGATCTTCTTGGCATTATCGTCGTTACAAGGCCATCAAATGGCATCAATATAAAATGCACGGTCATCATACAGCAGTTGACTGACTGCTGTAACTTGATCATATGCGGGTTCGATCCCGTTTGAGTTCAATAATCGCCCAAGGCTGCGCGATGAGTTTGAAAGACTATACGGGGCAGAATCGTGTCTTCTTTCCCGTATGATGGAAGAGAGTTGTGTAGGTCTCGCCAACCTGGTTGGCGGGTCGTCATGCATTCCGGTAATGTAGCATTGCTGACAAGGCAATTCGATACACCCTTGGCTTGGTGTCTAGGCGTTCTTCGAAAGACTCGTCGGGTATCTGGGCGTCGCCGCCGCTGCCGACGGAGGCTTGGATTCAGGTTTGACGACCTTGTACCGCTTGTAGTTGGCCCTGACTCTGGCTTCTACCGTCTCGGGCGTGCTCTCCGGTAACGAGTCGACGAGACGGCCTGCGGGAACAAGACCATTACCATCATAAACCAGATATTGGCATCAGTATCCGTGTCCGATTGCTACTCCAGGCGATATGGTCACAGAGCAGGGTATTGGACTGGAGGTACTGACCAGGATTACCCGCCCAGCGAGTTAGGTTCGGGCAAACGGTGTTTGGGGACAAGACTGTGCCTTGTTCGATGATCACGAAATCCTTGATGGTGACGAATTCGCCCTGTCGAATCGGAACAAGCATCCAAAGTAACATCAATGAGCTGAATAAGGCTCTCCAAGTGTTATAGGAAAAGAGGGAACACAGACATACGATGATACAGTCGTCCTCGATCTCGGACCCGTTGCCGATGGAGACCGCTTCGACGATACAGTTCTGGCCTATCGTGACGAAGTCGCCCATCTTCATCTGAAAGTAGTTGAACGTCCTAGATTTCAGAAGACGTAGGTTAAGTAGTAGCAGTAGATATACGAATTCTAGAACTGACTTACCCTTTGTACAGCTTCCCCGGTGGTCTCAGGACCGTACCCTGCCCGACGCTAAGGTACCTCCCAGCATTCACCGACGTGGTGTTACTAGCGAGCTGCATACTCATCGTCCCTGCACTCCCACCCACACCCGGGGTAGCTACGACCCGTTGAAGATCTCCACGAATAACACACCCCTTTTCGATGACGCTCCGGCCGTTGATGACGATGTTGGAAGCTCCGTAGATTTTGGCCGATCGGGAGATGACGTTCCCAGAGTCTGTGAAGGCGTATTCTTTCGAGCTGATGGGGATGGGGTCTAGGAAAGCCGAAGCCATTTTGTGAAGATCAGGAGCGTTGGTAGGTGAATGGCTAGTTTGACATGCTTTTCCCGGGGCAACGAAGCTGTATTCCAAGCATGTCGTGTAGCTATCAATACCGTATATGAACATCCACGAGTTCGGTCCACTTTCACAACGACAACATCAACAACCGGAAGCATATCCATTCTCCGGAAAAGCATCCGACCAGCTAACATTCCCCTCGAGCCACCTTGTCCAACACCTTGTATCGCAAATTGGAAGGCCTCCCGACCTGAAGCAAGTTCTTGACCTGGAGAGTCGTCATCCCGACCTGACTCATGCCATCCGACCATATACATAGCGTCAGGACAGGACCAAGCGCATCAAGCTGAACAAGCTCACCTCGGCCGCGATATCTTCCGCCTTTAAACCCTTGGCGTAATCAAAGATCATGGTCACGATCTTGAGCTTCTTCGCCGCCATCTCATCCACAGGAACCTGTCCCGCCGGACCGCCTTTCTTTGATGGAGACTCTTTCTTGGTTGGGGATCCTTTCTTTACGGGAGAAGAGGAGGTCGAGGGTTGTCGACCGGGAGGAGGGGTCTTGTAAGGGTCCGAGGATTGGGCTTCTTGTTTGACGGAAGGAGCTCTGCAAGGCACGAAGGATGCCATCAGATCAGTATAGCCAAGGGTATGCACAGGCTGTAACTTACTTAGGCATGGTGAAAACCACTATAGCGTATGTGAGCAGCTTCGAGTATGCGATTTGTGTATCGCCTAATCGATAAATCACTGAAAGATCGAGCGATGATGTAGCTTCGATGAGGTAGTGACCATAGGTGGACGGGCTACTAGTAGTACTCCAACAAGCGGATTCTTCCCCTTCCCGTCGATCGCTAATCATTGACCGGCTCGCTCGGCACATTGTTGGCCTTTTGGCAACAACAAAAAAAGCTTTTCGATCAAAAAGAAACGGCAACAAGAAACAAGAAGATCCGAGGAAGACGACGATCGCCCGGCTGAAGGAAGATTCCCGAACCGCCGCAGTTGGACGACTCCGAGCTCATGTTCAGATTGTACGTTACGAACATTCTCCGAGACCATAGAAGACTACAACGCCGACACCAGATCTGGACCAACTACGAAATTGCCTCCGCTCCTCCCCGCCCAGCTGATGAAGAGGGATCATATCCCTCCCGATTCGAACATCGTCATGATCTTGTCCCGGTAATTATGCGCACGTTTGGTCCGGAAGAGATCTCCGACTTGTTGTTTGCTCAACCCGCTCTGTATCACAAGTCCGGTTACCGTCGATCGAAATTTCAAACTCAAGCCCAGGTGGCGGTTAACAGGCTGCACTGACTTTGGCGGCGATGTTACTCATAGTCTCTCCCCGTACCCCATACCCGAAAAGAGTCTCCAAAGCGATCCTCCTCATCTCCTTCACACGGTCCTTGTCCTGCTCGATGTTCCTGCTCTTGCCCTTACTTTTCTCTTTGGAGGGAGAGCCGAGGATTTCGTCCTTGACGGAGGTGGAGTGGGAGCAAGTCTTCTTCTTGTTAGGAGATTTCTTGTGAGGCGGAGGGGTTTGGGTTTCAGCGTTGTCGGCGGTGATATCGGGCTTCGTCTCAGGGCTTGGACTGCGATGTTCAGCGCTGGTAGTAAGCGTGACGAAGTTGTTGGACAGTGCAAGGTCACAGCTCACGATGACATGCTGAACGATAGCGAGAGGACTGAATGTGAATGCTTCGAGGTTAATCGAGCAACTTGGGAGTGAGGTATGCACGGGGCTTCTCGAGTATATATCAATCCTCTTTATGCTACTTTCGTGCGTATGCTTCTCCCAACTTCCGGTGATACCTGCGGTGAGCGTTCAACGCCGATCATCAACAAATTCAACAAAAGAGGTTTCGGAGCTGTGAAAACGAACAGCCCGGCTAGGGAACGACTGCGAGAAGCAAGACCTCGTCTCAATCGATCGGATAAACCTAAGCTAGGCGGCGATCGTTGTGATTACGCTTGGTGATTACGCTTGATGCTCGATCGAACGCAGGTGACCTTGATTTCCAAAATCGCGGCCAACCCAAAGGCGAATTTAGCATATGTCATATTTTGAGCATAAAATGTACATAAGGCAGACTCGTACGGCGAAGGCTGAGAAAGGTTGGCATAAAAAGACGACCATAAAATCCTTTCTCAAAGTCCCCCCGAATCGAAGATGGCCATGGCCTTCGAACGCATGTTTTGTCGGTTGGTCCTAAAGAGGTCGCCGACTTGCTTCGTGGTGAGTCCGCTCTGCAGAGCAAGGCGTTCCGTGCGAAGATATACAATCGTCAATTCAGGAGTCTCGTATCGAGCTCGAGCACATGATCTCGTGAGGACTCACCTGAGCTGCGATACTGTTCGCCGCCTCACCCCTCACTCCCATCTCGAACAACGCCTCCAGAGCGATCCGCTTCATCTCCCGAGCCTTGTCTTTCGAGGGCGAACCGACGAGAGAAGTCTTGGCCGACGGGGAGGCGATGGTCTTCTTTTTGCTGAGGGACTTTTTGGGTGTTTGAGGCAGCTCGCTGGGGTTGACTTCGGGTTTGGTCTCTGGTGATGGGCTGTACGAGTGCGGGTTCTCAACATACTCGTCGTGGTTCGGCATGATCAATCACAAGGACTCACGACGACATTTCGAGCAAGGATAGGATGTAGCAGTGTGTTTGGGTTGCGCAAAGTATGCATATGTGCATAGAAAACTGTGCATTCACCTCTCGATTCCATGGACTCGACCCTTCTTATGCCCCCCCGAGAAGCATGCTGAAAAGCTGACGAGTGGAATGATACAAACCCCCAAAATTAACATTGCCATTGTTTGTTCTCCCTCGATTCGAACGATTCGCGCTGAAACCGGACGGAAGCATTTCTCGGGAAAGGGCCCTTCCTTTCGACTTTTGGCTTTTGTTGCTGTTGCGACTTTGGTGGATCGTGGTGGATCGACACATTTGGAAGCATCGGATCTGACTTTTGGGGTTTGATCGTCAATCGGTGTGGACCGTAATATCGGGTTGGAGCGATGTTGAGAAGCCGGTGACCGTAAGGAGGGGACCACCCGGCTTATGATATATAGACTGCCTTTGATTTCGACGCCTTCTTGCTAGAATTTGTCACAGGGATTCCAAGTCGACCTCACAACCCATCCACACTTTACTCGGCATTCAGTTCGCTTCACTACTGAATATGGACGACCAAGACGAAACGAAACCTTCCATCGGGTCGAGCTCCGCCACTAAAACACCCTCCACTCCGACAAAGCAGAAATCCCCCAGTAAACCTGATCTCACGCCGAACAAGTCCCCTGCCAAATTGCCTCCCGCGGAAATGCAACGGGGTAAAAGGCTGGCTTTGGAGGCGTTGTTTGATTTCGCTATCAAGGGACCTAACGTCGATATCGTCGCCGCCAAAGTAAGTCAACTATCGTCGGTCGATAAGCTGGATCGTCCTGACAAGCAGTCATGTTGTCGAACCATGCCGACTACGCGCAGAGCGGGTTGACTAAGAGACAGCTCGGCGACCTCTTTCGAGCCGGGCCCAAGAAGACGTTCAGACACAAGGTCTTGTCGTTGATGGATTCGGGAACGCTCTGAAAATTGATGGAGCGATGGGAGGTTGGGTTTTGCAGGAAGAAGTCGGGAGATGGTTTATAACAGGGACGTCCGTGTAACATTCGTAATAGCCGTCGTTTGGTCGGAAGATACATAAGTCAAAATCCGTACATACATACTTCGTGTATACGTTACGTCGTTATTGTTGAGCTAGAAAGCTACAGTCTTGTCGCGTCCCCCGTGTTTCGTAAATCGTTTGCTACGGTCCAAGTCATTCGTATTATCCGTCTTATGAATCTTCCGTAATTCAGTCTTCAATTTCAACGACGTGACCGGTAATGAGAGGCAAAGCTAGGATCTCTTTTCCATACAGCCAGGCGAAGCTGATCAACCGTCTGAGGAAACAAGATCAACCAGGAGTCAGTCGACCGCGTCTTCAGAAATCTCAGCTCGTCGAAAGGGAAACTGATCGAGACCGAACTGACTTGGGTCGTGTCACCGGATTTTGCCAATCCTCGTCCAGCAACATGATATCGTGGTCTCCGCCATTATCGTCGATATCATCGTCATACTCGTCGTCGTCCAGATCTTTGGTGAGACTCCTGTATTTGGGATCATACGCAACTTGATAACAAGCTACCGCGAGCAATTGCGTCACAGTAAGTGACTGCGAGGATTCTACGTCACCAATTCTGGCAGCGCCTTCTTCCCGAACGTTGCGGACGATCTCTTGGAATGCATCCCTTACGGGATCCTGAAAAGCGTGTCGATCAAGCGCCTACTATCTGAGAGCTTAACGATAAGGGAAGCCTACCTTGAGATCGTGGTCCTTCATCTTGCGGCGTTTTCCGTTCTTGAGTACCATACCGGAATAGGCCTCCGCTTCCGTGATACGGTACCTGCAGGAAAGGGCGGTACTTGATCAGAATCGAGTCGCTGGCCTAGCTGCAGATATCTGTCTCTCACCGTAGAAGAACGTTCCAAAGCTCCAGATCATATTGCTCCTTCAGCTCCGCAGCGAGGTTGAGGAAGAAAGGAGGTATGATGAGGCGGGATAATCGAGCATCGATACCTTTCGTGATATCGTTTTCGCTGGCCGGATTGAATCGCGGATCCTGGTCGATCTATTCGCATCGGAGTGATACTCAGCGGGAACACGGACAGCAGCGATGACAGAGGATAAAAACGTACGATACGGTAAAGCTTCCCCAATACATTATCGCATACATACGACATGTGAGAGCCCTTACCCATAAAGTCGGGCCACCATTCGGGTCGCAATCGCCGAGGCATATCGGCAGGAATTCCCGCTGATCATCGCGCAAATATAGCCGAGTTAGCAAGGTATCAGCGAGCCACAGCCTGTATACGTACACTTGGCAAAGTCAACGCTATTGCATATTAGGCACGTCTAGATAAGTCAGCGAGTGAAAGAGCCGAGGAGTAGCATCGCTGTTTCACTCACGCCATACTATGAATCTCGGCAAGAGCTAAGCAGTTGTCACCGCGAGGTCCATGATGCTGATGAGCCGCCCAAGCCAGATGTGCGTTGTCTACCTGACCCAAGATCTGAAGATAGCATTGATCAGCCCTGCAAGAGATGTTTATTGGATGCACCTGCACCTACATCGTTCTATGGAGGGTGCAAGCGGGATCAGTTGATGGACTCTGTTCAGAGTATAACTCGTACGGACCTTGAGGTAATCAATAAAATTGTCCTTGAGATGTTGATCGGTCACTTTGGAAACCCTTGGCGGATCAGGGGCATCGTAATTCATAGGCGGGGCATCGTATTTATGGATCAGACGGGGGTCCCAGATGAGACTGTAATCGTCGCCTACAATAGACATATCGCACATCAGAGTCAGCTCGAGGTCGCGATAGTCGCTAAATCCGGCTCACCGTCGAGATCGCCTCCGCCAAGCATATTGGGAAGATCTCGTGCCCCCCTGGTGCTAAAGACGATCACGTTCCGAAGGTGATGAAGCTGAGGTCGATCCACCGCTTTGACATGTCGGATATCTCCTGGATGCAAAGCGGGGGCGCGGCAGATGATGCAAGTGCCAGTAACCACTTGCGCCTCTTCATCGGTTTCGTCTGGATTCTGGTAACGGCAGAATACCTCCCCTTCTTTGAGAATTTCCAGTTCGTCAGGGATGCCCAACAGGTAGACACCCTGCTTGATCTGGAGACGCGCTCTCCACCGGAGATCAGTCAGAGTACGGCACTCGATGACCTTGAGCAAGTCTTGCAGACACGCGTCCCGATGGAAACCGTATTTCACCATTGCACGGACCGGGTAGGTCGACAACTCATCGCCCCGCCTCACGTCCGCGGGGTTATGGAGACCCTTGGCGATCCTAGATGCCATCCCTTTGACCTCCTTGACGGCGTCGTGGAAAAGGTCGACAAAGACTTCGTCACGGACGCCGAGGTTATTCAACAGGACGATGAATTGTCGGTTGAGGAAAGCATAGGAGAACCTGGACACCTGGATGATCAAGCCATATCGCTTCAACAGAAAGAAGCATGACGTTACTTCCAGAGCTTACTCACTCGGATGACGTTTACGGACCTGTCCGGAGAACTGAACTTTTCCATAGATCGCCTCAGGCTGTACTGGTATCTCACCATCCACGGCCACACCGTCAAGACACCCTTGGAACCGCCGATACGGACTTGGATCGTGGAAGGCTCAGAGTCCGGACCAGAGTTGTAACCAAGACTACGAGCCGCCGCGCGAGCCACGCTTGCCGAACATAGACCGGCTCCATCAGTGAAGGTACTGTTGCAGTATTCACATAGTTAGTCTTCATCTGACAGCATTGGGGATTTGCGTAACGTACTATCCATCGCGTTTGACGTCTTCAGTCTTGTCAGCAACGTCAAAGTTGATCTTCTCCCCCTTTGCGTTCCGGACTTCACGGGTCGTGCTGAAAGCCTGGCCGTTGTGCCTATACATCAATATATGTAAAAATGTGATGGTCGCGAGATGGTGCTCACCAGGCCCAAACGTGCTGTTAGGGTGTTGAAGCCTGTGTGAGCTTGGTGCTATACGCATTTGCAGACAAGACTTACCCGCATACTTAGCGACCACCCTGAGAATCGAAGCAATAGCTATTAGCTCGTTTATCATTTCAGACACTGAACGCCGACAAACTTTTCGTTGATGTTACCCATGTTCTGCCTGATTTGCTCAGCCAGTAGCGGACTTGGACCGCTGGGGTCTTCGGCGACAAACCAACAGCCGTGTTCTCTGCCGTAAAGGTCAAAGTCAGGATGGATCGACGGAACATTTCGGTACCGCCTCACCTAGCTTGCGAAGTACTAGCAGCAAGAAACCTGGGCAGTAGATTCCGAGTGTTAACGAATGCTTTCTTTGGCAATCTGCTGAGGCATGCTCGTTCTAGCAACTTACGTGTAATGGCGACCGGCAATGTCGAGACCGTGATACAAAGCGCGACGCACTCGTGCGACTGTGCCCATGCTATTGACGGCGGCGTCTACGGTCCGAACAATGGGATTCATCTATCGAATCAACAAGACACCTCAGCTCCCGGATCTGATTGCGGGAGACAGGAGATCCCCACAGACCTTGATCTTGTCGTCCTCATCCGTGAACGATACACGCAGGAACCGTTCGCTCTGTTTCCGATACCTCCGAAGGATCGTGTTGCTGACCTCTTGCTCAGCGGGGAACAACAAAATCCTGGTCGGGGTGATAACACAACGATAGACCTTGCAAAGATGGGAAGGTAATTCTGGAGCGTTCCCTTTCTTAGCCAAAGCTCGGGCTCTCTCTGCCGACGAAGACATATGTCCGTCAACAACATAGACATGCCAAGCGACTCGGTCTTCCGACTCACTCTTCACGATCGAGCCCATATCGTTGACCCGATCTTCCATAAAAAGACTGCCCAACACCCGTTCCCTAAGATTTTGGGGTTCGTCCTTCGGTCGACCTTCATACTCCCAACCCGGCCTTCCGAGGCTTTTCCCTAATTTCTTGCGATCCGTCAACGGGATGATCTCCTCCAGCTTGTCGACAAGAGTAAACGCTTCGAAAGGGAGGATGATGCCATGCGAGACCAGGCCTTCTACCAGAAACCGGGTCGCAAACGGCAATTTCCTCATGATTCCCGGTAACAAAGACGCCGTCAAATCTCCCCGAGGAAACGGTAGAGGCTTCCCCAATTTGCGCCGCTGAAAGTGCTCCGGTCGAATGCTGATAATGGGGACCACATTCACCCGAGTTCCGTTCGCACCATGGTTGATTCCGTGAGTATGAACGTGAGAAGAGTTAAACTCATCGATTCCTTGCGGGGAAAGAACGTCTTTCGCCAAAATACCGAGATCTCCGAGGAGTTTACGAAGTTTGTCGTGCTCGTCTGTTGTCATAAGGAGGGTGAAGCGGTAAGAGAGGTACTCGCCGACCTGTCGGATTACACAATAGAATCGATATTGAGCACTGCTTCTATCAGCCTTGTTTGCGAGCTGCATCAGACTCACCTTGAAGAGCTCCTGCTCCGAGAAGACCGGGATCTGTCCCTCATCCCTCTCCCTCTTCATCCCCGCCGGTCCCCCAACATTGACGAAATCCACCGAAGTTCCCTGTCGGGTCGTCACATCCCTGTTCTTCTTTCCGGCCTCACTATTGTCGACGACAAAACTCTTGCCGCTCGGGTACAATAGGGGGACGAAAAGGCGCGGGGGTCGACGCATCGTGATGGTGAAGGTGACTTTCTGCAAAGTTTGGGTGGTGTTCATATTCATGCCTAAGCCAGAGCCGGATCCAGGTGAAGCGGGAGAATGAGGAAAGTATGATGGGGAAGGCGAGGTTTGAAAATGAGAAGGCGAAGGAGAGTTGTACCGGGATCGTTTAGGCGGAGGAGAACCGTACTCCGAGGACGAAGACGAATCGACTGAGAATGGGGAGACCTCTCTTCCGTTCCAACCGCGGTTGGTCGGTCCATTCTGAGGGATCCTCGGTGATCCCGGAGAGTTCGGGGAGAACGATCCTCTGTTCGGTCTTGGGAGGCAAGGCACGGTGATGGGCTGTTCGGCTCTGAAACAGCTGATCCCCCTCGTCGAGACGTCTTCGAGAGCGATCTCGCCCTTGAGCGGGTTGGTACCCGGAGGAGCGGTGCCAAAGGGGAATGATGACTTGATATTCGATGTTGATGCAGGTCGTGGCAGACGAGAAGGTTGAGACGGAGGAAGAGGAGTGATTTGGAATGAGAAGCGGGCTGTCCGGGGGTGAAAGGACACCTTGGATTCGAGCTCCACTGTCGGATATGACAATGCCTATAGCATATTGATGCCATATCAAAAAGGATGAATCAGCTTTCCACTGTGAGAAGCTCAACCTGATTTGACCTAGATACTGCTGTAGTTCACCTCGTAATAAGCATCAGCTTTAGGAGCCATCGAGCCCATGCTGAATCCAGCGACCCTGAAATGAGAGTCGTCGTTCTGCTGTGCCGTCGACCGGGTCATCAGACCGGCCGGAATCTTCATTTTGTCAAACAGTTTGATGAAGTCTTCGTCTTCCATGATGGGCAAAAGACGATGTAGCGTTTATGGGTGAGATTGCAAGGTGAAACAAGAGCGATTGAAAGGTTTCATAAGGGTAATGTTGCAGCCGAGGATGTTGATAGCAAGGGGGGCGGAGATGTCAGCGACATTATATACTTTCCGTTTTGAAGCTGTATCGTGCTACACGAAGTTGATTCGCCGACATCATCCGACTCACCAGCTCCTTTGAGTGCGAGAAGGTTATGTATGCCAGGTGGATATCCGGTCCGATTGGACTTTTGTCGCTGTCGCTTGATTGCTCGTTGTCGTCGTTCGTAAGAAGTGATCGTCGCTGATTGTCGTTTCCTTGTTTCGTTGTTCTAGTCGTAAAGGTCGTAGTGGATCGTGGAGCGTCCTTCTATATCTGTTTCGTACCTTGTCTCTCGAGTTTCCTCAAGTGCTCTTGCTCTCCCCTCTTCCTCACTCTCCCTCCGACTTAATCGCAAATAAAAGCTAGCAGATGTAGCTCTTCTTCCCGCTGACCGCCCAGCTCTCTTGTGACCTCTGGCCTTTCTCCCTTGACCCAGCTCTTGTTCGAATGATGCCGGAAACCTTCTCGTTCTTGCTGCACTATGAATATGACTTCGATCTCAAGTGGGAAGTGGCCTATGCATGACCGATTACCAACCTACAAATCGCAAAAAGCTGCTCAACGTAACAGATTTACCAAAGTTTAAGAATTCAGTTGATCGGATAGACCCGAGTCTGATCGGAAGTATATTCGGAAGTAAAACACACGCAGCTCACGTGACCTGATCTTACACTTACTCGTACATAAATGCCCTGCTGTGCGAGCTGGATAGCACACAGATACTGAATTTGCTGTTGATTCTTTGGAGGAACTGGGGGAGGATACTGGTAGGAGTCCGTCAGAAGCAGCCAAGATCGTCAAGGCTAGCGTGCTGTATGAACTTCAGACTTTAAAGGCACAAGCGGCAGCCGTAGCTCCCTCTGCAATTGTAGCCCTTGCCTCTGGCGTCGCCACCGTGGAAGATTCGACTTTTTATACTGCGGATCCTGACACCAACACCATCAACAGCACGATCAAATGGTCATCATCTGGACTACAGGTCTTGCTTGTTCTCACAACTGACTGCATGATCGGAGTTGTTGTCCTGGTAGGTACAGTTTCACAAGGTCCTTTGCCTCTTCCTAGGGCACCCATCGTCCTGTTCATCCATTTTGTTTCCATCATCCTCCTTGTGGCCCTTAGCATGCAAGACCATAACCATTTGTCCCAGTCTCTTTACTTCAGGGTGATCCTTCAACAGCGCAATAGCTCTCTCAACCAACGGGCCTATAAGGGCAGGGGAGATAAGGGTTAGGGTTTAGAGGTTTCATGGATGTATCTCGGGCGATTAAAACTTGCGGATCAGGCAGAACTCTCATTGGCGCAATGAGACGTCTGATCCCACGGACGCATTCGAGCGATCTCGGACCGCCGGAGCGCGGATCCGACATTCCTATGAACCTGTCTACGGTCGTCGGTTGGGTCGAGGCCTAAGTCGCGTCACACATTGGAGTACAATTGTATTGTTATGAAGTCAACAACACTAGGCAAAACATGAACTCACCTTTGGTGTAGTAGGTTATGGTGCGAAATGTTGACGGTCAGGTCAGTCAGGTCAGGTCATGAGTTCGACTCACGATGCAGCCTGCATTTCCATGAGTTTTGCCCTTTCCGCTCATAAAAAGATAGACCTATAGGCTTCTCGTGAAAAAAGTGAGCTTCCAAATGAAGCGAGGGGACTGGTTGGCTATGGTTAGGCGCGCTGTCTAGTCATAGTTTATGTCTTTTTGGAGGTTTCCTTTTTGTTATCGATCAATACATCACACCGTGAATATGCACATTGAACCCTCTGCAGTATGTCGGGCACCAATCATTACAATAGAAACAGTGAAGGACGAAACCAATGGAATACCCAAGGTCAGCATTTGTTCTGCTGAAGAGACTGTTCCATTCGCATCTGTCAACAATGTTATTGGCAGTGAATGTCGAGACTCTTGAGCCAATTCTACGTCATCTGGTAGATGGGGAGAACATTGTCCACAGACCGACCCTTCTCAAACGGCTGTTGCAGGAGTATGGTATTCAAATCAGGTAAGTCACTAGCTTAGAGAGCGATTCAAGTAAGAGGGTTCAGCTGACACGTCGGACTGGAAGCCGTTCAACGCTCAACAAATACCTCAAGCAATTCAATCTTGGAGGACCAAAAAGGGCTGGCTTCTCCATCGAACAGGTCGAAGGAGTCATTGTCATGCACATCAGACAACACGACCCTCAGAACACAGACTCGCCCGCAAGGATAGCAGCGGCTTTGGGCAGCCGAGGGATACACATTGCTCGGTAAGTTGGAGATCAGCCATCGATCCCGAAACATATTAACCTTGCCTGGCTCAAAGTGACATGGTCCGAGCAGTGATGAAGACACACTTCCCTGAAGGATTTGATCAACGATCCCGCTCAGCTACAAACAAGACATCTCACAATGCTGTCATTCAGTCTTATGGACCCAATGATCAACTCTCTATCGACGGGCATGACAAGTTGTCGAGTATTGGGTTTCCAATCTATGGCATGCGGGACAAGTTCTCCCGCAAATGGATTACTCTTGTTGCAGTTCCCAACAACCGGACTAATGTCATCACTTCTTACCTATACCTCAAGACGATCCGGGACATGGGAGGTGAGTACAGTCGTGGCTCTCTCTGATTTGACAACTGACGTAGACCACAGGCATACCTCTACAGGTCACGAGCGATCATGGTAACGAAGTCATGGATATATTTGGATACCAATCGGCTTTGAGGTCAGTGTTCATATCGTGCTGGCAAGTGATCGGCAATGGATGCTGATTATGATATAATGGTAAATTCCAGAGAGACCGCTGTTGCCCCTTTGGCAGATCTTATTGCAAAACTGGATATCGGTGTTGCACCCGAACCTCATCGCTTCCTGTCCTCAACCAGGAACATCACAGTGGAACGGGGTTGGAAGCCTTTGGTGACCAAATTCAACCGGAAGATTCTCGTCAGTACAACCAATGCAATTGCATCTGGTGATTACATTGTGGACAATCGCAGTCATCGGTAAGATTCCTGGACAGTGATTGCGATCTCAACCCATATTCACTCACGTTACACAGGGTCATCTACCTATTCTTGATGGCACCTCTTGTTCTCGAGGAATTGGAGATGTACAAGAAGGCCGCCAATTGTCAGGTTATCCGCCGTCAGAAAGGGATCAGTCTGCCATCTGGCATGTCGGCAAACACAGCTTATACATCGGAAGGCCAAGATTGTCTTCTGAGGCTGTCACCTGATAGCTTGGATCAGGTCGATCGATGGATTGTGGACATCGAAGCAGCATACCCTCGCCTGCTATGCTTTCTCACATGGGACGAGAAGAGCTGGGTCATGTTACTTTGGAACCATGTTTGCTCGGTGACCGGCGAGCAAGCTCTTCCCAAGGTTTCTTTGCTTAATATCTGGTCCACCTTCCGTTTAATGACAGGACACATCACAGATATCCCATGTCTTGTGAATGAATGACAAGTTGAGCGGAGATTATGGTATACAATGTTGAACCCGATCATGATCTTGAACCAAACGGAGTTGTCGGCCGCACAATTCTCCCGCTACTGGTTGCCTGAAATGGTATGTCGGACATCAATGCTAATAGGGTGCAACAGTACGATGATGTGTGGGATATCCAACATAGATCCAGCAATGCGCTCACATACCTTGGCTGCCAGCCGCTTGATGCTGTCCCCGACCCCTTCCCCTTCCTCTGCCCCGGGTAGATACCCTTCCTCGGGGGTTATCTGGAGAGATAGCTGGAACTGTTGTAGCTCGACGGCCACGCTTCGATGGTCCGGCAACTGGGTGATCAGGCAGATCCTCATCGATTTCCAGCACCCTTTCTCTAGCTGCAGCCGCTAGATCAGTCTCAGGGACCGCTTTGACAGGATCCAATCCGATGTCATGGCAGAACCGGTTACAGAGATGACCATCAATGAAAGCATTGATTCCGGTCTCTCCAGCATCACCAATGCCGAGTTCCCCTTGTAGACTGCCAGCAGAGTAGGAGACTGTCAATACTAGTGGGACTGCATCAAGACAATCCACTTACGAGTGCAACATAGGATCAAAGAGGAGAATGTTGACCGAGGTGAACCAACCCTCAAGGTCGGAAAGAACCATACTGCGGCCACTAGCTTCATAGGCTAGATGAGCATAGGCCGATACAGTCCATGCTGACCTTGTTTCCCCTTGTCCAGCTTCAAGGGAACCTGAGTACCGGACAGGTTGTCCGTTCTGGAAGTCCTCCAATAACCAAGCTCGATCAGCCGGATGCTCAGTACCCTCTTCTCCTGGGCAAAACAAGACTCGAACTTTAGCAAAGGCTAGCGCTGTGCAAGAAGACCAAGTTATCATATTTGTAATACAGACCGACACAATTGAGCAAGCTTACGGATAGCCTGCCTCTCAGATGGCGTGCCAGCTATGGCCCGACTGAATTCTTCAACCCATATATCACCCCACATGTATGATTCGGCTTCAAGCTGTACCAAGCGGAGGATTGAGAGAGCCCTTGTATCATCCAGGACTTCGGGCTTGATCTCTTTCGCAACCATCTTGTTATTAGGAGCCAACCCAGTACTGCCTCCAGGGTGATCGTTAGAAGCAAATCGGGCCTGGAACATTATACTTGTCAGTTGCACTGTTACAACGCGTAAGGCTGGTTCAAAAGTAACTTCACCTCATAGCAGTTCCGGGTCTGACCCTGACCCAAAATCTTGTTGTCGATCCAGAGATAAGCATATTCAGTGCTATCGCTCCATTCAATGGCAGTCCGATCCCGGTTCCATGTTGCAAGGCTCTCGTAGACAAAAATCGGAGGATCACCTTGGCCAAAGGGGGGGCGTACTGCTGTCAGGGGGACTGGTAAAGATGATACATACCGTCGAGGTACAATGCTGCTGACCCTGGCCATGCTCATTTGAGGAGTGGCAGAGCTCCCTCGCAATCCTGAAGCGAAAGACAGAGGTGTCATCTCGTCCTCACCCTCCCCAAAATATTCAACCTGGTCCGCCCGAACCTCGATGGTCAAGGTGAGAGTATGGGCATTTGGATGATTGTCCCGTCCAGTAGTAAGATGGTTCATCTTTGCCCATCGGTGATAAACTCTAAGCTCCATATCATATTGAGTCTTCTCGATCAGTGTTCCTTTGCCCTTGCCGGGAAGGGACAGGGTAACAACTGCCGGCTTCTCGGGATCATCACTGGCATCCGCGTAATCCACCATCATCGCATCCGTCATCCAGCCGTCATCCATTTTGTAATCCCATTTGTCATCCCATCTGAGTTAATCATGGTGTGCGCTGTATGGTCCAGATGACAGACTCACATATTGATGAAACCCATGGGCCTATCCATTTGTGCGGTGTCCCAATAGTGGGTCTGAATCTTGCGGACCATAGTCCGGAGCATATCCTTGATTAAGGTATCCCGGCTGACGCTTAGGTAATGAGTATGCCCTTTCTTGGCCCGGCCTGAGTATCCGTTTGTCTCAGAATAGGTATAGTGAACCTCCAAGTTTGGGCCAGCAGCATGAGAGTTTCCCGAGCTAGCAGTGGTTACTCGTTGTTGCCCCTGGCGGGCTACTTGAGCAGCCCGAATAGCTGCGTGACCTCCTTCGTTTCCACCGGCAAGATTGTTTCGGAGACGGGTCCCATTTGCCTCATCTCTGTATGCTGAAAACATAGCAGGCAGGATACCTGGTGGGTCAAGCTTCAATGGCATATTGTGATTTGTTTATACCACAGGTACATACTATTGTTCGACTGCACAACCGGCACTGAGCTTGCCTTGACACACTCCGAACACATATCTTCCCCTCGTTTCTGTATCCTGCCATCTCGCATACATAGTTGAAGCGACTGGTGTGTGTGATCAGACAGGCTCAGAATAGCTCAGAAGTATTGTCATTACCCATACCTTGGACGCATTGATAGCAGCAGGTGAACCACGCTCAATTGCAATGTACGCACATCTGCCGCACTTGCTAACAGGTGATGTGTAGGCACCCTCTTGACAGGTGTTACAGGGGAAAATAGCAGGAGCAGTGGAGTCCATGTTGACTTATTCTTGTTTGATCAGATAAATGCTATGTCTGAGCTACAAGATTTTATTCTGTTGTTACAAACTAAAGGATTGCCCGAAGTAAAAGATCTGTGATAGCCGATGTTGTTTTTATCTACACACAAGACAATACGCGATTTAGGCCTCAACCCATTCGACGGCTGTAACCTGTCTCACTTGGCGCTCCCGATGTCGCGCCATCCAAGTGGCTGAGTCCGCGATCGACAATGAGCAACGGACGGACAATGTACCGCATGGATTCTCTTGGTGATCATATGACTTGAGAAACCAGAAATCGATCGAGCAGTCTTGTTACGACGGCCAAAAGCCTTCAAGATAGTCACTGTCTTTCCGACTGTGAGTTGTCTTGGCAACGAGACTGCATATCGATAGCGCGCGACGATGCGGTACAATTCTAGCCCGTAGATGTCGTTTCGTCTCGGCGTTCCATGGGGCCTCATCCTTGTCTCCTTGCTCGTTGGGTTGTTGCGGGAGAAGAAGACGAAACCATGATTCATAAGGGTCGAGTATGGCGGTCGTTTCCTCGTGCAGAATCATGTCGTTGAACCGACCAAGGACCCCACGCAGACTGAAGTAATAATGACCAGCATGGACAACAAGGACGACAAGTATACCACCGAACATATCGAGCTGGACCAGCAGGGCGGGAACACGCATAAACACGATACGCTTCACGTCAACTTCAGCAAAGATGATGTTCAGGGCGACTACGGGCAGACGATTACCGGTGATGAATCGCTCGGCCTCTGGGCCACTGCGCTCAAGTATAAGATGGCCACGGCAATTTGCTTCGCGATGACCGTCGCAGCTGCAGCTGATGGGTATCAAATCGGGATCGTCGGGAACATTATCGCCAACGAGGGCTTTGTCAGGCAATTTGGAACGCAGCGGAATGCGCAAGGAGAGCCGATCCTAGCGGCTGCGGTCTTGAGCGGGTGGAACAGTATTCAATCGGTCGGCCAGATCATTGGGATGACCACGACACCGTTGTGAGCGTTTCGATACTTCCTAGTCGGGCGCTTCGCTTTGCTGACAAGATCCGGTTTTGAAGCTTCGCGGAACGGTTCGGACGTAAACCCACCTTGTTCTACTTTTTAGGGCTGTTGGCGATCAGTATCCTGGTCGAGAGCGTCGCGAATAAATGGCAAGTATGGCTTGTTGCCAAGTTGTTCACCGGAGCCGGTGTTGGGTCATTACGTGAGTCCACAATCTCAAAAAATCGCTCCATGATATACCATGTCTTTCTAGCTTCAGGCGTGAGGCTGAAGTGAAGGTTCCATGCATAGAGTTCATGACCCCGACCTATGTGACGGAAATCGCGCCGGTCAAGATTAGAGGAAGTCTCCTGATGACCTACAACTTTTGGTTCGGATTCGGACAATTCGCTGCGACTTTGGCTCTACAACGGATGAACGCTACGGATCCTACCAATTTCAGGTTGCCTATCTATACTCAGGTAGATCGGGCAATATGATATTGACCCATCGTATGCTGGAAACTAATCGCTGATTTATGATTCGCGTGCTGGACAATATATAGTGGTCACAGATCGGGATCATGTTCATCATCTACCTCTTCGTCCCTGAATCCCCCGTTTGGGCCGTCAAACGAGGCAACGAGACTCTAGCTAGGAAATGCTTGAGGCGGATCAACCGCGGAGTGATCAACTTTGACGAGACCAGAGCTTATTTGGCTTTCCAGGTCAATCTAGCTCACGAAAAAGCCGAGGCAGAGAGGGTTGGGCGAGTTAGGTGGTACGCGATCTTCCAGGGGAGGAATGGTTGGAGGACGCTCGTCAGCGCGTGGCCTTTGATCTCTCAACAATTCTTGGGTCTGAGCTTGTTTTACTCTTACGTCTCATACTTCTTCTCGTAAGCCCAGATGCTTGAGTACATACATCTTAGAGACGTAGTCCTCTGACCTCTCATTTCCTCTTGTCCTAGCATTGTCGGTTTTGCTGACCCTTTCAGGGTGACCTGCATAACAAGCGGGATCGGTATGGCCTGTGGAGTCGCAGCTGCCTTTTTGGCGGAACGGGTCGGACGTCGCTACCTTCACAATATCGGAGCCACATGCATGTTGACGTGCTGTATCGTCGTCGGAATAATCTCGGTCGTCCCTCAAAACGGGGCTAGTAACACGCTCCTCGTCGCTTTTACTTGCTTGTGGGGTAGGTCGGGCTGAAACTTGTGCTGGGTCTTTCCGGTGGCTGATAATGTTACGCTCGGGCTATGGTATGTGGTCGTAGTACCTGGATCGACCCTACAAGCAGCGACAGCATGGGTCTACTGCGGCGAGATCTCGTCTGCTCGACTCCGTCCCTACACCGCCGGATTTGCAGCCGCCACCTCTTGCGTCATTGGGATCGTCGTTGGCGTGCTCGTCCCTTACATGTTGAACGAGACCGAATGGAACTTGGGCACAAAAACGGCCTGGTTTTACGCTGGGTTGGGAGCGCCTTGCGTTGTGCTCGCTTGGTTTATCATGCCTGAGACCGCTGGGTGAGTTCGACTTCGCGCTTGTTGATCACGTCTCAACAATATTATGCTGAAACATATCGTTCACTGCAGACGAACCCCGGCGGAACTCGACGAACTGTTCGAAAGACGTATCAAGGCCTGGAGGTTTGCCAAAACCCAAACCGCCGTCCAAAGAGCTATTGCTGCGGGTGGCCAGCCCGACGCGCTACGAGAGGAATCCGGCTAAGACTGATGAATTTCGGGACAACGTACTGGTTATGGGAGGAAAGAACAGCGCGCCTCGTAATCAGCCTGCGACTACGGTTTCGTGAATCTTTATGTACGATACTATCAGGAAGGGGACGGAGTGTAGCATATACCACAGCTTAGTTTTAATTTTAAGAGTCTACATTGAGCAGCAAGAGATATTCTGCCTCGCCTATGGGGGAGAAGCTTCGCATAATCAGGCCGCAGTCTTTCTTCGTGACAAGTGGTGATGAGCAGTGATATTTTTTGGGGCGGGGCAATGTATCTGTAGATTCGAACGGATGACAATGTCGTTTTGCTTGTCACCATTCGTTACGACTTACGGTCAAATCCAATCTTCGAATGTCAGGTCGCCCGACAGGTTCATCACTGATCATCGGAGCAGAGAGTATCTCATCCTATCGATTCATAGCGATCGCTAAGAATCTAAGCCCTGGTCATTAGCGCAACTACCTACAGTGGCAGCGGAAAGACTGTTGCTCTCTTCTCTCTCTTTCTCCAAAGACTGATGGCCTGGTGTCCCAATATAGTCACCCTGCCACTTCGCTTATCTGCCAGCGGGAGACCGGGTTGTCATAGAAAAGTTCGATCAGTCAGACCGGGAGTCGACAAACGCGCTCGATCCAGTAAACATCCCTCGCCCTAAATACCACGCGTCGCCTCCGCCAGATACAGCCGGCGTCTGAAGAACTCGGATTACCTTGCGTCCTGTCGGGTACTGCATTATCGTCTGGGCTATCGCTTCCGGTTGACCGGAAATATCGGGGGCAATTGAGCGAGAATTAGAGAGTTCTCTTTACCAATGAAAAGACGTCACTGCGTGATGTCAGAAGGATTCCCAACGATAATGACAACATCCTTGTCGTGGATTGTCACGTCAGAGTTTGGCAACAAGATTGCCAGGGAGGAGACCTGACGTTTAAAGAAACCGTCCAGCTTGTTTCCCCTCGTTCCCGGCACCCACGCTTCTTTCGGAGCTCAGGTCCAGAGCCGTCCAGCCCAGATCCCGCCTCTCCATATTTTTTCCGACGCCAGAGACTCCTGTCATGTGTCAGGTCCCAAAATGAGGAAGCAAGACCGCGATTCCCAAATCCCAATTCTTTTCGCCCAGCTTGATGTCCGTTACTACCAATCTCCATCCCCAAACCCATAATCCTGCAAAGGCAAGCCACGTCGCCTCACAGATGGATGCATTGGGATCCTTTTGAACTGCACAAAATCTCCTCACTAGCAGTTCATCTCGTCCCGTAAATCATACGTTACTTACACATGCCCGATCATGCCTTTGCCATTTGTACCACCCATAGCTTACTACACCCAATTCGAGCTGGCGCTCTGAGTAGCCACCATTTATATCTCTATTGTCCTATGATTAGTCATAAATTAGTAGAAGTCTATTGGGTTGTTTTACTCACAGGTCTTTTGCCGTTCAGGGCGTCGTCGATGGTGTCGAGGGGCCTCTGTGCAGCTTCCAAATCCATGTCCTTGTTCAGTGCGAGTTGGATCGCAACAGAGATGGCACCCAGATCATCGAGCACCATCTCAGGCAGGTGCAATGTGTGGTGGATGAGCTCCAGCCGCCTCGAAAGGTGAGCTGGTCAGAGAATTTTCAAGTGACTGGTATTGAGCTGTGATGCGGGCCCAAAGACAGGATGGCCCGGTTCCGTCCTTTGTGGGGGCGCAATCAATACGAGCGCTCTTGATGATGCAGGGCAAAGTCGAAAAGCCAGGGCTAGGGGGAAGAAGCGAATGGACAGTATGGAACAGATACAGGTGCTCGTTCAGTGGAAGCTGGACCGGATCAGGGACAGTATCAGGATAGTCGAGTACCATCTTGGACAGTTGGATTGTGGCGGGGTACATAAGCTTGAACCAGTTCAAAAGTCAGATCTTGTTGCAGTCATCCTATATGATCCCGCCAAAAGCCATCAGGTGTATCATATACCAGCAGATAATGCAATCTTTCAGGATATGACATCATATCTGACAGACTTAGTTGTCATGAGACCTCTTGATCGCAGAGATGTCATCAGCGACTTTGGCCAAGGCTGCTTTCCCCGCCCTGAGCTGAAGGTTTTCCATTGCCAAGACTACAACTCTCACCTTTAAAGCGGCGTTTTCTTCCTGGAGGGCAAGGGAGGACAATTGGTATGGATAGGGCTATAGCTCTTTATATGCATTTGTGATCTGCAGGCTCGCGTGGTGAATCGTTCGCACCTGTTCTGCGTTCTGCCAAAGTTGTCGTGTGCATAGAATCGCCGCGTCACAAGCGATCGTTCAACTTTAAGCAGCCTCACGATGGCTGCCTGCGCATTCTCTACGACTAATAGAAGCCTTGCTCCCGCTACTGAAGGTTTGCCGCCAATTCCATTTGATGTTATGCAGCAAGCGGTAGCACCGCCCAGACGAAGCTTTAGCGAACAATCTACCTGCTACCTGAAACATCCGCAGACAAGCGCTTACGTCACGTGAATTACTTCCGACTGGACCTGGGTCACGTGAAACCCAGCGTCCCCCATCGCTCGGATCCGACGCGACCAAGGGTGACGATATGATACTTATGAACAAGGTGACTTGCATGCACGACCAACGTCAACGAGGCCCCGACCACCATACCCGAGATCGCAATTGAACCATGTCTCTCTTCCCGCAAGACCCTGCTGAGGCATTCCTGCTCGCTCAGGTTCCGTCTGTCGCCGGACCATCCTCCTTATCGACTTATGGGAAACGCGAACTCCCAACAGAGCTCGTTCCACCGAGTCTGAGCTTGAAGAGCCGACGATTGTCTAGATCTCGCAGGAGTGGAGAAGCGGTTAGGAGAGGGGATGAGTTCACTGACGGTGTTCTCGGAGGAGTATCAGAGCAGGACAATGTCCATGAAGAGGGAAATGTTGATGCGGAGGAGGAAGAGGATGAACACCGTCGTCGAATTCCATCTCCCGAGGAGCATCGCGTATGGACAGAACGACGCCAACAAGCTCGTCAAGCTCAACTCGACGCTTCTCGTCCGAATATCCCGTCTAGTTTCAGCTCAAAACGCACGCAAACCGGCTCACAGTGGCACCCTTCGAACCTCAACCTAGACCCAGGGACGGGTATCATGGTAGCGGAAGACAAGCTCGGCCAAGAGACTCCCGGCGACGAGATCGACGACGACGACATTGCCGAATCGGGGGAGATGTGCGTGATATGTCTTCAACCTGTACAGGATCGGACCATCGTTGGGGATTGCGATCATTCGATCTTTTGTTTCGACTGTATAAACGTCTGGTCGAACCAGAGTCGGAAGTGTCCGTTGTGTACGGCACCTATCAGAGAATTTCTGGTGCACGGGCTAGATAGGAGGACAGGGCCTGTCAAGGTGAGCATGTCGTCTCCTCACGGTGCCTGCGTATTTCGATTCTTCAGGCTTAATGAAATCTATCCCACGCTGTCATGTAGTTTTACCTTCCCCCACTTCCCACGATCAACCCTTCCAACGCCCCTCTGAGCTCAACAACATTCGCCTCGTCCCTCCCACACCGCCGCCCTGTCCCTCCTTTCCGCAGAAGAGGACCCGACTTGCTCTACCCTGAGCGAGATCTCTGGGCCAGGACGCGTTCGGAGATGCGAGGGGAGAACGGGGAAGCTGAGGGGGAAGAGGCTTTGGAGAGGCAGATCGCGGGTAGGAGGGAGGTCTATAGGACGGGAAGGTTTGCCAAGGTGAGTAGCATAAGATGTGTGCTTGTAGACGAGGCAAGTGGAGGCTGATCAGATCTGGTGCGGTGGTTTGTGCTAAATGTAGCACTTGGGCAGCAACATACATACGAGGTATAGGCCATTACCCACTCCGAGACAGTTTGCGGATAACCCCGAGTATACTGCTGTAAGTCATATTCGGGGAATGGATCAATAAGTGTTTAGAGACTGACCCGACCTGATCTGATGACAGAGGGCTACTCTGTGGTTACGACGAGAGTTACGGGTCTGGAGGGATCTTGACGTAGAGGTACGCTAGAGGACAATCGTCGCGACGAAGAATGTGGAATTGACAAGAAATGTTTGTTTACCCCACAGTTCTTGACGACCTATATCATCTCCCTAATGAGATCGATTGATATTCGATCAGAGCCCGCTGTTAGGCTGCTAAGCGACTTCCTGGATATAAGGGGTAGCGAGGGGAGGGAGAGACAGGGGACGGAGCATTTCGTGCATGGTCAGTCGAACTGCTTGTCGTTCAGCATGGTTCTGGCTGATCAGCTAGTGTGTGATTAGAATTCGTCGCGTTTCTCAGGAGTCCGTATAGAGACCTGGCAGTGTACGACGCTGTCGTTCAAGTGAGTTGATTCTCAACAACTGGCTGCAATCGATTTGATACCAAAAATCTCGGTTCGCCAACAGTACGACCCTGATCGACCGGACGACCCCGACGAGGAGGACGAGGATGATTTCTTTTCACAAAGGCTGCGAGCTGGCCCAAGTCGCGAGAGGCGGAACTCGATCAAGATCAATGACAGGGACGATTTTGCCGCTCAAATCGTACTGGACGATGCCGACCTGAACCGAGTGGATGCCCTCGCTCGAGAGATGTTGCCGGAGAATAGGCCTAGGTCGCCTGTCAGGCGAGGACGGTCTATGTCGTTCTCGTCTGACGGAAGCTCGGAATCGCTATTGTCAAGAATCTCGCAGCGCAGGGAACGTCGCCCAGCGGACAGAAGACGCAAGCCCTCACCTTCATCGCCGCGGCGATGGGATCGGGATGACAGTTGGATCGCCCCGCCGTCTGTACTCGATCGGAAATGGGACGAAGCGGATTCGTGGGTAGACCAAGAGATGTTGAAAGAGGTCGAAGAGGAGCAGCGGTTGGACCGGGAGAGAGCTATGGCCTTGAACAAGGGCGGAAAAGTCAAGCCATCTAGGACCAAGACAAACGACTTGGGTTCAGATGAATTACTCGAGACGGACAAAGGTAGAGCACATATCGATGTTGCTCAAAGAGGCATGCGCGGCTGGGGAGAACCAGGCGATGCGGACGAGGCCATTGTGCTGCAGGACTCGGAGGCGGTCCCTGTTGACACGGTCCAACCGGTCCGGGTGCCCTTGGCCCTGCGGATCTTTGGCACCGGTGCAGCAGCAAATGAGGAGATTGTTGCTGATAGGTCAAGAGATAACACTCCGGAACAAGAGCGGGTCGATCCTGACGACGTTCTGAGTGAAGAAGAGGATGCCATGCTTGATGCTCAAGTTTGGGGTACAGAAGACGCCATCGATCTTGATCTTCTCGCTGAGAGGAAAGAGGAGAGGAAGAAACGTCGCGAGTCTGAGGCCGCAAATCAGCCCGCCATGATAGTTGCAGCGGTCCGAGAAGACGCCGCTGTCAATCAGGCGAGACAGGCGATCATCAACAATGCAAATCGGCGAGCCGAAAAGAAAGAACAGTTGCTAGCGAAATTGATTCGAGCCAAAATGCAACTGAGGGTTCGCAAGCAGATAGCGGACCCCATCATTTACGACAACGACGAAGAAGAAGATTCTTCTGCATCTTCAACGCCGGAGCAAGAGGTTGTCCCGGATCATATTATACGAGTCTCTCCGATCACGGAGGATCAGGCTCCGTCAGCGGACGCAGTTGAAGCCGAAGCGAGAGCGAAGGCCAAGGCGAAACTGCGTATGCGATTGATGCAGGAGAAGAAAAAACAGCAGCAGCAGCAACAGCAAACACTTTCAGAACCGTTGCAAGCAGAAACCTTACCAACAGATCAAGACACTCAGTCGGGGAAACCACCCTTGGACAGAGCTGCGATGCTTCGGGAAAAACTACTCAAAGCTCGACAACAAAAACAGGCGGTATCTATAGCATGACGACCCTATTACACCAATATGACATTATAACCTGACGAAGCGCACGACGTGTACATGACGCATGATGAGAGCGATAAACAAACAACAATTCCACAAAACACCTCGATCTGATCTATTGGTTGGCTCATGAAAACTGGGCCAAGATAGTCTTCGGGCAGCGGAGCGTCTCACTTCCCCTTCCTCCGTTGCTCCTCTTTACCTTCGACGACCTGCCTCAGGTGCCTCTTGGAAAGTAGACCCCGGGGTGATTCCTCCTTGCTTTGCGTTTGGGCTTGCAGCTGCAACGGCAAGGGCGATGGACAAGGCTCCGGCGTTAGAGGTGGCGGCGAGTCGGTAGTGAAATACATGGTCCGAGGCGACGAGGTTTGATCCGGTGTCAGCGGCGGACATGGCTGCTGAGAGACATGGGCTTGCGAGAGAGGCGACGAGGCGTTGGAAGACCTCGATGACGTGTTGGAAGCATTTGAGTTTCGATGGATCAGAAGCTTTGGCGGCCTGGGCCTGCCTGAAAGGCTAGGTCGCGCTTCAGGAGATCGAACCTGAGGCGTGGGCGAGAGTTGCAAGGCGTGCATCTCGCCGACGAGCTCCACCGGAGGAGACGGCGGGATATCGGCGAGGTGGCAGAAGTGTTTGCTCTTCAACGGGTCCTTGTCCTTGCCATCCCTCGTATGGGTATCGATGCGAGCGACGTACTTGGGCCTGTCGCCACTCTTCTTGAGCGGCTTTCGCATCATGTCTTCGGGAACCTGGTGGATTTGGCGGAACATGGTGATCGTCGGGATCGCTGGGCGAGAGTTGTGAGGGCTAGCTGATTGGTAAAGAGGAATACTTCACCCCATGCGATATCGGCTTGGGATGACGAGACAACCCGAATGAAGCGTCTCACGATCGGTGATCGCTGTCAATTCGACCCGGTGCTATTTATCGACTTGGATATGGGAATGAAGGTGGCGAATCCCCGACTTCTGGTCAATTCCCACGGATACTGTTGATGCTTCTCCCCCCAGATATATACCGTGACCCGGCAGTCCGTCGACAGGATACGGAGTCGATGGCGACCGAATCAAAGGAGGTACGCATCAAGTTGTCGGCGGCAACGTCGTGATTGTGGGGTGGAGACCCGTCTCAAGAAGCTCTCGTAGCGTCATGGCCGATAAAAGGACCGTCCCTTTCGCGACCCCAGTCAGATGATAAGCCTCGGAACCCTCGATCTCGATCGTCTTGACCGGCAAGGACTGCTGGCTGGACAGCGGCATAGCCGCCAAACCTGATCGCTGAATGCACATAGTATTGTGTGAACAAGGTATCCTAACTTGTACGATATTATATCCAAACCAGGTCATGATGAGCAACGACAAAGCTTGTAAGAAGAGGACGAGATGGGACGAGACGATATAGGTACGAGATGTTGATTGATGCGCGGTTGCATCCTAACACTCGGTAGATCGAAAATAGAAAGGACTTGTCGTGAAGGACCGTTCGGCAGTCCACGGATGGTGAAAGGGGTTGGATTTTCGATATACACTTGCTTGCGGTCTTGCTCCCTGGCGCCGTTCTCCTTTTTGATCTCTCGTATTTGTTCGTTCGGTGCCTTTAAACCACCACTATTGCTTCTTCGTCTCGATCGTCACCCGGTCCTAGATCTGAGTCTCGTTCACACCTTTGGTGATGCCCTCGGTCTCGTCGTTCCCCGAACCCTCGACAAAGTCATCCATCCCCTTGGCAGCGGCAAACGAAAACTTCTTTCGGTTCTCATTGCTGTTCTCGTTCTTGTTCTCGGACAACTTGGCGGCCTGCTGAGGGCCTTGTCGACGAGCTGCAGATCCCGAGGCGACGGTGAAACCGTCTTCGTCGATGATCGGCTCGACCGGAGCCTTTTGCTTGGGCTGAGCGGGGGGAGTTGTTGCGGCAGGGGAAGTAGCGGGCGCGTTGGCCGCAGGTCCTCGTCGCCATCCACCTTCAGCATTACCACCAGCAGCATGGCCTCCTCGTCTGTTAGGCATGTTTCGGGGGAAGTTTCCACCGGCAGCAGCCAAACCTCCACGGTTCATAGGAGGTTGACCTCTGACAGGTGCCTCGCCTTCGGTCGGCTTGGCGGCAGCGGGCTTCTCCTCGACCTTTCGCTCGGGCCTGGCTGCTCGCCAATCCGATCCGATCTTGCTAGGCTTGGCTTCAGACTCGACGCTCGGCGAGGTGACTTTAGGTTGAGCCCTAGCGGGGTGAGGCGATGCCTGGGCAGACGAAGTAGCTGTGCGAGGCGATATCGTCCATCAGTACAAGTGATCTGTCATCATGCCGTGCCGGACAAGAAAGGACTCACGAGTAGGCTCCTTGCTAGCAGGTTTACTTGAACGCCAGTTTGATTGCTCCAATTCCACTCGGGGAGCCGGAGCGGGTACCGACTCCTTCCTGACGACCTCGGGTCGGGGCGCGGGAGGCTCGGTCGCGGTAAACTTGCTTCCTCTCGACCACTGTCGAATCGACGCAACACGCACGAGTCAGTACGGCTCACAAGTCCGGCTCAAATCACAGCGCCTCGACTCACGGTCTCCTCGGCAGCCTGTCCAGACAAAACAATAGGTTCCCTCTCCATAAACCCTCCCTTGGATTTCGGTCCGTGCGAGGCTTCCCTTCCGAGAGTGACAGGAGCAGCTGGGGTGAAGTTTGAGGTCACAGGAGGCGCCTCTCGAGGAGGACGGTTCGACCTCCAATCGTCTGGCGTCTCGGCCAGGGGAGGAGGACGGTCACCACGAGGTTCACGTTCTCCACCGGTCATCCTATCCCGGAAGTTTCCACCTGCAGCCCCGTTGAACCCTCCTTCTGATCTCTGAGGACCCCCACCGCCTCGCTCGCCAAGCCCGCTGAACCCGGATTCTCGTCGAACGGGCGCAGGAGCGTCAGCGGTCGAGGTGAACTTGCTACCCCTGGCGGCACCCCAGTCCCTGTCGATAGGCGCGGCAGTAGGACCGGCCGAGTCGGCGTCGAATCGGTTGGAAGAGTAGGTACGGGAAGGAGTGGCACGGCTGGTAGTCGGCGATCGGGGAGGGAGAGGTCCGGATCGTCGCCATTGGTCGGCAGATTCGGCCATCGAGGCTCCACCGCCGAAACCACCTCCGAATCCACCCGTCTTGGCTGTAAGAGGTTATCACCTCCTTTCAGCCATCTGCTTCTCGACCTCTTTTGTCATATTTCGAGATTCGAGACTCGACGACTCACGAGGCTCGGCCACGCTGACCCTGACGGTCCTCCCCTGCATCTGTCCTCCGCTCCTCTCGAGCGCCTCCTTCAACCCGTCCAAGGTCGTAAACTCGACGTATCCGAACCCTTTAGGCTTGTCGTCGTGTCCCTTGATGAGCTTGGTGGAGACGGTCTATGGGTTTTGTGCGTTTGGTGTGATGTCGGTTCAAAATCGAGATGCAAAGTTCAGGTTGTAAAGTAAGACAGATGTAGTTGGTGCATAAGCTGTGTGATTCGAGAGAAGGAGCGAAATCCAACCATCGAGCAAAGACTTACCTCGATACCCTCAAAGAACCCCTGCAAATCATCCTCGATCGTCTCGAAAGCCAAGTTGCCAACGAAAGCCGTATAAGGCGGTCTCGTGGGCAAAGGCAACTCTTCCCTCCCTCCCCTGCCTTCTTGTCCGTCCCTACCTCCGAATCCACCACCACCACCGGCTCGGTCGAGGTACCGAGAAGAGGAACGGTCAGGGATGGAATCGAAGTAGCCGGGGTCGCCTCGTTTGAGGGCGTTGGGGTCTTTGACGCTGGCTGTGGGGGCGGGAGATGGGATAAAATAAGAAGAGAAGAGAAACAGAGACAGGTCAGGCTGGTTGTAAACGGGGGAGGATTATCGGGACTTGAAACTTGCGTGCGATAGGGATATCCTCCATCTCGTCGGCCCAGTTACCGGTAGCTACAACACAAAGTCAAAGTATAGGTTAGTCCTATGATCCTCGTTGATCCTGCTCGCGCGACGTCATCATGCTCGTCATCCGCCATCCAAGCTCTCCCACTGATTGATTGACGTCGAGCGAGCTTGTGAAACGCCTCAAAGACGTACCGGTATCGGCCAAAAAGGACGAGAGGTCCATCTTCTGTCCCTTCTTCTTAGGTGCTACATATCAAACGTGGGATCACACGATCAGCTCCATGCACCAGAGTCCATTTGCACTCGGTGCTCGACCGAGTTGTGGAGATTGAGGATGTACCCATGATTGCGAGCTGATGAGATTTGGTCTACTGGTTTAGCTGGGCTGAAGAAGTATGTATATGTCGATATGACGATATGCTATGAGTTTCGCTGGTGACATCGACGTTGACATCATCTCGACATCGACCTCTGCTCACTTGTTCGTCACCAAATCGCGAAAAGTCGAAAGATACGCGAGGGGGGGGGGGCGGAACCAATTAGAAGCGCATGATCGTGCGGAGGATGACGGCATGGCAGAGGTAAGCGCATCCGGGGTCACCGGGCATCGTGTTTCATAACGTTTCATGTTTCTGAGTCTTCTCATGAACGCAAGACCAGCTCGATCTGGCCCGACTCGGCAGTTGGAGAACAAGATGATAGAAACATACATCATGATCTCTGGTATTTACTGCTTCTGGATTCGGCACTCTTGACAGCTAAAGCCGGAGTTTTCTCTTGAAGATGTGAAGTACCATATGTCATCTTCAATTCACCACCGCCACGTTCCGAATCGGCCGGTCTCATCCATTAATTAAGAGGCTTCATTCTTCGAAACCGTCTCAATCCGAGTGAAATCGAAATCATCAACAACGAAGGGTATTCTGCCGATTGCGAGTGAAACGTACTTGGTTCCAGGCTGTTGAAGGCTTCGAATTGTGAACCAAATCTTGGTCGAGCACTGACAACTGGTACTGCAACTTGTTCCCCCAGGATTTTGGTGACACGGTGAACAAGACGGTTGAAGAGTAATCTTGTTCACATGGCGGCGCCGAATCTTCTCGACTAGAAGCAGAGGGTGAGGGAGAGACAGGTTTAGTCCCGGGACGTCTGCGACGAGGAGGCGCCAGATATCTCGTTTTGGCAAGGACTGGTTTAGTCGGTAGCTTGGCGGGTGATTTGACTTTCGGATCGAGAGAGGCTGCGGAATTATTGCCAAGTCTCCTTCTTTCCCTTTCCGCTCGACCGATTTCCGAGGGGGGCAAAGTGGATGATGAATGGTCCGGTAAAGTACTGTCCGGATGGACGGTGATGTGAGATCCTGTATCCACGAAACCCTCATCGAAAGAGTGGATCAATCCCGCCGAGTAAGGTGGGGTTGATTCCCTGTACGCTGTGGCGTTTGTCGAATCGTAGAATCGCTCGAAATCTAGCGAAAAGTCACTCATGCCTGGGCTTTGAGCAGCCGGCGTGCTTTTCATATCGCTCCGCCTATGGTCGCTCCACTCATGGTTATCGATCGGAATCCAGCTCCTTCCACCATCGACGTTGCTATGGACATCGATCGGAATGTTGTTGGAACCTCCCACTACGACACGGCTTAGTCCCCTTTTGTCGATGACAATGACACCGCTCGGTCTTCTATCATCGACAGCTGCAACGCTCAGTACGTAGAGCAGACACCACTGGTGCCCAATTGTTCACGCAGAAACTTACCCCCTCCTCGGATTTCGACGAGCCAGCCATGTACATCCTGTTGGAGTTTGGGATGAGAAAAGATTGTCGAGGTTGTCGCTGGGTTTTGAGAGGGGGATGGTTGCTGAAAGTATGATATAAGTATGCTACATCGTATTCCCGTTCTTTTTGTATCATTTGTGAGGCTAAAGACTTCCATCCCCCTCGAAACCTACTGATACATCCTTTGTGCTGCGTTCCAGGGATCAGGCCAAACAGGAGCGATGTCATCGGCTGATCTTGCAATGACGACGAACTACACAAAAGCTGATCAAACTACAGATTGGGTAAAAAGTATTTGACGCCTTGGGTCGACTCTGAATGCAGAATCTGTTCAGCAAGACAGCCGATGTGGTATGTTTCGTGATGAGCGAATATTGTTTCGACAATGGCGTCAGCGTCTGGCACGCTAACGCCATCTCAAACGGGGCTGAATCGACTTGTTCAGCCTACAATATGAGCCCGATACGTTGCGAATCATGCGTGCATTCGACAAAGACGCTCAAATACAACCAAATCTGATCCGCTCATTTGCTAAGCGCACTTTCTTCGGAACCGTCTTTTGTATCAGTCGTCATCTCTTGAGTCGATGCGACTGTGACTGATTTCTGTTGATCTGCCGAGCCGGGGTTGGGTTCGGTCGAACCTTCGCTTGCCGTACCAAGAATTCAGCAAGAACCTTCCAATCTTCCGGCGCAATGTCCGTTTCGACGATGGCGTTTGTGTTTGGCTGTGCATAGCGCGCTTCTCTCCTCCTGACATGGGTAGCGAAGTACGTCTTGGTCGACGCATCCATTTCGTTGTTTGTCGATGCTGGAGTGGGGTTGGGCATGGGTGATACTCTACAGAAATGATTTGTCCAGCTGCAACTGTAGCTCATCTCTTCACTATAGTTTGCAAGAGCTTCTACCTCCGAATATCTCTTGCCTGAAGTATAGAATCAGGCTCGCTCTCCTGTCCAAGATCTCAAAATCCTTTGTTCAGAATGATGGCAGTCCTTTGTGGTAAATTTCGTGACATCCATTGTGAGGAATTGGTGACATCCATTGTGACTGGCTTGTGTTCTGCTTTCTCTTACCGATGTTTACAAAAGGAAAAACTCCTTTCACTCGACTCAACAGGATACCGATACGCAGCTAGCTTAAGTTGTACTAGCACGCCGAAAGTTTGGTATCAGTGTATCAGCTGATCCAGCTGATCACCAATACTCCTACTTATCTGAAGAGTCGATCGTGATGGCTGTATGCTGTGCGAGATCAACCTTGACAAAACAGTATGACTCCCTCGACAACTCGATGTACCAGTGCGAGACCTATTCGGCGTGCTATTATGATTCCAAAATGTGAGAACGGATTACTGTGCAGCTGTAAACGACCCGACATACAGTAAGATATCTCCATGTCGTGGGGCCGTCGATCGAGGGGCTTGCATCCTTCGGTGGAACAATCACGTGTGTCGCTTTTACCTTGAAGGTGTCATTGAAAGCTGCATCGTTAGCTATTGGTAAGCGGTCTTACGATAATACCGCAAGTGGAGTAACCCTATGCCCTGTGTTGGCATCATGACGACAGGAAGACGCCGAGACATCGGTTCTGCGCTCTAATTAGCGGGAGATTTGCTGCGATTGATTGAGTGAGGTTGTGCAGCAGACTGAAGGCAAAAGGGCGCAAGAACGATGGGCTTCTTTGGGCCCGATTGTAAACCATCACAGTGACATTGTGGGAGGATCCGGATGAGGTAAAAGGCGCCAATAAGGTACCCTGGAATCCGGCTGCTGATGGAGGTGATCAGAACGATGCTTCGTGATCAGACAGTAACGAGTATACAAGGCTTTGCTAACGGTTCGCTAGAGGTGGTATGGTTTTACTTGTGAAGCTTGAGTCTTTGATTCAGCCTTTGATTGAGTCTTTCATGATATCTTCGCTGCTTCTCTTCTTCCTCCTGGCGTGCCATCTCCCTGAACATGGCCCTTTTGTTGAAATACGGAGCACGAATCTGAAGAAGATTTCAACAAGTGTACGAGTAGTTCATTTCAACTATCTAAATTGATGAACGTGTCTGCTTACTGTCGTAGCACCAGTCTTCCTCTTGGTGGGTTTCGCAATCTTCTGTGAGCTCGACGAGGCTTCCTCAGCTTTGCCAGCTGTCTGATCCCAGCAGCTTCCGCTTATGGAGAAACTCTCCTCCTCGGGATGGTAATCGCTAACATCACCTGAACATTTGCCAAGTACCGAATCAGATTCCGAGTCAGATTCCGCAATCTCGAGCTTCGAGAACGGGAATCGGATTCAGTTTGGAATCGTGCTCAGGTGACAGCGATGACGAGCTCACTGGCATTGTTCTCTTGACCGATGCCTTCCCTTTGCTCTTTTCGACAGTAACAGTAGCCTTGCGCTTTCTTTTGGACGTCTCTCTGCCTCGGCTGGACGGCGGAGATGCGGCCGGACGTTTCCCTTGATTTTTCGGTTGGTACTCATCGTCAGACTGTTCATCGTCAGTGGATTTCCCTATAGATGTGGAACTCTCTGTATGGCTGGATTCCCTTCCAAGCGTGAGACTCCCCGCATTACGGTGTCCTCGTCTCTGAGGGCCTCGAGTCTCGGCTCCCCCTCTTCCAGATCCTCGTTCTTCGGGTCGATACTCATTTTCGAATTGTTCATCATCAGTGCTTTCCCCTCCAGATGCGGACCTCTCTATATTGCTGGACTCTCCTCCAGACGCAAGACTCTCCTCATTGCTGTTGAATCGTCGCTTGCGTCTTCGTCTCTCGGATCTTTTCCTCTCGGTTCTTCGTCTCTGGGGCCGATAATCATCGTCGGACTGTGCCTCATCATCAGTGGATGTCTCCTCAAATTCGGACCCCTCTGAACTGCTAGAATCTCGTCCAGATTTGGAAGCACCCGAGTCGCTAGATTCCTCTGCCTATTCTCGAAACAAGATCATTGCATGTCTCGTGTAAACAAGTTTAAAATACTCACATCTTCACCATTGGAAGAAGAGCCTTTATCTTTGTTGGACCAAGGGAGCTGCACCTCGATGGTGTCCTTCGGATCGGATACATAATCATCATCAAGGTTCACCTGATTGTTGCTAACACTTTCCTGCATGGTGGAAGAAGAAGAATGCGAGACGATTCAACTCTCGAATGGTTAGTCTATGAGAGTGAGCGGATCGCAGTCAAAGTGACAGGAAGTAGATAACTCTTAGTGTGCTAGACTATATACCCACCTTGGCACCAACCCTTCCTTTGTTCACGCTCATGAGCCATTTTCATCCCACTAGTCAAGGCTATAGAAGAGGAGAACATCGGCTGATCTGAAAAGCTCTCCAATGCCACGTGCGAACATCAAAGGAAATCGTTTCAGATAGCTCGTGATCGTATAAGATGGCTTGACACGCTGAGACAGTTTCGGCCGAACAAAGCGGAAGCAAAAGGTCGATCCCCATGACCTTTTCCGATCCAGGCAGTTGTAGTGATAATCTGTATGCCAGCGATCTATCTAGCGGGTCTAAGGCATGGTCAAATCTCATGCGTCCACTTCCAGCAACCCTTCAGGAATTCATTACGCTCTATAAGTGATGCTTTGGCACGACCTCTATCCATCCTAGCTTCTGCGCATCTGTCGACAGGTTCAGTCCGAAAACATGGGATTTTTGGTATGGGTCACAAGAGATCCCGAAAATCAGTTTCAGCATTAGACATCATCTTTCGATACTTCAGCATCGCTCCGCAGCCGCTGACTGGTAACAACCTCTGCATCGCCTGCGCACTCGGTCGTAATGCGGCGTGTACAGTAAAACTTGCGCCACGATGAGAGGGCGATCTTCGAATACGTTGCAGTCATATGACCTTATAGCCTTTCTAAACATCACTGAAGAAACCTGAACCTACCGATCTCTTGCCCGATGTTTTCAGCTTTCGGCGCGTATGGCTTTGTCTCGTCGTCTAAAAAGCGGGATGACCGAGCTCTCGGCCGATCCGACCATGCCAGTCTTACTGATGCAGCCTACCGTAGCTTTCTCAACCCTTCCTGCACAAGTTGATGGATGACGAATGATTTCGAAGTTGAACCCGCTGTTCATCGGACAATGCCGAACAAAACTTATGGTAACAAAATGAGGATTCACGACTAGGCTGTGACAGACGGCTGATATGTGTTGACGGCGATCATTACAAGATCGGCCAAGTTTCAAAGACATGGCCCCCTTGGGCCTCGTTAAATGGCACTTGGCTTTCACCTGCTGCATGAGCTATAACATAGATATCCCTCCTATGAACGCCATGTGGACAGGCTTGCTGTTTCTTGAGATATCACGTCAAGCATATACCAAATTGTACAGACTGAGAGAACAGCATACCTTGACTGACCTGTTCTGGAGCGAGTACCAGCTGGGAGACGGATTGATAGGTTCTGCGCTCTTCTGTAGACGGAAGATCCTCACCCCACGCCTTCTGTCAGCGTACCCGATCAATCCCGCTTGCGCCATTCACGATCAATCACAGAACAGATCGACACAACCTGGCGGTCCACATCACACAGCCATGATGCAACGTTTGATACCGCTGAAATGTCACAGCATCGCACGAGAAACGAACAACTCGATACATCAATCAGAAGATCTGAACCTCTTTCAATCACAAATATAGCAGTCGATACAAATTCAAAGACTGCTGGACGGCTACCGCTAGACCTATCATCTCAAGCGTGATATCCGTCGTACATAGACGATCGCATTCCCGCTCAATCCCAACGATCTCATAGCGCAGACGGTGGCCAGCCCATCTTCCCTTCCCGAATTCCTCCGTCTCAGTACATCCGCCGTATTCGGTTGTCCGATTGTCTGGGTTGTAGCAGACATGGACCCACAGTACGAAGGTCGGAGTGTCCGTGTACCTTATCCCGAGGGGGAAATGAGATTTTACAGTCGATGAGTCCATATGTTCAAGGGTATCGAGGTTGACGATGCGGTACGGTCTCTGACGGAAACGATTGACCTGCCGTCGTAATCGAGATCCAGTAAGGTCCCCGTTCTTTCCGAGGCGATCTTCCTCTTCTTCTGCGGTCCTTCTTGACTCCATCTCATTCAGCTCCTGGTCCAGATAGTGGTCCTTTACCTCGGGTGGCGAAGGGCAGAAGAGAAAGGGATGTAGGAACTCGTAGTATTCAGTCTGGGCGTTCGATTTGGCTGTATTCCAGTAGTGTCTTGACGTTGCCGGTGGCTCCCCAATTTTTTGGGCGATGAGGGATAGAGTCGTGTGATATGGTATGTACCGATTTCGAGGTCGCACTCTTTCGATAGCGGTCTGACGGAAAACGCCTGGCGGGAGCGGCGATCCCAGTCCCTGCGTTTCCTCTTCTGCCTCTCTGTCTAAGAGGTGTACATCCTCGAGCAGACGCAGCAACTCGGACACGGAAGGATCCGCTGTTGTCAGACCCCTATTCCTAGCCGCTGTTACGATGTTCGCTCGCACATGTTCTAAAAAAGGAGCGTCCCGCTGTGGTTGTCCCGAAAAGATAAAGGTAACGCGCTTGCCGTTCCATGATCGATCAAGATATGTGCTCGAAGGACAGACGGCAGAGGCGACATTGTTTCGAAAATTCTTGGCGAGATTGTTTCGGACACTCGTAGCGAGAGGCATCAATCTCCCCAAAGCTTTACGACAGGTGAAGGACAACCGCAAGACGTCTTCGTAGTTTCCGCAAAACTCCACGATGCAGAGGAAAACTTCCTGAGGCAGCATCATGAGACGGCTGCCATATTGATCAAGTGCGCAGCGATCGCTCTTGCCTTCCATTGCTATCCAGTAACCCTCCAAATCAGGTAGAGGGTTCTGCCACCCGATCAATAAGTCTAGAAGACCCTCGCCCGGATTCGGAAACAGTTGGTCGTCGTTCGCGACCGCGAAGATCTGGTCTGAAAGGTTGAGATATCGCCCACGGGTTTTCGTCATACCTGAGCCAAGCAGTGTTCATCGGTTGGATCTCGGTAACCTGCCGAACGGAGTGACTTGATATTGCAGAAGATCCTGCTATTCGTAAGGATCTTCGCAGCGGAAGATGAGTAGGGGATCGGGGATCGAGTGATTCAGCTTGTAATGAGAGCGCGAGTTCCGGCGAATCATATTAATATTTATTATTGTTATTGTTGTGGAAGCTCTTATCTTAGCGACCTAGTACTCTCACGCTCGTTACGCATCCAAATGTCAGATTCTTGTGGTGGCCTTCCAGCTGAGCGATCCCCTCGATTGGAACAGGTGAAACACCGCAACAGAATTGCGCCATCGATTATGGGAAATTGAGGTGTGCTTTCCGACGATCCGGGATCAATGCTACCTTACCTGCCCTGATTAGCTCGGTCGATCGATCGTTGTTGTCTGTTACCCTTTGAAAGCACCACTAGTATAGAGAAAACGACTTACTGGTATTGCTATTCACCTATATACTTCGTGAGGTCCTTCTCATTAGCATACGAGTACTCGGGCCCGGCTTATGAAGCGACGGCGCTTCTTGGCGCGATTAACGTACCATACTGTGCAACTTAAGATTCCCATGGTACGACTCAGTCCCCAAGAGGATATTCGTATTCTTGTTCCACTGTCTATCCACCCATACACTCGCTCCTGGACGTTATATGTAAGCTTGACGCTTCGTCATTCGTATGACCCCGAGTATCCCATATAACATCTCCTATGCGTCACCACGGATACCATAACATATCTCATCCCCTCTCGTAGTAACGTCGATAGATGCTAAAGATCTGATTTAGAGAGGTCCGGGCTCAAACGGGAGAGGTTGACTTATCCGAGAGGAATCACATCGCCGTATACTTCGCGAAAAGGCCCCACTTACAGGCTTACGAGTACACCTACTGAGGGACAAGCATGTGATTTCGACATCTGCTACCAGACAATGAATCTTTGACTCTACCCAAACTCTTCACCCCGGTCATATACGGTTTACTCCTCTATACACGGCCAATCGTCCTTGGCCAGTGACCTTGTCAGCCTAAAGTGTCTGTGCACTCCATCCTCGAGGTGCGATTCTGTGGAGCGCTGTCGGGTCGATGGCGACAAGAAGCGCGATCTTTCTGAGGACGGTGTCAGTATCAGGCGGGCTCGAAAGGACTACATCTAACCGCCCATCAGATGCCTGTCTGCATCGATTAAAGAAAAGAATCCTCATGGTGGGTTATCAAAAGGCAGGTCGAAGCGCTACCCGATATGGTGGTTCTTGTCCAGCCATTGCCAAAGCTTAACCTACGAATCATGTCATATTCTCATCCTCGTGCCGCCACACGACAATAGGCGGGGCGAATACTGGACCAGTACCCGTAACAATCGACGGATGATGCATCGCATCAGGTCAAAGACAGAACATCCAAGCCCATTTATAAAGTGTCTAGCTATTGGCTTAGTGGCACATCGCAACTTCTGGCAGCTTATCCACTTGAGTTTGTCGCATCACAAGTATCAGGGTTCAGTCCCAGCTTGCTTTGATAGAGGTCTCGCTAACTAGTCCAATTGATCTGCTCGACTTGTCTCTTATCGTTTAGGCATGTACTTCTAAGTACATTGTGACAACACATCCAAGTGTACCTCATCGTTTGTGATAATGTCTACAGTAGTGTTAGTTTTCTACAATCTTTATATATTAACGTATTCCGGGTCGCGGTCGATTTCCGGCTCAAGGAGAATAAACACACACATACATACACCAGGTCTTGTGAAAAGGGAAAGGTGGCTTTATGTATGATGACCTTGGCACCAGAGTTCCAATGGAATGGTTGCACGTCCCTAGGTACACGGGAAATATACCAGGCATACCTAATCAACTGAGTGGATCCGCTTCTTTCTCAGGCCGATCCGTTTCCGCCTATAGAACTCTATCAAAATCCGGATTCGGATATCCAGCCCACAGCGATCCTAATCTCATGATACATAACGACGATCAGGCGCGTGCGCTGACGGCCATAACACAAAATTGAGTATACACTTGAATGGGAGTTCCTTGTTGCAATGACAAGTCCAGCAGGACGGGCATATCAGTAGCGAGGCGCATGTGATGCGCCTTATCCGCGACGCTTGGATATTTCGGCCATGATTGTGGATTGCTCGAGGTTCGGCTCGAAGTCGCTGTCAGAACCCGTTGCAGTGTAATCGGGATCCATGTGGAGATCCGATTCCGGCTCGTACGTCCCACTGCATCCCGAGACAGTGTCCCCATCAGCCCCTGCGTCGCTGCTAGTCTCGTCGCTCGCGCTGGAGAGCTCTCTATAATTAGGAATACCCTGGAAATACCAGACCGTTCAGCCATGTATCATTGATACGACATTCGTCGACTCACTCGACGATTCTCCTTGACACAAGAAGCCTTCGCACTGGACGCCTTGCCTTTGCGACTCTGTTTTTCTGAAGTCCTCGCACGCTGTGCCTTACCAGCCCGGGCTCTGGCTTTGGCTTTGGGGATCGAAGGCCTGGACTCGATGATCGTCATATTTTCCGCTTCCGACTCTTCGGTATCTGGTTCCTTGTAGCTCTGTAGCGCGAGCTGTTATGCGAGGTTATCGTTAGGGGATCAGGATTTTTCCACTGCATACAGTACGATTGCATATTGCGAAGACGTACCTCGCGAAGACCACGATTTTCGGTCCTCGATCTGGCCCGCGCCGTCGTGGGTTGTCCCACATTAAACCTGCGGGTCACGCTGCGCAACTTGTACCGATTCTGTGTCATTCTTTCTAAGGTTAAAAATGGTGCAATAGCAATTGAAAGTAGAGGAAATTTGCTAGAAAGAGTTCTTGAGCCAAGTATTCCTGTTCAGGGGCAGGTATGTGCCGATATATACCGTTCTCGCGAATGACTTCCTTTCATCTTTTCTGCTGCTGACGTTTGATGCAACAAGGACGCCACCAGACAGCATCGAGCTTCTTGCTGATGGCGACTGGTGAGCCTCAAGGCGTATCTTCTCCGAGCGACGCGGCGGAGATACCGGATCGATCAAACGGCTTAATGCCAGGATTCTCATGTCGAGCAATAACGGAATGAACGTCACGTATGACATGCTTGAATATGCTACAAACGCCGATGATTCTTGTGCCATTTCTGTACAGGTCTCTTGTCAGCCTGACTGGGCCTTTTTACACGGCATCTAAGCTGATACCCTCTTTTAAGCTGTAAAAGCCTTTTTGAACGCATTCACGTCTCGTTTCACCTGCTCGTCCGTCGTCTGACAAACTTGCCAGTTAGCACGCTCAGGGGTTCCAAGGAAATCCGCCAAGTGTTGTCTGTATACGTAGTTTTCAAGATCAGCTTGTCGAACTATGATCGCTGAAGCGAATGGTAGACGCAGTGACTCACCTTGCGAACTGCAGATTGAATTTGCCCTGGATGAAGTGTACGAGCGACTTCCCATTCGGCAAATCCAGCTTGATAAATTCCCTCCCCTTTCCTCCTCTCAACAAGCTATCCGCATCTCCCTCTTCAAACTCCCATCCTTCCCGCTTTGCAGCCTTTCTGAACATTCCCTCCAGCTCACCGGCTCTCGATTTAGGCACAGGGACGGCTTGAATCTGACCGTGCTGTGCCCGAGCGAGGTTTCGGTACATGTCGCAAAAGACGGGTACGGCATCGTATTTGGCAAAGGTCTTGCGGACCTGGTCTTTGATCTGGTTGATCTCGGCCAAGAGCGGACGAGCTTCGTCCTCCGGCAAAAGTAGTGGGTTGGGGATATGTTGGATCGGAATGATCTGTGCGAACCGATCCGGCGTTAGTTCCGATGTTGAGGCGACAGTCGACGCCAGACTTACCAGCAGATGTGCTCCACCGGGAACTAATGGCGGGTTCTTGCTATCGCCCGTCTTGATCATCTGTCCCTTCGACAATGCCACATACGTATCATTCTGCACTGCAGCGATGAACCGTGTGCTGCCAGGACGAAGTCGCGCCAAGTCAGCATCCAATCACCTTTAAGCTGCAGATTCCCGCCAACACGCCTACTCACTCGCAATTGGTATTGGCCAAACAGAACCAACACTCATCCATCGTCAACATCTTGATCTCCTTCTTCCCACCCGCACCGCCCGCAGGCAGTTCCGGACAATCCTGGATCCAATGGCCGGACTGGTTACACCGATGACAGGTATACTCGGGCGGGGGAGGTCGGGGTTTAGAACCCTTTTCTGGGCAGTCTCGGATGTGGTGCTATATGAGGTTGTTTGCTGTCAGTATCTCTCTTGACGTCGGTTTCGACTTGAGGAGAAGGCCTCGACTCACTCCAGGTTGATTACAGATCTTGCAAACATAATCCCCCCTCATTCGTTTCCCATCCCCCTCCCCATCTTCCCCGTTATGACCCCGTTTCAGACCCCTGGGATCGTTGAACGGATTCGGGCCTACCACATCCGGCCGAGCAGGCGGAGCGGAGGTCAGGTCGGGCAAGGTGAATGCGTAGAAGAACTGGTTGAGTCGCCATTTAAGCAGATTCGTGGATTAGTATACGTGAGGCGAGACTAGCTTCTTTGGCCGAAGTGCAGACCGATAATGAGAACGTTAAGCAGACGAGCAGGACTGACCTTCTTCTTCTCTCCCTTCTCCCCTTTGACTACTGTACCACCGGCAACATCGTCCTCGGCAAACCGATCCACCCTAACAACCCTGGTCCACCTCTCCTCCCTCCCACCCTGCCCCTGTCCTGCTCGACCACCAGCGGCAGGACCGGCCCATCCGAATGGGGCTCCTTCGGCGTACCCGGACGTCTTGATATCAGATTGAGAGGGGAGGAGGATGTACCGTGCTCGGGAGCGGGAGATGATCGGGTCGACTTCCGGAGGGTTGATCAGTGTCGTCGATGCGGATGGGGTTGTTGTCGAGTCTGTCTCCGTCGCTTCTGCTGTCGTTGTTGTCGCTGTCCCCGATGATGACGATCCCGCAGGCAAAGCCTTCAAAAGCCTCTCCGTCCCAGCTCCTAAGATCAACACATCCAACCCCCTCGCCCAACTCGGCACAGCATCCAGTTCCTTGGCTTTTTGTTCCTTCTGCGCTTGAGCACGTGCTTGAGCTAATGAGAGCGTAGGACCTTGGTTGGCATTCGAGTTCCCAGAGGTTGTAGGGTTGATATTGATATTATAGTTGACTTGGATGGAGTTGGAAGAAGATCCCGGATTATTGGAGCCAGGTGTGGATGGGAGAGTGTGGGCGAGAAAGTTCGGGTGGGTGAGGAGGGAAGTGAGGTCTTCCTTAGATAGCGTCGACTTGGCGGAGTCTGTACCTTCTTCTCCCTCTTCGTTGTCGTCGGTAAAAGCACCCCCGATAAAACCGACCCCTACTCCGGAAGAGGTCTTGAACACTCCGGTCTTCCCCAAGTATATCAGGTTCGGCAGAATTTCTGGGGATCCAGGTGTTGATCCCGAGTTGAGTTTGGCTGAGAGGGAAGGGGAGAGGGGATGCGTTGGGTGGGTGAAATATGTTGGGATGGGGACTGTTTCCGAGGAGCGAAATCAACAAAGCGGAAGTCAGCAGGAATTGATAGGAAAGCCTGGCGATCAAGATGAGAACATGGAAATTCTATTATGCTCACATTTGAGGTCTGAAGTGAGAGAAGAACCATCTTCGTTCTTCTTGAACAAGTTTCCGACGATCACGCAGCCTACATCCCGCACAGGATGAATCGCATTGAATTAGCACGAGGCCACCTATCACGCAGCTGAAATGCCTGTATCGGCAGAGGGTTATGCTCACACTCAAACGGCCCGTAATTCGTCTGAAAGGCGGTTATTTTCGTGACCAGCTTCTTCAGGGAAGAGTTTGGCGAACCTATTGCCAGGCTAGAGGTAATTCAAGCCGAATACTATCGGTGAGCGGTATACTCGGCATTTGGGAAAGTCGTGAGAACCTACATTTTCGGTGCTGGTTTCGAGGCCATGATTGCAGGGATAATATGATGACTGTTTACTGTATGCTATGAGCTACTGGTTGTATCGTTGTTGATAGCTAAGATGGGATAGCATCTCCATTCTCATGTACCGAGGAATATGAATATGGGCACCCCGATCGAAGGGGTGATATCAACAATTTGGGAAGTTCAAAGTTTGACACGTCATCACCTGGCCCGAGCACCGCTTATCAAATAAAATATGAAGGTTAAAGAACGAGTCGACAAGCTAAGGACACTCTGATAAATCGGAAAACAAGCCTAGCATTACAACAGATTCGGTCTGTCTTTATCACTTCGACTACACCTCTGGTCAGTACGAGCCATTGCCCCAGTATCCAGGTTGAGGATTCTGCTGCGATGCAGGACCCGCAGGCGGAGGCGGCGGTTGGTCGTACTGACCAAATTGCGCGGAAGGAGGCGGTTGTCCCCACTGAACGTTTTGTACGGGAGGAAACCCCTGGGCACCCTGTTGCGCTTGGTTGGGCGGATAACCTTGCGAGCCTTGTCCATTGCCATCTTGGTGAAATGGTGATTGAGTTGGGGCGGGCTGCCCTTCAAGAGGGACCTCCCCCCAAAGTCGCTCAGAAAGATTGGTATTGGACAAAGGGGTTTGACTTTGACCTTGCCAGTCGAACTGAAGGGGCTGATGGGTAATGTACTGTTGACCTTGGAAAGCGTTTGAGTCGTACGAGCCTTGTGATACCGAGTGATGTGTTGGTGCAGTAGACGGAGCGTAAGAATAGGGAGGGGGTTCGTGAGAATGAACTGGAGGAGACTGTCCTCCATAGCTCGACGGCGCCTGATTGACGGGAGGAGTCCCATAGGGAGCAATGGGCGCGGTCAGAGCCGGGTAGACTGAAGAACTGTTGGGGGCGCCAGACCATTGATCAACGGGAGAAGTTCCATAGGGGGCGGCGGACGGTCCTGGAGCGAGATAACTTGAAGATCCGCTGGAACCGTCGGGCCATTGACCATGAATTCCGGTTGGGGTCATGGGAGCACCAAATTGCTGACTATGTCCGCTCGAGCTTTGTGGGTAGCTCCATCCACTCTGAGTAGACACCACCGAAGCGCTACTACCAGCCGGCACTGTATACCATTGTTTAGTGACCGGATCTTGATACCTACAGAGATACTCCCTTGATATTACAGTACAATGGGTAACTATCTTATAGAGAGAATTTGACTCACGCGTGTTCTCCCGATAGCTTTTCCGTATCCGGCTTGCCCAATTTGTTTTTGCCTAACGCGAAAGCTTCGTTCAAAGCACCTGTAACTTGGTCCATCTTGTACGAAAGAAAGAGATCAAAGTCGTTGTACCAGTATGTATCATTCTCGACAAGAACATCATATTATCCCCTTTGGCACTCGCTCTACGTCCCATCCTTATATAGCTTCCAAGTGGCACGATACAGTACGCTGTGACGCGATTGCCAAGCAGCAGAGACACAGTCTCGCCATACCCATCAAAGGAAGGCGAAGAACCATACAATTACCCCTGTTTGAGCGCGCTTGCCGTCCGCTCTCGTGACAGGAGGAGAGGAGTCATGGCATCTGGTCACGCTGCCTCATCATGGAATTCGAGAGTTTCCTCCGGGATAGCACTTGATCACCGTGGATTGCATTCCATCATGTGATCACACTTGGCGCGATCAGCTGATGATAATGTACGAGTATTCGATTCGTCTTGTGTTACGAGTCGTGCCACATGACGAGCTTGTAATTCCTTTGTCAGTCCTATCGCGAGAATCGCTTGCTAGCCTACGCCTAAAGGATGGAGATCTGGCATTGCTTACAGCAAAATCTCTTCAAGACAAGCCGTCACGGGAACAAGGTTCAGTACGTTCTCTATCGCGAGGGAGAAAGAATGCTTGTACCGAGTCTACTACAGCATTGCATATGATAAAACATTCTTGAATTTGGAATTCACTGTCGGTCTAAGAGCTCATGAGCGCGCCCAGGAAGAGTGAATCCGCATCAAGAACCGTGCGTGTACATGTTGCCGGATGCTTGTGGCCATCCCCAGCCACCTTGTGGAGGGGTGCCGACGTTGCTTGAGGGTCCGTACTGCGACCCGTCTCCAGTCGTAATCACCGAAGGCGGGTGCCACCCCCCGTTTTCAGTCGCAAATACTGAGGACGGGTATTGTGACCCGTGTTCATTCCCAACTAAGGAAGGCGGGTGCTGCGATCCGTATCCAGGAGCGATGGGGTCATTGAAAGGCTGATGTGTATGGGCCCCTACCTCAGAAAACGGAGCGTACGAAGACGGGATCGTTGAGTAAGAAGGGGCATTGTTGTATCCTCCGTTGGCTGATTGCTGGTAAGAGGTGTTCGGCTGAGAGACCAATCCGGGTGCGGACGGGTAGGACTCGGCATAGTCTAGGTTTTGTGAAGGTGGAACTTGACCGTAATCATTCTGGCCGACAAATGTTCCATGCATAGAAAAGTGAGAACCAGAGGCCGCGTACCCACCCGGTAACAGCATTGGTTGACTGTCTTGTAGATTCTGAGAAACATCGACCGAAGGACACAGAGCTTTGCCGGAGTTGATCGCTCTTATCTCATCTTGGGTCGGAGGACGATGCCAGTCGCGAGGGGTCACAGGAGTGTTCTCATGGGGGTGGTTTCTGAAATAACTCGCTTGCCGCCCATCGTCATCTGGCAAGTCGTTGCCGATAGGATTTGGAAGTGTATGACTGTTACGTCGCAGAACATCGGAAACCCGTAAGATAAACCAACAGACCGACGGGGAGGGCCAGAAACTTACGGCCGCTGGAGATTGTGCATGGCTTCGATAGCATTACCAGCCACATATTGCAGACCATATCCATACTTTTTGTCCTGTGAAGTATTGCAAGCCATGTTTCGCCTAAGGATGAATCAAACGTATCGGGGCTAGGAGCGACATTGGAATTGGTACGTTTTTAAGGATCGAGGCGATTGGTTATCTATCGCTATATGGGACCCACCTCGCCTGCTGATACCCCATACTAGTATCAGTGCAACACTAACAAAGGAGGTCGAAGCAGCACGACTTCATGTCTCTCTCCGTGTTTCTGCTTGCTCACGCGATGTCGTGTGATATGTTCATTGCTCGTGATCTCGTGATCGATCCATCGTGAAGTGACACGTCAGTAAAGCCAAATCGCCACATCAAGCTAGCTGAAAAATGCTCGTTACGATGGCAGACTCACGTGTGTGATTGCGTCAACGATGTCCTTATATGTATTCCAGGTCGTCGTACAAAGTCTACACGAACGCTAAAGCAAGTGCTGGGACAGGCCTCCATTTAAGAACGTAATAGATCATAATTTAATGTTTGCGTCAACATCACTTCTCCCGCTTTGATCCTTCTTCAACCGTAACCTCCAGTTCCGGGGTTTGCATCAGGACAAAGGTTGCGGATAGTCCCGAACTGGCACAGAACGATAAGATTTCGTCATAGCTATCCATGTTGTGTGGCATGACATCACACCATGCCTGATCAAAGGAGAGAATCTGTTCGATCGATGTGAAGAGGTAATCACGACTTGTTCACATACTGAATTATCGCTAACTTGAGCCCACGTAGCGCGTTTCGAAGCATTTTATGCAGGCGAAACGATGTTGACGCCAGAATTGACTCTAGCAGCAAAGGGTTTTCTTCTCGCAAACACCGACAAAATGGGGCACGATCTTCTGAGAATAGTCTCACTATTATTGTACAAAGGTGAAAGCATACAAAGCAATGTTTCGCTGTCCCTGGGAAGTTTCGTGTCAAGTTCATCGTCCGTGACGGAAAGAGAGTGATCAGATGGTAAGAGGAGGGTAAAGGATCTACTGAACGCCTTCTGAGCCTATAGACCACCGTAAGAGCTTGGAGAATGAGAAGATCCGCCTTGGGGACCCGCGTTTGAGTACCCTTCAGCGCCCTTTTGTGCCCTGTATGCTGCCTTTTGGGCTGCAGTCATGAAAAAGAGCTTCTCATGTTCCGTCTGCTCGGCGGTCGAGAAAGACCAGAGGTGAGCAGGAGCTAGAGGGAGAATATCGATAACTGTTCAGCTTTCCGACTATTCAAATAGCGGCGAATACTGTGAAACGGAGATGTTGCTCACGGGCAGCATCTTGAGGCGGTTGATGATATGGCCCGGCTTGTCCGCCGTGTTGTTCCCAGTCATTGTACTGAGGAGGCTGCTGCTGCTGCTGAAACCCTCCCCATTGATGATGGCCGTACTGAGAATACTGTTGCTGGTACCCCGCCCCTGCACCTGGCTGATCGCCTTGGTGAGGGGGTTGCTGATTCCCTTGCTCATATCCTTGGAAAGAAGGGGGATACTGAGAGTATCCTCCGTAATGACCGGGCTGTGCCTGTGGATCAACTGGCGTGAAAGAAGAAGAAGAGCTGTACTGCGAGGCAGAAGGTGTAGCATATCCGGCGGAGCCGTCGAATGCCATCACACTGGGGACGGTTGGTTGGTTCGTTCCGTAAGAGTTTGGCGTATAAGTATTTCCGCCGTAAGAAGTCCCAGGTGTGAGCACGCTCGAAGCCGGTGTGCTCCCGAGAGATTGCCTTTTACGCGTATGGCGGAGATCTCATATTGTCATTAGACTGAGAGGCGATATAGCCCATCATGATGTCAGTGAATCAGCAGCTTACTGGTCGGATGGATTGATCGGTTGAGAAACAGTTGACTGTTTCTTGGCAGCTGCCTCTGCCGCTTGTGCTAATCCCATCTTGAAAGTTTCGAGGTGTGTATGGCAGAGGGATGAGGTATACTGGTCTTGACCTATCGAACAGCATGACCTTGCGTTGTCCGGCTTTCATAGACGGCCACAACTACTGCATGTGCAGGCAACGATTGCATCAAAGGAGCGCGCTTCTACTAGCGCAACGCCTAAAAAAGGAACGCTCCTGAAACACCACAAAGTTGAAGGGAGCGCTTTGGTCGAAGCGTTGATCACATAAAGGAGCGGTCATCCTGTGATAACAACGACGTGAAGGGAGGGCTGTTCCTAGAACCTAACAGTCACATAGAGGAAGGTTGCTTACCTAAAGTTCTAGGGCCGCGAAATGCCCGATCCACATGTCGCCAACATTCGAGGAAGCACCGAATTATCTGAACATGCACAGCCTTACAAGGAAATCCCGCTATACGATGACTTTGAAGGTATCGGACCTGTCATACTGTCGTTATGTCCGTTGCGCCAGACTATCGAGTGAACGATGATCCCTCAACATTGGTCACTTGTGTGGACGCCAAATTAGGGTCGGTCTGTGACATACTCTGATACATAGTACACTTCTCCAGCATGATAGACCAATGAGCGCAAACCTCAATCATCCTGGTAGGTGCTACCACAATCTTCCCAGCCCAATGGTGGAAGCAATTGGAGCCGGCCATCTTGTGCCATGATCGCTTGTCAAGAGGAGATTTGACGTCAATCAGTGGGGAGATTTTGTGATTGGGTGTTGGCAAATAAGTCTTCCTGAGAAAGAGGCGGTCGAGTTGAAAGCGCGATGAGAGCGAGTCCTTTTGCTAGAGCACCAGATGGATCAACTGAAGCGAGAGACCCAGGGACCCGTTTTGACTAAAGCCCAGGTTGTTGATAAGCTCAAGAAAGACGCCAAGCTGCAAGCCGAGCGTATTATTGGATTGGAAGGCGAGGTCCAGTCGGAAACCCAGCGCATATTTGGATTGCAAGCCGATGTGCAAGAGGAAATTGACGCACACAATGAGCTTGGAGCAGCAAACGAGAAACAGTCCCGCACCGAGATTGCTCTGCGGGATTTGAAGGATGAGATGAGTTGCAAAGACTACAGTCTCAGTATGGCAGCTCAAGACAAGGCTGCCGGGCGAAACAAGATCACCAAGCTTGAAATCATGGTGAGAGACGGAGTCAGTTCAATAAACTATTTATCAGCTGCTTTCTTTGCGTCCAGCAATCAACAAGGAATGCTTGGAAGATGATTTGTGGCTCAAGTCTCATCCGATCAAAGTCGAAAACAGAGGTGTCCAAAGGTTTCCGCCATGGTCGGACGATGTGGGTAACGCCCTGATGTAGTAGAGTGCCAATTAAAAAATGCAGCGCAGCGACTTGTCAGATATCAGACCCGCTCTGTTCGCCCATCGATTGTAGACATGATTTCAGGCGCATTGACCGTGACGCCGCTGACAGCGCTGGGCATTTGCCTTGTTTACAGCTCACACTGTGAACGGCCCGGAGACGAGACAGACCGCAATGTCGTCCTCATTCGATAGCGTGGGTATAGATCGCATGTTATACAACTCGAGGCTTGACGGTATCCTCGCCACCAATTTCATTCCCTGTATTTAGCTCCATCCGACCGACCCGTCTTCCCAAGTCAGTAATCGTCGGCGTCTGATCGGTATCTCCCCTATTATCCTTCGCTTTGACCGTAGTCGACGCTCCCCACTCGTCAACATTGGCCATCTTCATCCTGGATCTCGGTCTAGATAACCCGGACTCGTCCGTCAACCTTCTTGACCGCAAGCTCGACCCAGACTCGTCAGGATCGTTACGATAATCTTCCTCGTCCTCTGAAGACTCGACAGCCGAGCGCGCTCCTCGGTCCCGATCTCGACTCCGGCTCGTCGCTCGACTAGGCGCTCGACTAGACCCACTGGGGTATCTCGTCGGCTCTTTGTTCTCGCTCCTCAGGGCAACCCCGGAAAAGTATCCTCGTCTCCTCGGCCTAGGAACGTTCCCCATCCCCATCCCGAATCCCATACCCATTCCCATATTCGAAACTGGACTCGAAGCTGAAGACCCGGCAACATTGCTACTCCTCATCAACCCGAACATTCGTTGGTCGGCCTGAGTCCCATCACGAGCATCCAAAGTCGGGTCCACCCCTCCGCTCTTCAGCCTGACCACGGCGCGTAAGAGGTCTTCCACCCGATCCCGGTCGATCTCGTCCGGATCCAGTCGGAGGCTGCTTTGCCATTCCGAGTAATCGGAATCTCCTCCTCCACCGGCCCCATCTTCGCTCTCAGACCGACTCCGAGCGCGTCCTTGTCGACTGCCCGTCCGGCTTCCAGTCCTCGATCTAGTCCTCGTCCTCGCCCGGGTCTTATTCCGGTGATCGTCATTGTCATGATTGTTATTATTGTCCTCGAAAGAGAAGAAGCAGGAGCGTTTCGCCTGGGTGGAGATGATAAGTGCCATATGTTGCAACCTTCCCAACTGATCCTGCGTCGGAGGGGCCGGGTAAGACGGAGTCGATGCCGATTTCGAATCTGCACTTGTACTCGAGTCCAACCGAGGCGAATTGAGAATGGTCGATTCCACCTCTCCTTGTCGAACCTGACCTTGGGCGGAAGCCCGACCGTTCTTCCCATTCTCAACCCCTGACCCTCCATTCCCCGTCTCAGGTCCATACTTCGCCACATCCAACGAATCCAACAACCTCGGCAAGATCGGTAACAAGATATGGACGAGGAACCCGGAAAGGAGGAGTTTCCTGACTTCGGTCGTTATCTCCGGTTCGGCCTCTACGGCGAGGTCGTGCGGTTGGTGGTCAGCGTTCGAATACGAGCTAGGGATATTGCGTTTACTCGGGTCTTGCGTGGATAACAAGGAGAGGGGGAGGAAGATTCCTTGCATGTACTACCAGTCCACATCGCACACAATCAGCCTAGTCCCCTTCCTATTCCCCTACGCCAGTGGATTGTTCACAAACGGACTCACCGGCACGATCCCAAAGAAAAACGCCCAGACCTCCGCCACCCTCCCACCCAACCTCGCCGGGTTCCCCTTCAACCCCTCCCGATCGCCCAACACTGGGTCTAGTTTGGCTTTTAGGGTCAACATGCCCGAAGAGATGATCTCTTGCAGGTCGGAGGAGAGGAGGGAGTGGTAGGCTTGAGGAGAACGGGCGATGGATGAGGTGATATGGGCGGATACTAGGGCGCTGCGATGTGAGGTTGGAAAAAGAGGTTTTAGTGATCAGCCTACGGTGATGCTGGTATGGATATGTTACGTTGTACGGATCGCACGATCGGGAAAGCTGTGATGCTCACTTGAGATCCTCGATCGGGGTCAACAACGGCGTCCCATTAAAAACGGGCAAGACGGTCAACGTTACCACGCTCCAGGGCGAACTCGGATGACTAGGATGACTGTCATTGTTGATACTATTGTTTGTCCCACCATGTAAACCCGTATGCAAGTTTCTTGTTGAACCTCCTCCTAGAGATATAGCCGAGTTCAACCCGGCTGCAGAGGTTCCTGTTCTGAACCCTCTTCCGCTAGATCCCGGTGGTAAAGCGTTGTTGGTATAAGGATGAGAAGAGTTGTAATGATGATTGTGGCTATGGTATAAAGAGGAAGAAGAACCGGCGGGGTGGAGGATGTGGTTGACGTTGACGCCCAGGCCGACGTTGGAACTATGGTGGGCCGATGAGAAGGGGTTGTTGGAGCTAGATGGGTTTTGAGCAGATGAGGAGAAGACGGAAGAGATCGGGCTGATGGGTTCGTTGGCGACCGAGTTGACCAGGGTGGATGATACCTGAAATACATGATCATAACAGGAGAGGAGAAACGAGAGGTTCTTCGTTAGATCAAGCTAATCCCGATCGAAATCGAGCGGGACTGACGAGCTTGTTGTCGTAACTCTCCAAGTTGGTATTGATCGTCGATGGCTGGCGATTCCGACCGAGGCCGTGCATGTTGACCACGAACTGGCCGGAGAGTCCGCTTCTTTGCACCAGCAATCGGTGTATGAGCTGTGTATGTATGGCAGGAAAGAGTGTCAAGGATGAGTAGATGACCTCGATTCGAATATGCTCATCATCATCGGATCGGCTGCTTACGTAATTCAATGGTCACAGGGCAAAACGTAAACAAAGCAGCAGCATTACCTTGACTTCACCAACAGTTCTACAGCTACAACCTATGTAACATCTCGCATCTCGGTACATCAGAAGTTCGGCGAACCATAGATACACAGCCGACCTAATTGGACCTGAAACCAGCAGTGTCACGATGTCCAACTCCCGCTCCCACCCACTCCGTCGAATATCCACGGGTTCACTCTCCAACCTCGCCCGTTCTCAAGAAGGACACCCTACCTCTCATACCTCCCCTTCCGGGCTGGAGTTCCTCACCGGACCGATGTTTGACCTCTCGGACGAAGCGGCGGCGTTGGCGAGCCATGTACAGGCGATGAACAGGTTGCACGATAGTCTGGGAACGTTCAACGAGGCGTTTGCGGGGTACTTGTATGCTTTGCGGATGAATGCCTTTTGCGTCGAGTGGACCGAGGTGAGTCGGACTCACGGCCATGAAGTTGAGTTATGGCTGAGATTTCCTTGGCTTTTGCATCATGTGCAATGATCCACGCATCTTTAAGGCTCCCGACGACCGAAGCTGGGCAAGAGCCGAAGAGCTCGCACGTAAGTCATCCCCGTCCAAGGTCCTCCTGATATCATCTCCGATTTGAAAAGTAAATTGACCTCCCGCTTCCTATTGCATCTTCATGTTCACAATCCACAATCCACAATCCACAATCCAGCTCTGCCGCCCGCACCTTCAATTCCCTTACCTCCTTCACCTTCACAACAAGACCCCACCTCAACCCAACCCCACAACCACACCGAATTCCAACCGGGAGACCAGACCTACGCAACAGCCAACGACTTCACAACCAACAATAACAACAACAATGATGACTATGAATACCAATCCCCGCCCCGCTCCCGATTACCCGTGGGAAGAGGGAGCGGGATACCTAGAGGGACGATGACGGGGATGAGAGGAAGAGGGGGGACTGTCAGGGGGAGGGTTGTTAGTGCGCCTGCTGGAGCGAGAGCTGGGTCCGCGGGGGTTACGGAGAGGAAGAAGAGGGAGGTGAGTCTTGGCGTGTCATTTCTCTTGAACGGGAGGTCATGCGGGAGAGATGAGGGTGTATCATCCGGGATGACTGTCGTCGTGATCAGATTTCCTGATCTAAGCTAACTTGACCCTGATTTCAATTGCGGTGATACCTCTCTTTTCTTAGGCGGCGATCACGGCGATCATCGATACCTTACCTATCGAGTTCCGCGGCGGAGATCCGGTCAGTCCTATTCCCCTTCCTGGTCGAAACAGGCCGTACGTTCCTCACTATGACAACTGATCACCTTTGTGTATTTGTGCGTGTGGGTATATAGGCAACGAGACAGTCGATGGAAAAGGTCTTGACGCAGCTCATACAGAATCCGGAGGGGAGGAAGAGTGAGTCCTCCGATTCCGCATCTATCTTCCGTTTGCGATTCTGTTTGCGTGGTAGCATCGCAATGCGACGCCCCCATGCTCTTATCTCGGCACGCCACGCTATACCCTATACGACACATCATGGACACTGACCCACAATTCGATTCTTTTGCAGTCGGGGAGATTGTAGGCGCAACAGATTTGCCACAACCGAAAGTCAACAAGTGCCTCATCGCGTTGGTCGGGAGGAAAGCTGTGGGCAAGAGTATGGTCGGGGTGAGTGACGCTCTGTTGTCTCTCTCGGGTCGTTTCTTTTTTCACTGGACGAGATCCTCAAATCGACATTAGATTGAGACATGTGGTTTCGTGAACGAGTAAGCTGATACGGTCTGATACGTCTCGTGTGAAACTGTAGGGAGTGACGGTATACAGGATGAATTGAGCTTTGGCTCTCATTGCTCGGACATGGACGTTTTGGTGGGATTTCTGGGTTATTTTTCGATTTTTCGCTCGGGGAATTTCGGTCCGCAATCACTCTATTATTCTTTGAAAGAAAACGTGGAACCATTATGGAAGTAGATGAAAAACCGTGTTTCGTTACGACTCGCACGGTCATGGGCCAGATGCGTGGGGAATGTCCGAGGAAGCTCGGGTCACGTGACGCGAATTCCATCTCCAGTGTTTTCAGTGCGATATACCCACAGACCGAGTGTTACGTGCAATCGGTACAAACGGATCGACCACTGCCTCCGTGAGCCCGCATGTCCAGTCAGCCGCGATCGATGTCTTCGGTTATCACTGTGACGAGTACATCCTGAATGTTGTGACGCAAGGGGTCCGGTCGGCCAACCATCCCGATACAACGTGTCTATCGCGCGCTAAAGGAAGGAAACGCGAAACTCGGGTCGATCGGGGCGGTTTGGCCGAACGTTCCACCCGGGTGATGAAGATGAAACCTTTTGGGCCGAGTAGAGGAAGGTCGGCACATTTATAGTACTCGACAAGCGTAGAATAGATCTTCGAGGTGGTTCAAAGGAAATATGTCTTCAAAGCGATCGAAACTAGAAAATCGAGTAATAAGATGATCAACGCAGCTCCCCTAGCATCGCCCCTCGTCAGGCTATCCAACGCCTACCTCGTCGATCCGGAAGATGGCAGTCTCACCACAGCGACCGCCTCGGTCTGGATCGACGAAAACTCTGGGAGAATCGTACACATCGCTTATGACGAGGACGACGAAGTCGCCATGAACTCGGGCCGCCGATCGTTAGCCTCCTTTTACGCGCACAACGGCTTGGCAGAGGGAAGGGAACATGAATTGGAGACCTGTCGCACGGTCGATCTCGATCAGGCCATCCTCTCGCCCGGACTGATCGACGTGCAGATCAATGGGTGTTTCGGCGTGGATTTCTCGGATTGGCCGAGCGAGGACGTGCTCGGTCGGACAGCTGAGGAGGCGTACTTGGATGGGCTGGAAAAGGCCGCGCGGGATTTGACTTGTACGGGAGTGACGAGCTTTGTGCCGACGATCATCGTGAGTTTCGACCCGCATCTTATTCGATCACTTCCGATTCTGACAGAAAGAGAGACAACTCTATCACAGTCACAGACATCGAAATCGTACGAAAACATCGTACCCGCCATCGAGACCGCCTTCAAGCGCGCCCAAAAGTCGATCCTCGGGTACCACCTCGAAGGACCCTTCATCTCGACCCAGAAACCCGGTTGTCACCCGCAAGACAACCTCACTGAAGCAAAAGGCGGCTGGGATACCTTTTTGGAGATGTACGGGGATGCGAACCTTGTGGCGGTCAAGGTCGACAAGGCTGGTGGGAGGAGTGGAGGGGACGTAGGAGCGGGAGGGGAGAATGCGATGGTCAAGTTGATCACTGTTGCGCCGGAGTTGCAAGGCGTGATGGGAAGCATCAGGAAGTTGAAGGATGCTGGGTTCGTTGTCAGTATGGGGCATTCGTGAGTCAAAAATCTGGTAGAACCGCTCGGGAGAGTATGTAATTGATGACTCGAACTGCCGACAGGACTGCCACGACATCGCAAGCGCTGGAAGCCGTCAACCGGGGCGCCTCGATGATTACACACCTATTCAACGCCATGCCTCAACTTCGTGAGTAGACCACCTATGTCGATGATGTTCTACACGTCAGCTCATCGACGATACGATTTTGTAGACCATCGTGAACCTGGTATCCTGGGTCTGCTCGGGATGAACCAAGCTACGAGCTCCGGCCCCGGTCGACTTTCGCTACACACCTCTCAGATGGTCCGATCCGTCGCGGCATCTCCCCGTCGTTGCGACCCCTCCGACGAACCTCCCTTCACTCGATCGCGATCCGGATCCTCTTCCGACGAAGTCCTCTCGTCCAGTCCCTCTTCGGCCATGTCTCAGCAGAGGAGGACGAGATCGACGCTCATGAACCTGGAGACGGATCAGTTTGGCGCGCAGACGGTGACGAGGAGGTCGGATTCGCGTAAACCTTATTGGAGCATCATCGCCGATGGTGTACATGTTCACCCGATGGCGGTCAATCTGGCATATCAGAGTCACCCAGAAGGCTGTGTGCTGATCACCGATGGTGAGTAGCACGCATCCGAATGTCAAATTAGAAGGAAGACGGTCGTCTGATATTGTTGGATCCTTCTCAATAGCCGTCCAACTTATGGATCCTGCTCTTCCTGACGGTCTCTACCCTTGGAGATCACCGGAACACCTCATCGAAAAGTCTGGCGATTCGATCACCCTCAGCGGGACCGACACGTTAGCAGGCGCTGCCGTATCTCTCGATACCTGCGTGCGTAACATGTCGACCTTTTGCTCGATCCCTCTTTCCCGGGCTATTCATCACGCTACGAGGACGCCGGCGAAAGCATTGGGACTCAAGGTGGAATCTACCAAGGGAGCCATCAGGGTCGGTTGGGATGCGGATCTTTGTGTCTGGGATAGATTCACGGGGCAGGTGCTGTCGACGTGGGTTGGTGGAAAAGAGATCTACAACTCCACGTCGGTCAAAGCATGAGACGAGTAATTTGCATCTAGATGAGGTTATTCTTGTACGATAGTTGTAAAAGTATCGCTTGCAAGCGAGCCCAACCGGTCTGTCATCTGCCATGGACAGAATCAATATGGAAACTGGTCAAACTGGCGTATGCCGCCGCCAGAGTGAGCTGTTCTTGAATCCGACGTTGAATTGCAACAATGAGCTGGAAATCACAGGAACGTCAGTGACCGCCCATCTTTTGGAGCCGCAATAGTCATGCGTAAGAAAGGAAGACTTACTTGATATCCGCCACCCAATCGTCCCCACCGTCTCGCCGCGTCACACAGGGGATCGGGTACCGAGACCGTCTGACCTTGATGTATTCCCCCGGATGCAGGTTGCAGACCTCTCGGCCGTCCATGGACAATTCAGAAGGGGCTCTCGACTTGCCCGAGATCTGCATCACAGATAAGCACATTATGTTCAGCACGCGAGGTCAGACTCATTCAGATTGAGTTGAAGTCAAGTGCCGGTTCACCTTCATCATGACCTCTCCCTGACTAGGCAAGAGGAGCGTCCTAAAACTCAGACTCCTCGGAGCGATGGGAGTCAAGAGGAAGGCTTCCAATCCCGGATGAGCTATCGGCCCGCCAGAGGAGAGGGAGTAGGCTGTCGAACCCGTTGGGGTGGCTAGGATGAGGCCGTCGGCCTGGACAGTCGATAGGAGAGGACGGGTGCACAATTTAGGTATTGTTGAAGCGGAAGCTGAGATGAAGATGAACTCACGACGGCTTCGGTGAGGTGTTCGCCGTCGACATAAGCATCTACTACGCTGAGATGAGGGTATCGACCTCGATGGATAGAGACCTCGTTCATGACTTGCCAACCTACGATGGTGATAACGCCGGCGAAACGAATATTAGCTTGTATTTCGAGGTTATCTAACAGCTCCAATAGCCGGGACTCGTCTCACCTGTCGTGGGACACCGCTTGACTGGTCGATCATCTTCCCCGAATATCTCGCAAGCCAACCTCATCCGATCGAGGATCTTGTACTTTGCGTCGAACACGCTCCCGATCGTCTCTTCGTGCGTATCGATGTCTGTAACGTCGAACATAGCGTATATTCAGCATATCATAGGAGGTGTGTCGCTTGAAGGTAAGAGAAGGGCAACAAGAGCTCACGGAAAGGTGTCAAGAACCCCAAGCTACCCATAGAAAAACTAAGCACAGGAGGAACCTTCCCCGGCCGAGCATACAGGCTCGAAACGTGCAAGATCGTCCCATCCCCTCCTAACGTGATGATCAAGTCCAGCTCCTCTTTATCCGGCCTCGCCCATATCCGAACGCCGGTATTAGGGGAGACGGTAGAATCACGGTCGATGATCGCTACTCCGCTCAAGCCTGAGGATAGTTCGGGTGCGGCTTCGGATTCGATGAGTATGTTCAGGTTGGGGTAGGTCGAACGGAGATGGCTAAGCTGGCGTGAGGGTAGGTCAAGGGGATCAGCGTTGGCGTCAGCGGGGAACCAGATCAAACCAGAATCAGCAACGATGAGCAAGCTCACCTGATGATGGTCTTGGCCGCGACGGTCGTCGGCTCGTCGTTCGTCTTTTTCACGAGCAAGACGTTTCTAGGTCTGACGGATTTGTCCGAACCAGAGATGGATGTCAAGTTTCGAGCCAGCGATACCCGATTACATCGTGACAAGGTGCTCGGTCGGAGAAGTATTGAAGTTGATGTGCGGAATATCATTATGAGTGGCACCTGTATATTGGCGGTGGCCTAGTCGGGCTAGTGATTAGAGGGGTGGTAATATGGAAGATAGATTGATCTGAAGTCCTGGAGTGATCGAGGTGAGGCTCGGCAAGATTCGAGGGCGAAGATGACGTTTGCTTTGATTTGAGACGTCAAAACGCGCGAAGATTTTGCTAAACATCCAGCTCTTGTGGCGCAGTTGGTAGCGCGTATGCTTAACAAGCCATAACTTGTAAAGCGCATAAGGTCCTGAGTTCAAGCCTCAGCGGGAGTATGTCTTTTTGCCCTTTTGTGCCCCTTCATGAAACACAGTGACGTCGCAGAGTGCCTTTCCCGAGCAGTGAAGGCAACTCTTTCGGACCGCCATCGTTGATCATAGATTGAAGCACACACTTGAACGCTTTCTCCCCTCCGTGTGGTTGATGTAACAGAACGCTGGCTTTATCGAGATTCGGGTCATTCATTCGGGCACGAGGTGGCGCGACGGGCACTTGCGGAAGCGAATCGTCTCCCCACCATCCACCGACCTGGCTCCCCAGCTCACGTCGACCTCGTGCTATCGACCATATCGGACCGCTCCAATAGACTTTGTATCAAGCTCGATCTGCAGTCGAACCATTGCTATCTGATATACAACCTTCTAAGCTTTCTACATCTCGTTTCTGTCCGTGTGCCTTGTCCGTCCGTGCCGAAGTCATTGTCAACGCGTGAGTGCATCCCCGGCTGCCGCTTTTGGCAAGCTGAGATCGCTGACCACAGGTGTCGACAATCTCAACCTCTTCCTTCGTGCTCATTGGGATTATCTAGCATCGAGCTCGACACTCACGAGGAGATAAATATCATCGATTCGCACCTATCATAAAGGAGGGGCATATTAGCATCTCGGATCCAGGACGAGCCGAGTGTCACGTCATCGGTGTCTGAGGTATCAACATCGTGAACGTGTCTTCAAACCCCCGACCTCGACTCTTGAAGACAGTGCATCTTAACGAATAAGGACCGGGATTTCTTGCTCTTATCGGACTTTCGAGATGTCGGACCAGATCATGATCCCTCCGGTCACATCCAATGGCGTAGAACCCGCTAGCAGCAACAACCCGTTCCGGAAAAGCATGGATGCTGGCACTGCAAATACGATCCCCAACAAAACCGAGAGCATCGCTGAACAGGCAACAAAGTCGCCTGCTCAAACCTCGTCCATTTCCCCACTCTTGGCTCAGATCGGGGTCGACCCTGTGACGGGGATAGAGACCACCCTCTCCCTCTTCGCTTTCACCGCCGAGAACGAAGACGAGCTCTCTTTCCCTGCCAACGAGCTCATCCGGATCGTGGAAAAGGACCAGGAATACAACGACGGGTGGTACAGGGGGAAGAACCAAAAGGGGGAAGAGGGGCTCTTTCCGGCGAGTTATGTCTTGCCGACGGGAGCGGACCCGAAACCGTATTTGGAGATGCAGCAAGCTCCTCAACCTCTGAATATCTCCAACTCTAAATCCGGCCCGGGGACGCCTGTGGGGGAGACGGTCGCAGAAGCAGGCGAGGGTGTTGCGGGACCGACGGGCTTGGGAATAGGAGGTGTGGTCACCGAAGCAAAGACGGAAGCGCCTCGACCAGATTCACCGGTGAAATCCCTCAGTCGACCGAGATCGACTCTTTCCCTCCAAAGTCAGGATTCTGGCAGGGTGCAGATTCCGCCTGTGAACGATGTCCATGTCAACGGCCAAGACAAGCGGGAGGAGGTACAGACGAACGGCCAGCGTGGGCAGGAGGAGGAGGAGAGGGAGAGTGGCAGGGAGCTGGTAGAGACGAGGGAACAGGCGAGTAAGGGTGAAATCCAAGGTCCGCATGCGCAAGCAAGCGAGATGGTTAGCCCGGCGGAACAGGCAGCAGCAAGGATGAATGTGGTGGAAGATCCTACGCCTTTTTCAAAACTCGGATCGGCCGCTGGGACTGGGGCTGTGGCTACCGGGGCGGGATTGGTAGCAGGAGTAGCAGGGTTGGCTATCGTTGGTGGGGGAAGGGAAAAGGAAGAAGACCGACGGCTAGACAGGGACGCTACGCCTATGCCGGAAGATGGGGATCGGACCATCACCGAAGACCGGCTGCATGATCGGGATGCTTCGAGCGTGGGGCATGGGGATGATACGTTCGACATGGACGACGAGGCCGCGAGTACCCATGGCGAGACCAACGATAACAATAATATCCGGGCCAGATTGGCTGAGCAGGCCAGATTGGAGAACGAGAAGAAGGAGAGGAATCGGGCTGATGAGGAAGCGGCGGAGAGGGGTGCCGAGGCGAGGAAACGGGCGGCGAGCGATGCGTCTGTCGGATTCGCCTCCCCTGGATGGTCGGCTGCCAAAACCAATGTCGAAGGAACTCCTGCGGACACACCTAGGCAGCAGTCGAATGGCAATAAACGCGTATCTGGTGTGAGGATGTCTAGTGGGGTACCCCACGGTCTCGTCTACTCGGATGAGAGCGATTCCGAGGACGAAGGGAGCGTGGCCAGAGGTCTGGGTAGTCCTAAAAAGGGATTCAACAGGCGACTTGGGTGGGAAGATGACGAGGAGCAGACCGGAAAAGGCTTTGCGAGATTCGGAGCGCTTGGAGCTGGCAAGACGGCCGAGCCAGCGCGTCGCCTGGATCAGATTCAGGAGAAGGACAAGGTGGAGACGCCGGTCGACACCCGCGCCGGCCTGGAACCTTCAGCACCGATCATCGCCCCCGTTGCGGTTCGGCCGGTCGAGACCCAGATGGCCGAGTTTGTCGAACCCGCACCCGTTGAGCCGGTGTCGCGAGCTCCCGTTGAGAGTGCTTCTCGCGCCTTCGTTCCACCCTACGCTGATCCTCGAGAGGAATCACCAATGGGTACACCGATCGTCCAGCTCAACGAAGATCGGGGTGCAGCTTACCAATCGCCTCCGGCCCCCGTATTCCGTCGTCAAAGTTCGGGACTTTCCAACTTGAGCCGAGAGACGCCTGTGGTTGCTGCTATCCCTAAGAGCGTCTCACCCGTCCCTCAGCAGCAGCAACAGCAACAAATTCAGCCGGTCTTGACCCGTAAATATTCCGAAGAGATGGCTACGCCTCGGTCCGGCGCCGTAACGCCCAAGGAGGTCTCGAGGATGTCCGAGGCCGGGTCCGGGTTCTCAGGTGGCAACCCTCACGAGTGGGGCGTCGCCGAGGTCGTTGAATGGGCTCGGTCCCGAGGCTTCGACGACGCCATTTGTGAAAAATTTGCCGGTAAGTCGGCATTTGTCCCAAGCAGCGCATTTGGCCTGTCTGCTCATCCGCTTTCTGTGATCCGCCAGAACACGAGATTACTGGGGACGTGCTTCTTGAACTCGATGCGAACCTGCTCAAAGAGTTGGAAATTCCTCAATTCGGCAAGCGGATCAAGATTGCCAACGCGATCGCCGACTTGAGGCGCCCTCAATCAACCTTGTCGATGGGTAATGCTTCGAACCGATCTTCCACTGGACTCGTACGAGGTCCCTCCATGACTCAGATGGGAGGCCTGGGCAGTGCCGGGGCGTCGCCTACTGTTCTCGTTGGTGGCTACCCGACTTCTCCCACGTATGGCTACGAAGCTGGCTCTCGAAGCACCAGTGCTGGGGCCATCCATCACGCCATTCCCGAGGACCAGCCCTTGAATCCCGAGTCTGGCCGGGTGCAAGAGCCTGCCGATCTGTTCACGGCCAGCGGTCGACCTCAATCTCAACCTCAAACCTCTAGAAGCGGAAGCGGTACCCCCGCTTCGGGCAACTATGGCGAATGGGCTCACTCTCGCAAGTCTAGCGTTTCGACCAGTCTCGTCAATGCGCCTATTCGCGAAGAGGACGAGTCGGGCAAGCGGGACCATCGACCGCCTTCGGTCCACCAGAGCATCACTCCCGATGCTCCGACCTCGGGCATGTTGCCCCCGACCGATTCCCACCACCGTGCCAACTCGATTCGTAGCATCGCATCGAGCATTCCTTCTTCCCCGCAGACGCCCAACACGAAACGCAATTCGACCGAGCAGCGTGCCTTGTTCGGACATAAAAAGGCCAAGAGCAGTCTGGACGGGACCCGGCCTCCGAGTGAGAGGATGAGTTTCTTCGGCGGCACGATTGGTAGGAACCGAAAGCCCGCACCGAGGTATCCATCGTAAGTCGCCTATGAGCCCGTCTGTGATGCAGGAAGGGAACTAACGTCTATTCAACAGCAATGCGTCGACGGCCGCCTTTGAACCTAACACTTCACCTACCGGTCCTGATCGTCAAAAGAGTTTGAGCCGGCTGGTTGGTGGCGGTGGCAGCGCCCCGACCAACCGAATAACCAAATCTTCAATCGGTCCCGCTACGGCACCCGTGCACGGAAACCAGCGAGTCTCTCAGGGAACGCCTGCCCCGGCCGCCTTGTCGTCCTCACCTACGACTCCCATGCGAACCCCTAGCGCTGCCGTTGATCGCAACGAGAGCTCGGCCATGTCCAAGATTGGCAAGCCCGATTTCGCCGGCTACATGAAGAAGAAGGGTGAACGTTACAATACCTGGAAGAATCGATACTTTGTCCTCAAAGGTGCGCATCTCTACTACATGAAGAGTCCACAGGAGGACAAGGTCAAGGGACACATCGACCTGGCCGGGTACAAGGTCTTGTCCGACCCGAATGCGGGGTCCGGGTTCGGATTCCAGTTGGTGCATGATCGGGAAAAGACGCACTTTTTCGCTAGCAACGAGCATCGGGTCATCAAGGATTGGATGAAGAACTTGATGAAGGCGACCATCAGTCGGGACTATAGCGGTAAGTCTCGAGTCGGACCGGCTTTTTCGTCGGTCATACCCGATCTTCCTTCCTCCGATTTTTGCTGATCATACCATCATCATTTTGTCGTTTATATCTACATAGCACCCGTGGTCTCGTCCTGCAACATCCCGACGATCCCGCTTCGAGAAGCCCAGATGTTGGCGCCTCGACCTCCTTCTCCCGGACAGAGGGAGGCCGCTCAACGTGCGGCTAGAAGGGACGACCCTAACAAGCTGACCCCGAGGGACGCTAGCGTGCTGGTAAGTCCCACAAAGACCAAGATCGCTTGTTGTGGGGATCTGTTGAAGATTGGCTGACATTGTGGGTGATACGCGGAATGACGACACAGATGTCGTTGGAGGGTTCTCCGACTGCGGGTAAGCGGAGCACTTTGGGACCGGGGATGAGCGCGCCTGGACGACCTAGTCGGGATCTGCGCCGACCCAGTGAAGGTCGACCGGGTACGACCGTGAGGGTGAGTGCTGAAAGAATTGCAGTTATTTATATTCATTTAAGCCAGGCTGACCCTAAAAAATTCGAACTGTGACTCTTGCTAGGACTCGACCCCGGTCGTCCCTATTCAACCCCCTATCGTAGCTCCTGTAGCCCCTATGGCTCCCTCAGCTCGACTTGGTGACACCTCTGGTCTCCTCGACTGGTTCAACGCTCGACTGCCCTTCGACCTCCCCGAACGGGCCACCTCGCTCTCTTCCTCGTTTGCCGATGGGAAACTCGTCACCCGGCTCATCGAGACGTATTGTCACCCGGAATCGTCTTCGGCCATCCCGGCAGAGGAAGCCATCTTCACCCCCGTCGCCCCTGGTGAACCTAATCTCGAGGGCTTGTTCACGATGATGGACAAGTGTATCGACGAAGGGGTGGACACGGTTGGCGTGAGCATCAATGACGTGAGGTTGGGACACGAGGAGGAGACGGCGAGGTTGTTGGTCAGTCTCAAGGGATGGATCGAGCAGAGGGAGAGAGAGGGTAGGTAGAGGCTGGGTTGCTTCTTTGAACTAGGTCGTAGTGTAGTTATCGTTATCGTTTCGTTTACTGGTGTTTCACCGCTATATATCTCTTTCTATCTATTCGATCTATTCATAATCATGGGTTGTTGAGTCTTCGAACGTGTTTTGCGGAATCAAATTCGTCGGCGACCTCGAGGTGGGTAGCGGGTCAGCCGCCGACCTACCTTTTGTTACTCGAGAAAAGGATATACCTTGTTGCTTGTTGTAAGCTCGCTGTCACCCCACTCACCACCTAGACCGCCCTTCGTCTGGTAGTAGATATATCCCACTTATTTGCTTCAGCCCGCCAACTTTTGGCAGGGGAAAGAAACGGCCAGACGACTCTTGCGATACCTTTCGGCATTCACGCACATTCTCTCTAACGAGTTACCAGCGTCATCTACTATATCTACACATTCCACTCGGTCCTCACTCTCGTTTCTACCCACCCTCGCATCTATCGATACAGAACGACTACCTCATCTATCGGAAGATGGTCACGTACATCATACTCGCACGTATATCTGCATGAAACAACAGCGACTTCAACGTCAAAACGAACACGAACGCAACGAGGCTCTACACCTCTTCCCCACACACCTCTTTGGCACGTTCCAGCATCCTTCAACATCGGTCGACCTGTCCTCCTTTCGATCTCGATCTTGACTCCTGAGACTACATATAGCAATAAAGATAACCATCCCGACTATACGTTATCTCGGGATCGAGCGGCACGGATCAGCAAGGAATTCAAAACCGGGCTGGTCTTGCAGGGAAGACAACAGGAATGAATTCCGAGGTACAAGCAGAAGTGAAAGGAAAGGGGGACGCGGACAACGATGTGGAGATGAAGGATGAGGCGGAAGCGGTAGAGGAAGGACCCAAGGTCTCCTTGCCCTGGGCGTTTATCGATTGTGAGATCGACAGCTTGATCGAGCTGGTCGGTGAGTCTTTCGGGACCGATCCTCAAGCTGGAGGTTTCTTGCTTGGGATTATGGAATACTGGACCAAACTCGTATCTGATATCTTATCACACGTACTCCTCATATCTTTCTTTCTATTCCTTCTGTTGATCCTCCGATCAGCTCATATGCTAAACAAGCTATTGGAGCACAACGACCAAGTCGTACTCACCCCCTCGGCGTTGACCCGGTTCCACTCGAGAGCTCCTCCAGGCATCAGCGTTTTGGATTATCTTAAACGGATCGTCAAGTATACCAACCTCGAAGTGAGTCCCTGGACGTTCCCCTTCCCGCCGCATGACGAAACATCTTGCCCGCCGATCGAACTTGCTAAAACGCTCTGTGCTTACTCGAACCCCCTTGATCCTCGTCTTGCCGAACCCGCAGAAACTCCCCCTCCTCTCCCTCTTAGCCTACATAGACATCACATGCACCAACCTTCCCACTTTCACTCTATCCTCCCTGACCGTCCACCGGTTCGTCATCTCGGGGATAACAGCCGGTTCAAAAGCCCTCTGCGACGTCTTCTGTACCAACGTCCATTATGCCAAAGTAGGCGGGATCAGGGTGGGAGAGTTGAACGCGCTCGAGAGGGAGTTTTTAAGGGTGACGGATTGGGACTTGTGTGTGAGTTCAGATTCTGGTTCTAGATTCGCCCGATCGTTTTCGATATCGGTGCGGAGTGCTTGATATTGGTGGCAGTCGAAGCAGAACGCTGATATACAGCGGATTGTCGCTATCTGTGTTTTCTTTTGCGGGAGTACAGGTACCGGCAGAGTTGATCCAGCAATACTACTCGTCCTTGATCCGTAGTCACGGAGGATTTGTACAATCGGGTCCACCGGAAAAGAGCCCGTTCACCGTCTTCCCGCTCGAAGGACCCGTCAAGAATAGGCCAGCGAAACGGGACTCGGGGGATGAGAATCGAGCTAGTGGGAGCGGTAGTAGCAGTGGAAAGGACGAAGCAGATGATGAGGGGGGCGAGGGAATGGAGGTGGATATGGTCAAGGATGAGATCCGGGTCAGGTCGGGTGAAACGGGCAAGACCGAGAAAGAGGTGGAAAGCCTCTTGAAAGAGGTTTTGAGGGGTAAGGAGCGCTGTTTCTACTACGGGTGCCCTTCGGGTGAGGCTGATATCCTTGATCGGCTGCACAGCGGATCCGAGTAGTATATCCTCGACGCGCAGAGAGGGACTGTTGAAAACCCTATTAGCAGATCTAAGCGAAGGAGAGGATGGCGAGCGAGCATTTTCGACGACATGGTCACATGACAGTGAGTGAAGCACGTGATCATCAGGATCGTCTTCGTACTGGAACCAACTCGTCTTTTCTTGGGGAAATCTAGCATGGGAGGCGGCCATGGAAACGATCAAGACCTTGTCGCGGTCAACAACCGGCAAAACCGAGCTGACAACGGTGACGGCGTTGCGGATACTGCTACGGCACGCCGGGATCCCCCTCGATTCGACTTCATCAATATCAACATCAACAATAAAATCACCAGCGCCACCAGCACCACCACCACTTCGGGACATTCCGCTCAAAGTGCGAAAAGAAGCACTGTCAACAGTAGCCAACACGTTATTCTTGCATTCGTCGATAACACTGTCGTCATTATCGACGCTAGGCGCAGGACGAGCGGTCGTCAACCAGTTAAGACAAGAGCAGGAACAGACGGGAGCTATGGATGATACGCTGGTGTTCCTGTTTGGCCGGATATTGATGTGGATGACGGCGTCGAAAGACTCCGGGTTCCTGCAAGATCTGGTCGATGAGCAAATATTGGTAGCAGCGATCAAGACGGTGAGTCGAGGCTGGACTCGGTGTAGATTGAAGCGTTGGGAAGGCTGACTCCTGTTGAGCCGATTGCAGGAGCTCGCTAAGCCATATTCAGCGAATAGGAAGATGGCGACCGAAGAGCTTCTCAAAACGACTTATAATCTATTCGCCCTCTACCCCGTCTCGTCAGAATCGCAGTGGGAAAGCCTTTTCGGCATGTGAGTCTTGCTTGAGAACCCCTAACTCAGCGGGTGGCTGAACGAATCGCGCATTGCAGCCTGCTCGAACCCATCACCAACCTCTTCATCTCGATCCCTTCCTCTCAACTCTTACCTCCCCTCACGCATTGCATAAACTGTCTCACCCGGTTCCCCCGACTCTCCCTATCGATCCTCCCGAAACTGTATCCCATCCTGGAGACCCACTTTATCCACCGAATCGGACCTTGGGAACCTGGCGATCCCGTTCCGGCGGGTGAGAGGGGTAAAGAGGTGGACAAGGTGGAAGAAGTCGTCACGCCCAGCATGTTGGTACTCGCCAAGCTTGCCGAGAGGTTTAGGACGGAAGTGAGGGAGCTTTTGTTCCCAGACGACCTGTGAGTGCGGTAGCCGAAGAGGTGACTGACGAATGATTACGAAGGCTGATTAGATTGTAACCTGACGTGTGACATTCTGTCTGGCGGAATTGATAGCGATCGATCACCCGGATCGAAACCTCTCGAATCCCGACCGACGCTCTTGGGCCACCTGATCCGGTTCTCGAAATCCGCTAGTCATCCGAACTTGTCGACGGCGATCGGCGAGGTCTTTTGGTCGGCCTGCGGCGGGAATGGTGAGTCGTCTCCCTTGGAAGGGGGATGCGATCCATCATGTCATGGTGGAGGAGAGCGGAGCTGATTAGATCGTGTCCCGGAATGTGCGCGAATCAGCCAACGAACTCGTACGCGAGATTGGGTATGGGAATGCCGCGGGGTTGTTGTTCACCAAGGGAATCTCTGGACCACCTGGTGCGAGCGTACAAGAGGTTCATGATGACGATGATGACAACGTCAAAGAAAAGGAGGAGGGGAAACCTGGACGGACGACCAAGTTGGGGGCTTTGCGACATCCGATTACGGGGCTCGAGCAGGTGGACGAGCGGTCGGCTGGGAGTGCCAAAGGGGTGGCTACGACTGCTACTGTTCCGGCTTCCGTCTCTGTTACGCCTTCAGCTCCATCTGCATCGAGATCGACATCAATGTCAACAGCGATAACATCAGCAGCAGCGGCAGGACCCGACCCGAATCGACCGATGACCGAGGAAGAAAAGGAAGTCGAAGCCGAACGCCTGATGACCCTCTTTCAACGTATGGAACGTAACCCCGCCATGTCCATGCTCAGTGGTGGAGATGGCCAGACCCCAGTAAACCCGATGAGGGAGATGGTGGGTTCGGGGCGGATGCAGGCTTTCGAGAGGGAAGAAGCGGAGAGGGAGAGGAAACGAGTGGAAGTCGAAGATCGGGAGGATGAGGAGGAGGCGCTGAGGGAATTGGAGCAGTATAAGAAGCGGGTCAAGCGGGTGTAGCCCTTGGTAGCCTTGGTAGCTGTGTAGCCCTAGATGCAAGATGCAAGATGTAGATGTGAATGCGACGTGTAGCTCGCAGCTCATCGTGATGGCGTCGTTGTTTGTTTACAAAGTCGTTCACAGCCGCTCTGCGCGTGTCCCATGGGATGGGCTATATCATAAATTACGTCATGAAATGCATCCGAATGACCGTAATTTACATCCGAAGAAAGCTGAATCACCCTTTCTCGATGATTTACTTCCGGCGTCGGACCAGATCAGATCAGATTGCGAAGTTGCGAAGGGACAACTTATAAAAGAGGACGTACTCGTAGCAAACATTTTTACCTCAACTGATCATCCGTCAATCGACTTGAATGACGAAAACAGGCTAGCTATCCTGCATATTCTTACTTATCCTCGTTATCAGAACGATACGAAACAGCTCTGTTCGTCTAGCTGCTGCGATGGCCGACGACGCCGACGGGCAAAGGCAGGGGTCTTCGCCTGGATCATCAACATCTCCTTTGTGAGTCGCTTGATCTCCGACCTCGTTTAATTTAACGTCAGATCTCTCATATTGGCATGCTACTGATCACGTCTCTTATGTTCACCTATCACCTCTTCCTTTGACGGTTCACGCCGACACTTCAGCACGAAACCATCACCGCGATCACGAAAAGTAAACAGACCGATCCACAGCGAGACGAGCCGTCAACTCTTTTCCATCCTCGGTTTACCTTTGGAAGACGTCAATAATGTCGACTCGCAATCATCTACCGTTACTACTATCAACCCGGAATCTTATACCAGGAAGACTCCTCATTCGCCTTTGAGGTCGACCTGGACGAGCCCTTCATCGATTTCGGCGCCAAAGGATAGATCACCACCGAGCTTGAATTCGAGTCCTTTGAGTCAGATCGGCGTGCGGACGGACGGACATGGCGAGCACGATAATATCACACCGACCAGTATCGAATCGTTCGAAGAACAACAACAACAGCATCGTTACTCATTGAGAGGGACGCCGTCGTCGAGAGTCACCTCATCCGGTTCGGGCTGGAGGTCTTTTTTCCGCTCACCGGATATGGCCGAAGGGTCTGCCTCTAGATCGACGTCGTTGAACAATAATGATGTGACGTTCTCTTCGCCTCTGTCACATCGAAAGCATGGTCGTGACAGGGATGATCACGAGGAGGATCGTGATGAGCTAGAAGATTCGGACGAGGTCGGACATGATACGGCGGGGACCGAGCTCGAAGAGACCCAGACGGACGTTCCAGTGCAGATACAGATGCAGACCTTGGACCCGTCGTTGCTAAACACGACGGTAGCGGACACTCTGAAACGCGAACAAAGCGACGAGGACAGTATGGATATCGGGATGGACGTTTTTGGATCGTCAAAGCTGGACAAGCAGGTCATGTTGTTCCCGGAGTCTCCTACTAGAACTACCGATCTTGAGCTCGAGCGAGAGACAGGACCATTTGCGGGTCCGGCAAGAGGACTCAAGGGAAGAGCGTCTCATCGGATTTTGACGCGGCCATCGGAACTGGGCTCAAAAGGCTTGAGCAAGAAGGATTTCGATTCGCAAGAGACGATCGTCCCGAGCGATTTTCATCGACAACATATGCTACAGCAATCTGGTAGTCATTTGATCGGTACGAGTGGGAGCGCTAGTACGAGTAGGATCTGGGAACCGGTCGATTGGGAGAACTTTTCTCCTCACGGCGAAGAGGTACCGACGGTACACGAAGGCTCGATGTTGTTGCTCCCGCCGCCTTCTTCGTCACCGACATCAACATCTTCGCCCAGACATAGACCTAAACCGCTGGAAAATTCTTCTATGAGATCCACGTTGGGGACGAGGGTCGGATCGGAGGTTTACTGGAACTTGTTCGATGGAGTACCGAGGTACGATCAAGGACCGCTATCGGCGTCTACCAATTCCAATTCGGCGACTTCTACTACGGTCGATACTTCGTTTTCGGGTACGGCTTCAACGTCCACTCCAGCCTCGGCTTCGGCTTCTGACGGGCAACATGGGATTGCGACGAATCATCTCATTCAAGGGTTTACCGGGTTTACTCTACCAGGAATGAACACGCTATCGTCGGATCCCGAATACGATTCGGATGAAGCCGGAGGATCGTCCTTGATGCCGCTGGGAAACACTCAACGACCCGGTTCGAGCGGTTCTGCGGCTTACTTGTCGACGTTCGCTGATCCTCCTAATACGAATCCGGCCAAACGCGCCGGGCCGATCGAGATCGTCGTCGATGATGAAGGCGTCGCAGGCATGACCGAAGCGAGCGAGGAAGGTCGAACGTCTGTCACCGGACCTATCAGGAGTACGAGACGATCTACTCGAGAAAGGAGGGCAGTAGAATCCGTTGTTTACCCTTCTACTGCCGAGTCATCCGCGCGTCCGGCGAAAAGAGCAAAGAGGACCAAAGTCGCGGGTCCTGCTAATAAGACAAACAACCATAACGAGAAATATGACAGCAATAACGCGCTTCTCAAGCCAGCTCGTCCGCCTGGCGACCGTGGACAAGGTAGGAAACCTAGCTCTGCACTTGCTTCTCCCGAAGAACCGGATTCACCTATGGGAGACGGCAACGAATTGCGAGACCCTGAAGAGATCGCCGCGAAAAAGGCGAGGAGACGCGAGATCAACCGGAAGAGCGCGAGGACGTTGAGAGAGAAACGAAAGGCCGAATTAGAATCCGCCTGGGCCGTTGTCGATCAGCTTAGGGATCAGGTGAGAGTGCTCACAGACGAGGTCAGGCGAGAGAGGGAATGGAGGGTCGTCATGCAGAACGAGTTGGTCAACGTGAGTCGGGTTTCGGTCTCGAGCGCGCACAGCCGCTGACGCCATCGTTTCCCCTTGTGGCACCTGTAGCGCGGAGCCGATCTTGCAGCCATGGGCGTGGACGTGAATTTCGCTCCTGCACCTTTGACGCAGACGAGCGTGATTTCGGACATGATGATGCAAGTCGACTCCAATTCGGACAGCGATGCATGAACTCGGTCGATATGCTGCCGACCCTAGGACCGACCCTTCAAGAAGATCCAGTCCATTCTCCGCAATATATCGCGGCTCCTTCTTCAGGATCATATTTACGCGCCTGAACCTTTCTGCTTCTTGATCATGCCTACGACCAAAGCGAATATACGTCAACTCTTCATCAAGCTTTCCGCAAGCTCTCTTGCCCAACGATATACGAACGCAGATAAGCCGCCTCTCCAGAAACCCATACCCGCTAGACTCAGGAATATGCTGGAACGCCGAAACATGAAGGCAGTAGATAACGCAACGAGAAGGCGATATTTCTCTTGGGCCGGGCTCGAACGTGACTTGTGACAGATTATTAATTTCGATATGATGCATATGCCATAATTCACGTTCTATGCAAATGGAGCGGGAGTTTCTTTGAGTGAGCTTGAGTCGGTGTGAGCCGGCATGTCCTTGGCGATCCCAGCTTTGCGTCATCAGATTTACACCGATTTCGACTTCGTATATTCCATACGACCGACTTCATCGAGACTAATCTTCATGAAAGATGGCTCTAGCTCGATAAGTCCGCTTCCTCTCGACCACAGAATAAAACTGCCTTCGGCAAACTACCAGACTGCCACCCCTTACCTTAATGCTTATCACGCATAGTGAGGCCGAGCTGTTGATATGAAAGACCCCATCGACCGGAAATACGACTCGATCAACGGCGATGAACTCCGTCTGGTAGTTTGGCATTCAGGCTCGGTCAAAACGGACGAACACGAGCTGTGGGATGACTATTGTCTCAGCGGAGGCATACTGCACGTTTGCCTTGGACACCGAGCTAGAGCAAGACCCCCAGGATTTGCAGACAAAGGTTGCGTCCCTGGAGAACAAGCTTATGCCGTTGCAGACAAAGGTTGCGTTCCTGAAGCATGAGCTCAAGAAGTACAAAGAAGCTGCTAGATCAGAAAAGGAAGAGATTGAGGGTTCACGAACTGAATTGCAGACGACCAAGCCGAAGAACAAAGAAGCCTCCCAATCAGAAGCCGCAGAGCTTGAGGGATTATGAACTGAATTGCATTCTGGCCGACCTCGAACCCGACCTCAACCTCGATCCCAATCCCGAGCCCGACCCAACCTCGACATCCGTTCTCGACCCCAACGCAGCAACTCCCGATTCTAAACCCAATCCCGATTCCGACCTCGATTCCAACCCGGATGCGACAGGCTCGAATCCAATATCAAGTGGGCCGTCACCATTCGGTTGAAGTGGCGAAGGTGGAGGCGGCAATGACCAGATGATCACGTGGCCCTGTCGCTTGAGCACCAGGCGGTAGATGATGGTCCTGGTTGTAGGGGTCAAGGGCGTAGGGGTCAAGGGCGAAGGAGGCAAGGGCGAAGGAGGCGAGGTCGAAGGGGGAGGTGAGGAGAGAAAGAGGGGCTCCTTGCCTTTTATAAGGTTCGCCAGCAAACCTGAATAGTAACACACGGGACTAGAAGGTACGGGTAGGGTAATGAATGTAATAACGGATGTCTAACTACTACAAGGTGCTAGTTAGACATCTTCGAACACATCTCCTAATAGGTCTCCGAGAGGGTCTCCGAGAGGGTCTCCGAACGGACCTCCGTACGAGGTGAAAACCTACCTCCCGCGCGTATACGACATGCGTACCGCGGATGCCTATAATAGGATCCCCCCCTTAGGGCGAGATTCCAGATTGCCCAAAGTAGTCGAGTAGTCCGAGGCTAGAGTAGACGTTTCATCTTGAAGTTCTTTGTTCCCTCGAAACGTCCAGTGTCTGTACCCTCGCGACTCTCCTCACGTCTCCGCTCTATTGTCCCCGAAGAGATCGTCTAGAACCTTCGATTTGTACGTCTAGGTACACTGGTTCTCTCTGAAACACTGCTCGGCGCCCGTGGGTGCTGCAATGAAGAACCTATTGTCTATCGGTGTCGTCGACTCGTCTGAAACGTCCAGCCGACGACGATGACGCGTCGCGCGTCGATTTCCTATTGTCTCCCCCGCGGACATCGCAACATGGTCCTGTCCGCGGTATTGTTCGTTGATGTAAACAAAGGTGATGTCGTATGTATCGACGTCCTTTCCAACCGATATCGCTGTATTCTCTTTGTCGTGTTCGACGTAACGACTTCTTGCTTTGTCCTAGTAGTTGCTACCTAGGCTTCTTTTGTTTTGTTCTCGAAATGTGAAAGGTATAAGACCCCCGAGGGGGTTTGTCGACTTGATGTTTTTCGACGTACGTATCCTTTCACCTCTAGCAAACCTATAGCTTACTACCTTTCGTATCTTTTACCCGTTCACATCTATCGTCAACCATGCCTTCTCCTCCCCCTCCTCCTGCTCCTCCCCCTCCCGAAACCCCGACCAAGCGCAAGACTCGGTCTTCGAAGGACGACGATTCCGGGTCTCCGTCGAAGAAGGCAGGGAGAAAGCCCGCGACCGGCATCGAGCACGATGCAAAGTGGGGATACATCCGTGTCGACAATTGGACCGGGCCCGAGATCGCTGAGGTGTACGCGATCCAAAAGAAGAAGGACAAGTTGAAAGGCTGGCTCCCGCAGCAGTTTGAGGCGGCTTGGAAGGGAGGGAAGGTGGACGAGTTCAACGGGATGTTGGTGAGTTGTGTTTTCGATCCTTCTTCGCATCCCCGTCACGGTCTCCTTCGCAACCTCCGTCAGGGTCTCCGATTGAATCTCCTTCTTGCTCTCGCAGGCTCGTTACGCCGGTAACTGGCAGTGGTGCTGCCAACACTGTTACGACGACATCCCTCACAAGGATGTTACCCCCGACGACTATACCACCTGGGATCCTTACGAGTCCGTCTTCTTCGACCACGTTCGCTTTCAAGGGATGGCGCTTTGTCGTCACGTCGTTCCCCGTCCCGGTCAGAGTGGGAACCTCCAGAAGTCGTGCTGGTATTGTTCCGGCGGGAAAGGTGGGTGTACCCCCATCTCCCACAAGATTCAGGTCCTCTTCGACAGGGCCCAGCCCGTCGAGCACCGGATCTCCGCGGGATTGGAGGTGCAGAAGACCCACAAGATGGGCGCCAGGACCCGGGAGGATCTTTACCGGGAGACGAGTAGGCTCTTCGAGCAAATCGTCAGTATCTTTCTCTTCAAACGGTCTCCTACTAACTCTCTCTCTGATACATTGCTGTGTGTTTGTTTTGTGTATATAGGTCGTTCCTTCTTTGAACCGCCACAGCGGTTTCTCCGTCGAGGCCGAGCGTGGTGCGCTCCGGAAGAAGATCGCCGCCGTTGTCATCGCCGGTGCGCAGGCGGAGAACTTCAGTCCTTTCGAGGCCGCCCGCAAGGAGATGAACGAGTGGAAGGGGGGTGTCTATGAGCCCTACCCCGAGCCCGAGGAGCTGGAGGACGACGCGATGAATGTCGACTCGGACGACGAGGTCACCATCGTAAGTAATCTCCTTCGTGTTCTCTTTCGCATGCTGACTCGGGTTTCGTAGGCCAACAAGAAGAAAGTGGCCGAGGAAGAGGCCGAAAAGAAGAGGCTCGACGCGGAGCAGAGGCGTCTCGACGCCGTCGCCGCCCAAGAGGCCCTCGAGGCCGCGAGGAAGAGGATCTTGGAGCTCGAGGCCGCCGCCAATCCCCCTCCTCCCGCTCGCCCCGCTCCTCCCGTTCGCCCCGTCAACGATCCTCCTCCCGTTCGACCTCTTCCGACCGGATCTGGTGGGAACGGCGGCGGGAACGGCGGCGGGAACGGCGGTGGGAACGGCGGTGGGAACTGATTCGGTTTTGACTTGTAATATCTCGTTTTGGTCGCCGTTCTGGGGTCGGCTCCTTTTTTTATTTTATGCTATTTTCTCTTGCAATTCGCTTCTCCAGCAAAGTCTCCGAACGAGTCTCCGGATGTGTCCCCGAGCGAGTCTCCGAACGAGTCGTGGTACTTCATTGTTTTCGTAAGACAAACTTGTTTGTCGTTGGCTCGTTCAGTTCGTAAAAAAGGAATGGTGATAAACATCTTAGTCGGGCCTGCCGACGAAGGTACAACAATGAGTAATGACAATCACGAAAACCCTAAGCACCCGGAGTCCATAGCAACGGCTCGTCCCCGTTCTGCTTAGCGAACTCCTCGTCCCAATACGCCTGGTGGTTCTGGGCGGGAGGTTGCATGTACGTCGCAGCCACCTGCATTCGACCAGCCTGTTGCCGAGCCTGCCACCAAGCAGGTGGAGACCTCTTGGCGTTGCTGCACTGGGCACTCCTGTGGCCGGGCTGCCAGCAGTTGTAGCAGGGTTTCCCGCCGGGCATCCTCGCAGCGTCCACCTCCATGGGCGTAGCACCCGACGTGGCGGCCACCGCAGGAGGGGCAACAGTGGTGTTAACCACAACAGGGTTTCGGGGAGCGACGTGGTTACCTGCGTAACGATTCCCGCTCGTGTGGGCACGGTTACCCGAAGACGTGTGCCTACGGGCTTCCGCTTGGTCTTCGTACCGACGACATTCCATCTGGAACTCCGCCAGCGTCATATTGTTACGGCGGAAGTCGCTAATCGAGATAGGTCCTAAGTCGTAAGGCGTAGGGTGCTTATAGGTGAATCGCAGGTAGTCGGGGGAATGTCGCGAGTCCGCTTAGATGAAGCGGGTTCGGGTGCGGGATACGAATCCAGAGATGTATGGATAAGGAAGGTGATCACTCGGTGTGAGGTACCGGATTCGGTCTAAGGTAAAACGATGAAGCGTAGATACTTAGCGACGTCCTTGTACTTGTAACCTCTCCGCAACACGTCTTGAAGATGTTGTAACAAGTCAGATAGGCGTGTATTGAATGTGATATCGGAACTTGACCTCTAACTATTACAGAGCGTCCTCTATCGAATTCGGTCAAGTTCCTCTAGCTATTTATACGGAGACGAGTACGTAGACGAGGCTGGCGAGCACTGAAAAGACCCAAGAGAAAAGATTGGCGAGAGATGGCGAAACTGGAAGAACGAGATGGCGAACAGCCGAATCCTGTCGAGAGCAACCGGATTCGGTAGAGAAGGCGAGTTTGAGTTCTCATTCGTCCCTAGGTACGTCGGGTAAGGTTGTCGAGGTCCTGAGTAGAGTTGTCGTGTACCTCGAGGTCCCTGTACCTGTTTGTGATATGTGTCGGGAAGGTTTGTTGTTTCGGTGAATGGTGAAGGCGAATGGTAGGGGCGACCGAATCTGCTCCGAGGGAATCGGATTCGCCTCGTCGAGCCGGACTTAGGTGTATGCTGATGTCCGTAGATCGAGCATGTGTGTCGGTAGTCGACTCACGTGATGATCCCGTAACACATATGCTCCTGGTTGGGCATAGGGATAATAGCGTCCTGAAAGGCCTGGTTCAGGTTGGCGCGGAAGAACGACCGTTTGCCGTACTCGTTGAGGTTTGGGAGGAGGGCGGCGAGGTCGTTGAACTCGGTGATGTACGTACTCAAGCTCTTGTTGCCCTGCTTCAGAGAGTAGTACTCCTTCTCCGTGGCAAGGATGTTCCTTCCCCCTCCGTACATCTCCACGAGCAACGCCTCGAACTCCCGCCAGGTGACCTGAGTTCGCCCCGACGAGTACTCCCTTGCCCATGCCTGGGCCTGCCCATCCATGTACGACTCCGCGTACATAATCTTGTAGAGGTCGGTGTACAACCCCGGCTTGACTTGGAACTCCCGGTTGCATTGGTCCAGGAATCCCCTAACCTTCTCCTTCTTGCTGCCATCGAACCTGTCCGGCGTACCGAACTTGAACAGCTTCGCTCTCGCTTCCTCCGTGGCCGTCGCCGATCGAGTGTCCCTCGACATCGCCAACTCCATCATCTGGCTATGCATGTTCGCCATCATGGAGAGCAGGGCGGAAACGTCCGGACTGGTAGGAGGCGCAGCGGCCGGAGCAGGGTTAGCTGCTGGGGGTGTCGACTGCATTTGTGGGGGAGTCTGCCCCATGTTGTTGGCCGGTGCGGCCTGCGTGGAAGCGGTAGGTACCCCCGTGGCACCTACCTCCGGTTGCTGGTGGGCAAAGACGCACTGGTCGTTTACCAGCGTCTCCCCAGTTGGGTTCCTCCACATGAACCTTCCTTGTCCATCCATCATCTGCATGCTCCCGTCTTCGCTCAAGACCGGGATCGCATCCGCAGGGATGGGGTGGACAGCCCTATCCGGTCCGTAACACTGCGTGAACGTATTCATCGTATACGGGGTCTCCTAGTCGGGGTGTTTGGGTGATCCGTTATTCTATAAGGTTCGCCAGCAAACCTGAATAGTAACACACGGGACTAGAAGGTACGGGTAGGGTAATGAATGTAATAACGGATGTCTAACTACTACAAGGTGCTAGTTAGACATCTTCGAACACATCTCCTAATAGGTCTCCGAGAGGGTCTCCGAGAGGGTCTCCGAACGGACCTCCGTACGAGGTGAAAACCTACCTCCCGCGCGTATACGACATGCGTACCGCGGATGCCTATAATACTTTACCCTTGTTGGCTCAACGGTCCGGCCTGCTTTTTGCGGTCGCAATGGTCAAATTTGGGTTTGAGAAGTCCGGGTTTGGGTTCGATGTCGAGTTTGGGTTCAGGTTCCTCGAGTTCGTGTTCAAGTTCGAGGTCCAGTTTGACGTACTGCCGCCGATATGAACACCGGCAAAAAGGCTTGCTGCGGTGCTGGCACCTGCGAGTCTGTTCGCTGCGGTGCTGGCTTGCATTTTGCAAACACGCGCATCCAGGATGCTGTGATCATTGCGAGGTGCATCTGCAAAGAGCGCGCCACTGTGCAGACCCAGTTGCACTTGGTGAAAAGTTCTCATGAACGAAACGGGCCGCGACATGGGCCGGGCTAAACCTAGATGAATCCACTCGGACCTTGTTGAAAGAACGAACGCATGGAATGCAATACCATCTATACACAAGAGCAGCAGCGACCTCGATCGAATCTTGTTCTTTTACAATGCAACAAACCCGAGAATTATAGTCAACAAGCCAATCCCTACTACCTGCCGAACCGACCGCATTCCTCCTGCCTTCCCTACCGCCGAGCCAGCCTTCTTCGGCGCCGTGTAGTTGAACGTCGAATCGACGCATCCGTTGTCCAGAATAGGGTACGCCAGGGTCGATGCGTTGCTCACGTCGGAGGGGATATACCCGTCTCGTACTCCGCGGCGGTAAGACCAGGTATCGATTTCCCACTCCGTCTTCCCTGGAATAAGGTAACAAGCAGAAGAACGGGCAAGCCGATGAGCCTCTAAGCAAGAGACTTCATTGCTATCGTCAACAGGGCTCACAGGTCCAATAATACCATCCGAGGTTCGCCTGACCTTCAGCACTTGGCGAATAGGCAGCTAGCTGCGACTCGAACAATAACCTGAACCAAGTCCGTCGAGCTTGATCGGGTTGTCCCCTGTTTGACACCGGGTCGTCCGGACCTCGACCTGATCGCACCCACGTTTCCGAATTCAGCCCGAACTCCGAACGTATAATATAGCTCGAGCTTAGTGCTCACCAGTTTGTAAACTCCACTCCCCGACGATGGTCGCCGGTACTCTCGTCCGATCGGTGGACTTGAGCATCCGGGAGACATTACACACCGATTCGAGGATGGTTGCGTGGGGGAGGTTGATGAGCGGTGCAAAGGCGTAGTATTGATGCGTATCGATCTCCAGGTAGGAGGGTGATGCCGAGCCCATCGACGACGACGAAGAAGATGATGCAGGGTCATAACCCGCCCAGTATCTTGGGCCCCAGAAGGCGTCTGAGCAGTGATAGCAGGAGAGCGTCAGTCCAGCTGCGTTGGGGGATAAGCACGATGGGGGTTCGGACTGGAGACGCTCACCATGGATCATCACGCCCATCCCTTGATCCGCCGTCCGGACAGCCTCGCTCCCAACGGTATAAAACGCTTTCAAATCGTCCATCTCGAAATCCGCCTGTCCGAGCCTAGGCTCGTTCAACAGCTCGATCGCTGTAAAGCAAAAATCATCATCATCAGCTACTAAGTCTGTTTCCCCTCGAATACGCATACGAAAAACATCATCACCACCGCCACTCACAGGTGACAACACCCCCATACTCGGCCCGAGAAAACTCCTCCGTCAAGTTCCTCAAGACGTTCAACGTCCGCTCCGTATTCGTCGTATTGGAAGGGAAGAGGATCGGACCTATAAGACCGCTATTGTCTTGCCCGTTCTGAGAGCCGGGGACGCCGTGCAGGTCGATGAGGACGGTCATGCCCAGTTCTTGGGCCCAGTGAACTGATTGGATCAGGTAAGGGTACTAGATACGGCGTAGCGTAGGAGTGGTGGAGGTGATAGTGAGGGTGAAAACAATTCCGTATGATGAGGGGGGCGACGTTAAGGGAAGATTGTCAGCGTGCGGATAACGAGTGGGATATGAACAGGTAAGATCGAGGAGGGCTTACTTGGCCAGAGACGTAGGGCTCATAGTCCAAAAGATCGACCGCCCAGTAACCTATCCGTTGTCGGAACATGGGTATATGAGCTGAAGATCGTCGCCTAGCGATGTATATGGGTAGAGAACTTCACGTACCTATAGGTATCCGTACGGAATTTAGGCCAAACGAGATCATCTCCTCGAAATCATCCTTGGTGATGAACGAGCTGATATCAGATCTCTTCGATCAGTGGATGTCTATGGAGTATGACAAGGACGGAGAAGTCGAGACTCACCTCCAATGACTCTCCAAGGTGGACAGACATCTCCTCTTGCCCAGCACGTTGCAGAGGTTCCATTCGTCGTTGGCCTCGCCGGAATATACCGAGGGCGTGATCCTGTGCACGATGCGAGCTCATATCAGACCGCTAGAATAGCGATTGAGGTGTTGCAGGGTGTATGGTTGTAAGGATGCTCACCATTGTTCGGTCAAGAGCCAGCCTCCGAGGTTGACCCCTCGAACAGCATCGACGGCCATCCGATGATGGATGGGTGGGTGGAAAGTGAGGAGAGGTGGTATTGTACACTAGGATGGGGGATCATGGTCTAGAAACTAGTTTGACTAGTTTGTGATATGAGATAGATTGTTGATCGCCACCATCGATCGATGCAAAGGGGGAGGGAGGCTGTGGTCGAGAAATGTCGATGATGAATGAAGGAACCACGTAGCTCTTGGCGCTGCTACGGCGACCGAGAAGAGGGAAGGCGGTGGCGATATCGTGCAGATATCGTCGATCACTCGGACCACTCGGACTGCATGTAGGTAACTCAGGTATCGATACAGGACAAGACATGGCCCCCAAGCCGGGACATCAAGGGCTGTAAGGGCATATTATCGTATTCATGGACTAGCCAAGACCTCTACCGAACCTTAAATCGTACAACACTAACACCTTGCACCTAGCTCAGCTTCCTCATCTCGGATGTCCGTTCCTCCCGACATCCATGGCACCATCCACCCCAGCCTCCTCCTCTCTCCCATGTCCATACCCATGACCATTCGCGAGCCCACTCCCATTCCGCATCTTGCCCGAAGACGCCGCCGCCTCAGCTTTCGCTTGCAAGACCTCGACCTCCTCTTGCGCGCTCTCGATCGAGCGGAAGTACTCGACCGTCTTGACCCGCAACTCCATCGTCGCGTCCCTATCACAGCATACCAGAGCCCACGGGTGGAGCTGGATGGCGGAGACTGTCCAGAGGTGGTTGACACCCTCTTCGATGCATTTGGAGAGGGCGAGAGCTTTTCGTTGGCCGGTGATGATTAGCACTAAGTGAAGCGAGATTGGTGCGCAATAGTTGGGCAATGGTGTACGAATGGGAGTCAGCAATCGGTTGAAATTGGACGGCGGACTAGGGATTGCTGGACTTACCAATCTCCCTGGCTTCGAGGACGGTCGCTACCCCCACCGTCAAAGCCATCCTCGGTACCTTGTTAGGATCATTATCGAAGAACCTCGACTGCGCACACAAGACGTTTTCCCCCCAACCGATCAGCTCAGATTCAAGATCTCGTTCACCCCGACAAAAGACAAGATCCCCATTGCATCCCCCGAAAACTCACATTCGCATCAATAGTCCCCCTAGCTAACGTCTTCACCCGAGTCCTACTAGCCAGACTACTCCCAGGCTCGTTGAAAGCGATATGTCCGTCCTCCCCGATCCCACCGAGGAAGAGCTCGACGCCGCCGTACGAACGGATCTTTTCCTCGTACGACCTGCATTCGGAGGTTAGGGAGGGGGAAGTGCCGTTGAGCATGTTTATTTGGGTGGGGGGGATGTCGACTGTAAGGCGAGTCGGCGAGTCGGGGGGAGATAGTGTTGTCAGTACGCAGGTCAGAGGCTTGATACGGAGAGACGAAGATTGAAAGCTCACCGTGCTGAAAGACTACAGAGTACGCATATATTATCACCATGAACATCAGCCTCCATGCAATGCTTTACCCCATATCTTTGGCCGACGACCCGGGACTGACAGTTCTCGTGCATGAACGACCTGTAGCTCTGAGGGTGTGATGGGTCCAGACCGACGTATTCGTCCATGTTGAAAGTCACCACGTTCTGTTTTCGTCCCACGGTGATAACAACAAAGTTCCCGAGATCCAGAGCAGCATTCGAGAAGCGGAGAGCGACATCGACATGATCGTAATCATCAGCTTTATGAATCACCAACAGAGACCTAACTTAGCCTGCAACAAAGCCCCGAGGTACTCGCCTTGAAACTGATCGATCCGGCCCGATAGGCAGCGACGAGCTCCCTATACACTCCCAATGGCGAGGAGCCCGTAGGTAGTCCGAGGACGAACGGACGTTCCGGTGTAGGGTCGAACGTCTTGATACGTTTGATGATGTAGTTGGCTACGTAGGAACATGTTGTTCTGTCGTCGTCGCTGTAAGGTTCGAAAGAGATGGGAGGAAGGTCAGCAGGCGAGGTTGTGAACGGGTGATGCCTGGCGTCGGGACTTGCCGGATGATGAGACGCATGGTTGCGGATATTTGAACGATGTAGTTTGTACGAGTCGGTAGCTGTCTTTTGGGTCCAATGTCAATAGCTGGACTGACATGTTTGATAGTTATAAACTCCCACACATCCCAAGAGCACCACCTAGCCTGCCTGGACGTTGGCCGAGATCCGGTAAACCCGCCGAGACAGAGAGATGATCGGCCAATTCGGCTAAAACGCCACTGATCGGAAGTATTTCGTGTAAGCGAGACGTTTGATTCCGGTCAAAGGGTGGATCTGTTTCGGAAGCAAATAACGGATCGATATCGACCGAACGGGATTGAGTTGCGATGAAATGGTATCGTGTTGGTCGATTGCCCAAGGGTCCATCACGTCAATGGCAATCGATAACGAGGTCACAATCGCTCCATCGCAGCTGACAACATTACTCAGTCAGTTGGATCCAGGCCATATGAGAAAGGCAGGATGTCCGGGTCCGCTGCGAGTAACGAAAAGGTCAACCGGTCCAGCCGGGCCTGCCGTAAGTCCCGAATCAGGTCGAGACACCCGTAACCTCCTAAGCTGATCAGCCGGTATGTTCCACTCGCCTACCAGTCAACTGCAGGAAACACAAGGTCAGTTCTCCGTCTGTATCCGAATGCAGGTATGTGCAGAACTGAGACTGCCGTCATATGTGTCAGATGAAATGCGAGAACAACGATACGCCGCCATGTAAACGCTGTGAAGCCACGGGAAAGAACTGTATATTCACCCTCCGTGCGAACGCTGCTATCGGAACCGAGTCAGTCATGTTACAACTGCTCTGCTATGTAGCTTACCTAGTCTGATATTCCCCTAATTTGTCTTGCTCGATCCCGTCGGCCGACAGTCATGCAGGATGGTCAGAACAAGTCGAGATGCGTCTATACGACCTCGAAGTGGAAGTGAAATCATGGCGGCGGTATCGACACTTGCTTCACCGTAAAGGACCTGGTTCGGGGTACAAGGAAGAGAACGAAGATGAAGAGGATATCGATACGGGAGATACCGAGGTGGATGGGAACGGAGATCTGGATGGAGAGGAGGATGATGAGTTGGGGAGTCTGGGCCCAGGGGAGGCGGGGCAGGAGATGAAAGGTAGGGGGAAGAAGAGGAGGTTGACCGTAGGATCTATCAACAATGGAAAAGATCGACCCAAGGCGAATCGCTCGGGCAGTAACAACCAGAACAACCAGAATCAGAATGGTATCCCAGAAATGCAAACGGACCCGAGCGATCAGGGCTGGATGGCCGGCACGATATGGGAACCGAAGGAAGACGCTGCGGAACTCGTCAAGGTGGTCGCCCGACTCATGGAAGGGTTGGGACAAGCAAGACAAGGAAAGTCGTGGATCAACAAGAAGGACAGCGCTTGGAGTGTCGGTACCGTGGAGGGGTTGTGGAATAGGTCAGTTTGAAGAGCGAGTCTCGCTACAGCCCACGTCATGAGCTTTCGATCCTAAAAGAACTTTGTTTTGTTTTGTTGATTTCGGTTCCTGCGGGCTCGCCAGTTTCGAACAAGACTTTCTCCCCTTCACAGGGACCGGTCTACAACGCCTTCAACCTAGCCACCTCACCCCGCTTCTGATCGCCTCCATCTTGATGGTCACCTCGAGGTCCCTCTCGACACCAGAATCACTCGTCTGGAGCCGGACTTTCGAACACGCATCCCACCTGGCCTTTTCCGAGCTCGACTCGAATGCGGACGCTGAAGTCGTCGGAATCGCGATGGAAGCCGATCAGAGGGGTCACATGGACGTGCTCGGGTTGTTGATTTTCTGTCAAGCTGAAATAGGAGGCAAGAGGTCCCTTTCAGGGCATATCGCCTGGGCACATCAGATTATACTGGATAGCGTCGGTCTGGGAGAGACCGTCAGGGAAGAAGAATGGCGGACCCTGTGGGATGCGCTTCATGTGAGTGAAGATAAAGAAATCTGGATCGCTGATCGATGCGCGTGAACCGGGCTGACGTTGAAACTTGCAGACCTTGGATCAGCAACATCGTAGTCTACATCTCAAACGGTCCATCGTCTCGACCACCCCACCAGCTCCTCCCTTTTCCGGCCATTCGGCCGTTTCGTTTCCCAGCGCGGCAGAGGATATGGCCAAGATCAACGATATCGGGTATAAACACTTTGCGAGTCGAGGGTTCAGCTCGATCTTGGACGGTGTATGGAGGAGGAGGTCTAAAAGAGCTGCGGGGGAGACGAAGCAGGTCAGCATCAAGGACTTGGCCGTCCTCGATAATTGGTTGTCGCAGTTGAAGAAATGCGCGCAGAGGTATGATCTGCAAGGTAAGCGATAAGTAGGTTACCTCGATGTGCAGGGATGCGGCTACTGATGTCATGGAGAGCGGCTTGATCAGATGAACTACCGTACTTGCTGGATCGACTCGTCATCGAATCCATCGCTGCTAGTCGGCACTCGGCCATGTCAGGGACGGACCACGTCGCGACCGCTCGGCGAGTTTTGCAATGTCATGTCGCGAGGCCGTTGACGGTAGCGTCGTCCTATCAACTTGTGGTCAGTCTAGAATCACCGGAGGGTTAGAGAAGGTGGTCTCTGACTTGCACTACTCATCTTGCAGCTGTTGACAAGCGCCGCTCTCCATGTCTTGGACGACGGGAACGACGGGAATCGCAACGTCGTCGATCTCCAGCTAGTTCTCCAGCTGATGGTTTACCTGAGAAACTTTGAACTCGTACACTTGCGCGGGTTCGCCACAGAATTACACGCCTGTCTCAATCGGGAACTCGAAATCCTGGGCTCTACGAACCGATTGAACATGCAAGGTATCACAAACGAGAGTGGAATGATGGGCGCCAGCTCGGTACAGCAGCCTATGGGCTTTACACCTATGCAAATGGGAGGTGGAGGAGGCTTTTCTCAGACCGACCAGGAGATGCACTCCTGGAACCCAGTCACGAATCACACTCCACATCAACAACATCCGGATCAGATCTTTGGGGATTTCGACCCATCGTTCCTTTCCTCCTCATCAGGGATGCTCATGCCTCAAGATCTACCATTCGAGATGAGGTCGACGCCAGTCATGCAGAATCAGATGACGCCGCGGAGCCACGATCCGGGCAGACAGCCCATGCCTCTACCGTCACAACCGTTCCAGATTCAAGACGCACTAAACAAGTCGACCGAGACGTGGCCGCCAACCTTCTTGAGCTGGCTCAATACTTCGGCCACAGATCCCCCTCCGGACCTTTACGGTAAATTCTGATTTGTAAATCGTTGTACACTAGATAATGCATGACTACAATGATACCCGCACACGTCCTACTTGTGAGGAATGGCCAGCGCTGCTGCTCCTTCCCCTGCCGGGTCCTGAACCAGCTGGACGTCCCCGAATACGACCCCGACCCGGCTCAATGCCTGCTTGACCGCATCCATATATATCGGCTGGCTGATAAGTCCCCCGACGACGCTGAGAGTGGCATTCGAGACAGGTGCAAGGCCCTTTCTCTCGGCGATCTTGACGATATGAGCAATCTCGCCTGCCAAGACGTCCGTGGTCTCGGTGATGATCTCGAGAACGAGGGGGTCGTCCGGTTGCGATGAAGCGGAAGCGATGACCGGGATGGCCAGGTTGGCGATTCGCAGTTTTCGTCGATTCACGGCGGTGAGAAGATCGACATCAGGGTCGAGTTCGTGCTGCGGTCGTACAGCCAATTAGTCCGGATTAGTTAGTTGTCTTTGATGCGATTTGGGATCCCGGCTCTGATACTCACCAAAACAGAGGGTAGGTTGCCAGGACTGTCCGTATTGACCGCAGCACAAATCTCCTTGACGACCAAGCTCGAGGAAAGATCTTCTCCGCAGTTGAAAGCGTTCGTGATCGCTCGCACTGCCGTTACGCCCAGATGATAAGCTAGCACAAACACCCCAAACCGATTATCAGCCATCACGCTCCTTCCGCACGCACACCTCCTTTAAATCATATCGTTTTCGAGTCGACTCACCTGACCCCTCGTCCCCAAAGATATGTCCATGCCCTCCTCGTCGAGCGAATGGCACCGGAACTCCATCCTCGTTGATCACGCCCGAGATGACGGACCCCGTCCCGGCTACAACACAGATACCCCAAGGAGCGGATGCTCGAAGAATAGGGGCGGAGAGGAGAAGAGAGTCGTTGGTCACCCTGACAGGGGTTGTGCCGCTAGAGAAGTCAGAAGATCAGCGGGTAAATCAGTGGTCAGGTAACAAAGAGGTCGACCTCCAAAGCTGAGAGAAGAAGGTGAGCTTACAAGAAGTCCTTGAGAGCTGCTTCCATACGGTGGATATCGGCTTTACTGTCACAACCCGCAATCTAGCACACGATTGCAGAATGTCAGCTGGCCAGAACTTTGGGTTTGAGAAGACGAGCTGGCTGCGAACTCACCCCTGCCCAGGCGGATAACACGGGGAAAGGACATGCTTGTCGTACGTCTTGTGATGACGGATCAGGTAGGACCAGACCTGGGACCCTGGTAGCTGCGTCCAGTACTGCCTGTTTGATCCTGCGAGTCAAATAACTTTCGGGTGAGTCAGCTTGTTCGGGATGGAGGAGGACATCAGTATAAGATAGCTACTTACCTTTGAGATGAGAGCGCTACCCCAAGCTGAAAATCAACAACGACATGTGCATGTACTAGTGATCAGCTATAGAGCTTTGATACCCGAATCTATGCCGGACTTACTTCTGCCATATTGCCAGAACCAGCATAACCTCTAGAGACTTGACGTCCGTGCTCATCAGCGATGACCGCAGCGATCTTGGTTCCCCCGACCTAAAAGTTACCCGATCAACGGGTTAGTTTTCCTGCAAATAACGAATGGGCGTCGATAGACATCTGGTGCCTGTGATTCTTACATCCATGCAGACATGATACCCTCTTGTACCGTTCATATTCGCGTTGGTCATCTTTTGGTGTTCTTGGGGCTGGTTGCAAGTCTTAGGACGATGATTCGAGATGGCGATCTAGATTTCGGGAGTAGCCGGTCAACCCTTCTTGATATCGTCTTGGAGTATGGTAAAGTGGGATGATTCGGCCTCAACCAGACTTTGCACTGGCAACTTGTCCATGACTATAAATTCTGATATCAATGGCTGTAGGATCAGATCGGGCATTGTATGCTTGACACAGGCGATGTCGGGATATGACCCGGTATATGCCGAGTTCCGGCTCGACTTTCACGTCAAGCTGTGCCAATTCTCAATCAGCTCGATCAGTCAAATGGGTATGGCGATAATTCCCTATCCAGTGTTTGTACACATGTACACATGTCACATTCTCATCCTAGCTCTGGTCTTCTAAGCTACAGTCAAGTCATCAAAAATAAAACCGCGACGAGCATCCCAGCTGTCAACTTCATTGTCGTCTCCGTACCATACAGTGCCAATGAGCCAGCGTCGGCAAACTCTGCAAACTCGGCGGGTTGGCAAACCATGCTACCTCGTACTCTTCCTCGTTCCACGTCGATCCGATGAACGACCGCAAGTACCGACTGGATTCGGATAGCGCTTGTCGGACTTGAGCTTCGTGTGCGTCTTCGTACAAAAGCGAGGACATCGTCGTTGATGATGGTGGTGTCGATTTACGTGATGGGAAAGATCCAGACAGACCCCGAGTTTGGATCGTCCGCCAGGCTGCTAAGCGTACCTCGGGTGGGAAATGCTTGGGTACGATGCATGGATGAAGCAGAGGTCGTTTCGACCAGACGATATAGTGCGTTATGTCTGGTAACAACAGGTGAGATCAGGATCTCCGCCTGACAATCGGGACTGGTCCAGATTCATACTCACCTGTATCCACGGCATAAGGAAACGGCGTCTTTTGCACCGAACAGTCCGCTTCCTCGCCTTCGAACCACCCTCCTCTCCCATCTTCACATTCTGCATCGAGGTCGTGCGCACATCCTTCCAACTTGATGGCCTGAGCAGGAGATCCCACTAAATCGTCCTCGTTCCAATGAAGCACTTGTCGCATGATATAGTTTCTGGCGGAAGAGTACTCGAGCGCGATCCGTTTCAGGTGCGCGAGGTAGGTTTGCAGTACAGAGGGGAGGCGGTAGAATTTGTGCAGGTCGCCGTTTTCTTCAGAAGTTCATGATAAGTCGAGTTAGAAAGCTTGGAGCAGCTATATCTAGTGTATTATCACAGGTGGCTCACCGACGATGGAGTTGACGTCTTCCCACTCCAGGACGATGTCCCTCAAGGAAGACTCGCTCGTCCTCGAACTGCTCGGCGCGGAGACGATCCTCATCGTCGTCGTCGTCGGCATCGCCTTTTCGTCCATCATCATTCGGCACGCACCGAGATCGTTGTCATACGTCTTGCTGTAGCATTTTTGAGCAATTTCAGATCAGCCCTTTGAGAAGAATGGTTTGGCGTGGGGACTTACGGAGAATACGATCGGGTCATCGTCCACTTGACAGGCATACACTGCATCCTTGCTTGTTGCACAATGGCGCAAAAAGCAATTTTCGAGCGGACCTCCCGCCTCGGCCTACGTACGAAAACGTCTATCTGAACCTCGACTCGGTATATAAGGGATCAGTCGATACAAAATCCTCACGTATGACGACACACGTTGAATCCCGGTCGACCCGGTATAGTTGGGCGAGTTTCGGCAGGTATCCCGAAACACGTGGGTCTGGGTGACGGGGGTTGTCGCGATCACAATCTTTCGGACCGGGGTCTTCGACCGCAGTCGACAGCGAGGGTTGGTGAGATGTGTAGAGTTTTGTGGAGGACAGCGTGGACAGAATATGGAAGGCACAGCTTTGAGGCCAGAAGGAGGGTCTATTATCGGGTAGTCATAGAGCTGGTGAGACGCGCTTGTTCTCCTGAGCGCCATCGAAATCAATCGTCCGCCGAGCGTCAGGTATGCAGGTCATGACCATCGCTGATGATAACACTTTACAACCATACCAATCGTTACAAAGCATTACATACACCCCTTCGCCGCTCACACCGATCCGCTTAAACACCTCTTCTGAAAATCGTCATACAGCACGTTCTGATCCTTCAACCTCGACTCTTCCGCAGCAAAGACCATCAAGTGGCTCCTCAAGATGTCCTCGGGCTCGACCCCTAAAGCCGTCTGATCCTGCTCGCTACAAGCCCGGATGAACGACCTCATCAGTCCCATATCTCCTCCCCCGTGCCCACCGCCTTCGTTGGCAGGCTCGTGGTGGGTAGATTCTCCTGTTCGGAAATCGGTGACGGTGTAGGTAGACATGTCGCCGACGATCTCGCCGTGAGAACCGTGGATTCGAGTCACGCGGTTACAGACTTGTTTCGTAAAGGCGACCATGGTGAAACTGGCCGTCGTCCCGTCCTTGTATTGGATATTAACAACCTGCAATGTAGCAAACTCTGCGTCAGCATGAAGTCTGGAAAGCCATGCGGAGCGTACAACATTCGTCCTAACCCCCACTCACCTGTTGATCCACCACATCGTTATCACCGGAATACACACACTTTCCCCACCTCCCACCTGCGATCCCATCCGGTTGGATGGCCGCGGCGACATTCTCGATATCAGGGGGTTCGTCCAGGATATGGGTGGCCCAGATATCATCCCCGCTATCCCTCTTCGGGCCGTCGTAGACGGGTTCCAAGTAGATCTATATATTTTTCGCGGAAGAGGTATCAGACGAAATTCCCTAACGAGTAGACCGGTCCCAAAACCATATCATTGTAGGCTGGAGACTGACCTTTTTAGCGGAATAAGGGCACTCGGGCTCATAAGCACATCCAACGCAATGCGTCGCATCCCCAGCCTCATTGGGTTTCTCAGAAGGTTTGAAATGGTTCAGGTTCCCGAAGGAGGAGAGTGAACGAGGTTCGATCTGGTCTGACCGGTAGAAGCTGGAGAAAAAGAAAAAGCAGAAAAAAAAAAGGTATCAGATCGGGAGAGGGGCAAGGCAGAGAGATCGGACCGAACAAGGAAAAACGCTGATAAAGGCGAAATCGCCCTCACCAAACATAGAACGTGTATTTTATAGTATGAATATGACCTGACTTGACTCACTTGAGGATATCGATATCATGACAACTCTTGGCCATCAACGAGAAACTCGCCGTCTTTTCGTTCCTCCAGTTCCCGCGGACGTAGGAATGCGCGAAATGTTGTCTGCCGACGGGTTCGAGGTGTTGGATGTTGATGATCTTGCCGAGGATCCCTGTGGAGATTGTTTGGCGGATAGAGGTGTTGTAGGGGGAGTACCGGAGGACTGCCAGAAGAAAGAAGGAAAAGGAAATCAAGTTACCGGAGTGGAGAGGTTAAGAACGTATGTGAAGGGGGAGAATGTGAGTGGTTTTGAGAACGCGGGACTCACCGTGCCCACAACCAAAGATGACCCCGTGTTTCTTGACCGCCTCGACGATCCCCACACACTCCTCGATCGACGTAGCGATCGGCTTCTCACACAAGATATCGTACCCCTGCTCGGCAAACACTTTGACCGCCTCGGCGTGACCTCGATCCATGATAGCGATGATGACGGCATCAGCGACTTTTCCACGGGAGGCTAGTTCTTTCCAATCCTTGAAGACTAGGTCGGAGGGGATGGAGTGTCGTTTAGCTAGGGTGGACCGGCGGGTCGGGCGAGGTTCTGCGAGGGCGACTAGACGGCATGTTGATGGGTTCAGGGAGATGTAGTCGGCGTAAATCTTTCAGAATGCAAGGCAGCACACTCTGCATCAGTATTATTGATGGGTGAGACGAAGTCTTCAAAGGGTATTCGACTCACTCCTCCTCGTTGTCCCGCACCGATCAGGGCGACGGTGACAGGGCGATCTTGAGCAGGAGCCAGCATGACGGTCGTGTGTTGATCAAACCGAGATCTGTCACCTAGATGCGATCCGTACTGGCACCTGGTTCACACCCCCTATTATGTTTGTGGTTATATATTCGAATCGAACCGTTCGTCATTGGCCAGAGATCCCAGACGTCCGATCACAGATCCACCCCGGGAGTTGATAGCGGAAGCAAATTACATCATCACATGGCGTTTGCGCCGGCTCGGTTAGCCGATCCCGGTTTCCCCGGATCAGAGAGAAACGCCGAAAGTCGTCGGATGCTATTCTTCGGATGCAGAATGTCGAAACAGATCTGGGTATCTTGGACCACTCTGTCCTCTCATACCACTGCACCACTGTATGCCTGATGCTGGGCTCTTTAGTTATCTGCCGAAGAGGAAGGAAACCTCCCGAGTTGGAGGCCGTCGGACCGTATCTTGAGCAGTCCTGGCGTGTGAGGCAAATACGTCATGATGGCCGTGTCTTATCATACCATATGACTTGCGCTTGTCGCTTTTGCAGCGACCCCTCACCCGCCTAACCGCAAGCCAGAAATTCCTAGGCTGAGGGGTGCAGCGAAGTGAAGCAAAAGGCAGATTGTGAGATTCTCATCACCCACGCGATTGTCATGTCGTATCGATTCGATGTCATTGATTTCCATGCATGTTTTCCATATGGCCATAATGACAGAAAGAACATGTTATGCTGTGTACTACACGACGACCTTCAAACCCTTCTTGCTCGATCGAATGTGATGCTCAACAAGCCACGTACTTGTCATTGAATTGCCAATCCACCTGCTCCACGTCCAACCCCCCATAGACCGCCAGACAAGGAACGTTATCCTCCTTCTCCCTCACCCCTTCTTGACCCTGGTAAACGTCCCCTGCTTCCCCCCAGATCTCGGCGATGGAGCACTTTTCGAATAACATGGCTTGGCGAATAACGGATAAGGGTACTTTGACTTTTGGGTCCGAGTTCGAGTGGGAGATGTAGGAGATGTACATGGTACTCGGGGAATGGGGGGACGTCTCGTAAAAGTAGGTGAAGAAGGGTCTCTCCTCTAGTCCGTCCTGAGCGGATTCGGAGCCGCTTTGAGGGGAAGGAGAAGAGGGGCCGATGAGGCCGTACGTCCGAGGTTTGCCCAGGGCGAGGGTGATGGGCGAGAGTTGGTCCCGAAGACAATGCGAGTAGAGCGTGCCCCTGTTCAGTTCCAGATTTGCATTCGCGATCCGGAATCAGCTTAGCCGACGTTATTCTATCAGCGCAAACACACCTTTTTTTCAGATTGACTCACTTTGTAGGCAAGACGGCCACCTGGACTTTCCCGCCCGTCTCCCGCTCCCGGAGTTGTTTTTCGATCTCCCCCGCTACCCTCGGTTCCAACTCGCGCACCTGTTCTGCTGTCAAGTATTCCCAGCCGTCCGGGGTCGACTCCTCTGCTTCTTGTTCTGGTTTTTGGTCTTGTTCTTGTGAAGGAGTAGAAGTCGAGATGGTGGGAAGCTCGATAGTATAAGTCCGAGTAGGTGTCCCCTTGAACACCCACCCGGGTAAGCTGGAAGGACCGAGACCCATCCGAGCCGAGGCGTAGTATGATTTCCCTACACCGCTGTAGAGGACCTGTTCCAATCTCCCAAAGCGTCAGCTGCTCCGTGGCAAAATGATAGACTCCGAAGAGATCTGAGAAATCCGAGACATCAACTCACCGAGAAAGCTATTTCCCTCTTCCAACCCCCCTCTCCACCCTCTTCTACCACCGGAGGTTCACCCCATTGCTCTGACGGGAATGGGGGCAGATCTTCCTCCTTGGCCTGGACGTAGTGAAGCAGAGAGAGCATGTGTTTCGCGTACTTGTACTTGGCGAAGAGGGGGTTGACAAAGACACAGGCGACGCCTGTGCTCTGTACTTTGATGGGTTCGGGGGATGAAGGTTGGCGAAGTAGGGCCGGGCGGCGATATCTGCAGTGGTAGTTGGTAGGCAAGGTGAGTCGATACGAGATGGATAGACTTTGGAGTTGGATAGAAGAGAGAGAGCAGACTCACGTTTCACAGTGAGCCAGGATCTTTTCCGTTGTGTCTTGCTCGTCCCGAGGTACGAGGACCCTATTGACCCGCCATCAAACTCAATTCTATCAGCAAAGACCACCCTACAGGCCAAGATCTAGACCAGCTTGTCTATCCCATCTACTGACCAAGTGACGAATCCACCTCCTACGCTCCATTCTTCCTTCTCCATAACTTCGTCCCGCTTCAAGTACATTTCCAGATCGAACCCTTTCGGCTGTCCCCAAAGCGGGAAGGTATCTTTGCGGGTAAATAGCGTCTGTGCCGGAGAAGCTCGGACGAGGGTCGTCTGTGCATAGGTGTAGGGTGCGTCGGGGGTCGACATGGTGAGAGGCCTGCTGACGAGTATGAGCTTGATAGACGGACAGGTGGATGTCCAAGATCCAAGACGTGGATCTGACAGCAGATATCGTCGACAGGGCATGACGAGATATCGATGATGATGATCAGGATAGGGGTAGGCAATCGCTCCCCGGCAAATCCGAGCGGGTTGACCCCGATTTCGCCGAGAGATACCGTTGATACCTCGAGGTTGATAGGTTCCGAAAAGTCAACGAAGACGTGCGGGAGAAGAAACGCGGGGACCCGATCGATCTCGGTGAGTTTCTCTCCCGAGAGCAGGTCGCACGAGGTGACCCTGTAGGCGATCGCCGTTGCATCCGTTCACGGTTGATGGATGGACCAGATACGGTAGAGAGCGAGACGAATCAAAGAGGATATATATCAGATCGTCGTCGACATGACTTCAGCTACTTATCCCGCCAACGTTTATAGACTCCACTCAGACACCCAAACCATCTACAAAGCAACGTACCTTGAAGATGATCAACCAGACCGATCAACCGCTCGCCCTAGGAATGCATCCGGCTGACACGGTCGACAATGACAACAAGCACGACGACCTGGCCAAGGAAGAGGTCGTTGTGGCTCCTTCCATCTATGATCATACCACTCACCTCGAGCAGGAAGATCAGGCTCCCCCGGTCACCAAGAAGGAGTTATGGTGAGCTGGCGGGCAGTTGTCTGCGTATTTCAGTTGGGACATCTCTGACGTTTCCTCGGTTCCGCTCCTATCGATCGCAGGTCTTACTGTAAGCGAGATCGCGTGCCTTGCTTGGCTCGGATCCGATGTCATGAAGCGCTGACGCTGAATCGCAAACGTCTCTGAACGTTTATCATAGATCTGTACTACCAAGGAGACTGTGGAACTGGACCTAATGGTTATGCGCCGACTCAGTTTCAAAAGCAAGTCCCCACACCAACCTATCCAATTCATGCGAATCTTTACTTACCTTCTTCGTCTGATTTCCCTCGATTTTGATATAGCTTGATGACCCAAGCCTCCTACTCCCTCGCCGACGGTCCCGCAGGCGCCGGCCAATGTAAAGGAGACTCCGCCCACTGTTTCCTCCCCTTCGGATCAGGCGAACGATCCGTCTCCTCGATCTTCCTCCTCGCCAACGGGATCTCGTTCGCCATCATGACACTGGGGTTCACGACTTTCGGAGGATTGCAGGATTATAAGACTTACAACAGGTGGTTCTTGATGGGCTTGACCATAGTCTGTTGGGCGAGTTGCTTGGGATTCTTGGGGGTCAAGGATGGGAGCGATTGGAGGGCGGCCATGGCGCTTTACATGGTGAGTCTCGCCAGGGGCCTTCTGCTTGCTGTGAATCGTTGTGCTGATCGTCCGGGGCTTTCATGCAGATCGGGTATATCACCTACGGAGCCACCTTGGTCTTCTATGCGTAGGTATCCCCTTCTGCCCCGACGCAACCAATCTTCACCATCGAAATTTCAATGCTGAGATACTTATTTTTATGTCGACGTCTATAGCGCCATCTTCCCACGTCTCGCGCGAGCGCTTCCTACCGAACGTGAGAACCGCGACAAATTGAGGCAAGGAGAGATCACCTTCGAAGAGTTCGAAAAGAGGTCGTCGATGAACAGGAACATGGTCTCTAGTATCTCTACGGCGCATTCCAATTGGGTGAGTTAGGTCGAGATCCTGTCGCTTTGTTGGTGGTAGGCGCTGATGTATATAACGTTCATGGTGATAATCTTGTAGGGCTACCTGCTCACCCTCTCCCTGAACTTGTCCATCCTACTCCCCCTGGCTTCTTCCAACCAAGTCAACAACTACGTCATCGCCCTCTGTACCGTCTACTGGATCATCCTAGGTGTCCCCTGGTTCATCTTCCAGAAGACTCGTCCCGGTCCCGACCTTCCTAAAGGTTCCAACGTGGTTACCGTCGGGTGGCAACAGATCATCGTCGCCGTCAAGGAGATCCGAAAGTTGCCGCAGACTTTCATCTACTTGGGAGGATTCTTCTTGCTCGCCGATGGGTTGAACACGACGGGGACGATGGTGAACATCGTGCAGAACAACAACATCGCGTTCTCTTTCTTGGACTTTACCTACCTCGGGTTGGTCCAGGCCGGGTGCTCTGTGTTGTCCCTCTACGCTTTCTGGTGTGAGTATTGGATTGTTTCGGCTTTATGCAACTCTTTCCCTTGATCATTCGACTGAACTTGTATGTTCGAACGTGCTTAGACATTCAGAAATGGTTCAGGCTCGACACCAAGGTCATGTTCACCGTGACTAATGTTTTCAGTTGTCTGATCCCTCTTTGGGTTAGCTTGCTCTCATTCGAGCACCATGTCACTCCGCTCTCAACTGACTGTTCTTCACTCGCTCGCAGGGAATGATCGGCATGTGGACTGACAAGATTGGCTGTGAGTCCCGCATCTGTGTCTCATATTGGTGCTCCATGACGCTAACCTATTGAATGGATTCTTACCAGTCCACAACCGATGGGAATTCTACATGTACAACGCCGTCTTTGGCTTGTTCCAGGCGCCGTACTATGCTTATTCTCAGACCATGTTGTCCGAGATCTTGCCGCCTGGTACGTGCGATAGCAAAGCGCGGTGGCGCGCGATCATGATGAAACGGTCAAGCTGAAACTGCGACATTCACTCTGCAGGATTCGAGGGTACCTTTTTCAGTCTTTTCGGTCTGACCAACCGTGCGAGCTCCATCATCGGGCCCAACGTATTGTCCGCAAGTGAGTGCCAATTTATTTTACCCTCAATGATGCGGATTCGCATGCTGATTCTATCTTGTGGATACGCCCTCTGACAGTCATCAGCGCTTCGGGCAACAACTATACCGGTTTCGCCTTCCTCTTTGCGCTCTGCACTGCAGCGACCCTCCTTTTGGTGATCTTTGTCGACGTCAAGAAGGGTCGTGCGGATGCTCTGGCCTATGCCGAGAGGAAGAGGGCGGAGCAGTATCAGTCGAACGACCATATCGAGTGAGACAGCGAGGCGTTTTAGCCTTCTTGAAGAGGGTCATCCGGTTCGAAGTTTGTGCGCATGTCAAGGTTGTTCATTGTACGCAGCGGTGGATTCGAGGAAACTTTGTATAGGTAGCTGGATCGTTTGTAACCTTCCTTTTCAAATGTCGTGATACGAAACCGTACTTTGCAGCGTTAGCGACACAGGCACTCGTCTCAAGTGGACCGAGGTGTTTTGAGATGTTATGCAGAACAAGAACGATTCCGAGAGCAGGACGGCAACGATACTCTCATCTTTGGCACCAGGCCAGGCGCTTCCGCTCTGACCACCGTATCATTGCTCTTGTACACGTGCTTGTCGCGATTATTCATTTCACTCCGAGTTGGTCTGATCGTACTCGTACAAGGCGTACTGTAGAGGATGTGAATGCCTGACTTTGCGACGACAAGCGCGCGCGTGCAGCAGGGGGGCAGGTGATCGCCGTTGTCACCTCTATCTTCTGTGGTATATCATGTCATGCGTCGGCATAACGATTGAATGCCTAGAATGAATACACTCAAGTACAATGCCTACTGGCTTTCGGCGTATACGGCAGTGGATAATCAAGGTCGAAGTGATCCCTCTTCGTTGGGGATTGTTGTTGTCAAGATGGATGGCAGCTTGCTTCGGCTTGCTGATGACGCGGCAGGTTCGGCAACTTTCCAGCTGCAGGTGGCACGCTTGAGCTACCGAACAAGTCGAGACGATTCAATACAAATGCAGTTGTACATGTCAAGCACGCAAGCACTCATCGAGGCATACTTGACCTCTATCTCTGCTAAGCAAGATTCTGTCATGCCGTCAGCTCTATCAGGGTACTCAGTATATGTACCGCTTTGACCGGGTCTTGGCTTAGCCGGCGACATGTTCCGTATCGGCTTCTCGTTTGCAGGGTCCGCTCAGGGCTTGTTCGCCAAGTTGCCAATGTTCAACTATAACGCCTGGATCTTCGGTGCAACATGGGTACACTGTATAGCACGGGTCGGACTTCTGTGGGTCATAGTTAGCGGCGCGGCGTCTTATATTCTGTGAGCTGAACGACCTGAACATATTCAGATGCCGGCAGCTCAAGCATGTCAAGCGGAAGTTGCCGGAACTCGAGGCCTCTCTAGAACGGCCTTACACACGAGGCCAAGCCGAAAGCATGAAGCAGGGCTCGTGGCTGAAGTTCAGCATCTTTGACAATCTGTACATGTCGACTGCTATCACCGCGATGGTTCGGTTCGGACTGTACCGCCGGCTGTGGAAGCTGAGCTCAGGATACTTCGCTAGAAGCGATTCGCGGTGGAAGGGACCTGTAAGTGATTGGCAGATCACTGCACTTTTTCTCTTCTTTCTCTAGCAGGGCTGACATGATGTAGACAAGCCCGTAGATATTACAGCAAATGGCTTATTATGCCATGGTGCAAGCTGTTAGCTACCTAGTCGAATTGCCCATGAGCTGCTGGAGCGAATTCATCAAGAACAACTGGCCAGCTCGTCCCCGCCTTGTTGCCCTATGGATCGGTGCTGGCACCGTACTGGATGGGATTCCCTCGATATTGTTATCCAGCCTGAAGGCTCTCCCTATCGTAGTAGCCAGCAAGTGGATCGACGATGATCACTTACTGGCTATAGGCGCGGCAGGGACGTGAGTCCCGCTTTGCGCTGCGACTCACACTGAGGGTCCCGCTTACTTTGTTCTTGACGCGAACGTTCAGTTTACTGGTCCCGCTCATCGCCTGGACGTTCAGCTCAAAGCTTTTTCTATCGGCATTTCCTGAATTTAAGAGCTTGGAGGATGGACCGGTCAAAGAGAAAATAGAGGATCTGGCCCGGAAGGTGCAGTTCCCGGTAGAGAAGATCTACAAGAGCGAGCCTAATCTGAAAGTGCCGGAGGAGAGCAGAGATGATGTTCCGTACGTTCCGCAGGGATATAAGAAAGAAGTTTCGGTATGCTGACGAGCAGTTGCGCATATTCGGTAGGCGATGCGTCGCATTCGGTTCAAAGGTCTTCGTTGTAAGTCACAATAGGAGCAATCGCGGACCCGTATCCGCCGCCCTCTTTTGAGACTGAACCCGTTTTGAAAAACATCTCATAATTAGACCATACCACAAGGGCTCTTGGAAAAATGTTCGGACGATGAGGTGCTCGCCATACTTGCACACGAATTTGGTCACTGGAAACACAGTGAGTATCAAACCGTGGCATCGTCAACGCACCGTCAAACTTACCTGGTCTTGTGATTGATAGAACATAGTACAAAATCCTACTTGTTCACCCACGGAACCCTCCAAATCGTTTTATCGGTGCTCTTCTTCAAGCAAGATCCCAATTTTTTCCGGTCATTCGGATTCTCTGCCGACGTCGTGCAGGCGAAGGGCTCGGCGGTGATAGCGTGGACGTTGTTCGAGAGGTTTGGGCTGTCGCTCATGCCTTTCTGGACGATGGCGCGGAATAAATGGAAGCAACAACAAGAGTTCCAAGCCGGTGAATGCCTATTCTTTCTCGATATTCACATGAACATCCCTAATGAAGTGGACTTCACTACGAACAGATGCGTTCGCAACCTCCCTCGGGCTAGGTCACCCGCTGGTATCCTTCCTGGAGAGGAACGAATCCAGGCAACTTGATATCAACCTCCCCGACCGATGGTTGAATATAATGTCGTCGACTCATCCTCCCCTGGCTTCCCGAGTCAAGGCTATCCAACAGCAACTTGGAAGGCTCGACAAGACGTTATGACGAGATGTGATAGGCCACTCCGCCATGTCATCGAGGTTAGGCTGCCCCCCATGTCGCGAATTTTCTCCGAGTTGTAATGCTTTTCTCACGTTAGTCGCAATTACGCATTCGACCTTGCCTTGACTGTAATTCAACTGAATCAGAAATGATACTATCGATACCCTTCTCAAGTAAGTTGGCACGTCGCACTTTTGCCCAGGCTATCAAGCATCCATGTGATATACGAGGCCAAAGCCAAGAGCGCGTGCCCAAACATGGAGGGGGAAGAAGGACCTACTAGATGTGACTGACCGATCTATATCGAGGTCTTGGCGATTGACGCAGAATCACAGGCGCTTGACCATGAAGCGGCGTCGGATTGGGGATTACCGTGCGACTGGCTCGTCGATAGTTGAGACAAGATCCCACCACGAACAGCTTCCGAAACCCGAGGCTGAACGCTCCTCTTCATAAAACACGCCTTAGCAGACCAAATACCGAGTTAATACATCATCGAATCTTTTGATGACTCGCGAGCGCGAGCGCGAGTTGCGAATCTATTACATCCCCTTTCTCTCCATATAACAGAACAGACCTGTTCGTAGGCCGTTGCCGATCTCTTTTATCGAGAGCCGGGCGTTTACGACCGATTTTCGGCGTCAATCTCTCCGAGCAACATTTGTCCGTCCTTTCCACCGGTCAATACTGTGTCGGATACAAGCAAAGATCGATGTAAACGTCAGATGCGAAGACCGTACGCGGGCACGAGACGGATCAAGACCGAGGCGCGGGTGTACTCACTGATCGGTTCCCTCGGATGCCAATCCACCGCCCCGACAGACCCCTTGTGTCCGCCCAACTTGTACAAGATCTTCCCGCTCTCCACCTCCCAGACAGTGACCGTCCTATCCCCCCCGCCACAGGCCACTCGGGCTCCTCCGTCCGTCTGGCTCCATTGACACTTGATCAACATCTGTTCGAACCCCGAGGGTGCGCCTGTGAGCGTCCGATAGACCCGGGTGGGGTCGGAGGAGAAGGGTCGGACGTCGTGGATCATCAGGGTGGAATCGAGGGAGTAGGAGAGGAGGTGGTGCCCCGATGGAGAGAGGGCGAGGGAGGCGATCTGCGAGGGCGAAACGAGATGGGGTGGGAGACGTTCTCAGCTGCACCGTGATCAAGAGAGAGCGGGGACGGTGCAAACACGTACGGTATCGGTATGACCCTTGAGCGTGTACAAGATCTCTTCTTTACGCAAATCCCAAACCTGTTCCACTCCGTAGTCATCAGCTCACACACTTCCTCGGCTTCTATCTACCTATCCATTATTCGTCGTTTTCGACCTGATCCCCCCGGGGCGGACTCACCTTGATCTCATTATCGATCCCCCCAACGTAACAAACCCCCCCATCCTTCCCCCACTCGACGGCCGTCACGCACCCTCCCAACCCATCGTCCAACTCCGCTACCGGCGTCTTTTCCCCATCCTCAATCAGGGCTACCGGGTCCCAAACCCTAGCTACTCCATCATCTCCTCCGGTCAAACAGAGATCTTTCCCAGAAGCTGTGGAGTTGGTGACAGAGAGGGAATTGACGGGTCCGTAGTGTGCAGAGAATTTACCCAGTTTTTGACCCGAGGAGAGGGAGGTTAGGAGGAGGGTCCCATCAGCGGAGGTTGTATACAGGAGAGAAGGGTCAGAGGGGGAGAAGGAGAGGTCGGTTATGGCTTGTTTGTGGATGTTGGGGAGGTAGCCGTTGTTCTCGTGTGGAGGGTAGGTTTGCCAGAGCGCTTTTATGTCGTGTCGTACGGTCGTAGGATTAGTGTTGGGGCAGAAAGTCGAGGAAGGGGGAGTGATCAAGAGCAAGAGGAAATCATGATCAGTACATCAATATGATCATGATCGGCATCAAGCCTCAGACCGTGTGAACACAGGCAAAGGCAAGTAGGAAGGATGGCTTCGATGGACTTACAGACACATCGATCTGCTGAGGCCGCTGCGATCCTCTCCCCCGTCTTGTCAAACTTGCAAGCGATGATCTCGCCCTGTCCGAGTCAGACCAGATAGAGCGATGAGAGCGGAAGAGATTCAAGTAGAGTTTGAATGCAAGTAATATGATCAGTCGCTCGACAGCAAACACATGTCGACCACCCCGGCCAAGGTCGACTGGACTCACTCGATGAGCCCCTCCCAGGCTGACGATGGGCGCCGCCAACCCGCTCGTCCTCTTCACCGACCTGACCAAGGCACCCTTGCCACCTGCCACACCGGACGAAGCTACGGTCATGGTCATCCCACCGTCGTTACCGTCCTCCTCCTGGTCGTCATCATCGACCCGAGCGCGTTTGGTGAGCGCTCCTTGTTGCGAGGTCGGTGGGGGCGGGGATTTTCGGACGGACATCTCGGGATCGATCTGAGGGTGTTCTATCTGGCTATGAGACTGTGGGGAGTAGCAGGGAGCCTCTGGGTATATGAGGTAGGTAACGAGGTGGTGACAATAAGATAGACGTTGTTGGTCCCCCTTCGACCTTGTTGACTTTGCGCTTTTCGCCTTCGCGCGGTCGATTTTGAGAAGGGGAAAAAGTTGGAGAAAGCGACTTTCGAGGACTACTTTGTGACTTCTTGATCGTATCGTAGACATCTACTACACCATCCAGGCTTACTATACAGCCCAGAGACCTAGCCCATCTGAAAGCCCTGCCAAAATAACACCTTACAGGACCGCCAAACGATGTCCTATCAATCCACCCGCGGGCCTCAAAAGAGAGCTTATACGAAACCTAGACCGAGCGAGTTGGTGGACGAACCGGTGAAACGGTCGTTGTTGGACGAAAAGGCCAAAAAGGCCAAGTTGATGGACAAGCAGAAGAGGAGGGAGGAGAGGAAGGTGAAGGAGGTGGTAGTAGAAGACGAGCAGAGCGGGAGCGAGCAAGAGGAGGGGGATGAAGAGGAAGATTTGGAAGGCGGGAGCGAGGGAGAGGAAGAAGACGGTGTCTCTGGATCAAAGGCGGACGACCTGGACGACCTGGACGACGAGGACGACGAGGACGACGAGGACGACGAGGATGAAGAGGATGGTGAAGACTCAGACGAAGGAGAAACCTCGAACCCCGCCGCAGACCCGATCGAGCTGGAAGACGATACCACTTTCGCCTCCCTCGGCCTCATCCCCGAACTCGTCAAAGCGACAACCTCGCTCTCGTTTACCAAACCCACTCCTATCCAAGCTCGTTCTCTCCCCCCGGCATTAGCTGGGAAGGATATCATCGGACTAGCCCAGACGGGGTCGGGGAAGACGGCAGCTTTCCTCCTCCCCATCCTCCAATCCCTCTTTACCTCGGACTCTCCTTCTCCGTTTTACGCATTGGTCTTGGCTCCAACAAGGGAACTGGCTTACCAGATCGACCAGACGCTGAAAGGTTTGGGAGCGGGGATAGGGGTGAGGAGCACGGTACTCGTCGGAGGGATGGATATGATGCAACAGAGCGTATCGTTGGGAAAGAGACCGCATGTGATCGTGGCTACCCCGGGGAGGTTGATGGATCATCTGGAGAATACGAAAGGGTTCTCGTTGAGGAACCTCAAGTACTTGGTAAGTCCCCCTAGGTCTCTTCCTATTCCTCTTGATAACAAGCCATGCTTGTCATTTCCTCCTGTTGGTTCTTCTCGCCATCGCCTCCCGTACCCGTCCTGACACCCACCCCGACCTCCTTTTCCCCTTTTTCCCTCCTTTTCCCTCCTTTTTCCTTTTTTCTGTTTTCCTCTTTTTTTTTCTTGTCGCGTAGGTCATGGACGAAGCCGACCGTCTCCTCGACCTCGACTTTGGACCCATCTTGGACAAGATCCTCAAGGTCATCCCGAAGGACGAACGACGGACCTACTTGTTCTCGGCGACGATGACGACCAAGGTGGCCAAGCTACAGAGGGCTAGTTTGAAGGATCCGGTCAGGGTCGAGGTCTCCAGCAAGTAAGCAGCCGTGTTCGTTCAGGGTTGGGGGTTGGTAGTCAGGGTATGAGAGGTTGGTCAGGTGGGCTTATGAACTTTCGTCCATGCTTCTGCGGCAAATCTCACCACTCGCACAGGTACTCCACCGTAGAGACGTTGCTGCAATACTACCTCCTCCTCCCCCTGAAACAAAAAGACGCCCACCTCGTCTACCTGACCAACGAGCTCTCCTCGTCGAGCACCATCATCTTTACCCGGACCGTCGCCGATGCCCAGAGGCTGAGCATCATTCTCAGGTTGCTTGGGTTCCCGGCGATCCCGCTGCACGGGCAGTTGAGTCAGAGTTCGAGGTTGGGAGCTTTGAACAAGTTCAAGAGTGGCGGGAGGAAGATCTTGGTGGCGACCGATGTGGCTGCGAGGTGAGTTTGGCGCTTTCCTCCAAGCCAGACGTATCCGACGAGAGAACACTTATTGACCTCGGACCGTCGTTCTCACGCACGTAGAGGTCTCGATATTCCCCTGGTCGACCTGGTCATCAACTACGATATCCCCACCCATTCGAAAGAATACATCCATCGGGTCGGTCGTACGGCCCGTGCAGGTCGAGCGGGGAAAGCCATCACGCTCGTCTCGCAATACGACGTCGAGCTCTTGCAGCGCATCGAGGGCGTCCTGGGCAAGAAGATGGACGGGTATTCGGTCGACAAGGAGTCGGTGGCCGTGCTCGGAGAGAGGGTTTCGCAGGCGGCGAGGGAGGCGGCGATGGAGATGAGGGAACAGGGCAAGGCTGGGCATGGCGGGAAGCGGGGGAGAGAGTATGCGGGAGGTGCGGGGGACGACGCCGATCGAGATGACGATGTGAGGGAGGCTGGGATGGCGTACAAGAAGCAGAGGCGGGGCGGTGGGGCGGGAGGTGGTGGTGGTCGAGGAGGTGGCAGTGGCGGAAGAGGTGGTGGGGGCGGCCGTGGCGGTGGACGTGGCAGGGGAGGTGGACGAGGACGAGGAGGTGGCGGTCGACGATGATCGCCCAGCCTTACCTTGTACCTGCCTTCCCTCACTCCAGTTGTATCCCGTCACGTCATCGCATCACCACATTATCGCGTCCTCGCCATTATTATCATATAATATAGATGATCATGAACGTCACACGAGCTCGAAGAAGCCCTAGAAGCATACATTTCGCCCTACTTCTTGCCTCTGCTGCTACCTTGTCCCTCGCCTGGTGCCGGACCTGGTGTTGTTGCCGGTCCCTGTCCAAACCCAAACCTCACTCCTGTCCCCGACCGACTCTGCAGCTCCATCGCTCTTCTCGTGCGTTCTCGTTCTCGTTCGAGATTATCGTTATCATCATCACCCTCGCCCTCCGCCTTCCTCTTTAATGGCCGCATTGGCATCGGCGTCGTCAATGTCGACTCGCTCGAATGCATAGACCGGTTCGGCGTCGGCGTGCCAGTCCCATTACCAGTCCCATTGGTGCTGACGTTATTGCCAACGCTACTCCGCCCGATCGGGTATCCAACGGCCGCTTGGACTCGTTTAGACAGGTCCGGCGACCCGCCTGGTGATCCCGACCCGATATCCCCCACTCCATGTGTGACCCGCTTTTGGCCGAAAGGGAGGGGTTCGCCTTGGGGGGATTCGTGGACGACCTTGCCGAATTCAAAACGGGAGGTTATGGGCGAATGAGATGAGCCCGTAGAAGTGGAATTGGAGTTGGAGGTTGTTGTTGTGGAAGAGCTCCCGGAGGAAGGTTTGAGAGGGGTCAGACGGGATTCGTTGCGTATATCGTATACGGTCCTGCTGCTCGCCGTCGTGGTGCCCGCAGTAGTAGTCGAGACCGACACCGTAGCTTTCTCGGATGATATCGTACCGTCTGTGGTCGACCCTTCGACCCCTACAGGCTTTGATTTTGGTGGAGGAGAGGGCAAGATCGGAGGTACGGTCTCGTGAGGGTAACTAGCCGGGATCGTCCCGCTATCCCTCGATTGCTGCGACTGCTGTGACCTCACTGGGCTTTCGGTCTGTTGAGAGTTGAATCGAAGTCCAGGTGCGATACGGGTGGAACCGGGGGACGAGACGGTCGTATCTGGGTCCAGGGGCACTTGTTGAGTCTGAGGACGGGATGAATGTGAAGCGTTGGGCTCCGTCGCGTTGGTACGACTGAACGTCTTGTCCTCAGCTACTGCAGCGGTAGTAGTAGCGGGATTCGAGCCGGACGAATGGCGAGGTGGCGTGTTCCCGCTTGGTGAAGGGGATCGGAGGAAACTCTCCATGAAAGCCTGTTCTTCAGCCGTTGTCAGGTTGACTAAGGGTGACCGGTGGAATTCTTCTACAGCTCCGGGTCGGATGATGCCCTTCGATGATCCTTCGCTCAGGGAATTCGAGTTCCTTGTAGAGTTCCCAAGACCTTCCATCTCGACCATCTGAGTTTCTGTTGAAGCAGTGACGTTTTTATCGTGAGTAAAGACACTGTCATGGGGATCTAGACGTTCGTCACACCTACCGAATCCCTTTTCGTGCCCATACCAACGCCCATCCTGTCCCTGCCAAGTCTTGAGTTCGGCCGTAGCGACTGTCTCAGCTAGTCGAATATGCGTTTCCAAAAGATGATTTTTCAGCTGAGCCTTGTCTGGGAAAGCATGTGGACACCAGCCCCATCTAAGCATAGCGGTTAATAACCTGATCGTCAGCTCATCGCGCTTCATCTCGAGCTGGGCAAAGCTCTATTCACCGACACGCCTGCAGCTCGGAGCTGCTACTGTTGGACATCTTGCTCTCGTCTCCTCGAATGTGCTACGAGCCTTTGGTACGAAGGGAAGATGTTGCTCTGGCGATCGACCTTATATACGAAAGTATTAAAGTATACATGTGCACGAGGTTGTTGGGTGAGTCTCATCGTATCGTCGCATCTCGCCGAAAGTGGTTTTTGCATCCGGCCAGCCAAAGGACGAGATACACTGTGCCCGTGCAAGACTTCACAAAACGGAGATGTCAACAGAGAAGGAATAATATATGGCCATCTTCAGCTGTCAGACCAGCCAAAAATCAACAACAAGGAACCTCGGTGATAGCAGAACGTCGATAAGAATTCCGAGCAACAGGCAGGCCTTGCACGGCAAAAAAGGTATACTCCCGCTGAGGCTTGAACTCAGGACCTTATGCGCTTTACAAGTTAAGGCTTGTTAAGCATACGCGCTACCAACTGCGCCACAAGAGCAAGCGATGTTTGTTGTGACCTCAGAAAAAACTAGTTAAAAATTTTAGAAAACCTCCGCCGAGTTGGACGTAAAGCTTCATGGAGCCAAGCGTCTCGCCGAGGTCGATCTCCGGTTCGTTCTCCCGCCAATCGTTCATCCGCCTCTCGACGTTGGACCTCCCATTGAGTCTTCCTGGCAAGCTCTCCTTGCTTTCGCCGACGTCTGCGCTCTTCCGCGGCAGCTTCTCCGAGGTCCAGAGACTCATGGGATGACAATGAGGGGGATGGTGGGCGAGATGGGAGTCGGGATTACGACCGTTGCTCAGTTTCCGGCACATGAGACCCGTCGTCGGAGAAAGCTGTCAAATCAGGCTGAAAAGACGCAGGTTGATTAGCTTTCATGCCTCGTGAGTATAAGTTTTTGGTCCAAGCGTTTGTGTTCGAACTTACGATCGCAAAGCTAGTAGGGAAAAATCTCCGCAGGACGTCCTCCCGACCAATTCGTATTCCGCTCAGGCTGGCATATTGGTCCAGAAATAGCGAGAACTTAGGCTGCTGCCAACCTGTCGAAGAGGGGGATGCCGTCGTGCTCCTAGGGAAGGTGGGACGTTTAGATGAGTGGGACGTTTAGATGATACTACTGAGCATCACAATTTGATGTGGTTCCAGAGAACTTACCGTGAACATCCACCATCCTGATCAAAGCTGAGCGTCACCGTGCCCATCCGATCCAGAATCTCCCACTCGCCTTGTTCCCCCTGCGCGACCTTCCAATGCTTTCCCTGCAACTGTGCGCACCGTCTGAGAAATTATCCCTAGAAATACAAACCCAATATCCTCATTCTGGCCTTCGTATTAGAACAGGTCTTTTTCGTGCTCATGACCGTGTAAAGCAAGGCCCGCACAGAAGATTACGGAGGCGTCTCTCCACAACTCGGCCATCACACTTCTAGATTGCGCTTTCTGCAGTTTACCTCTACCCGGCCCGATAGCCCGCAATGGCGAGTTACCCCTGACATCTTTCTGTTGGGATCTGGTGATCGCCAGATGTACGTACTCCTCCAAAGATCTTGGTGTCGCGGGCGGTTGGATCGAGTTTCTTCGGACCTTCTACAACAGCATTGTAGTTTTTACAGTCGCTGGATTGGCTTGGTGATCCTGTAGCAGCCAGATCCGAGCCGAAGCTACTTTAATGAAGTCGATTGTGAGATCCCCCTGCGCTTCCTCTGCCGAATCATGCGCTTGTGGAGTTGGTTATACAAGCGCTGTGCCCCTGGCCTGATGATGCAGAGATATTGCCCTCTACATCATTCTTGACTCCGCTGGGAGCCGCACTGACACAGTAGCACATGCAAGCACTCGGAGAAAAGCATTATATATGAAAAAGGCTTGGAGACGGCGAAGGGTTCGTCCAAGGATTTCTCACGCTCACATCTAATGATTTACGGAACAGTGATTCGAGTCCAGGACCAGCTCCTTCAGAATGGATACGTACGATTTATGCTGTGGAACCACCGGATTACCAAAAGTCGCCGCTTCCCACTTTTGAATTCCGGCTGGTAGTCATGCTGTGTAGTGCTGCGGAAGTTGTCATTAGAGCGAGATCATCGCTTTAGTCTACGGACACCTCGCTCTATGTAGGTTCAGTTCAAAGGCGCCACTTGTGGCCCCAGCTACGATTGTGGAACTGACAACGCAGAGTGAAAGGCACACGTCGAATCGCGCAGCGATATTAGGATACAGGTATTTCAGAATTTCGCAAGCGGTTTCATATTGTTTTGCGTACTTCGTGATATCGTCGAGCGGCTTATACATATCGATCGATCATAGGTTGGGTGCATGGCAACTGAATACCTTTGGGCGGCCAACGCTCGTCGGGAACCCAGTCCACCTCGAACTCGTAGACACCGCTTCCGATCGTTTCCGAAAGCCCTGGCAGCTCAATTTGGGCTGAGGCGTTGGGAGGCACCCTGGCTTTAAGCTTGAGTTTCCCTTGATCGATCTTCCAGGACGATTCATAAAGCCCATAAGGGCTCATATGGGACGTCTCGGCGTGCGTGATGGTGCCACCGGGTTTGGGAGCGATCAGAGCGCGTTTCCATCCGGCTTCGAGGGAAGACAGGCCGCCGACGACCGTATGAAGGAAGTTTGCCACGCTGCCCAATGCGTAGTGATTGAAAGACGTCATCTGACCGGGGTTGATGCTGCCATCGGGAAGCATGGAATCCCAGCGCTCCCAGATCGTGGTAGCGCCCATGCTGACCGGGTATAACCAGCTCGGACAGGCCTTTTCTTGAAGCATACGATAGGCGAAATGGAGCATGTCGTTCTCCGCCAAGGTATCCAAGATGATCGGGGTCCCGGCGAAGCCGGTGGCGACACGGAACACGTCTTTACGGAGGTGCCATTCCAGACGCTTCTTGAAACTGGCAATGTATTCTTGATCGTCTATAAGGTTGAATCGGAGAGCTAGTACGATAGCGCATGGCGAATCGCTCAAGAGGCGACCGTTCCGCGTCAGGTATTCCTGCTGGAACGCCTGCCTCAATCGTTTGTGGTCGGCCAGGTAGCGATCGACGTCTGATTCGTTGCCGATGACACGGCTCACTTCCGCCATAGCTTCGGTCACCTTGACGAGGTATGCGTCGGCTACGAGATGGGTATCGGTATCTCCCATAGCAGGCGAATGAGGCGAGGCCTTAGGATCCAACCAATCGCCCAGTTGGGGCGACTCTCGGCTCCACAAGCCCGTCTTCTCGTCTCTGAGGATACCCTTTTCCAACCATACCTTCATGCTCTCAAGCGAGACACTCAAGATCGATGGGTCTCCGTAGGCGCGGTAGAGGTCCAAGGGGGTCAAGATCGAGACGTCCGCCCAGATCGCAAAGGGCAAGGGCGCGACTGGTAGAATGTTCGGTACGACCCAGGGAACGACTCCGTTGTAGTGCTTCAATTGCTCAGCGCGTACGTCCTTGAGCCAACCCTGTAGGATGCCGGCGACATCGTACATATACGCCGCGGTCGGCGTAAAGACCTGAATATCCCCTGTCCAACCGAGTCTGAGAACAGGACATATCGCATCAGCCATCCAATCAAGGGAGAAGACGGGTATTACGCGCTTACCTCTCATCCCGTTGGGGGCAATCGGATGGAATCGAGACAAAGTTCCCCTTCATGCTCCAATTTACATTCGAGTACAGCTGCTCGACCATAGGGTGCGAGCAAGCAAAGTCTCCAAGACGTTCCATGTCGGTATGGATCACCACTCCCGTCAGGCATTCCAGGTCAAGGTCGGCCTCCAACCAACCGTCTACCTGAACATAACGAAATCCGTGAAACGTGAACCGAGGTTCGTATCCGATCAGATCGCCACCGAGGATGACCTTGTCCTGAGCTTTGGCCGCTCTCAAAGGTCGAGTCCCCAATTCACCATGTTCAAGAACTTCGGCGTGGCTCAGTACGACCTCCGAACCGTCTGGACCTGGGGGTTGTTTATTGAACCGCATCCAACCGACCATGTTCTGGCCGAGATCGAGGATGAGTCTCCCTGAGGGGGTCTTGATAATCTTCTTGGGTACGATCTCCTGTATACGACGGACAGGGGGCGATTCCGTGCTGATGAGTTCAGCTGAAGGCTTTTCCAGGACATCGACGGGGAACCAAGTCTCCTTGACGGGTCGTGAGTCGAAGGTCTCTCCGTCGTATAATTCGGCGGCGAGGATGTTGCCGTATGACCATTCCCAAGAGGAATCGGTCGCGACGATCAATTCACCATCGTCTCCCTCGAGTTGCGCCATCAAGGCGTTCCGCTGGCCATAGACGTTGCGGTGACCTTCCCGCCAACCTAGACGACCGCTGTACCATCCGGAGCCGACGTAAGATGCGATGACGTTCTCGCCCACCTGGAGCAGATCGCTGACGTCAAACGTCTGAAAGTTCAGATGATGTCTGTAGCTCTGCCAGCCTGGACCGAGGACATGATCTCCGACGCGCTTGCCGTTGATGGTCGCGTCGTACAGTCCGAGCGAGGTGACGTAGAGTCTCGCTCGAGACGGCTTTGCCCTGAGGTCAAACGTCTTGCGCACCTGGAAAGGCTGCTTGGTCTCCGAGACTGATTGTTTCTCGCCCGTGACGGGAACAGCCTTCCAATCTTGGGAGGACAGGAGCGCAGTTTCCAAGTCGAGACTCGCCCACTCCGTAGTCGAGCCATCGCGACCTTTAGCTCTGACAGCCACCTTGGCTCTCTCTCGCGCCTTCAAAGGCTCGACCGGCCATTGAACCAGCCTCGATTGATCCGATGTGACTGAAGATTCGTGCTTGTGACCTCCGCGCTCGACGACGATATCGTACGAAGCTTGCTTCCAGTCCCGAGTGTCGCCTTTGAATCTCCAAGACAGACGGGGAGATGCGTGACCGATGGCGAACCCCGATTCGTAGCTCTCGACTGAGAGTCTGTCGATCTGAACGTCCAGTGATTCAGGCATGCTCGTAAAGAGTGGAAGCGATTGTCAATTGCTATGACATCCTGTCTGCTCAGCTGATAATCCCAGGTGTTTCCAGATACACCCTTGACCCTTCTTTAACGAGAACGGTTCCACGATCGGACCATGTATCGGTCCGCACCTTTTCGCGGAGTTTCGGTGGAAACACGTCCCGAAACGGTCTCGGCGTTGGCGTCGCCAGATCGCGCAGCGCGCGCGCCACGTGAAACGCTTCTCGGCTCTCGGACCCCATGGCCCGATCTTTTGGACTGGCGATGGCGCATACGGCGATGGCGAACGACACGATCCTCTAGATCCACCTCGCCACTTCGGAAATTCGCTGCATCTAACGGTCCATCTCGCTCGAGCACTAGTATGTGACTGTGTGGGATACGGCGCAACCAATGTACCGACATGTGTGCGTGAGGGTGTATCGTCTACCGATTTGTGCTTGGCATCGAGTCGTTGTGGAGGCGGGGCTTCAGTATAGATGGGGTAGGCGCAGGGGGAAGCCGGGGTCCTCAATCTCAATCGATAATGTTTCAGACACACCAGTCACTCACCTTCGGTCGCAATGTCTAACAAAGTTACCCTCACCGATCCGCCTCCTCCTTTCATAGGAGGAGATGTCGACATCAAAGAAAAGGTCGAACACGAAGAGAACGCTTACCAGGAGGAACACATTGCGCTCAAGTCCCAATTCGACGACTTGACCGCCTGGCAAGCGCTCAAGACGTTCAAGGTCGTCAGCTTGTACTGTTGCGCCGCGGCTTTTTCTGCTGCGACCGATGGGTATCAGGCAAGTCGCTCTTTCACCGACAGGTTTGCCTTCTTTCGATCAACGGCTTACCCCCTGTGGTTGCAGATCAATATCAACGGGAACATCTTGGCGAACAAGGGATTCATCCGTCAGTTTGGTACCACCACCGATGCTACCGGCGCACAGATCCTCGATGCTGCCTGGAGTAAGTTACCGCCCGCATTTGCTTCCTCGTAACGCTACAACGTATTGAACGCGATCGGAACCACAGTTTCCTCTTGGAGCGCCATCCAGTCCGTAGGCCAGATTATCGCGATGACCACCATGCATTTCCTCAGCGACCGATACGGGCGTCGAATCGCAATGTTCACATTGTGGTTCATCCTAGCCCTGGTAAGCGCAAGACTAGAGGGTCAATATGCTCAAAGATCCTATCTCTGACGCTTGTCTGATTCACCGTCTCGCAGTCGGTCATGACAGAATCTCTAGCTTCCCAGCCTTGGCACTGGTTGATCGGTAAACTCCTCGCCGGTGTCGGTGTCGGTGCTCTCCAAGTGAGTCTTCCCTAATGACCTGGGTCACTCAACGCTGTCCGTTCCGGCTCTAACGATGTTGAGCTGTTCAGGCTACCGTCCCGGCCTATATCGCCGAACTCGCTCCAACCCGAATCCGAGGAGCCCTCTTGCTAGCCTATTCCTTCTCTTTCGGACTTGGAGGGTTCATCGGTCCGTTAGCCCTGAGGGAACTCAACTTGAAACATCCTTATGCGTGGCGTATCCCTATCCTCTCTCAATGGGGTCAGATCGGGTTGATGTTGGCCATCTATATCTTCCTCCCTGGTAAGCCATGATCGGCAGTGACCCGCCTCTTGAGCAAAAAGAAATCCAGCTGAACAGCAAGGTACCTTTTTCTTGTACTCGTAGAATCGCCTTGGTATTGCGCTCGGAGGAACCTCGACCAGAAAGGCAAGGCGCTCCTTACTCGCCTTTACGGAAAAGTCCCTGGGTACGATATCGAGTATGAGTGGCAGCTCATCCACAACGTACTGGACGAGGAGAAGAGACAGGCCGAGGAGAATGGCCATGTCAGTTTCTGGGAGATCTTCAGGGGCGCCAACTTGGTGGGTCATAACTGCTTGTAGCTTGTTTGTCGTCCGGCTAGGTGTTGATGCATCGCGGATTTCTTGTATTGGCATTAGCGTCGGACGATCGCTTCGACGATCCCGTTGACGTTGCAACAATTCACGGGTCTTGCTTTGATTTACACATATTCGACTTGTGAGTCCTTGCTATGTCGCTTCCGTCTTATGTATACAGCTGATCCGTTGGCTGTCTTCGCAGACTTTTTCCAGGCTGCCGGCCAAAAGGACCCGTTCTTGACCACTTTGATCGTCAAGTGAGTTGAATTACCCTCTGGTATCGGCCTGATCCTGGCTGAACGTATGGATTCCGCAGTTCGATCAAGCTGGTCGTCATCGTCGGAGGAGCGCTGCTAGCTGACAAGTTCGGTCGTCGGGTGATCGTCCTCACCGCATGCTCTCTATGCTGGGTCGGTCTGATGGTCATCGGAGGTCTAGGTTTGGTGCCGATCAACGACAAAGTCGGAAGCGTCCTCGTGAGTGGGCTTTGTTCGAAGCGGTATGCAAGGAACGCTAAAGTCAGGCGAGCTTTCTGTAGATCCTCTTTGCTTGTGTCTGGAACGCCGGTTCCACCTCTCTTGGTAAGTATCGTCTTTCGAATTACGCCGCCTTGTCTCTTGTACTCATTCCCGCCCCCTCTTGATAGGTGGTCTGGGATGGGCATACGTTGGGGAGACATCAAGCTCTCGTTTGCGATCCAAGACGGCAGGTTTCGCCGCGGCTATCAGTTGTGTTTTCGGAGTCGCCTTTGGTGTCGGGGTCCCCTACATGCTCAACGCAAACTACACCGACCTTGGCCTCAAGACGGCATTCTTCTTTGCCGGCATCTCACTTCCGGTGATCATCGCCGCCTGGTTCATGTTGCCCGAGACCTCTAGAAGATCTCCAGGTAAGTTTGCGTTCAAACGGTACCCACGCCTAACAGACTCATTGACGAATATATTCCATCCACCGAAAAATCCTGTAGCCGAGCTGGATGAGCTGTTTGAAAGGGGTATCAAACCTTGGAGGTTCGCAAAGACCAAGACGCAAGTCCAGTTGGATTTGGAGACCCGGGTCAATCGGACCTAAGCTGGAGTAGCAGGGGTGAGGCGGGTTTCAGGAGATTACCGTCGGACCAGATGAAGAGAGGTCATGGCAGTGAGGTAGTTTTGTTGTAGGTCTTCCTTTGTAGTCACCCATCTGAAGAAGAATCCATCTGTTATGTCGAGCACAAGGACGGTATAAATATCCTTTAGTAATTGCTCAAAGTACAGGTTCCGACCTGAAATATGGGCGAGAAGATTAGCTGTCAAGATAGCCTGAGGAACAACGGTAATCAAACAGGAATAGATGACGGAGGTAAGGACATCCAATGCTGTTTGATCCTGATCTGGCGGTGCCCATGCGCTGACCGTACCGAGTGGAGCCGTTTCAAACCCGAGTGCGAGTAGTATCGCGTAATGGTCATATCATCCTCGTACAGTGGCATAATCGTTAAAATGTCGTTTCTTGTCTGATCTTCATCACCAAACATCTCCGTCTCTTCAACGTCTAGGCCTGGAATGTCGTCCTCCCCTCCTTCGTCCGTTTCGTCCTTCCGGTAAAGGCGCATCCAACCTTTCGTTGATACTCGGCCGTCTTCCAGGTTCAGGTCGATATCGATCCTCCTCCCTCCATCTCCCTTGTGGCTGTCTTTGCCTGGACCGATCGCGACCATCCCGGACTTCATCCCGTCGAGGGGAACGCGAACGACCGCCCCGACCTCTTCCCCCGCCTCTCGACCCTTGATTGCGACTATCGCCGCGCCTGTTACCCGTACGACCGTATCCTGGAGAACGAGGACTCGAAGGTGGATCTCGATCTTCTCGGCGCGGGGAAGGCGGTAACAGCTCTCGAGGTGCAGATCGGGCACTTGCACCCAGGATACTGAAACCCCCTGCAACAGGAGCTGGACCCGATTTTGCGTTTGTGGAAGTCTGCTTGATCGAGTCTCGAGATAGATCTTCGTCTCCCGAGATCCCATGCGCAGTTCTCCAATTCGGACCACCAGCATTGGATCTAGGCGGAGGAACTGCTGCCGAACGAGAATCGATCTCGCGTCTGGCTCTTTGGGACCCCTCAGGGGTTCGTCGACGTGGACTAGGGGATCGACCGGGACTGGAGTTTCTGCGTCGATCAGACCGAGAATCTCTGCGATAAGCCGAGTTCCGTGGGGATGCCGATCTGTCCCTATGCCTCGAGCGAGATCTCGAGGGAGACACCCGGCTATCGGACCTGCTCCTCCGTGATGCTGAGCGAGAGGCCGAAGGACTCCTAGTCCTGCTTCTGCTACGGCCTCTCGATCGGGATCTTGACCTCGACACGGACCTGGACCTTGACCTGGACATGGATCGACCTCTAGAAACAGACCGTGGTCTCGATCGCGACCTCGACCTAGACATTGACTTCATCCTCTGTTTCCTCGCGCGCTCCGATTCCAATTCGGTCTCCACCTCCTTGACCCGAGAACGAAGCGAGACGATCTCTTGCGAATGGGTCTCCAGGTCGGCGCTGCAAGTACGAAACAAGAAGGGTCACGAGTTAGGGATGATGATCGGGTCCATCAGACTGCTTTGCTATTACTACTGACTCTAAAGAGGAGATCATCACCCGCGATTCTACATCCCGACCATTGTCACCACAATCAGCTTCATGAGACCGGACTGCATCATATCAAATCCCTAAACCACGCCCAAGGTCAAACTCACCTCGCACAACCTCTGCCCATCGACCTTCCTCTCTGTTATCTTCCTTCCCCGAACCACTTGAAGATTCCCCAACTAACAGACCCGCCAACTCAATGTTCTCCGCATATAGATCTTTCACCCGTTGGAGCACTGCTCGCAGGTCGACTCTCGAGTTCGGATTCGGCTTTGGTGTTGCGAGCGAGGTCGGAGGTTGTCCTGCTATTTTCAACCCCTGCTCGACCGTTGGGAGCGCAACAGGTGTGGGGACGGGTTCTTCTTGCTGCTTGACTCTCTGTCCTACAGATTGGGGACCTTCCGAGTCCTTCAGATGTGCTGCGTTGACGGAAGGGGTCTCGCCGAAAAACGTATATCGCAACGCATTGTTCTCCCTCTTGAGGTCGACGATCTCGACTTGCAGCTGGGTGATCGTAGGAGCAGGCGCGGGCTTGAGAGAGGAGGTGGATTTAGATGAAGAAGATGGGTCATCATGGTCGCTTTCCAGGGTGAGATGCTGCTGATGATGCCTCGGCAGTAGGGACGATAGGTAGGTATTCTGACGCTGGAACGAAAATGAAACAAGAACTTTATTCAGCTCGTACATTTGATCTGAGCATATCTAGACTGCGGAAAGGGGAAGCTTACGGATAAGATTTGGTTAGTCTTCTCTATCCGCTCGAGCTTGATCTGGAGTTGAGTTCGTTGGGTCAGGAGGTCGAGCCGCTCCTATCGATCATTCAATTTACCGATCAAGAGATTGAGAGAGTCAGTGGCACATCTCGGTCGAATATGGTCATGTCGGATCTTCCACATACTCGCTGTTCCTTCGCCCTAGCTAAAAAGGATATGGCAAATCAGTAAAGTACTAAGCAGAGACCTATAGACACGGACGGTCGACTGACCTTTGCTCCCATTGCTCGAACCTCCTGCACCATGTCCGATATCTGTCTGGGTCAAAACGTCCTCGTCCCTGTAATCCACCTCGGTATTGACGACCATAGCATTCCTACTAGCTTCTCCAGGAGGAGCGGGCATCCTCGGTAGCTAGTAAAAAGGCAGAGAATGCTGAGACGCTGAGAAGGTTGTTCGACGTTGGGAAAGCTTCAGGTTGATCCTTGATCCTTGTGACTAGCTCAGTTGTGCTGCATCGTAGGGAACCGGATCTTTGGGTGACAGCCGAGTAGCTATGATCTCAGGCTGAGTATAGAATGGGCCGGGCAACGGGATGGTAGATACGACAGACGGGAATGCTGAGAGGTTGCTTGAATATGCTTCGACCTCGGCCGCGTACCCCGAGGACTCGACCTCAGCTAGGAAAGGATCCCCAAGCTACAACATCTACCTACGTCTACCTATCTTGCACATTGAAAAAAACCCCTCCACTCTTCATCTACATTCAGTAATCAGACTTAGCTCGTACACTGACAGTCATGTTCGAAAAGTCCACTACAACGACGACGGCACCGCAACACCCGGACCAAGAAGGCTCATGGATGCCTCAAGCCATCCTTCGATTCTACTCGACATTCCCTCTGGTCGTCTTGCCCGCCGAGACCTCTCCCATCGTCGAGAAGATCACCGAGCCGACATTATGGGTGAATAGAATTTCATCGCAAAATATCCTCATGACTGTCATGTCCAAATGTCGGGAGACGAAGAAGCTGAACCGATGCTCTTAAACTTGAATTCGTTTTCCGGAATCTAGGTGAAACCGACGTATGACGAAGACGCATACGGCTGGGCATCCTCCGATCCGAGTTGTCTCAGAGTTCAACTCTTATTCCTCCTCCGGAAAGCCAAGGTCCAGTTCAAAGCGTGGGATAATGTCGAAGCTGCTCCGGAAGGTAAGTTTGATGCCTACTCTACCTATTCTCTGGTGTTTCGTATGACCCAACCAGCCTGCTGACGATATTATCAAATCCTATATGTGGTCATTGGCTCGACATATCTGCATTCACAGGAACCTTGCCGGCCTTACAACTCCCATCAGGAGAACTACTAGCCGCAAGTGAGATCCGAGCTTGGTTAGAGAGAGAACATCCGCTTCCCGAGGACACGAGAGCGTGAGTACACCCGACAATCCAACCCACTTCGCTTTCGTTTCTCCTATCAACTTTCGCCCCGTCATACCTTCATCTGCTCTCCCTTGTCCCGTTTGCGAGGCTCTGGTTGGTAAATCGCTGACCGTCGATCCGCTGTCTTTGGGCTGTCTTTGCAATCGAGCAGGCTGAACGGGGTGCCCACGCAAGAAGCTCATACCACAGCACTAGCTCATTCTCATTTGATCTTGTCCAAGATCTTCCCCGCTTACGTGAGTCTCGAACCACAAACCTGAATCGTCCGATACTTGTCCGTCAGAGCGATTGCTGAATCCCATATTTTCGCTTGCGTCACTCCTCTCGTAGTCAACGCTTCAACCCCTACCGACGAACCTCCAACTTCCCTTTCCTCTCCCTACGACTCCCATTCCCCTCTCGTCAACGATTTACCACTCCCTGCCACTCTGGTTACGGGATTCGGCTGGTGCAGAGAGCAGGCAGAACGAGGAGCTCGAGATCAAAGAGAAGGAGGGCGTGGAGGGGGTCTTGGTGCTTGGGGGATTGGTCAGGGAACATGTCAGGGATGGGAACGGATGGTTCTTGGGTGCTAGGTGAGTCGTTCGAGTTCTCTCGATTCATATTCCGACTTCTCGGTGAAGGCGCTTATGTTCATCTTGTATTCGATTTCTATCACACAATCGTCCCGCCGACAGCGAACCATCACCACTAGACGCCCTCATCGCATCTCACATCTACCCGCTAATGACCCTTCCCGAGACGTTCAGGCTGAGGCAGACGGTTGATACCGAGCTGGAACTCAAGGCATACGTCCAGAGGGTGATGGAGGTGGCAGGAAGGTGCGTACGAGGGCATGTCCGAGGGAGCGAATGAGTCAGGTCGAGGAGCCGGAGTCGGGTTTTTCGGGTTAGGGGTACTTGTAATGGGTGAATCGATAACGATGTCATCCGTACCACGAGCCGCAACAACGTAGGGTACACACGTATACCTTTCCCCGAGGTGACCCGCAGACATGACAAGCTGTAGGACTTGCCTACGTGGATGCCAATTGATTCTTTCGTCCAGGCGACTACACCGATCAATTAACAGGGATCCTGGCCTTCGTTCCCTTCACCTTCAGCTTGCACGCCCTTGTGGCGATCTTATTCATTTCGAATTACGACGCCGGTTTCTTGATCGTCATCTCCGAAACCGCCTCGATGCCACCACAGATCCCTCAACGGGGCACTAGTGGGCATGAATGCCATGGCGGTCGAAGCAGGGGTATCTTCATCAAACACGAGAGTCTTCCATCCTCGTCCAGCTTCAGCTGACGTGTCATGCTCGGCAGCGACAAGCCCTTTCCTGTTCAGGATCCTTGTTCCTTTCCCGGTGGTGTCCAACCTCAGCTTATTCATAATGCTTGTCGCGGGCAAGCGAGCCGTCATCTCCTGGATCACCGTAAGCCGAGATCGAACGAGCTGCATCATCCTTCGGATCAATTGGCATTCCACAGCCATTTGCACGGTGATGGATGCTGGCGGCGCGTAATCCCACGTTACGACGCTGCCGATGTCGAGGGACGCCCAGTCTGTACGTGCGTTCGTTCCGCCTGCGGGAATGCAGTCCAACACCTTCTTGTCGTGACTATCAGCCCTGACTTCTATTTGAATTTGATCCGTGTTTCCCTCGCTAAACCAAGCAGGTCTTGTTGATGTGAGCTGGAGGTGAACTGCTGCAGCGATTCCTTTGTCCCATTGCCATTGATCCACCGAGTAGTTATGTCCAAGCAGTCGTGCTCCATATCGCATGGATTTCAATTTGCAATCTGACTGCGAAGCATGTGCTGCCATGCGCAAATTCAGTTGCTGTTCGATGTTGGCTGTTGTCTCCAATCGCAGCGTGATTGTGGCACCGGGGTCTGACGACTCATGGCAAACTTCGAAGGCGACGGGATCACTGCCAGAACCTCGAGCATTGGTGCACACTGCCGGCTGGAATGAGGAGGAGGATTCCGGAGGGTTCAGGGGCGAAGTGGCGCCGGTGTACATGACAGGGATGTTGGGCGGCAAGGAGGCGGCCAGTTTACGTACAGCCTGTTGTAGTTCCGGTGTAAAGTACGGTCCTACGTTAGGAACCGCTTCGATCGACACTACTACCGCTTCGACGTCTCTCCAGACCCGTTTAGGATCACTGTCCCATTCTATTTCCTCGATATCAAGATCCAACTCTGACCACTGCTTGTTGAACACTTCGCAAGTGCAAAACATCTTTGATTCTTCAAAGTACTCAGCTAGTTCTTGATCCCCTGCAAATACATCCTGTACAAGTTGTAGAACGGTGACCGCTTCACTGATCTGGACCTTCGCTGAGAACCCTTGAGTGGAAGAATCGATCACCGTCTTGGTACAGATGTTGATATCCGCGGAATCGAGGTTGTTGAAGACGACACCCTCGATGAAGTCTCGATCAAGAGCGTCGTCTACAGCTTTGCATAAGTCCCATGGTGACGAGGGATGGAGGAGGGACCGAGCAAAGGATTTGTATTGCTCGATGCGCGCATCCTCGTCCTCTGAATCTGACTCCTCGGCGAACATTATGTCGAAGGAGCAGGACCGACTGCTTTATGACAGACTCGAGTCTGACTGATCGACTGACAACCGAAAGGTCGACAAGTCATGGACTAGCTAAGTAGAGCGAGGTCGAGATAGATTGGAGGCGAAAGATCCATCGAAACGGACCAGCAGCAGTTGATGCTTCGCCCCGGAACTAAAATTGGAAGTAAACCTAAATTGCCTGCCGTGCAGTTTAGTTGCGATCGATTCACGAAAGAGGGAAGATCCGATGATGATCTCGTCCATCAGAAGCTCTCCAGGAGTTATTGATCAGCTGGATGCCTCAGGTCTACAAATGCCTCTGATCATGATACAACTTGAACAACAATGGATGGGCGAAATACAACGGTTTTTGTTCAAGGGACTTTGAACGTTGTGACGAAGGTAGAAGGCGTCGCGGCGGGTGAGATTCGGTAGATCGGCATTGCTGTCTTTCGAGTCCGTCGCCTTGGCCATGCACCGGACGAGGGGGTGATTATAGATGATATCGAAAATTCTTCGGTAGATCCGCGAGACGATCAGCATTGAACCTTCTATCGATAACACAATAATGAACTCACAAGGTTCTGCTGATCCGTCACATCCTCGAACGTCCCCAGCGTCGGGTCGTGACTCTTTCCAGCCGCTGCCATGATCTCGTCCCGGCGTTTGTTTTGACGGCGATACAACAGGCTTCAGGGGTGTCAAGTGTTAGCTATCGTAGCGCAAGCGGCGAATACGAAAGACCCAACTCACCGAAGCCCTAATGCCAAAGGTATACTGATTGAAAAGCAGATGATACAGGTAAACATGCCCGACCGATACGGTGGGTTCTCCGTGCTATCAAAGCTGATATCATGTCATAGCGGTCGAGCATCAGTCGCCGCCACACCGCGAAGAGACTGAATCTGCTAGCGGGAACATACAAATGCGGTCCGATGATGTTGCCTGTGATGAGCGGAGGGCAGATGAGCAAATAATTTAAATAGCGTTGGTGCTCTTTGGGTCGACTAACCCATGGAATAGGCGACATAGACCATACTCGAGACGGTACATCGTTTCCTGCGAGACCCAGCATGCAAATAAGTTCGACTGAACCCCAACTCTGACCCTGAGGCGACTCACGTATATCCAGTCGCATTCGCTCCCGGCATGGCAAACGCCTGACCTACACCGGCGACGAAACCGGGCAAGATGTAGTATCCGAACAAGAGGGCGCCCGTGTTTCTCGTCGCGTATTGAATCGATACACCCGCAAGCGAGGGCAAGACGAAGATCATCTGCAGGGAGTGAGAACAAGGGCAATTTCAGCTTGAGTGCATAAGTGAGATCTGCAGGAGGCGAACATGCCATGACGATCGTCCTGGAATTTTTGAATCGACGAGCAATATAACTGCCCGTCAAGGCGATGAAGACCTGTGCGGCCGCTTGGGGCAACCCGACGAGGATGGTCTGCAGCGGCGAGAACCCGTACGACTGGAGGATGAGGTGAAGAAAGTTCCCCAGTCCTCCGTTAGGGATGCAGTAGGACGTGACTAGTAGGAAGACTGCGAACAGCGAGCAAGTGAATGATCAGCCACTGACGGAATTAACACTACCGAAATCTCGCAACGCCAACGTACGTATCCATCCCTGAAGATCCCGCCAAGGCAGCAAAGCCTCGCCCATCCCATCCCACTTCCAGACCTTGCTTTCTAGACTGCTCATATTTCCCCTCACCCGTTCCTTGCCCATCATCCTCTCTTCCGGCGTCAAGAACCAGGCCGATTCCGCCTGTTCAGGGCATATCCACAGGAAGACTACGCCGACGATGATCGTCATGGTGCCGTTGATGACGAAAATCCAGATCCAGTTGGGGATATGTGGACCGGCGTCGATGTGTCCGGTCCCGTACGAGATTAGACCACCGATGAAGGAGCCTAGACCCTGTCGAGGTGAGAGGTGAGAATGTTCAGCTGAGGCGGAAAGAAGAGCACGGGCGAGAATGCCTGGCTCACATTACAGCAATACCAAATTCCGACCCTCAACGGCTGCTCTTCCCGTTTGTAGAATCGACTGATCAGGAGTACGAACCCGGGCTACCGTCCCCCCATCGCGATTGCATTAGCCCTCATCCGAATGGTACTCTCTGAAGATTAAACCTCCCAACGACGAGATGACTACTCACGGTGATCACCCCCTCGCTCATCCCCAAAGCCACCCGACAGAAACACAACCCCGCAAATGTCCTAAACACGCTCATCAAGACCAACATGACCCCCCAGACGAGTATACACGCTCCGAGGTATCTTTTCAGGGGGAACTTTTGTAGGAAATAGGCGTTGGGAAGGGAAAAGGCGAGGTAGCCGAAATAATAGGCTGAGCCTAGCCATTGGTATTGATGCGGCGATAGGTTGGTGTCTGTCGAGTCGGAGTTGGTGCCGAAGATAAAGCAAGCAGAGAAAGGAGACAGGATCAGCTTTCTGGGCGTTGACAGTCATACTACTCCGCTATGTTGTTGGGAACTCACCCGCTCGAAAAGTGAAAATGGCAGCGTACGACATGGCGCTCTTGTCGATATACTGCAGCGTATAGGCTGCCATCATGAGCGGCATGAGCACCTGTTTGATATCGCCATCGAGGTCAAAGTCGGAGTCGATTTTGACGTCCAGGTTAGACCAGACGAGATTGAGATTCGTTATTCATAGATCATAGAGTGGATTGAACCGGATTCCACCAGGTTGAACGGGCAGATATAGGAATTGGACGCCCAGATCAGTCAACCCGTATCTATCCCTGCCCGAATCACCAGCTTCATCTTCCCTATCTCAGAGTAGATTCAAGGTAGACTCACCCGATCGATCTTTCTCAAAACGCGTTTATCATCCTCCTTCGAAACGTAAATCCCACCGCCTGCTGTCCCTGCACCCCCTAACCCCATCACGCCGTCCTCTTCGCTGTTATATTCTTCCCCACTCCCACTCGCACTGGTCCTTTGCAACCGGACCAGATCGCCCACGCCGGCTAGTTCTTCGGATTCCGTCCTCCTATGTCGCTGACCCGGATGTTCATCTTTTTGACCATCTGTGTCGGAGCGTTTTGATAGCCAATACGGTTTGGAAAAGAAGGAAGAGGATTTGGATTCTTGTTCTTGATCCTCGCGGTCCGGCGAGGTCGATCTTCTGGGATTGTTTGTTTGTAACGGATCTGTGCTCGAGGTTGTCGTGGTGGTGTTCGAGGTTGATATCGTCCTCGATCTGCGTCCCTCGTCATTTGCCCTGGCAACGTTCTCAGTTCCTACTACCCCTCCTACATTTACGATCCTGTCATTATCATTCGTCCTCGACTCTATATTTATGCGATTCTGGCTACGTCTTGCCGACATCCTGAACGATCCGGAAATCAGAAGGTTGAAAAAGGTCGATTCGAGTCGATTTCGTGGCGAGAATACGGTTGACCGTGCCGTCCTTCCCGCTGTTCACATTTCCTCTTGCAAGTCGACAAAACGGTCAACCATGCTATATTGCTATGCTTTGCTCGAATAGAGCGTAATAACTTTGGATGTATAGACCGGGGTTGAGGCTAGGTGATTCATCGATGCAAGAAAGTGGTCGATATGGTTCCGGACCTCTCTCCTCCTCCCGTTCCCTTTTCCAAGTCATGCAAGTCATCCCCCTCGAACCATCCAATATCGACAGCGGACTTCAACGGGATCAACGAATCTGTGAACTCTTCATACTCGACTGCAACTGGAACTGGCAGCTGTGCCGACAGGGTCATGGTGGCGACGACTAGCTCGAAAGGTCGGCACCGACGACGTTCTTGCATGTGGAAAGGGGACGGGATCAAGAAGAAGCAAGGCAACTTGGACGACGCCAAGCAAAGTCTGGGCGAAGGACGGCATCTCGATATCTCGAAAGCAGTGACGATAATCGATAGCGAGCATAGCGAGCTCAGTTCAGTTCCATCAGTTCGAATCTCCACCCGCAACACACATCTACACAGTACACACAGGCGCACATACGTCAAGACATGACAAATATGACATACCAGGCTCGACTTGATCGTCCAGTTGCTTTCGCTTCCTCTGCGAGAATCCATGGGATTTATATCGATTTCGCACAGTCTTCCGCCCACTTGCAATACTTGCTTCAGGCCTGGAACCTGTTCGCCCATATCTTGCATCTCGTCAATCACTCTCAATCCTCTCGCATACTTTGGGCCGGCGTCTTCTTTAGGTCCATCTGTCAGGCAGATATCGAGGAGATGGTCCCACTCGACTGCACAGAACTGTACGACATCCTGTTGACCGATTATTCCCTTGCGACCCGGGAAAAGCGGGCCAAAGTAGCGAACAACACCGCTTTGGATTGCAACAATCGGGTCACCCGAACCGCTGAGAAGCTCGATTTGCACAATGCTGAACATATAAAGGTAAACCGGTCGTTGACTTCTGAGCTTTGCGTTTCCGACCTCTCTCTACTCACAATCAACTTCACGCTGATCAACTCTTCAAATGTATTCCCAAACAATCTCCAAAGAGGCACAATACCTGTTGAACCACGTTCCCAAGGACCAGGCCATTACAATACTGAGGGGTGACGACCGATGCGCTCAATGCATCCGGATTAATCGAAACAATCTTGTCCTTGGAAGGACATTGCGTAATTGCAGTGTCATTCTGGACCAAGACGGGATCCCGCTGACAGCCTGCTACTGCTGTCGGACCAGTCACGAGTCCGGCTGCAACTATGCAAGGAGGGGACACCGGGTCGGACGTTTCAGGTTGAGCAAAGATTGCCTTGTGTTTGTTGTGAGTCGTCTTTTGTCGTTCAACAGGCAAAGGTTGTATTGGTTGTTCCCCATGTCTGAGTAGCTCTGGACCTCTGGTTAGAGGTTATCCCAGATCGAGCATCGTTATCACCTAGCTCGTCAGCGAGTCTGAACCAGATGAATGGAGAACGACGTCGTGCCCGAATCCTCGCAGGAAGACTTCGTGCCCCAATTCTCGCAGGAAGACTTCGTGCCCAAATCCAAAAGTCGTAGCAAAACCACCTCGAAAACTACTGGCAAGACCACCTCGAAAACTACTGGCACAACCACCTTGAAAACTACTGGCAAGACGATCCCAAACGAGAGCGAGGAAGATTCCGACGGGCCCACGTCAACTCCGCGGCCTGTAGTACAAACAAAGCCGACATGGGCATATGTGAGTCCTGCCCACCAGTCGGCCGACACTCGGTGGATCCCATGAGATATCGAGGCTGAGCGAATGTTATCCGAACAGCGGGCCGATGAGAATCGCCCAGTCCGACATCCTAGAGCAGAAGCTTCAGCTTTGGTGTCTGGCCCTGGAATAGGGGAGAAGACAGCATAGGGGTCAAGAGGTTGATGAAGCTCACTATCAGCTTCTTCTTGAGCCTGCAAGATCAGGTTGTTTATCCTGGTTTGCCTGTTCATTTCCTCAAAGAGCTGAGTGACTGCTCGCACGGTGGTCATGTGGTGGTGATAAAGTGATACTACAGCTAGCAGTAACAGGTTTCGTATGTTGGTTCCAGACCCGGAACCACGTCAGGGCCCTTTAGATAGAAACACGCTTAGGACCGCCTGAACCGTGACATCTCTTGAAATGGTCAAGGTCTAGAGCGAGGCATACTAGCCAGTCTGATCAGAAATCTACAATCGCAAGAACGGTGTGATCTGCTGGTTATCTGGACCCCGAACCGCCATCTACGAAATCATCCACATCCGCATCTAAAGTCTCCCACCAAAACGTCAAGCTCAGGTTCAACTTGACCTTGCTCCTCACCATCGTCTTGTCCCACCTCGAATTCCTCCCACCCGCACCAACACCGCTTTTGTGATTATCGTTGGAGGTCACCTCGTCGAAAGCATCTTCGATCAACTCTGCCCGGATCCTCCCTTCTGGTGGTACCAGCCTAGGGACTTCCATCTCCGTTTCTCCGGCTCCTTCTTCTTCGAGATAGATGTACAGAAGACCGTCTTCAGACAAGATGAATCTTTCGTCAGAAGGGTCGCCTTGTTGTTGACGCTGACATCGGTCGATGATGGGCAACAAAGACCTCGACCGTGCATAAGCCTTTTTCCACCGTTCGTTTACCCCGGCTCCCAGATCCGAACAGGAACTCAAGTTCGACCTGGCGCTGTTCGAGCGGGACAAGACTAGACCTGTAGTAGAGGACGAAGAACCGGGGTGTACGTTCGAGGTGGAATGCGAGTCTGAGCGGGAACGGGTCAGGTTGGACGGGGTCACGGCGGATCTTCCTTGTTCTTGTAGGTATGCGTCGGCAAAGGGGTCGGACCAGCCTTCGACATTGGGACCTGAACCACTTGCTCCTGGACCTGGACATATGCCTACACCGGTACCGGCGTTCTCGCTCGTGTTACCGGCTTCACGATCCCGATTTCCGGCTTGATCTGCGACATCCGTAACCTTTTCGAGCCGTCTTACAGGGCTGAAGACTTCTGGAGAATAAAAGCTCGATCCTCCTCCGCAAATGGACGAAGCCCATCGATCTTTCTTCCCCGAAGCTTTGGGTTTGGCTTTTCTGCCCTTCTTCCTTCTTTGGGTCGTCGTCGTGTGAGCTGCAGCTCCATCTGAATATGCATCTTGTGCTCCTTCAGGTTGGGAGGCAAAGGACGTCACACTTCGATATCGAGCTTGATGTTGATCATGATGCTGTCGCTGGGAACGGGACGGGAAAGCAGGGGTCTTCTCATTAGAACCAGAAGGTCGACCGTCGCCGGTTGAATCGAAATGGGCTGGGAAGAGGAGTTCCAAGCTCCGATCGAAGCGTTTGATGTTGTCTCGCTATCGTTGCCAACCACCGAAGTGAATGCAAAGGTCGATCGGAATGTGACAGAACATCAAGGTCAAGCACAAAATCGAATTTCAGAAATCAGCCTGTCTCGTCCGATCTGGCTCGGCTGAAAACGAGAAGCGTGATGGCAGTGAAGACTCACAATCCGAACAAAGTACAGAACGGCACGGATTGTACACGGGATCATCAAAACCTGGACGATTAGGGGCAGGTACGCGCCAGGTCTGTTTCGGTGGAAAAGGTCGTGGCGACTCAGTTGAAGAAACTGTCTTCGGGAAGACACTGTCAAGCCGGCCAGACGTACAGGAGCCTGCACTCGGGCAGTTTCTTGGAGAACTGGACAATACTTCCAAACTACACCGCATGCCGGCGAACAAAGATGACGATCAGCCAACCCGTACGATCAATCCGGAACAACACTTATAGTTCAAAGGCTCGACTCACTCCGATCAGCCCGCCAACGAAACTGGTCAACCAAAAGATGTGCCCGATCGGACCTTCCCGATGGCCCCACCAACACCAATAAACCTCTCTCACTTCTCTCGTACAAGCCTTCGCGTAGATATCTCTCAGGGTAGTCTCTTCGGACTCGGTAGTCGGGAACGTCCAGGAAAGGTCTAAAGCGCGAAGCAGCCAGATTTGGAAGATGATAGTCAGGATTGCGTACGACGCGAACAAGTACGCGAAGACGGTCGAGGTCAGCATGGCCGAGTCGGCGAGTCTCAAGGTGGTGCTACGACGCAGGTTGCTTTAGCTTCCGGAAGATGTACCCAGAACGATAACTGGGGTTATCTCACTCATGAGGGATCGCGACGTCTTTGGCGGTACCAAAAGCGAGATCCCAGTAGGCCGTACAATTGGTCATCCTATCAAGATCGCCATCGTCAGTCAGGAACGGTAAGAACGGGGTCTGCACGCCTTACTTTTCGCCCAGACACCAGCCTTCGAGACCGAGCTTGACATCTCCCGGCGAATCTCCAGCGGCAGTCAGACTGAACACTCGGTTAGGCACGCTGTAGATCGAGCCAATTCTCGTATCGTAAACCCGCGTAGTCATTGTCGTCAATACGGCCGCTAGCAGAGCCAAACCGGCGATCACGAATGGCGAGACGGTCATCCAGAATCGGCCTAGGGGCGAATAATGCGGGGTGTCTCTCGGTCGAGGCAACGGGGTAGTCGCTCCGAACGACCCGTTGTGAGCTGCAGAAGGCAGGCCGAGGGCGACCTCTGGGGTAGTCACGGGGATCGGGGTCGAGAACGCCGGTTGTCTTCGAGGCATATCGACCACTTGAGGCCCTTCATACGTCGCATGGAACGTCCCGTACCCATCATTCGAAGCGACTGGCTGCGATCGCGGGTCCGGTCCGGTGATCTGCTGATTCGTCATGTTGTATCCTTCTACCGGGTTGTTCTCGCCAGGCCCCGCCCGTAACCGCGACTGTTCCGCATACCACCTGCTCTCCCGAGCCGCAAGCTCATCGCTTTGTCTACGGCCACCGCTGATCGACCGTCTCTGCGTGATGGCGCCCCTGTGCATGGCGGTAGCAGGCCATTGCGACGCCCTCCAACTCGGCCTGGAATACGCACTAGGAGCATCCGTCTGGAATGTCCCCGCCGTCTTTGGTCTCGCCGCTCCCATTCCCTTGCCTGGCAAAGCGGTTGGAGGGGTAGGCGAGTACGGAGAAGGAGAGTTCGGAAACTCCTCGGCGTCGATCTCTGGAGGGTCCCTGTGGATGGTCCGGATGGACGGTTTCCTCATCAAATCGGCTTTTGGCCTGTCGCTAGCCGTATCCGACCCGAAATGGATCGTCTCGATCGGCTCGTCCTCGTCGTCACCCTCTGGCAAGCTTCCCGTCTCGCTCAGATAATCCCGGTCGGATTCGTAGTGCAAGTAATCCTCAAACGGGTCTTCCATGACTTCCACCTGCGAGGCCGTTTCTTCTTCCTTCTTCTTGTTATTCACTGTCTGGGGATCCGACTTTAGTCTCAATGCCCCACTCTCTTCACTCCCGCTCCGACTGTGGCTCTCCTCGGTGACCACCCAGCTCTGGGCGTTGACCGGATTGAACGTGATGGGCGGTCTCGTACGTAAAGGCGATTGCCCCAACCTGGCGCTGACCCGGCTGCGTGAGATGGGGGTCATGGTATCGGTATAAGAACCTCGAGAAGATCCGGCTATGCTGGAGGGAAAGTCGGCCTGCGAAGAAGGCATCGTTTTGTATTGTTGACTGCTATGTAGACTTGTATGTATATGTATCGGGTCGATACCTCGATATTTTGGCCACCGGTGAGCCTGGTAAAAAAGACGGTACCTCAAAGAGGGAAAGAGGCGACTGGGATCGAGATGAGACCGAGGGTTCAGATCCCGGTCCATGTTGATATCAAACCTATACTGTAGGCATCTTCAAGTCGGAATTGAAACGACTCCGCGTTATCCCCCGAAGAAACAAAAGATCCCCCCCGTTGTGCGTATCAGACTTGAAACACTGCAGGGCATGGCAGGTATCGAATCAAAGGAGGCAAAAAGAAAGCGACTGTGCCTTTCAAGGATTATGGGTATGGATGATTTGTGCTTGTCGTCAATATGCGATGACATGAAAATTATCGCGATGGCCTCACGCCGAACAAGGAGAACCAGCTGGTTAATGTTCTGTGGACTCACTCGGTGCGCCGTACTGTATACTGACAGAAGGAGAAGGAAGGTCGAACACGTTCTGAAAGTCGTTGATGAAATCGAAACGTTTGAGTTGTACAAGGTAGTAGGAGCGGATACGGCCTTGCATTTTGCGGCTGCGCTGAAACGTATGTAGTAAGCGCACAAGGCTCTTGTACGTCTGAACAGGACAGGAGCTGGGCCTGCTCCTCAAGAGAGGATCGAGATGATGTGTCGTGTGATGGCAAGTCACTTTCGCCTTTAATCGGACGAGCTCTTTCAGCGGTCGAAAGGTGTTTTTCGAATGCGCGAGAACTTGCGCTCCGAACGCTCATCTTCTCGTCGATTGCCACTCGTCACTCGACTCGACTCCACCTTGGCGGTGATATAATAGGCGGCCGTCGGAGTTTGATAGATGGCAAATGAACCATCGGCATCGTGATTGTAAGCGGAGCGGCGCGAAGACCCCTCCAGAAGCTCAGAAGCGAGGAAGCGAGATGGCATGTGGGGAAGAGGTCTATTTCCCATCTGGCCAGCATCGGGGGCCCGTCTCTGTGAAACACGGAAAGGGGGTGACGAGTGCTCTCGGTCACTTGAATTTGCCATTTCCCCCCCTCCGTCTCTCATCACGTGAGCAAAGAGGTCGACCTCGGCGAGTTTCCTCCTGGCGAGTTTGATTAGCGCGCGCCTCTCTTTCGCCTCCCTGTCGTCGCCCCCTGCATCAGCCCACCCTCGGTCTACGTCGTCGTCAGTAAAAAATCGAAATCGGCCATTAATAGATCGCTCGCCCCAGCTTTGTTCGGGTCCCCCACAATCCCGATATTCGAAATTTTAGATTTCGTAGCCCAACCGGTTGGGCCCTTCTCGCGGACGGTCCGAATCGGCTGTAGAGAATAGGCGCACGCACGACGATGGGTCAGCCAACGAAGGATTTTTTTTCTTCGAACGGGCCAGTCAGGATCGGGCGGTTGGAGCGTTGTCCTCGATTGGTCATGTCCGAGCGCCAGGAGGAGGACGAGGTTCGGGCCAGTGTTCTGGAGATATAGAACGAACAACAAGAACTGCTCGATATATTGATCATCGTCATCGAGTGGAGCGGTGTTCTGGGTCTTTTGCAAGTGATACCCATATCGTCTTAGCCCAAACCTTCTTCAAGACATGGACCACTCGAACGAGATTACCGCCCAGTCGGCCCCCAACACCAATGTCAACACTCCCACCATGAACCCCTTGGCCGAGAAACACTCGCTCGATAGCGATGCCACCCGGTCCATGACCAACACCTCGTTCGCCGACGAAAAGGCCATGAACAACGGGAACCACTACAAGAATAACGGGGACGTGAGAGAGCCTACCATCCCCGAGGAGGACGAGTTCGCTCAAGACGTCTTCACCGCCCATGCCGATGGGAACGACGACCACGTCGATTTCCGTACCATGGGCTGGGTCCAGGCCGGGTTCGTCTGCTTGGCCGAAGCTATCGCTCTCGGTCTGCTCTCCTTCCCCTCGATCTTCCAGCGACTAGGACTGGTCGGAGGCTTGATCGCTACGATCCTCCTCGCCTGTCTCGCCTATATCACCGCCTGGATCTACATCGACTTCAAGTTACGGTACATGGGATGTATGAACGTCGCTGATGCCGGTACGATCATGTTCGGAAGGATCGGGGGGATCATCTTTGGAGTGGGCATCATGGTCAAGTCTATCGGGCTTGCTGCGAGTCACGCGTTGGCGGGGGAGATTGCGTTGAGCAACATCTCTGACAATGCCGTCTGCAAGATCGTCTTCACCGTCGTCATCTGCATCGTCTCTGTCCTCGTAAGCCTGTTATCCCACTCAACCTCTCTACCCTCGCTTCGGTTTTTAACCCCTATCTGCCTCTTCGAATCCCCGCAGCTGTCGCTTCAACGACACTTTGGCAAATTGACCCCGATGTCCATCATCTCGGTCACCTGTATCACCGTGGCCAGTTTCATCACCATCATCGGGACCGGCGTCCAGTCCCCCAGCGTGTTGGTCAAGAACAACGTACCCATCGAATGGAAGGTCATCAACTACGATGCGACCTTGAGCGACGTTATCGGCGCCATGACCAACATCTGTTTCACCTTCGGGACCAACATGGCCGTCCTGACTTTCTGCTCCGAGATGAAGGCACCCAAGGATTTCCGTAAATCCTTCGTCATCGTCCAGGGACTGCAACTCTTCCTCTACTCCCTCGTTGGGTCGCTCGTCTACGTCTTCGGTGGACAATACACCACTTCGCCGGCTTTGACCATGACTACCAGGCCTTTGGCTATCACTGCGTATTCATTCGCTCTGGTCACGATCATTATCTCTGGTGTCGTCGCGTGAGTTAAACAAGACTAGCTGTCGAGTTTTCTTCTTCAGGAGTACTGATCGTTTCCTTCTTGCGTAGTGTCAACATCGGTGCCAAGTACTTCTACGTCACTCAATTGCGAGGCACCCGTCTCTTGACTTCTGGGTGAGTCCCGGTGATTCTTTACTACACGTAGTGTGCGAGATGCTTATAGTGCGGCACTCGCGAATGTAGAGGCTGGAAGGCTCAGTTCATCTGGGTCGGGATCGTCTGCGGAATGTGGATCCTCGGTTTCATCTTTGCCGAGCTCATTCCCGTGAGTGCTGTCACATGACACATCAAGACAGACATTACAAGACTGATACTCATCGAGAACCTTTCGCTACTGCAGTTCTTCAACCAACTTCTTACCATCATCTCGTCCTTGGTCTCCACCTGGTCCGCCTACGGTGTCCCCGGGATCATCTGGTTCTTCATGCGCAAGCCACAGGTCAAGGCCGACGGCTGGAGGCAGGCTTACTTTGGCAGCCTCTTGTCCACGTTCTTCTTCTTTTGCTCTGCCATTTCGGTAAGCCTTCTGTGCCTGGCTCGAGAGCGATATACAACGGAAAAGGCACTCGTCTGACCGGGCCGTCTTTATTGTGTTGGATAGATCGTCTTGAGCGTTGCGTTCACGCCTTTGGGTATTTACTCTGCCGTTCAGGGAATTATCGACGGGGTAAGCAGCTTCAACACTTGACTTGCTGCGGCTTCCGCCTGACTGACATGCCTTTCCTTTCCTGCTCGACAGTACTCCAAGGGTACCTACAAGCACCCGTTCTCTTGCTAGATGGTGCAAACCCACACTTGGAAGATGTAAGAAGGAAGGATCGAAAACAGAAAAGGAATCACACAATGTAAACCCCATAGATAGCATTACACAGGTTGTCGCACAAGGCAACAACACAGCATTATTAGCATGATCATATCAAATCACATAATAGCACGTCGAAGCAGGACACTGCCAGCGAATCTTGCGCGATTTGAAGGTGAAGATGGTCGATTCCGACAGACCTACGAAGCACGACATTGATGCCGAGAGGGGATGAAACGCAGGCTCTCCTTTGTGGCAATGTGCTCCTTTGAGATCGTCATGCTGTGTACGGATCTTGGTCTTGACACGAACGTGTCTCTATATATAAGGGTACACCCTGCTATCGGCTATCGACTTGAATACAGCGCTTGGGGGCCACACAAGCCATTCATTCGCGCTGCTGCCAATCCCCTTCCATTCCCAGAATGACCGATGTGATGCCTACCCCCACGGAAAGATCGACCACTCCTACCATCCCTCCGCCCTCCCCGGTCGTGAAACCTTCTTCGACCCCGTCGCCGCCACCTGCACCTCCGATTCCGGAAGATCTGTTCTACTACGGTAAGCATTGAAACGTTACCTCCGCCTGTTTGTCCGTGCTCATCGCGTAATGTGCTTCTGTCTAGGCCCACTCCGAAGGCCGGTTCACTGGTGCGACTACCACAGGAGAGAGCATGACGCCCCTTGTCCTTTGGCCGAAAGCCGCAAGCTATATCGACGGGAGATCCTTGCCTCGCTCAAGCTGGACAACCCCAAAGCGCCGATCCGAGATGCTTGCAGGGTGTACTACGCGCAGTTCCAAGACATCGCCCTTCAAATCATGAGGTCCATCTCAGAGCTTCCCGCGCCCAAGATCCGGGAAATCGAGAACGTCTACATGCAGTTGATCGATGCCAGTCAGGCCATTCACAAGACCATGTCGGTGATTCAGAGTGATGCGTCGTACGACCTCGGTACGGGCAAGACGTGGAGCTTCTTGGCTCATGCGATTGCCAACAAGCGCACTATGATGGAGGATGCCATCTGTCAAGCCTTCCGCCTGCTGAGGTATATCGAAGAGGTCCGTCCGGTGATTGAGGAGGTCATGACCGAGGGAAAAAAGGCGTTTCCACTGTTGAAACCGTTCGGCAAGCGCATCACCCGGAACTGCCGCAACATCTGCCAAGACCACTGTCTCATCGCCGCGCACCGCGAAACACATCTCATGCGACTCTTGTCTCGTGTGATGACCAGCTCAGACAAGGTCGGAATGAAAGTCGCACAAGCGTGCGCATACGAGATGAGAGGCCGACTGCTCCGCGCCCAGCTTCTCAACCTTGTCGATTACGAGTCGTCCTTCGGTTTCGTCAACTCCCTCGTCGGACGCATCGAGAGGGACGAGTTCAAGGGTGGGATGCTCGACTTTGACGTCGTCTTGCATGCTCATTTGGGTCTGGCGGGCGGCAATTCCGGCGACAGCGCTATCGCGAAGGCGTTGTACGAGGTGTAGATATGAACGAGATCGGGGGTTTGTGGTGCCGATCTGCATGGGTTGTCGATGCTCTCGTATTCAATTCTAGGTGTCACCAGTTTCCATAAATCCCCCGTTTACTCTCACTTCGGTTCGACCAGCTAGATACTGCAAATCATTCCTTCCATACGCCGATACCGAGGGGACGCGACAGACACAAGCCAGCCGGCTCGCATCTTTATGAAAGCCGTATCCTGGCCTTTTTGTCAAGCGCAGCAGCCAGAGTAGATTGCTTGGTCTGTTGAAGCTCGTGCTCGTTATCTCAAGTCCTAAGAGTACTTTGCAGACGCACAAGTCCGTGATCCTCGAGCCTATAGGTGATCAATGTGTCGCATGCCCGTCCCGCCTAAGTACCCATCGAAGGCCTGCTCTCTACATCGGAGCCCTGACGAACGGAGATCATCAAGCGTCTCGAGCGCGATATCTTCTGAAGTGCCCTTGCCTGATCGACAGGTTGTACTTGGACTTTAATCAAAAATGACCTTCTCAGATTGATCCAAAATGCCTTCAAAAAATGCGTGCAAGATTGACTGAAGATCGGCCTTAGCGAACTCTACAGAAGTGTCTGTGCGACGATCGGGATCATCAGATAGCATGTAGGTTACACGGCTCATACCATTTATTTGGGACATAAGTCTACCGGCAGGACGGTTCAAGAATGGGTGGATCTTACCTTTGTCTGTTAACCATGAGGCACTCGGTGACTCAGCGACTCTTGAGATATGTCTTGCTGAAGCGACATTCGGAATGAATGTGATTCGATGTAAAGCTCACGCTGGCAAGGGGCATTCTGAGAAGCAACACAGATTTCGATAAATCAGACCGGCAAACGCATGACTAACATTAGATTTAAGATTCACTGAGGTTCAGATCGAATACAGCTGCCTTCAATTTACAACCAAGTCAATCTGATTGCGATCGCGCTGTATTATACCCCTTTCTGCGTACTCGTACAGCAACAGGTTCGCCGTCCGGATCCGTCTTCACGCCGCTCTGCAGCCTGATGCTCGCACTTTTCAAATCGAGTAAAGCTTCAGCTCCGATTTTACTGGGAAGCAAACGAGGGAATGACTTTCCTTTCCAGAACTCGGCAAGATTTTGAAGAAGCCTTATTACAGGGATGCAACAAATGCAAAGGCCAAAGATCCCAAAGTAATCCAGAAGGTTTCCACAATGACTTTCAAACACACCCAGGCAATCAGCCACGACGTGTACAAACTGGCAACACCGCCCTCTCTGGGATATTTGCATTGAAGTTTAAAGCGGCTGAGAACGCCTAGCACGTCAATGAAGCAAGTTGCCTTGGAGTCAAGATGAATGATTCGGTCTTTACCGTGATTAGAAGCTGGCTGAATGTACAAGAAGAGTACAATAGCTTTTTGTCACTGTAAGCGCAAGTTCTTGTCCCATTACCAGGTAGCGCAAACACTGACACACTGGTGCTGTCTAATCCAAGATGCAAGTGCACAAGACCAATCAGACTCAAAGTTATATTAGCGAGACACGAGATTGAACCTACAAATCTAGTGTGAAGGTGGAACGAAAAACCGATCGGGCCCTTTCAAGACAAGGATATGTGCTTGCCTTCATCAGACCATTCTGACCATGAGATGTCTGACAATGAGCAAACGGTCGCTTACTTCGTTTCCATATCTGTCGGTCGTAATCGCTCGGCGCGTTTGAACTCATTATTTGTTTCACCTCCGCCGCATCAATGGTACATTTCGTGGAATTCCTCGAACCCTTTGATTCGCTCCGATCCCCGTCATGCTAACATGTCCGCCACATCAACTGCTCACGACAACACCGAGACCATCGATCAAAGGAGGCTCACGCTACCCCTCACACAGCACGTTGAACACTCCGCCGCGCACCCACGTTTGTGATTACAGGAAGGCCGACGACAATGGAGACACCCCACCTTGATGTCACATCTGTCGAGTGTCTACTGCTGGCTAGAGCAAGAGCAGCAATAGTCGTCGAGGAAACGGCGGGACGGACAGTCGGTCCGCCAAAAGAAAGGAGATCTCCGCCGTCAGGCAGAGTCACCATCACTGATACCAAGTCTGTGTGTGTATATATATACACTCAATCAAGGTGGCGAATGGTATGTTTTCTCTACCTTTTCTGGGCTGAATTATCAACCCCTCATACAGCCGCTACCCAGCTCAGATCAGAGACCATCTACCGATACCGTTTAGAAGACATGTCATCCACCCTTGTCTCCCTTTCGTCCGCCACCAAGATACAGCCCTCCAGTGCTCACATCGATGCCGCTCATCTCGCCACTTCCCAACCTCGACCTCACCCAGCTATCGAAGGCTTCGACACCCCGTTGAGCGCGGACACCCGAGACCCCATCGAGCTGGCCCACCTCACCCGCGCTTTGGAACACAAGACCGCCTCCCTGATCACCCGTATGCTGTCTCAGCCCATGGGCTCGCAGGTTGTTCTCTGGAACTCGGGATGCATCCAGTTGGAGGACAAGAACATCATGATCCACGTGGACGATGCCGTGATCATGTACGCTCGCTTGAAGGGAAATCCGAGGTTCTTGTTGGTCGAAGTGGTTCACTTGGACAGGGAGGAGACCGAGTGGAAGGCTGTCTACCGGTGTGACAAGGATCTGGTATAGGGTTCGGCCATCTCCTCGAAAGTCTGTGCCTGTTCTAACGTCTTGTTTTCGTCTTCAGGGCCTCTGTTCCTCATATGTTCAATAGACTTGATGAACTGAACATTCTCGTCTCCTCTTGTATGATCTCCTTGATAGAGGTGTAGCTTCCATGTCCTTTCGAAACATCTACATAAAATTCATAATCATCATTTTCATCTTCCTCCGCCCCGCTTCCCTCCTCCCTGTTCCCCTCACCGCTGTCTCCCTCCTGCTTGTCTCTCTTCTCTCCATCTCCCTCTTCGTGCTATCAGAAGGGGTTTGACGAAGCAGTATTGATGAGATTGACCTGGACGATCTTGGGGGTCCCGTTTGGCGACTATTTGGGACCGGAGTGATTGCTTGTCTCTACCTCAAGCTGTAACTTTCGGTAGCACGAGGTTGCAAGACCACTTCCATCTTTTGGGAAGCTAAATTTCTCGTTTCGTTCGTGATCCTCGCTCATACCATTACACCAGCAAGGAGCTTGAGTAGCTTGTCGATAACATGGCGCACATTCCTCTTCAATCCGCTCATGGCCACAGACAATACCCTCAGCCAACGCCATTTTCAAGATGGCAGCGATTCTGGCTAACATGTTGATCGATCCTAACTGCTCTTACCATTGTAACGAAGAACTAATTAAGGTGTGAGAGGTTAACGACCTTGATGGAGAGCGCGTCAAACTGGACATGAGTAGGGAGATTGTTGACCTTGTTTGACACGGTTCTCAGGGCCACTCTGGTAGGGGCAAAGATATTGATACAGGTCCTAGCAAACCGATCAATTACTCCCAGGCTGTTGACGTTGGGGACAGGAAGGAGGAGGATGGCCATGTTTGGTGATGGAGAAGAATCTGGTCTAGGGCGTCGTGTCCGCTTAAGGCCGCTGATGTTACAGTCTGGAGAATATGGGTAGCATTGCTGTTGATGAGGTGGAACGTTGCAGGCTACATATGAGATGCGGCGAGGAATCATTGATCAGTATAAACGGATACCTATGTCAGGGACTAAGGGACCAGACCATTTTATCGACGACTATCAAGTGGTCGAATGCTTATGCAGCAAACGCAATTACTTGTCGCTTCAGAGGCATTGGTGCGCACGCGTTTCAGCCTCTTTAGAACCTCGCCGTACATGTGTTCAAGAAGGGAATATACAATCGGCCAATATTATTGTTTTTCCATCGCCCAAAGGTCTTGCGAGAGCGTTCTGCGCCTGCCATTGACTGGCACATCGCTGTTGAAGAAGCCCAATCCCCGCCAAGCAGTGAAGGCCAAGCGCTGCAGAACGATTGTCGTTCCCAAGGACATCCCCCGGATCCACTTCGCATTTATCCAAAACGTGAATGACATCAACCACAGCCAAAGGCTCAGCCTTGACAAGTACAGTCAGTCGCTGCGGCCGCTCCTCATTGTGTCCACTATTTTTGCTACCTACTTGCAGCACAGCTTCAAGACGGTGACAGCTGAACCTGTGTTCTGGCAGATTGTAGAATGAGTCAATGTCAAATCTATTGCCTTGACAGGTAAGGGGAAGAGGAAGGCAAAAGCAAAGGCTTCGGTGCCAAAGACCCCAACATGGCGACCTATCACAATAGCAGAAATCAATGGTATCTTACCTCACATCTCTGATAAGGTGGAAGGTACTTTCCACAAATGTAAAGAGAGATTCCAATGGTTGACTCATCCTCACCGTGCCATGTGGAAGGGGAAGGATCAACAGCAACAGCAATAGGTGTCCACCCGCCCTGCAATCAGGTCTCTCACAACTTTACCCTCAAATTGCATATCTTCCTCTCCGGCCTCCGCGGTTAACCGCTTGTTCCCCTCTGAAATGTCTCGGAAGCGTTATTTTAGCCTCAGTAGCCAAGATTCTCGTGCTGCACGTATTTCGTCTTCTTCGTTCAATAGCGACTAGAGTAGGTCTTTCTTTTGGGTCAATCAGTGGGGTATTTCGATATTTGAAGGGAGGACATAGGCGGCAGCCTTTGTTCAAGACCGACCGGGACTGATTCTTTGTGGGAACACCGTCCGTTTTATGCGCATGACCCACGGCTGATGCTTCTACTTTCATCGAGCATTGTGCGACTGCCCCAATCTTTCTCTGATGTTTGTTTTGCGCGATATCCGGTATGTGCTCTCATCCCGACCGCCGGTAACAATCGACTGATGTTGAAAGATGAGATCACGTGATCCTGACACGGAACCCTCGGATGATAACAGCAACAGTCGAGCGAAGTGATCTATGACTACTCCCCCGTGACTGTTACTGTGACCTGTTTGAGTACTCATACTCTGATGGTCGGGCGAATCATCCGAGTTTCACGTCGTCCTTTCTCGCTTCCCTAGCGCGCGATCAAAAGAACTTGTTTCATCAAAGGAGGAGAAGCACGCGCTTGACATTCAGCCTCCGTTGACGACCGGATCACAAAGAAAAGAAAGCGGCTCGAAGAGATCCTCATCCGTGCGGTCGCGGAAAAGGAACACTCTGAACCGCTAGTTGCAGACGATCCGCATGTCGGGTGATGATCTCAGGAGGGTTATGTGTAAAACTTCCGCTACGCGCGCAGCGCGGGACTCAGCTACTAGACCTTGTAGAGTCATCATCATCTCATTGTCTCCCTCCTGCTGTCCTCTTCGCCGCTCAAGGGCTATATATATAGGCAACTCGATCGGTACTGATCCTTTCCGAACTTGATTTGACCAACTTGAGGCGACATCTGAAGCTCTAAACCCGAGCCAAAGCAATCTCAAGACCAGCACCACCATGACTCAAGATATCGCCACGATCAGCGCGACCCCTACACCTACCGCCTCGGCTAGTGAGATTATCAAACACCTTCGCGAGATCCTCCAACGCATCCGGAGCGAACAGACCCGCGGTACTTACGCTCAGCCCGGTCGCCCCATCGAAAGCGATCCTTACGCTGCTCTCCTCGCCTGCGTCTCCGTTTCTTACGCTGATGCTGATGAGAAATGGCGAACCATCGCTTCGGATCCGAAGGCCATTGCCATGCTGAATAAAATAAAGTTTCACCGGGATGATGCCGAGTACGATGCCGAGATCATCTGTAGCGAGGATGTCATCAAGAATCTTCGAAGTGAGTGGAATACAAGATCCAGTGACTTAAATGAACGGAGATTATAAGATTCCCTAACCTGCATATATCCTGCTCAGAACCAGGCGTCCTTTCCATTCGCACTCTGGAAAGCTTTCCCCTGATCGGCAATTACAAGCTGTACCACGAGATCGAGACCAACCTTCTACGTGGTCTAGGCCAGAAGCTGGACAAGCCGGATCTGAAGGTCATGTTCATCGGCTCTGGACCTCTTCCGATCACCGCCTGGCTATTGGTCGAAGCCATCTCCGCCAAGTGAGTCACGCAGCGCTTCCGTCACTACCATTCTGGCTGACAAGTTGGGCTCGATATCACAGTCCCCGGTCGACGATGACCTGCGTCGAACTCGTACCCGATGCCAACGAACGGGGCCACGCCTTTTTCAGCGCTATGCTGGACCAACCCACCTCCCCCGCTCTTCCCGCCTTGCTAACCCGAAATTCTGGTCAAGTCCGGTTCATCACCTCGAACGCCCTGGCCCTTTCACCCTCGACCATCGCCTCGCAAGACGTCATTTACGTCGCCGCCATGGTCGACCGCCCTAGCAAGCGTCAAGTCCTACAGTACCTCGTCCAACACATGCGGGCCGATTCGAAGCTCGTCTGCCGTTCAGGGCAGGGTCTGAAGGGGATCTTTGGAGGGTACGTCGAATCGGCTTGGTTCGATGGGACGAGGGGCGAGGTCGAGATGCGAGCGCAGTCGAGTCGGACCTTTTTGGGTCAAGTGATCGTCAGGATCAAGCCCGATAGCGCGTGTCATCAATGATGGCGATCGTGGGCTGTACCCGTCAACATGGACTAGAATTCTCTCTTGTACAAAGACCGTAATTATAATACGCTTCTGCTGCTCGCTTCTTACCCGCCTGTCGGTTTCACACGTTTACTGAGCGCTGGGAACGGTCCCGATTTGGCCAAGACGACCGTCCTCTTCTCATGCGAGATGTAACCCTTCATATAGCCCTGCAATTTCAAGTTCACCAGACCAGCTCTCGTCAGTCAAATCCCCCCTTCCATCCGAAATAGTCATGCCAACAGCTGGGAGCCGCTAGAGGGAAGATGCGGAACTCACCTTCCAGATCATGCCCGCGACGAGACATTCCGCCTCGTCCTCGTCGACCTCTATCCCCTGATGCCGGAGAGCCAACTTGAACGCCGAGATCGGGATCCTCGATTCCTTGTCGCACGCGATCCACCTGCCCGTACCACCACTGTCATTAGCACCATCACCATCTCAAACCTCACGCAGCCCGTCCAGACTCGATCCGACTCACACGCCCCGCATCAACCCTCTTAGACAGACCTCCCTCCCCCTCTCTAGCGCCATCCAGACTCCCACATCCACCCCCATGCCATCCACCTCGACGTCCATTTCCTGGTCCATCCCCATCCCACCTGCACCAGCATCAGCATCAGCCTCCACAGTGGAGGCCTCTTCGGCAATCTCCCCGCTCTGAAGCCTTTCCAACGCCCGATCGTACGCCTTGACGTCCCCCACCCGGATGGCGGCTATGAATTTCCCATAGAGTCGTTCGATCTTGGGGTATTGTGCCAAGAGGTGTGGGGAGGGGAAGAGGCCTAGGCGGAGTCGGGCTGGGATGAGGTGTTTAAGGATGAGCCTAGGCGTGTCAGGAAGATGAGAAACAAAATGGGTTGTGTAATGTGATGTGATGATTGAACGCAAGGTGATCAGGACCAATTAGACGATATGATCGAGATACCGAAAAGAAATCGCCGGGCGAAAAAACAAACATGGACGACGAGATGACCCATCCCAATCAAAGTCAAGAGCCCGCACCTAGACTCCAAACTCAAACTCACTCTTGATTCCTCCGACTCCCCGCCAAACACCTCTCGAAAGCCCACCCCAAATGCCCCCCCGCAACCTCATCCTCCCCGGCCCTGAACGCCAATAACCCCAAGTAATAACTCCACGTAACCCTATCCGCCATCTTATAACTCTCCAACTTCGGTAGTGTCGGATCAGAGTTGACGGCCCTGACGAGCTGTTTGGAGAGGTTCGTACGGTCGATCTTGAAGTACCACCCCATCAAGCAAGACGCGGTCTTGTAGACCCCTTTTCGGAGGGAGAGGGTAGGGGGGTTGGAACGGTCGCTGACGCAGAGTTTGAAGGCGGATTGGATGATCCGGGCTGTGGATTCTTCGTACAACCCAATGTCTCCCCCGCTTGTTGTTGTTAGAGCGTTATTGTTGTTATTGTTATTGGACGTCGCTTCCCTTCGAAAGTGTTCCGAAGAAGCGTTCGAAGACAGAGTTTGCAGGTCCCGTAAGAGCGTATAAAGCGGGGGGAGGACCCAGGATGTACAGGTCGAGGGGTTGTTGGATATGTATCGGATGTAGGTGTTTATGCATAGTTTTTGGGATTCGTAGCTATTTGTAGAAGAGGAAAAAGAGGTAGATGGTGTTAGGAGATGGCAAAGAGAGTGCGTGGTAGCACGATAGCGTCAGTGTGAAGCAGGAACACGACCTCTGAAAACGATGCCTCGGTAACTCACGCTTCGATCCAACTCTCGTTCTCTTCCATCCACCCGGCCCATACCCTCTCTAGAACGATCGTCTTCCACTCATCCTCCAATCCCAACGCCGTCCCTCTCCTATGGATCACGTTCGCCAAGTAATTCTTCTCTACCTTTCCTCTGGTCTCCGAGTGCAAGGCCCGGAGGACATGTTGGATGGGGTCCGAGGTCTGGTTGAAGAGTTTGGAGAGACGGGATGGTTTTTGTTGGGTGATCGAGTCGGATAGTCTTGTGAGGTAGTCTGTGAGGGCGGTGGTCATCTCGTGTGTGTGACCCTGTGTACTTGTCGCCTGAGTGTTGTTTGCACAGAGACGATGTACAAATAATGACACTCCCCCCCTCATCTTCAAGAGCATATTCGACTAGATCCATTGAGCTGATACTCTTCGTCGACCATTCGGGCTTTCGTCATATCGACCGCACCCTCCTCTTGATCATCATCTCATCATCATCATCAACAACAACCACACCATCAACTGCCTACATACACACACACACACACACACAGCAATCACAACCTAGCCTGAGCTCCGATCGAAGCCACCTCGAGCGGCCCTGGTCAAGAATGAACAACCCGTTGCTCGCCATCCAGGTCGGTCATTGAACCTCGCGGGTATAGACCTGTGTTGACTGGCGGCTGATGATGTCCTGTTTCTCTCCATTTGATCCTTTACATATCAATTCGCTACGTGTATGCTGCTTGTTCTGCTCGGATTACGAACTGGACACGTCGATGTCTGCTCCGGGAACTATCACACCAAATATCGCAACTCAATCAAATTCAATTCACTCCTTACGTACCGTATACGATGATGCACGATAACACGTCTTCATCCGGATCGTCATATAATCTAATCGCCGGATGAGACCAAATAGAGCCAATACTGGGCCGTACGGGACTACCTCTCCCCAGTAAGCCCTCCCTCGCCTCCTCTCCTCTCCTACTCGTATACATCTCGCGAACTGTTTCGCATCATACCCCAACTGATCATGATATGCTCATCCAATCATCTGCATCTGTATCTGCACCTGTATCTTCATCCCCAACAACTTTTAACGTGATACAATAGGTCCTCAAAGAATCCAAATTCAAAGAACACGGAAGACTCACCCCCGAGGAGTTTGTGGCCGCGGGGGATTTCTTGAGTTACAAGTTCCCCGTTTGGGGGTGGTACGTTTATGTCCGGGCTCTTCGTTCTCTTCTTCGTTTTCTTTCTCTTCTTCTTTTACCTCGAGTTCTTCTACCTCGGGTTCTCCTTTCTCCTCTTCGGCCTCCTGGTCCGTGTCTATACTATACGGACTCGGATTCGGTTTCGCCTTCGGCCTTTTTCCCACGTCCCGTCTCTGCGTGATCAGAAAGACAGTAGATGCGTCAGAGACTGATCAGTTTGTTTCTTTTTCTTCGTTCTTTTTCGTTCCGACCTTGACCTTGACCTTGAACTTGATGATCACTCGGATACTACTCGGATACTATTCGGATGGTCGTTCTTCTTACCTACTATCAAAATCGGAAATCCGGACCGAAATCGCAATCGATACAAAAACCGGATGTCGTTATCGTGATCCCAAAAACCGCAACATCCATCTACATCCTACATCCTACATCTACATTACCGATTTCGAACTAATCAGGCAGAAAGGAGAACCAGGCCGTACGAGGGACTTCTTACCGGTTGATAAACAGTATCTGGTGACCAGGAACGGTGAGCCCACTCTTCTCTACATTCATGCGTCCAAATGATTTGGGTATGGATCGTGTCTGACGAAATGAATATTGATCTTGGGAATTATCTTATCGTGCATCTCTCGGTCCTCTGACATCTGAATATCGAAACCCACGGCGACTGTCCCGAACTATAAAAATAAAACGAATCGATAAACGTCTGGGGAAACCATAGTGCCTTGTCTTCGACGAGCTACGGCGGTGGAATACGGGGATTCGGAGGAAGATGGCGAGAGGTTGTTGAATTTCCTGGACGATGTGCGTATGAGCTCAGGTCGTCTTATCGACTGATGGCGAATGTGGCATTAGCTGATGCCAGTTTTGCTTCTTGCGCTCGCCGGTGATGGTGGTGTATATAGGCAGAAGAGGCGCCAGGTCCGGATGGGAAGACTAGGTCGGGGAAGGTCGTCAAGGACGATGAAGATGCTTGGGTGGAGACGCATGTCGGGAGGAGTGAGTCGTCGGTCCCCATCAATTCGATATCGACGGGTGTACTGTAACCAAACATCGCTGATGTCAACCTTGCTCGCCAGCCTCGCACCAGACGAAATCCGCTGCGGCCCTCGCCGAAATCCCTGACATGGACGACGACGACGACGAAACGCCTGACGCGATCGACCGACTCCCCAACCCTCGCTCCGACGAAGCGCACCTCGGTGACCTGACTGCGGACATCCTCAACAAGCTCGACCTGGAGAGCGATGCCATTCCTGATATGGACGATATCCCGGATATGGACGACGAGTTGGGGGGCGAGGGGGTCATGTTGGAGGAAGAGGACGAGGCGGCTGCGAAGGGACCGGTCTTGAACCATCCTAGCGTGTGAGTCGGGTGGGGACAGGCCTTCGGTTTTGATATGTTGAGCGGGAGGAGGGTTGCTAAAGTCTGGTCTGGGTGGCTATCTTGGCGGTATAGTCAGGACGTCGAACAATCGAGGACGAGGGAGAACCTGTTGCAGGTCAGGACGTACGACTGTTTCATCAGTTACGACAAGCATTATCAGACCCCGAGGTTCTGGTTGTTGGGTTACGACGAGGTAGGTGTATGATGATAACGACCGCACTGTACTTCGTGGCTGACGAAAAACACCTGAAACACCTGCTTGTTTGTGCGCTTCCGCGGCGATAGAACAAACAACCCTTGACCCCGACCCAGGTGTTCCAGGACGTACCCTCGGACCACGCGTTCAAGACGATGACCATGGAGACGTTCCCCCACTCAGGTCAACTGCTCGCGAGCGTCCATCCTTGCAAGCATGCGAGCGTGATGAAGAAGTTTATCGACAGGATGGATGACGCTAAGAAGAACAGCGGCGATAACATCAACAACAACAGCAGTGCAAGCGGCTCGCAGGAGGACGTCGGCTCGAACGACAAGGACAAGGCGGATAAGAAGAAGAAGGGTTGGGGACTCGGCGGGGTGGTCAGGAAGGTCACTGGCGGTTCAGGATCGGCGGCGAATGCTGCTTCGGCAGGTGGGGCGTCTTCTTCTGCACAGCCGGCCAAGCAGGAAGAGGTCCAGGGAGTTCAGGTCGATTTCTACATGGTCATCGTGAGCATTTCCCGACGTTTCGTTGCGGAAAAGAAGCTTCTGACTGACCTTTGTGTTCTCGTACGCCTTGCAGTTCTTGAAGTTCATCGCTAGTATCGTCCCTACCATCGAGGTAGATAATACTACCTCCTTCTAGATTGGTTCTTCAATTCACGATGTCGCTCTAGCCATCCCGGACAGCCTGAGACTTGGTCGATCTGCATGGGAAATTTGATTCGCCCTGCCGTATCTGTTCTGAATTATAGTTTTATTGTATTCGCGATCGTAATCGTATCGTCATGATCATACATACCCATTCTCATCCGAGCAATCTGATATCGGTTCTGAGGGAATTTCCCCGGGTGAAGGTGCAGGGTAGAATATCTGGGATGATCCGCTCCGGCAATGACATATAGTCGGATCGTGATACTCCTGTAGACTCAGGGCCATCTGTATGGAAGCCGCCAGGCTACCCCCAAAAGCGTCTACAGCCTCTACAGGCCTGCTTGAATGTTGCCTATTCGATTGAGACAGTGCCGAATAACTCAGTGGTTTGAGGGCTTGCGAGACTGTTCAATACCGTCGGTGTACTATGATTTGATAAATCCCCAGATGCCAGCACAACAGCTCTTGTGGCGCAGTTGGTAGCGCGTATGCTTAACAAGCCTTAACTTGTAAAGCGCATAAGGTCCTGAGTTCAAGCCTCAGCGGGAGTATTCATTTTTCACTGTGTTTACGATCTTTTTTCCGTTCCAAAGAACGATTTACACTCTTGGTGAGCGGAGTCCCTTGAGGCTTCTGCCTTTTTCGACGACCTGCCTGTCGGTCGATAATGACCGATGATGGCTAGTGACTAGGATGTACGCAAGGGAGGGTCGTCAAGATCCTCCACCTCGTGTCGGAATCGGAAGAAGATGCGCGTTCGGTGACTGACCGCGCGCCGAGAAGGCACCACGGGAGGTGGGGCATATCTGAAATACGGCTTCGTCGACGTTGTCGATCTTACCTGTCCTTTTAGCTTCTTGCTCCTTCTCAGATCTGGATTTTAGTCACCTCCGCCGATCTAGGTAGCTGATCAACGATCCAAATCGTTACCGCCAGGACCTGTCTCGATGTGGCCAGCCAGCATCCTTTCTTCGCTCGACACCGCGTCCAAAGGCTTGCGGGACGTCCAGGTCGAACCTCGTGCTCCGGCTGATCTCTGGATACGAGGTTCTGGAACGTTGGACGAGCCGGCAAAGGAGTGGTCTTTCGAGTCCCCACTTTCGAACGAAAGTCTAGGTGCCCATGCGAGAGCGAGTCCGAGCTCGAGTAGGGGACATTTGGCAGGAGAGGTGGAGCGCGATGTTCGGATCTCCTATCCGCTCCGAGTAAAGTTTGAGGTAGCCCTCGTCGGATCTCCGGAATGTGAGCTACTCAGAGTTTGGGTAGTCTGAATCTTTACCTAGTTGTCTTTGCTGACCACCGCTGTGTCTTCTCACCTGACTTGAAATGTTTAGACCATCTCACCTCGGCGGCTCTACGACACCACTTCAAAACCTTTCAATACCTCGCCTCTGACTCTGAAGACCTCTTCGTTCGTCCCACTTCGATGGCTCTGCACGAGTATCCGGAGGGCCTCTGGGTATTCAGCATAGACCGAAAGGAAGATGTCTTGCTGCCAATCTGGTGGGACCAACAAGTAAGGAGTCAAATTAGGCCGTTAAGGGCAATCAAGGAGGAAGTCGAGGCCAGGAGAAGGGAAGGTGGAAGGAGAAGACCTACGACGACTTCGACTTCGAAGGGAGGGACAACGACGAATACAGCGAACGCTTCGCCGGTAGTAGATAGGCTACCTCAGTTCGCGGATGATATCGGGAATTATGCTATGAACGACTACGCTAAGAATTCCGGCCATGACCACCGTGCCAACTCGCTCGACTCATCCCAACCTCTGCCCTCGACATTACCTTTACCCCAACAACAACATCGTCCGCATCCATCTCTCCAGACTCACCGATCTGCCGGATCTGCGGAAGGGGTGCCTTCGAGCGGGTGTGGGCGGATGGGATATGGCGATACGGATGAGGACGAGGAAGATGAGATTAGGGGTGCCGCAGAAAGCCAATGGGTTCTGGGAGTGGATGTGTTGATTCAAATGGCAAATTGGGTTGCGGTGAGTGAACATGACCCCTTTTCTCGGCCTCAGATGGACGGGCTGACTGACCTAGGGAAGTCGGGGTGACCGCTTCGTATCCGTATTTCAGACATTACACAACCGGGATCACCGAATCCTGATGTGCCGTCCTCGTTATTTCTCCGTTCATACATCCGAACAATCTCGGTCGCCTACCGCCTCTTCAACAGGTCGACAGGATTTCAACGTCGAGCTCCGTACCTTTGCTACGGTCGAGCAGGCCGGGATGTTGGGCAAGAGCGGATATTTAGCGGAAGGCACTACGAGCCCCTTGGCGTTGTCCTCGGAGAATATGCCTATGGAGAGATCACGATTGCAACTGCATGTGGATGCAAAGCCGAATTCGATCCCGGAAGGAGGGGGCTCTTACAGGAAGGGGTTGGTCAAGCAGTTGGTCGAGCACGGGTTGAGGGTCAATTTGGGCTACGTAGCACCCGAATTCATCGCTGCGGACTATACCGCCGATCCGAGCGTCGACGTCTTCGCTTGGGGTGTAGCGGCGTACGAGCTGCTGGCCGACCGACCTATCGAGGATTTCGACCGAGGGCAGGACGATTGGGACATTCTCACTGCCATACATCATCATTCTACGCGGACGATCACCAGTCTCAAGGATATTCATGACACCATCCCGCTAGAACTCTCGCAGTTGGTCGAAAAAGCGCTGGCGCTGGACCCTTCAGATCGATATCTCAACGCCTCGATGTTGTTGCACGATCTCCATCGGGTTCGTCAGATTTGTGCCGGACATTGCATGGACGAGGCTCGGGCGGACTTTGTCGTAGGTGATATCGTTGAACTCGCCACCTTCCGATTTCCTTCAGACCTGCTGGACAGGGAAGCCGAGGACGTCCAGCTGGACGCCATTTATAAACGGATCAAGTCGTCCGGCATCCCGGAAGTTGCTTGTTGTTACGGCCGGTCGGGAAGCGGGAAGAGTCAGCTGATCGCCGACTGGGCCACGCGGCAGGAACTGAAGAACGCCGGTCAAGATTGTCTGGTAGGTTCCGCCAAGCTGGATCAACATCTCCTTCGACCCCTTTCCGGTTTCATCAGCGTCTTTTGTTCCCTACTCGACCGAGTGTTCAGTGATCCGCTCGAAGATCCGACGATCTGGAAGAAGGATATCCTCAACGCAGTCGCTGCCAACTCGAGCCTGTTCTTGTCCCTGTTGCCAGCCGAATGGCAGCGCGTCTTGGGCGATGCGGACGGCCATGACCTCCCGCCTGCAGAGACGCAGGCGATCGATTGGGACAGCTACATCAAGCAATTTCGATCGTGGGCAACCATGCTGCTTCGGCTGTTCTCGAGCCGACATCGGCCTCTGATCCTAGTCATTGACGATTATCAGTGGATGGAGGCTAGTGAAAGAACCTTGTAAGTCTGCCGCGGTCCCAAACCACCGAGCATGACGACGAGACTGACTGGGTTTTTGCCTCTGCAGGTGGTACGAATTAGCGTTCGTCCCGTCCCGTAGGGTCGAGCACTGTTTTATCGTTCTATCTTACCGGACGATGGAGCAGACCTTGGCACCTGACATCGCACCGATCGAGGCTACTATGATCGAGGCAAGGAGGTTCGACCGAAAAGTCATATCAGCCTTGCTTTCGAAGTAAGTAGGAGCAGGGAACGGAAGGCTGGAGTCCTGTACTTATTCTACCTTTTGATACGAAAGATGTTTCCATCTGGACAGCATGTCGGCGGGGTGGCAGGAACTTGCCGACTCCCTGCTAGAGATCTCGGAGGGTGCGTCTTGAGTCGCCGCAGCATCCGCGTTAGAGACATACATAGAACTCGACTCAAACCTCGCCCTGATATACCCACAGGTAATCCCTTATTCTGCAGTCAGATCCTCGTGGCGTACGTGCGGGACAAGGTGATCGTGAGTGCTGCTGCGCTCGGCCTTCATCATGTTCGCTGGGTCATCTTACGCGACGGGTTTCTTAGCGCTTCGATTACGAGGAACGGAGGTGGAAAATCTACCGGGAAGCAATGACCAACTATGACGCCATGTCGTCCGAGCAATACTCTGGAAGGTCAGTCATTGATCTTTTCTTCAGGCTGTTGATCGTGCTGAATTTGGCCCTCTTCCACAGAGCATTCTCCTTGTTCGAGCCCGCGCTCAAAGACGCTTTGCAGCGTCTAGCCTGGTTGCCCTCGCGAGGTGTCAAACTCGACTTGCTGGCTCGGGTTGTGAATTCGCAGATCGACCACCTGAAGCAATGTCTCAAGCCAGCGGTTGACAGCACGGTTATCCGCATCAACAATGGCGAGGTGGCTTTCTCTCACGATCGTCATCATCTGGCTGTCTTAGCTTCTATCCCGGAGGCAAGCAAACCCGTGCTTTTCTTGTCAATCGCAGAAGCGCTGGAAGGATTTCCATCTCCGGAACTCATATTCGTCAGGGCTGACTTGCTCCTAGCGGCCCACTCGCTGGAGCGATCCTGTGTTCCTTTACACGTACTCTGTCGAGCTCGTGAGTTTTGAAGGAGGATTGATCTACCACACCGACGATTCCTGAAGAGAGGCATTTGCCTTGCAGTGATACACGCGACCCAGCGAGCGATTCGAGGTCTGGCTTCTGACCTGGCTCAACGATACCTCGAGCAAGCTCGTGCGATCTGGACCATAGATACGACTACCAGCTGGCAAGAGGATCCATCTGTGTCCCTGCAGCTCTGCGGGGCGATTGCTGAAGTCGCTATAGCTAGAAGGTCTGCCGCGTCGACCATGGCGGAGGTGAGGGTCTGTGACTAGGAAGGATTTACCGGCTCAAGCTGAAGACGATTGGCAACTGCAGGTCGAACGAGCTAGCGAAGTGGCACCCACGCCGTTGCTCAAAATTCAGGTCTTGACTTGGTTATGTCGACTTTGCTTGGCATGTTCATGCGCAGCCAAAGGCTGTGACTTTGTGGTCAAGGCTTATGCTCTCGGCAATGTCCCGACGGATCTATGGAGATCATTCTCAAAAGACACGTCACATATCGCACGCTATGTGTCTGTCGCTCCCGTCGCCCCCATCAACGACGACGACCGCACTTATATTGCATTGAGCGTGATCACGACAATCATGGGACCGACTGTTTACTCGTGAGCTTCTCGCCTGTGGACTTTTGCTTGCTTCTCGCTGACAACCTGTCTCTACCAAAAAGATTCATGCCCGACTTTGGTCGACCCATCTTTCACGCTGCTGGAACCTTTCTCCTCCAGAAACCTGCGGCAGCGGCTCTCAAGTTTCCTTCCAGCGCATACATCTATGCCATTATGGGGTTACTAGTAAGACTGCGCGGTGCATTCCCTCCCCCTCTCATTCGATTCAAGCTGATTGCGTTGCGCACACAAGGAATTGAACGATCTCCGGCTAGATCTCGCTGAGAGCTGGCTTGAGCTATCAGAGACGATCGACGTCTCTGGGACACCATATGTGGCTGCAGCAGATATCGCACGGATGGTTGTCAGGCTTATTCGGACCCGTCGCTTATCCGAGCTTGACTACACCAGCATCCGGGATAATTGTATAGCGAGTACGTCACAGATTGCACGCGGTGTGTTTCCCGTCACTCATCTACTTTACCTTTTTGCGATACGATCGTCCACAGCCAAGAATCCCGATATTCTTACTTACGTCTGTGGGCTGGAGTTTGGTACTTTTGCCTTGTCCGGTCATTCTATCACGCAAATGCTAGCAAGGGGCAAACATGCTCTCGCTGCTCTGGGAGAAGACTTACAGCCGGTCTCGAAATTGATGGCGACATCTTTCGTTCAAATGGCAGCGAATTTGCAATCGAGCTCAGAGGAGCCAATGAAAATGGCTGGTCAGTATCTCCCGACAGCCGCTCAACCTTGAAATGTTGCTCGAACTTGACCGTGAGCTAATCGAAATAATATTTATTACAGACTTACAAGGTATCTACGTAACGGAAGCAGACGTAGAGCGAGTGGCAGATACGGCTCCCTTCTATGCTGTCTGTTACGCGCTTGCCTCGATGTACCTCGGCCTGCTCTACGGCGTTTCAGAGGTGGAACTGGCAAAGCGGGCCGCGCTTCTGAAACACTTTGGTCACGGTGGAAATGGTACCATCTTGCAGCCGTTCACTCTCACTCTCCTGGCGATCTGGACATTGACCACAGATGAATTGACGGAGGCAGAGCTGGTGGATGATTGTCGAGCTCATTTGGGGCAATTCACAAATAGTGCGTGTGGTCTGAGCGTTCTTTTGAGCCGTGCTTCTTGGCTGACGATACATCGTCAACAGACCTGAGTTTTGCGGCTATTCTACGCTTGCTCGACTGCTTTAAAGCCATCAAAGCGGTCAGGAGCAATCAGTCCACATGGATTTCGCTGATCGAAGACGTCGAGGAGACGCTACTGCAATTGCATGAGGCGGAAGCGTATTTGCTGCAAGGTGAGATTCCTTAATGTTTTAACCGAGCCTCGATGCTGATCCATGCCACGATTGCCAGGTCTCCTATCTACCCGAATGTCAGCCCTGCTCGGCAGTCTTGGACCAGTAGCGGGACGTCTAGCGTCTGGCTATTCTCAATCGGCTCGCAAGGCTTACCTACAGTGCGGAGCCAATAATCTTGTTGATATGATGGACGGGCCGGTGGAACCAGCCGAAAGCAGCCAGCCGATGCGACATCTTCACGAACGCGCGAAGGGTGATTCCGACTCCCCTAGGACGACCAGCAGCAGAAGTCTCGTGGACGATGAAATCCCGGAAGGTGCAGATGCCTCTGTCAGTTTGCGAAGCAAGATCGGTCTAGAATCCGTCTTGCGCACTTCGCTCTTGCTCGCTAGCGAGAAAGATGGCGAGGGTCTTATTAAGCGAGCGCTTTCGGTCTTGATGCAGGTGAGATCAGGAAAGCGTCTCGATGTTGCGTGAGCTCAACTGATTCGACTGGTAACAGTTAACGAGAACGACATCTGCGTGCTTCGCTATACAAGATCATGCTCAGGGAACTTTACAGCTCAAGGGTTACGGAACCCACGATGACATCAAGGTCTGCGAGGTCCCGATAGCAGAAGCGGGAAATTGCCCTGCCTCTTTGCTGTTGCACGTAGCTGTCACCAAACGAGCTATCAACACCACCAATCCGGGTGAAGCCGTTCACAACAAGTTGTTCGAAAGGGAACCATTCTTCAAGAGCTCGGGAGTTCCCAAATCGATCATCGTTGCGCCACTTTTCGTGCAAGGTCGCCTCTCGGGTGCCATCTACTTGAGCAACCGCGCTGCTGTTCCTTCTTCGAGCACGTCCCACATTGCCTTGCTCGCGACTTTTGCGGCAATTTCTCTGCGATCTCACAACGCTTATGCTGCTTTGGAGGCAGCTGTGGAAACCCGCACCAATCAACTGGAGCAAGCGTTGGCTCATCGCCAGACATTCATCAACGCGATTTCACACGAGGTGGGTACCATTCGATGGTAAAGATTAGCATACGATGAGACTTTATCAATCTAACCGACACCATGACGCCTGCAGTTACGGACTCCCCTCTTCGCGGTCGCCGGTCTCTGCAGCGTGATGGAAAACTCAGACGATTTGCCGGCGTCGCAACGCGAAAACTTGTCAATCATCCGTACTTCGTCGGACGACTTGCAGCGCATTGTGACTGCGGTGTTGGACTGGTCCAAGCTGGATGCGGGTTCGGTTCAAGCGGAAAGCATCGACTTCGATCTGCGAAGTATCGTCGAAGCCGCTTCCGTGACTGTTGGGCATATCGCTCAGGCCAAGTCGGTCGAGCTGGTCATCGAGAACTCGGTAGATACAGACCCAGTGTGGTCTCTTCTTGGGGATCCGCATCGCTTCCGACAGTGCCTGCTCAACATCTTGTCGAACGCGCTCAAGTTCACTCCTTTGGCGCAGGGAGACGTAAAACCTACGGTCAGACTGCGTTGGACGCTCGACGAGCGCGCCGATTCGGTCGACATAACCCTCGCTATACAAGACGAGGGCATCGGTATTCCACGTAGAGCCATGAACAAACTCTTTGGCGCTTTTGTTCAAGGTCATTCTGGAATTTCCCGCTCGCATGGCGGAAGCGGGCTGGGTATGTGTCGCAGAATTTACCGAGCTGAAGGACAACAACTGAAATTTTGCCTTTCCCCACAGGACTTTCCATCACTCGTGGACTATGTCGGGTCATGGGCGGTGATTGCTGGGCCGAGTCCGTCGAGGGCAAAGGATCAACGTTCTATCTCTTGATAACTACCCAAAAGGCACCAAAGGCGCCAGCGCCCCCGCTATGGTCGCGAAACAAATACCCAGCCCAGCAAGCCGCTCTGATTACCATGCATCCATCACGATTCCTTTCGTTGATTCGAAACCTGGAGATCTGGACTGTCAAGACGGATGTTGCCGAGGGCCTCACGGAGCTGGTTGGAAAGGCTCCACAAGGTCCGGATTACGATCTGATAATCGTGGACATAGTCGCCGAAGGTCTTAGTGATGAAGCTGTAAAGCGATTCCGCCGAGCATGTCCGAGAGCCAAAGTAAGCCACAAAGAGCATCAGCCGAAACTATGCACGATTCGCTCGCTGATCGCTGATCTTGTCTTCCAGCTTGTACTGTTGGTGGGGCCTATGGAAGCGGAAAGCTACAAGAAACGTGTGGAGCAAGAATCTTGGACAGTCTTATCCAAACCAGTCACCGCCATGGCCCTATATTGCGCGACATGCCCGCAGTCTAGCGATCCTTCAGCTCAAGCTGTATCTCGACCCAGCTCTCCGTCTTTGGAACGCCCAGGCAAGCCAGCAAAACAGGTTCTTCCGAACGGAGCTATGGGAAAGAGGTCTGGCATTGATAACCGATATGCCCTAGTAAGTCTAGCTTGATCGTCATCTGATGTCCGCCGAGTGCTCCGTGCTCAGATAAAACATTTTGTAGACATACCCTCTGCGCATCCTGTATGTCGATGACTCCATTATCAACGTCAAGGTCGGCAAAAAGGTAGGCTTCCTCGGTCCGTGTGGGCGATAAACAATGGCGCTTATCACTCGCTTCGCCCAGATTCTGGAGAAATTCGGTTACAAAGGTGTTGATACGGCAGACGATGGGCGAGCCGCCGTAGCTGCAGCTGAAAAGGTCGACTACGATCTGATCCTGATGGATCTACAAGTGAGTATTTCATTGCGTTAAGACGTCTTTTTTCTCCCTGACTCAGCCTTTCGCTTGCAGATGCCCACGATGGATGGTTACACGGCCCGGAACGTCATCTACCAGAAAGATCCAGCAAATTGCCCTGTCATCGTTGCGTTGACCGCAAACACCGACGAAGTAGGTCCACCAAGTTTCGTGTGGAAGACCGGTCACGCTGATAATCATATTATACTCTCTAGGAAACCAAGGAGCGCTGCGCGAAAGAAGGCTTCTTCTACTTCTTGTCAAAACCCCTCAAGATAGCCGATCTCGCGAACGTTTTACGCTTGGCCTATACCGATCGTCACACCATGAAGGACCCTGTCTAGTCCGGCCTATCCGAAGATATCTCAGGCTCAAGAATTACAAGCACCTAACTTCAGCATTGACAATAGCCTGCATACGAAAGACCCATCCGTTTCAACGGATAGACGACGAACATGTAAGAATAGCCGGTTGTACATGGGTATATGGATTGATGAAAGGGCTGAAAGACTGGAGACCGCGAAAACGTAAGCCTATACTCGCTTTCGACATCAAAAGAGTCGCACCGCCCCTCAATTCCCGGGGCTCGAGAAAAGTGTCTCGCTCATCCCAAAGGGGTTTCAGGCTGCCCCTTGCCTGCCCCCTTAGCCGAGGGCAAGGGGATCAGGGGGTCTTGGGGTAGAGGGTACTTCCTTTGATACAACCTCCTGCAGTACTTGGTAAGTATGTCTCGGGGTTCTTATAGCTCGCAAGGAATGGTTGGCGATACCTGGCGATCCCTCCCAATCGAAATGCGATCGGCCAGATTATCCTCTGCAGATCGTTTTGATTCTTCACAGCGACCACGTCTTTGCATACGCCACTTCCAATATACAATCCTGACCTGACCTAATACCGAGAGACTGTTTGAGGAATTCAAAATGATGGTCGGAGACTATCAGGAGCAACAACGAAAGCAGCGAATCATGCTTGTGAGTCCACCTACAATGGTAGCAGCACCCAAATCCCTTGTCGAACTAAACGTCGCTCTCTTTGACAGGATGTTCTTCCTGATCAAAAGATGTAAGTGGCGTTGGAAAACATGGACCTCTCGGCGTTTCGATCTGACTTTCTTCCTCCGTTGGCTCAGGTGGGACGCCTGGAAGAGGACCGACTCCAAAGCTCGCCAAGGAAAAGGGTTCAATCCCAATCTCGACAAATGCTTTCTCGAGTTCCTCGTCTCTACGGAGATCGACTCCCACTCTTACGCTCATGATGTGGAGCCTGTCGTGCCGCTCGAGCGTTGTCAGCGAAACTTTGAGAAGGTTCGCCGTGTGGCCCAGATCAGGATCGGTCAGGAACGGCTAGAGGCCTACAGAGCTCGAGTGAAAGAAGCGTTCTTTGCGTACATCGAGGGCTGTCAGAACTGGACGACTTGGGATGCGAGCTCCGCCAGCGGTAGTTTCGACAGCAGTTCCACACGAGGCGATACCAAAGTGGACGAGATCGACGACCTCGCCCGTGGACGTGAGAAAAGGGCCAGACGGGAGAAACGTTCGCGAGGTAAGTTTCGCAAGCGACGCGATTGTTTCAGATCGCCAATGGTACTAAACCTTGTTTTCATTCCTAAGAAAAACGCGCTTCCGTGCAGACTACCTCTACGGTTGACTCTGGTGCATCTCTCAAGACTCCAAACCCGACAGGTGCAGACAACGCTGGGATTCGTGGTGCTGACATGGATGTCGATGACGAAGGAGGTGCCGCGATGGACGTCATGGTGAAGGCCGTCGTTCGGGCGTGACCCAACTGGATGCGCTCTTGGGTTTAGATCGGGTTGATTTTTCCGGTCCCAATCTTGTAGAACAGTCAGGTTGTATAAACGATCTTCACGATGTATCTATGCCTTCTTTCTGTTCGTACGCCTAAAATTTTACACACCTCGACTCGATTACTTTCAAACCAGTATCGATACTCTTCTGAATATACCAGGTTCCGCTGAAGCTTTGACAACTACAACATACCCTACTCGCTGTATCTCACCTTCCAACCCTGAATCAAACTGCGCTTGTAGCAGGTCACCGTTCTGATCCGTACCCTTGGACTCGCTGCGCGTGCCACCGGGGCATAGTAGGCCAATAACCCAGAAACAACATCCTCGTACAAGAAGAGCCTACTTTACGTTCTCATACCCACGGTCATGTCATCTATAAGCCTTGCAGCGTAACTACGGGGGAGAGTCATAGCGGATCAGTCAGCCGCAAGTGACAGCCAGCTGAAGCGCCGATGCCCGAGAAGCGCTGTGAGTTGGCATCTACCCGCGAAACGAGTCACAGCGTAACAATCTAGCAACTACAGGGATATCGTGGTGTCAATGTTGACCGGTTGTTGATTTATTTGTCATGTCCAGCTTCAGATCAGAAGAGCTGATCAACGTCGAGGGTCATTGTCGGGACTGACCCTGTCGTATGTCCGCATCTGACTCTGCCAAGTGTACTCAATCCAGTTGTGATGCAAGACCCCCTGACTAGCACGAGGGTAACAATGTGGGCATAGATACCGGACTCCCCGTATCCCAAAGTCGACTTGGTCCGGGTATCTTCTCCTCCAAGTTCAATAATCCTGGACGGCTTTGGAACCTGTAATATTGGAACTCGGTCAGCGTTCATCTCTCATTTCTACCCGGACTCGGAAACGCTGGCATTTTAATTGATCGTATTCAACGTATCTACATTTGATCGACAATCCACTTGACTGGCTTGACTGGCAGGTGGGATGATGACTCAAGCCTGCCTTGTTTGTTTCAAAGCTCACCTTGACGATCTCGTCTACATTGGCCTTTCTTCTTAGCCAAGTCTTTGACTCCTTGCCTGACCTTCTCTAATCAGATCCTTGAGTTTGGCTTCAGTCAGACTGTCAGCCAAGCGGGTCAAGGTGGTGTTCATTGCTGTAAGTTCAGCTCTTGAAGGACCGCAAGCGGTAAGGTAGATCCCAAGCACATCGATTCTCCTCTCCTCTTCCGTCTCTATCCTCTCCGTCCTCCGCCTTATTCTTATTATCGCCAGCAAGGTTTCTCCACAGCGCGATTGATTCGCTCTGGTGATTTCACAAATCAAGGCAAAGTCATGAACCCTGTTCATTGCAATAAGACCGTCACTACGGGAAGCACTCCTCGCAAACTCAAGGGATCTAGCCATATCAAGCATATACCGACGGTCGAGGAGCTGACGAACAGGGGAGAAATAGACGTAACCTTGAAATTGGTCGTACTCCGATATACAGCTGCGTCGATGAGAAACACGTTGCGCGTTCGATTCTCTCGTTCTATGTGACCATCGTCTTGTTGGCGGTCTTCCATGCCTGGCACATGGTTTGTGTACACAAGCCTAGTCATTACTGAAAGCTAGTAAGCACATTCGTACGTTATCTGATCCAATGACTTTATACCTTCGCTTACATCCCATCAATCAAATTCGAGATCAGAACAATTGTCTCGATAGCGATCAAGCGCGCGCTAACGCATTATGCATCAGCTTATTGTGATCTGACTCGATGAGAGATTTAATGACAAGAGATAGATGCTTATGGGCTAACACAGACGCTGTTGGATGGAGTTGGCAGAATTTACGTATACAGGGTCGCTTATTGGCTGAAACAAGCGCTGAACGAGTGGTCTAGAGATAGCCGAGACGCTCAAAGCGTTGATACGGAAAAAGGCCAACCGATCGCGCGGAAACCGTCATATCAGAATCGACAGCGGGACCCGCTGCGTCGAGGTGTAGGTCACACGTCTGTTGGCGATCTATATCGAAGATACATATGGAAAGATTGTCGCCCTAACCATACCATGAGCCGAGCTCTGCGCTATGCTATGACATTTATCTGACAAAATGAACATTTCGGATTCGAAGGGATTCAAGTACGGGATTGCTAAGTCCAGTTCAGTGCCTATCGGGGAAACCACCAGCAAATATTGCTCTAGGCTTGATGGTGATGGTATTCACTATCGGTACTGCTCTTGCGTATCGCACTGGTCTGAAGCGATCAGATTGGAGGTGAAAGCTTCGTAACAAGTCGCATGTCTGGCTCTCTTTCTGCCCTACTCCTGACCGAATCAGCACATTTTGCCACCCGAACACATACAGCTTGAGGTTGGTGCCGAAGACAGAAGGTGAGCAGGAGACTATCAAAGGAATCTCAGGAGGTGATCCTCGATGAGGGGCAAAGGAGCTACAATTGAAGGATAACAAGGTTCCCCTAGCCCCCAGCTTGTGAGCGAGGGGGATCCCTGTGCCTCCTTTCTATCAGGACGGAGGCTGAAACACAGGGTTGGGGACCGATACAGCTGGATAGATCGCAGCTTCCGAGGATAAATGTGTATGCAAAAACCCTGCAGATTACGACGAACAGATCGTTTCGACGGAAATGCCAAACTCGTCCTGGATAAGTGCCGGCTAAGCCCATATATCAGAGATGAAGACAGGACAGCTCACAATGCTATTATCTTGGATGGTTCTATTCGCGGCGCCCATCGCCGCGGTAGTAATGCCTCCTACTTCGGAGGCGGCTTTCGATTTTGTCGAGAAAAGGGACGATCAAGCACCCTTTTGTGGAGGAGATGACACAAAAGACGGTGTGGTATGGGAACCCAAGCTGGAAGCGACACAAGCGTCAGCACAAGGTGTGTCGCCTTGGAAAGGGACTGTAGGTTGGAAGGGAGTCCAATTCGGTGCCAACGGCGCTTGGGAAGAATTCTGTAAGATTCAAGATTGCACGGTGAGCCATTACGATCCCGTTCCGAGCGAAACATGATCGTCTGAGCAGGACAATGTTACACCTTGCTGGAATAATCAGCCCAAGCAGCTGAAGGAGGGGAACATCTTCGCGGACGGACGGAGGATCTCCACCTTCAAACAGTGTGCAAACGCCTGTCAAGACCCGAATATCCAGGCACAATACGTTGATAGTATGGCAGCTCCGATCGGGACGATGCCATTAGATACTGACTCGATCTGTCCATACTGCGTCTGCAGATACTAAATGCCGTGCCGTGCAGTGGCTGAAAGAAGGCTACAAGGGGTTGCCAAGCTGTTACTTTTACCATTTCGCCGACTTTCCGAAGGACATGGAGTTCACAAACATGGAAACCCTCAGAGACAATGATGATTGGGGATCGTCAGGTATCGCCTTTGTGGATCAAGCCTGTGATACTCCTGAACTCAAGAAATTATCTGAAAGTAAGCCAGACACGTTCCGACAAGACGGAAAGAACCCTGACGTGCTGAACTACCTGCGCAACATCAGAAAATGAAAATGCTACATGTTGTCGCTTCTCTTAGTACTAGTATTCCACCAATTGCTGTACTCATGGGCACCGGGGCTATGTATCTACGAAATAGATAGTGCCGATGCGTATATATAAAACAACCTCCGTAGCGTTTCCGATCTTCTCAGTTATCTGAGTGATCATGAGCTGTCTAAGCTGCAAAGATTGGGGATATACCGCTCGATAAGACTTGAGTTGAGCTTGTTCCTACTGACTACGAATCGTGTGAATGAATGTCATCTTTTTGTGCACCTGCACGGATCGAACATGCTCACTAAGCGTGGAGACTTAAAGCTTCCAACTATCTCCTTGTAGAGTAATACACCTGCAGCATGTCCATGAACAAGCTAGGTCTCAAAGACTACGGACTTGCAAATCAGCAGCCAATATGGTCAACCAGGTAAATGCATTACTAGATCGTCCAAAATATGACTTCATGAACAGATCCTCCATTCTGATATCATGTGTGATCTGTTCGAACCCAGGGAAAAGGGGAAAATTGCAACCAAAAGATTATGCTGTCTGGTTATCATATATGCTCTCTCTCTTACGCTCGGACTCGCGCTCAGACTCCATTGTTGGCTCCTACCAGAACCGGTCTTCCTAGGCAAAAAACTCAGCGGCAAAAGCCTGACATCATCATCTCGACCTATGTCAGCAGCTGGAGCTCTGTCCTCGATGAAGACCTTGATGAGGAAGGTAGGATTGATCGATTTCAAGAAATTTTGATTGACATTGACTGGATATTGCAAGGTGAGGAAGATGGGATTCATCGACTCACAGAATACTTCAATTGACAATTTCCTTTGACATCCACTTAATATCATATTGCAAGGCCTTGCTTACGAAGATGTACGACAAGCTTGGCCCAATGGTATGCGCTTCTAGCGAAATTGCGCTGCGTTTATTGGGAGTCGCTACTTCTTGGACAGTGCTACATAGGTTGCAAAGCATCTTGCCGGTCACCAGCAAGGTGGCTTTACACTTGAAGACCACTATCACCAAGGTATCCAGGCATACAACCTTGCAGTGATGGTACTGGACGAAGATGAGGACCCTCTTCACAAAGAGGAGATCTAGATTTCATGAGGCCTGGACCAAGAGTGGGCAGTCTCAATAACGTAGTCGCTAGATACTCTCACGACGCTTCAAAATTTGTGTCTTGGTGTCACCCTGCGTTAGTCCAGCTCCTGAGACGCCGATAGGAGATCGCACTCGATGTCGAGGGACAGATAGTTCATGACGATATGGTGTGCAGCTGTACCCGAACTGCATACGAGATGTTCATTCATTTGATAGAACCGACCGCTAGCAGCGTTCAAGTTGCATACCGGCACGTTACCAGGAAGCTGAACATGGTCGCAGGCCTTTGCCATGGCTGTCAGCTGCATACATGTGGCCTTGCAGCACCGAGCTCCAGTGTGATCACAACGCTTGTTCTCGATCCATGCAGATTCTGCCCCTTCTCTACTGTAGATCAATGAACAGGCAAATTAACAAGTCTGATGCAGATGAACTTTGAGACGTGATCGCAGTTGCTGAAAAGAATCAAATCACGGGTCTCAATCTGCTACATTGGCTCGAAACATCTTTATGGCTCGTTGCTAATGCCTAGTCAGCTATCGGGCAGCGGGCATGTTCAGACAATGTGATCTTGGTCCTTTCAAAGGACTCGTCTTCAAAGGTATCTCAAGGGAGGTGCGTGCGCATCAGGAGATGATGTACAGGAGCGGCCGAAACAAGGAGCATGTATGGCTGACGCAAGGGGCTCAAATCGAAAGGGAAGGACATGTGCTGCACCACGTTGAACCTCCTTGTACGATATCTGACTGCAACGAATAAAGAACGTGGAGCCGATGAAAGGGCAATCAAATATGTGAAGGGGTCAATAATAGTACAAAGGAGAATTCGACTGCGATATCCGTTCAACCAGTCGTAAACACTATATAAGTACCACAGATACAGGATCTTCGAGCTACAGGTTAGACAAACCCCTGTGATACAGCAACAGAACCTTTTTCAGCAATACAAATCGTTACTGCCTGAAAACAGGATAAATATGAGAATCGCAGCGCTCGCCTTCGCTCTGGTCGCGTTTGCCTCAGCTGGTCTGGCTGTACCCTTGGATTCGCGCCAACTCACCAACATCTGTCCCATCCCCGGTTACACCGCCCCTCCCAATCCCCAACATATGGTGGGCTGGCAAGAAGCTGGAGTAGAGTGGCCATCAGGGTCTCAGGTAATGCTCTCAAGTTTGATGATTCGTCTAGCCTCTCTCAACTCATATACACGCTTATAGATCGACATTAGAACCAGAGACATATCGAACCTCGCTCTTTGTGCGAGGGAGTGCGATCGAGTCAACTACTTGAATCAATATGGTGAGCTTCCAATCCTATTCTATTGTCTATTCTGCCACGGTGTTCCAGCTCTGACACGATCTTCGGTCGCGTAATTAGGCAAGAACAAGTGTGTGGCTGTAGATTGGGACCCTCCCCATGATGGAAAGAGCGGAAGATGCAGCCTTCGCAACGCGAAACCTACCTGGCTTACGCAGGTGTCACCTAGGAGGACGGGCGCAGGGGTCGCAGCTTTTGGCAAGTGTGGCGACTCTCAGTGTAGGTCGTTTCAGGTCATCTCGCGCGCGAAGCCGCCGCTTACCGCGATTTCGAACAGTTTCGGGGGGTTTGGGCATCTGCTGCAATGTCCTATTCTGAGAGGATGTCGTAACGAGCGCCCTCTTAGACACATGGCATTACCATCTGGTCTTGTCGTTCCATTTTATCATGTTACAAAGCTCGAAGCTCTGTTTGTTTGATCTTTCTTGATATCCATGCCTTCACACGCACATCTTCTTCAGACCAGGCGAATTGCGTGGACCTAGAGAGGTTCACACAACAACATTCTTAGATATAAAGGGGCCGATACGGTGTACCATGATTTGATCGCGCCCGAACGATTCTCTCCGTTAGAGTTCGCTTCATCAACCTGTCATATGAATGTTGGTACTGCCAGGTTCCTGAGACTAGCATTCATCAAAGGTAGGACCCCGCACCAAATGGCTTCGGTGGCAAAGAATCGTCATCCGTTGGATCCAAACATGTCAAGCTGAGTTCAACTCAAGGTAAGGTAACTGGATAACACGACGGGATCATCTTGGGCAACACGTTCTTACTACCTGCTGCTACTTGTCAAGGTCCTAGTCGAGTGACGAACTCGTGCTGCTGTCATCTTATCGTCCGCTTTGTAATCGCGATCGGCGCTCAGGGGCGGCTGCAGTTTGCGACCGATGAAACACAAGGTCTTCCGCGCGAGAGAACTAGTGAAACTCGAACATGTCCCTCGATCGGCGAGACCGTCGATATCCTTGCCCTTGGTGAAACGTTTGGCTACTGGTTGGATCCATGGCTAGGTGTTACCAGGGTGAACCGGTGTAGCCTCACTTCAAGGGTGGGTTCAGGGGTTAGATACGGAGAGATCATGTGAAACAACTGAAACAATGGGCCAGTGTCAAACAGTGCGGATAAAGCAGGGGGCTTCACGTCACTCGGTATCGATAGCCCTTAGTTTCAATTGTGGAGCCGGTCAAGTCCGTTTTAGCATATAACGGGTGAGTTCATATCCTCAGGCCACTACCATTTGGGTCCCAAGTGAGCGTCGAGACAGGCCAATTTCGAACATTAACCTGCTGTTCGATCAATACTCACTCAATCAGCTTCAATATCAACGAACTTTAAAGATGATCAAGGGATCCGCCATTGCCATCCTGCTATCCCTTCTAGCTCACGCTGGAACTGCGGTAGCCCAATCTTCAGTCCAACCCGCAGCCGTCACCCCTGTGGGGATTCCGTCCAACTCCAGCGGGCCACCACCGGACATCCACTTTTGTGACGGAGCAGCACAGGAGAGCAAAGACTGGTCATTCGCCGCGTTCAAGTTCTATAAGGCTACTTGGACCGGCGCGGACTCGAAGAGGGTGAGTGTATAGTGACCTACGCTGTCTCAGGTGGAGACGGCCAGGACCTATCGTCCGAAGGTTATGCGCTTATTTAGTCTGGTTTTCGATGAAACATACGTATTGGTCCTAGACTGGGGGTGTGGTCGTAGACAGCCTGGTCGCTTGCACTAGTGCGTGTTGGGGCCAACGTATGACGGTCGAACGTGAGTCGAGACTTCCATCAAGATCAGAAGCTTGATCAGTAGCAGGCCGAGCACAAAGAGCGCGAGCCTTGTATCCTCGTCGATCTGAAGATAGAGATACCGCTGACGATGACCCTTGTGAACTTCTGATACGCAGCTTGTATGGCCGTGAACTGGAACAAAGGAACTGGGATGTGTGATTTCTACGCAAACAAGTTTACTGGGGTGAAGAGGTACGAGTCGAGCGAGCCTCAGAACGATGTGGCGCTCATGTACAGGTCTTGTCAGAACCTCGACGGTAAGTTTCATCCTCTCGATATTCAACAACACCTTCAACTCCGATGCTGACTATCGATATCTACCATTGCTCTCTGTGTTGTATCCCGTTGCGCGGGAACAGACCTCGGCTCGCCGGAATGCTGCGAGATCGGGTATGATCTGGACGCATTCGTCTGAAGTGCGGAACTAGCTCGTCCCTGGAACTCGCTGGAAGAGCTTGGTCACATCCGATACCGTCAGTATAGCCAAACATAAGCCAGGAGATCCGTGTCACGAACAGTCCCTGAATGGGGAGCCTCGGCCTCGATTGCGCGTGACATCGTGTATTCAGTGAGACTATATGCGAATCTGTATATGTGTATATGTAATACTAGATATGTGCATTTGCTTATTGGTGCGAGTGCCTGTCTGCTGTGAGCACGAATCTTTTTGCTTTTCGATCGTCCAAAACAGACCGTTCTGAAACATCAAGCACGAGGGGACGCGCGGAAGCATCCACGTTCAAAGGGACTCGCTACCTGCAACCGCGTAACAACCCCTGAGCCTATTGCGCTCGATATCTGCCCAGGGCCAGCCGATAACTTTGATCCGCCGCATCGATATGATATTGGGATACGTGGACTGTAGAAACCTTGGAAGGCGTGACAGGTTCTGAAGATATGGGTGATCTATGTCGGAACGCAGTGTGACGCGCACCGGTCGCGCCATCCCCGTTCCGGAATATCAGAACATCTGGATCCACCCTCCTATCCTTCTCAGGTACGTCTCCCCAGACCCTGCAAGAACGATAATCGCCTCGTCCATATCCTTGTCGATGAGCGCCCAGATAGTTTCCACGATGTGTATAACGATCTTCATCTCGCAGTGATGATACGGCTCCAGTAGTAGCAGTATGCGGAGGGAGCGTTGTCGTCTTTTGCGATCGAAACACAAGAGGGCGGCCCAAACGAGGGGAACGAGAAGCCTTCCGTCAGGAGGATTCGACAGCTGGTCGTCAATTCGGAATCAGCTCGCAGAGAGCTGAATGGAACGGACCCTATGAACATGCCCATCGACATGGCCTCGGTGATCAACTCCATGATGGCATCGACTGAGTGTTGAATTTCGGCAATGTGCCAATTACCCAAGATCTCGGCGTGTATCACGGTCTCATACGTGGCCAAGAAGGCCATGTTACCGAGAGTGACCTGAAATGAAGCGAAAGCTGAGCGGTCTTTACCGAAAAGAAGAATATAGAGGAGACTAGAGGCGGTTCTCTGTCGCTGCACTTACCCGTGGTAGATTCTGCGATACCTGTAATTTGAAGCAAGAATGCGATCGAGACTGAGAGAGACGAGCGTTAATCCTGGCGCTCGATCTGCCTTACTTGAGTTTCCTGCCTCATCCTAGCGATCTTGCCGAGCAGTCCTTCTGCAGCGATCTTCATCGCCCGCCTCGTGTCATCATATATGGCAGTCTCTAGCGTGGTGAGCGTGACCGAGGCACGACGAAGCGCTTCTAAATGCATCAAATCTCGTTTGAGACTCCAAACTCTGATGTTCTGGTCGTGCAGATGCCCGATCAAGGCAAGGTCGGCGGAGGATCCGTGTCGATCGATAATGGGGCGGTACTCGAGTGCTTACATCGTGGTAAAGCGTCATCACTGGGCTGTCAGAATTGAGACACGATCGTGGTCAATAACCTTTTTCGATTCCTGGAAAGACTCGGGGGGTTCTGCTTGCCGACTCATGCCCCAGATCAGTTCGACGTCGTCGTGTTGTTTGCCGTCAGCTGCAGACGAGAGAAAGATCATCAGCAAGGTTTCTTCCCAGAGGCCGAACTCATCCATCGCGACGTCTGGTTTTGGACCGTGACCGTACCCAGTTTGGCCCGCTTGAGCCAGGAGCTGTCTTGCGTCACGATACCTGACTGCTGATGCGTAAAGTCCGTGCCTGTAGGTCCGCATCAGACGTCAGAGGTTTCGAAGTCCGCATCAGCACTCCTGATAAGTGGCAGAGAGAGGGGAGGGGGTTAGGGGGAAGAACCCTCTCGACTTGCAGAGCATGTCGGTACACGCGATCTGTTCGATCACGAACGTCCGATATCGATCCGTCCGGTCCATCGTACAGATCGCGGGACCTCCAGCTTGGGCGATCGTCCGCCGAGCTGGATGCAGAACCGATTCCCAGTCGTCATCTCCCGCCAACCTCTGTGCGGATGTCGCCCCCCCAGTCAGTAACGTGATGGGATGTGATCGCCGGCGAGCTTGCCGGCGAGTAGGAGATCCTTTATCGACTAAAAAGACCCATGAGGGATAACTCCCCATACAAGACCCGACTCACATCTCTCGTACTCAATGCCAGACAGGCTCCGATGAACAACGTCAGATCCAACGAATCGGTAGGTAAGCATTTAGTCTTATCGAGCGCTCTCAGCGCCCGCTTCCTCTGGACAGCAGCGAGCTCGAGCACCGCGTTACAATGATGATGATGTTGATGTTGATGTTGATGTTGATGTTGACGATCGCTACATGTACCACCGGCATCCTTTGGACCGAAGGAGCTCTGTAACCGGGATCCGATGTCGACGGAGACGAGCGAGCTGATAGCTACCCTCAACGTATCCGCCAGAGCTGAAGTCCCATGAGGATGTACGAGAGCGAGTTGAGCAAAGTCGGTCAGCCATGGGTTGAGATGAGGAGGGCAGGGCGTGGAGATCAGGCCGAGAGAGGTTTGGTGTGTGAAATGTTTGAACTGTCGGGTGAGCGAATGGGTTGACGTAACGCAACGACGGTGTGGGTATAGCAGGAGATAAAGGAAGAAAGGGAGACAAGGGACAGAGGGAGAGAACAGCGAGAACAGAGAGGTGGAGAAAGAGAGAGAGAGAGACAACGTATGAGCCATCTAAAAGCGGATTCCCATCATTCCCTTGGAGGACCTCCTCCTCTCAGCCGAGATGCAGACGAGAGATCCGATCCGGAAACCCACATGATGAAGCTGTTCGACGCTCTCGAAGAAGGGCTCCAGTTCGTTCACCGACCGATACAGGATTGACCTCGGCTCTTCTTCTGAAGCTGAGGCTGAGGCTGAGGCTAGGGCGATCGTGGCGATGGGCACAGTTCCGGTCCCCTGGGTCGGGGTCTGGCGGAATTTGATTGTACCCATATCCTTGTCCTTGTTCATGTTCGTGCTCATGCTCATGTCCATCGTCCCCCGGCCGTTCGCAGAAGAAGAAGCTCCCTTGAAGGTCGGATCACCTCCTGTCGGCAAGATTCCTCTCATCATGATCTCGTCGAACCAGTTGACGTTGTTATTATTTTTGTCATGCATCCCGATCCCAGCCCCGATTGATAGGTTTAGACTGGGATCTGGATGGTTTCGGTCCTCCTCAACGGCACTGGCACTGGCACTGGCAGCGGTCTCTGGAGTTGAGCTCCCGTGTACGGCTACATTTACGTTGTCAAATGGCCGGAAGGGTGATGTCTCGTTTTCGTTGTCGTTGTCGTTGTCGCCATGTTCCAAGCGACGATTGCGCTGAAGATCATCGTCATTATCATCATCAGGAAGACGAGGCAAGAAAAAAAAATCCAAATATGCATTCAAGTTATAAAATATAGGTCGGTATGATCATAAATCCAAGGAAATGTGAGTGAAACTGACTTTGCTCTTGTTGCTACTGATATGTTTATTATATATGCTCACCGGCCCGGAATAAGTCACACCTGCTCGTGCTCTTCCATCTCCAAAAGGATTGTTCCCATCTACTGTAATTCCAACAAGTTGATGATTACGGGGATCACGGGCCGTATCCACACCACCGCCACTACTACTACCACTCCTACTTCCGTGCTGCTGCTGCTGCTGCTGCTGCTGCTGAGGATGATGGCATCTGACATGCCTCTTCTTGCATCCTTCGCAAGGTCGATGCTGTGACCTGACGTGTGACTGCCGGGTCCGACCGTGCGGCAAGGTGGTGACGTATCGACAGGTCGATCCTAGTCCTCGGGTTTGACATCGAGTGCAGGTGGGTGAGAGGCGATCGCAACGGGTTCGAGAGGTTCGACAGGGTTGACATGGGAGCTTTGGGGCGATAATGTCGGACATGTATAGCTATGGCGGGATGGTGATGGGGCGAGTCTATGATCTATGATGTATGATCCGGGGGGCCGTATGTGATGGATGTGTGTGTATGGTTCCTATTCGTTGTCCTTCCTATTCGACCTCCTGGAGGCATCAAGAAGCTCTCCCTCGACCCATCAACGTCGTCGACGAGTCAGGATGACCCCGTCGGTGTCCATACGTCTGATATTTCGGGAGCGATACCCTTGCCCCCCCCCCTCCCTCCTCCGCTGCATGTGTTCGCTCGGGCTCGGGCTCGACCTCGCCCGTAACCGTATACACACTTGTAGCTTGTAGGTCGCTCGCTCGTATCGCTCGGAAGCTGGTGACTCGCAACCTTGTTTCGCTCGTAAATCGCTCGTATAGATCTCTCGCCGACGACGACGACGACAATATACGACCGTAAACCCCCATACGATCCTTGAAAGAGGTTCTTACGACCGCCACGGAGCCCACACGAACCATAAAGATGCATGAGTATATAGCTGTCCATGTCGACAGCTATATCTTCCGGCATCGGTCGACCGGCCACGAGCATGATCGCGTCAAACTACTCTCAGATCCCTCGACCAACTCTCCGTAGACATCGAAATGGGATCCAAAATCGAGATCACACCCAACCTCGCCGAGAAGGGCGATCAGCATGACGAACCACTCGACTCCACTCCCAGTACTGGACCTCGACACCCGAAACAGCGAGGCAAAAAGTCAAAGTTACCAGGCCCCCTGTACATCCTCTCCTTTGCCCCACCTTTCCCACGGATCACCCAAAACCCCCTCGGAGCGATCACACACCCCTACACCCTCTATATCATCGGTATCCTAACGGCGCTGGTAGCAGGTGTGGGGTTACCAGCGTTCGATATCATCTACGGGTATTGGACGACGGGGATCACCGATTCGTACGATTCGAATCAGGCGATTGCTTCCAGGGGGCAGCATGCGGGGTGGGTGATGACGATTGTGGGGGTTGTGACGTTGGGGTCGTTCGTAGCGTTTTTGGGATGTTGTAAGTGGGAGGTCTCTCTTCGTTTCATATATTCTGCTATAGCTATAACGACAAGAGATTATCACTCGCCAATAACTATTCGCTCACTATAATTATAACCTACTACAAATGTCTCCCCATCTTCTCTCTGTAGGCTCACTCGCCGGCCTGAAACTCGCCGACGAACTCCGCTCGGCTTACTTCGAATCGATCCTAGGGCAAGATCTTACGTTCTTCGACCATGTCGGAGCGGGGGAGGTCGCGGCGAGGTGTAGCAAGGATATTTCCACTATCCGGGTCGGGTTTGGAGAGAGGATTGGGTATGTGACTAGTAATCTGGCTGTGGTCATCGCTGTGAGTCCTCCCTATGCCCTCCCTCATTACAAAGACCCTTAAGAGGCAATACGAAGCAGCGGACATGATCTCAATCTCCTATACGCTCGTCTACTAGGCACTGGTCTCCAGCTTCGTACAATCCCCCAAGCTGGCGGGTACCCTCTTCGCCCTCATCCCATTCATCATCATCCTCACCGGTCTTCTAGGCTGGTGGTACCGCTCCAAGACGGTCGCCCAGGACAATTTGGAATCGACGACCTCCTCCATGATAGAACAGGTCGTCTCCGCATCCCGTATCGTCCAGTCGTTCGGCATCGGAGAGAGGTTGTTAGCCAAGCTGGAAAGGGAGTCGTTTGGGCCGTTACGAAGGCTGGGGATGATCACGGCCAGTGGGAAGGCGCTGGAACAGACGATGGCGTTCTTCATCATCTTCTTGGCGTACTCGTTGTGTTTCTGGTTCGGGTCGATTGTCGTCGCAGAGGGTACCGAGGTGGGGCACGTCATGACGGTGAGTTCAGGGCTGCCGACGTCTGAGACGGATCGGATATTTCGCTTTCCGATCGCTGACGATGTGACGTACCCTCTTTCCCGGAATCGTAGGCGCTCTTCAATATCATCAACGTGCTCTTCGCCTTTGCCATGAGCATCCCCCATATCACGGGGATCATCGAGGCGAACAACGCGCTCAAGGCGATTCGAAAGCAGATCGAGCGGGATCCCGTCATCGACGTGACCGATCCGAGTGGCCTCGAACTGCAAGGAGACTCGGAAATCTGGAAGCCCTCTTTCCGCCTTGAGAACGTCACTTTCGCCTACCCGACCCGGGCGAACGTTAAAGCGCTGGACGACGTCTCGCTGGAATGCCCCGCTGGGAGGTTTACCGCCATCGTCGGGCCGTCAGGGTCGGGGAAGAGTACTGTGGCGTCTCTACTTCTCAGGGAATATGACCCTGAGACGGCCAACGTGGCGAGGGAGGTCGACCTCGATATCAAGCGTCATTTTGAACAGGAGGATCAGGGCGCGAATGGGAAGGCCTCGGAAGAAAAGCGAGACAAGCAGGATGTTCTGTTAGAAGAGGATCGCGTACAGGGTGCGGGACGCATCTCGTTTGCCGGACACGACCTGAGGACACTCAACCTACGCTGGCTCAGGAGGCAAGTCGCCGTGGTCTCCCAGAACCCTCAACTGTTCGCCGGATCGATCCTGGACAACGTCGCCAGTGGTCTCACCGGTACCCGTCTCGAATATCGCCCCGACTCGGCCTCCCCTGAGCTTTTGGCCGAGATCAGGGAACGCTGCGAGGAAGCGCTCAAGAAGGCCCAGGCGTGGGAATTTGTACGGGAATTGGCCAACGGCATGGACGAGGTGATCCTCGGGGGTAGAACCGGAGTGTTGTCCGGGGGACAGTTGCAGCGGGTCGCTCTGGCACGCGCTTTTGTGAGCCGACCGCGGTGTTTGCTGCTGGACGAAGCGACTTCTGCCGTGGCTTCCGACGCAGAGCTCAAGATTACCGACATCTTGCTGGAAGAACAAAGGACCCGAGGTCTCACGCTCATCGTCGTCGCACATCGTCTGTCGAGTATCGCCAAGGCCGATAATATCATCGTGATGAAGGCGGGAAAGATCGTCAATCAGGGGTCGTATCAACAGCTCGTCGACCCGGCAAACTCGGAAAGGACATTCTTCAACATGGTCAATGTGAAGCATTTGCAAGAAGGCAGGAGGCAGCTGCTGTCGAAATCATCGTCGCAAACAGACGTCTCGCCGATTCCGAGCGAGCTTCCGGCGATCCGACCTGCGGCCCTTCCACCGGTACAGATCAGCGAGCCGCTCGTGGTGTTGGGACCACCGATGCGCAAATCCACGGCGATCTTTGGGATGAACAAGTGGCTACTTTTCGCAGGAACTCTAGGCTCTGCCATCGGTGGAGGCGCGTTCGTCGTCTCTGGGTGGTTGACCGGGAACGCCGTGTCGAGCTTGTCCATACCGGATGACGATGCCAGAATGAGGAGCGAGATGAACCGTTGGTCGCTGTGGTTCTTGGTCGTGGCGCTCGGCGTCCTGGTGGCGTTCTTCGTCGGCGGCTGGACTCTCGAATGGGCCGGGACGAACATCAAGCACGGCCTCAAGAGAGAGTCATTGCGAGCGATCCTCCGGCAGGATACCGCCTTTTTTGAGACGGACCAGGGGGGTAGTGGGACCTTGACTTCCGGGATATCGTCACACCCGTCAGCCGTGGGGCAGACCGTCGGGGTCATCTGGTTACAGATCGTCGTCGCCCTAGCGAATTTGTTTGGAGCCTTCATACTCGGTTTCATACTCTCCTGGCGGGTCGCCATCATCGGGCTTCCCGCCATGTTCCTGGCCATCGTCGCCGGATACCTCAACTTTACGTGGCTCGAAGAATTCGAATCTCTGGTAGGCAAGGAATCCGAGAAGAGATCGAACCAGATCAGCGAAGCCGTCAACTCGATCCGTACGATCGCTAGTCTTACCCGGGAGGGAGAAGTCTTGCGGCGATTCAAAGCCGCTGCCGCGCGGCCTCGTCAGCAGCGACTCGCTCTGACGCTCGGAGCGGTCGGCTTCGGAGTATCTCAAGGTGCGACATTCTTGTTCGGAGCTTTCGTGTTTTGGTGGGGCGCGAGGCTGGTATCGAGATCTGAAGTGGTGAGTCGATCGCCGTCGTCGTCCCGGTTGATCATGCGGACTCGCGCTGACCGTCGTCGCGACCCTTGGGCTATGTCCTGCAGTCAATTACGGCTCTCTTCGCGACGACAGAGGCGGTCATGGTGGCGGCAATGACTTCTGGGCGCATCTTGACTTTCATCGGTGATGTCAGTCGTACCTCGAACGCGCTCAAGTCGATTCAGGCAAGTCGCGAGGGTCGCGATGTGTCGTTGAAAAAAGATGTGCTAACCTGACGCCGACCGATAGAAATGGCTCGATCTGGAACCAGCCCACGTCCAGGCCACAAAAGATAGTCGCAAGGATACCGAACTCGGTGGGGATATGGTGACCGTACCCAAGGATCATACCATCGCATTGTGAGTAACGCGGCCGCTTTGAAACCGGCCATCATTCTGAATGTCACCCTTGTCACATCGCATAGCCAAAGCGTGGACCTGCGGTACCCCTCCCGTCCCGACGCGCTAGCCATCCAGAACCTCTCACTCACATTTCAACCCGGAGTGAGCTATGCCTTTTGCGGTGCATCAGGTAGCGGGAAAAGCAGGTGAGTCGCGCCCGGTGGACATCCCATCGCGTTCAAGCACATGTAGCTCATGTCCACGACCCACGCACACAGTGTGTTGGCGCTACTGCAACGATTCTACGAACCGACCGCTGGCAAGATCACGATCGGAGGCGTCGATATCAGGTCGTTGGATATGGCCATCGTACGGGGGATGATGGGTTATGTCAGCCAAGAGGCCGTCTTGTTCCCAGGGACGATCCGTTATAACCTCACTGTGAGTATTCCGATTTGGGATTGTATCGTCTCCTGACGTGGAAAGCTGAGATGGGCTTGGTGCACCACAGCTCGGAGCGACGGACCCTGATCATGTATCTCAAGAGGACCTCGAATACGCATGCAGTCAGGCCTGGTCAGTGTGATCTCTTACGACGGAGAAACTCTCCGGAAGTCCTTATAAAGCGATACTGATCAGACCCGACGTCTTGTTCTTGACTAGTATTTTGTCCTTTATACGACAGCTCGATAAGGGCTTCGATACCGATCTCGGAATTACGGCGAGTCAGTTGAGTGGCGGACAGAGGCAGCGGTTGTGTATCGCCCGTGCGCTGCTCAGGAGACCCAAGGTGCTTTTGCTTGATGGTAAGCCAGGCCTCTCCTGATCTAAAATCCGATCACTGGGTAACTTCAAGCTCACGAGATCTCTCTATTCTCCATCTATGTGTAGAGGCCACGAGCGCACTGGACAACGAGAGTCAAGCCGAGATCCAGCAGGCCATGAACCGGATCTCGGCCCGGGCGGACGCTCCTACGATCATAACCGTCGCTCATCGCTTATCGACCATCAGGGACGCTGATGTGATACACGTCATGGATAGCGGGAACGTTGTTGAAAGCGGGAGTCATGAAGAGTTGGTAGAGAGGGGTGGGAGGTATTGGCATTTGATAGAGTCGCAGGTATAATTTGATGATAAAGGTTGTCATTCCGATGGACAAGATCGGAGTGTTTCGCTTGCGTCGCTTGATACGTAAAGAGGAAAGATGGATGTCGTGTTGTGTTCTGAAAGACTGTCTTATAGCACTCTATGTACTACTGGCTACTGGCTATCTATCGCGGGGTATGCCTTTGGAACGTGCCAAGTGACCTCGAATGTTTCAGGTCGACAGAGTGATTCGTCATCATACGGCGACCTCCGGTCTACAAGTCACGTGATGAGGGCGCGGGCACGGGCACGGGCACTAGGTCACTAGCACTACTGTACTTGGCACTTTAGCACCTCCATCTCCTCTTCTCACACCTACCTAGACTGCACTTGATGACCGTTCGCCGATCGTCGTCATCGTGCAATGGTCGACGTCACACGAGGATCGTCTATCTACCCAATTCGAACGGCCATGGAGCCGCCCAAGATGTACATAAGCAGGACCGGACTATGGGTGAAGAAGGCTCGACAGGACGAGACGATTTGCACTTGTCAACCACACAACTTTTCATAACCTCGACACCTTCAACCTCTCATTTTCCAACCTAACTTTTAGCAACCTCCTCATCATGTCCCCCGCACCCGTCGACTACTCCAACTCGACCGCGCTCGTCACCGGCGGCTCGTCAGGGATCGGACAGGCCATCGCGACCGAGCTCGTAGCCCGTGGCATCGCTAGACTCGTCATCGTCGCCCATAACCAGGAAAAGCTGGACAAGGCCGCTGAGGAGCTCAAACAGTCTGCGACCGGTACCTCTGGATCGAAGTTGGAAGTCAAGACCATCAGCGCGGATTTGGCTAGTCGGGATGCGGCGGAGCAGATCAAGAGCCAGATCGAAGGGTGGGGATGGAACGTCGATATCCTGGTCAACAATGCCGGGTTGGCGAGGAAACAACAGTTCGGTCTGAAGGGGGAGAACGACATTTCTCTCCGGACCGTCGATGTGATGGTCCGAGCTGTCATCGACCTCTCCCTTCATTTCTTACCGGGGATGGTAGAACGAGGATCGGGGGGACTGTTGAACGTCTGTTCGACGGCGTGTTACCAGCCGGTACCGTTTACCGCCATGTACGCGGCTAGCAAGGCGTTCATGCTCTCCTGGTCTCAAGCGATCAGGGAAGAGAACAAGGATACGGGAGTGAGGATCGCCATGATCGTCCCCGGGATCACGGAGACCAACCTCGACGGACAGGGACATGGGGAACGACGAGGCGCTCTAGACGCTATCGGGATCGATAAACCGGAGACAGTGGCTAAAGCCGCGGTGGATGCGTACGAGGAGAATGCGGCGCAGAAGATTGTAGGCTGGAATAACTGGGCGATGCAGACTGCCCTGGGGTTGGTACCCGACTCGATCAAGGCGAGCATGGTCGCTTCGGCCAGAGGCAAGCCCGAGGATTCGGACGATATCGGCGCTTCTGGTAAGTCGTTCGTGGTCGCAGCGAAGAGTCTTCGATGTGATTTCGTTTTGCTGACGAACAGTCCTCTCGTTCCATCTGGCAGAAGAACAAAAGAGCTAGACCTCATGTCTTGAGCCTTACACATCAGCTGTCTGTCTCATCAGTGATGGACCCAGCCGAGCCCGTTCGAATAGGAAAATCCTCGAAGTCAGCCAGGCAGATGCCTTCGATTGGCCTGGCCTACAAGGTCGCTCGCTGTATTCAATCCGACTGAGTTGTATCACGCCTTCGGTGCTGCTCTTGTAACAGTACTTGATGACCTCGAAGAATTGGGCATGGCTTGCGTCGGGCTGCGAAATCGAGGTTCGTTCTCTTGGTACATATCTCCCATAGCAAATCGTCTCCTCGGGAAGATCTCGGTTGGCCTGTGGACGGAGGGCTTGGCCCTCGGAGTTGTAATCATACGGTATAATCATGACCGGGTCGCGAGAGTACGAATGAACCTTTAATCGATAGACATCGATCGAGATAGCGATAGCGTAGGTTCTCTCCTCTCGCCGTTCCCGCCGCCCTTTCAATCTCATTTGATCTGCCTCCTCCTGTTGCTCCCCGCTCCGTATGGCCTCCAGACAAAAACGAACCCAAAAGACACCCCGGGACCATCGGCCTTCATCCCCCCTTCCACCTCGACGTATCGGCCGGATCAAAACAGGCCGCCATGACCGTATCCTTCAGGCCACTTTTTGGCGAAAACGGGGCAAGACAACCCGTCAGACTCGGCCTCGTCGTTGGTTTTATCCCCACCCATGTCCTCGTCCTCGTCCTCGCCCTCGTCTTCGGTCGGGAGGCGGCTGCTATCGCTCTCATTGATATCTCCGGGCTGTCTGAAGAGCCTCCCGATTCGTCTTTTGCCGACGTTGGGCTTGATCCTGGCGTTGGCCTTGATACCGGGTCGTGTCTTGTCCTCGGCGGCCCCGTCCTCGACTTCGACCTCGATCTCGACCTTGATCGGCTGTCGTTTCCTCTTCTTGCCTCCCGTCTCCGCCTTCATCTCCTCGACCTTGATGGCTCCCGGCTCGGCCTTGAACCGAGAAGGAGTCTTGTTCAAGATGACGGGTCTGACGTAGAGCTCGAATTTGGCCCCGGACATGGACGAATCCACCATAGGTACCCGGACGTGGAAACACCTGTCCTCGCTCCCCTTGTTCGTCTCGTTGGGAATATGATCTCCATAATGCCTCTTCGCCCAGTTCCCATGATACCCTTGGCCCTAGTTGGCCTTCTTCAGGCGATAGAGAAAGGCACATTACAGCCGGTATCAAAATATGCGCAGTAGTCGTAGCATTGCTCCCAGGCGAGCTTGCGGGCTTGTTGGTTGGCGTAGGGGAGGGAGTCGTATAGGGCGTGCATGTATTCTTGTTCCTTGTCGGTGATGCTGAAGACGCCCCATAGGAAGGGAGGGAAAGGTTCGGCGAGTTTTGTAGGGTGTGCTGTTAAAAGGCCACACCGTGTGGGGAAGGGGAATTTCACATTTATGGTCAGCTAGAACGTTTAGAGAATCGGAACCCTCCAGGGCTCGCCTGCCATCAACAGTGAGCTTGGATACTGACCGGCTTCTCCTTGTTCCTCTGAATACCGCACGCTCAAGACGGGCTTGTAATCGATCTTGGCCTCGTACCCATCCTTGCCATCCTTTTCCTCGAAATGCTCAGTCCCACGTTCAGGGGTATTGGTATCAGGGATGAACCAATGTCTGATGGCGTCGATGGCTTCCTGTTCGGTCTCCTAAGAGCTCAGGATGGTCACGACGTGGACCCTCTTTCGGCGAGTATATCGAGTGTGGATGACGTGGTAGAGTTTGACCATGGTGAAGAGTATACGAGTCTCGCTCTATTCCCTTTTCGTTGCGTTGTAAGAGACGGGATTGAAAGTTGGTCTCTAAGATCGTCGACCGAGAGCGAGTCGACTGGCGAGGGGGGAGAGGGGCTCGGAAGAGTGTCGAAGTGCTCCTGGGATGGGTGGCTGCCGTCGTGATGGGAATAGCCTGAGTATCGTTCTTTCGTTGGCATTGGAGAAAGTGAAACGAGGATATTCGTATATACCGCTCAAGAACCTGGTGTCAGGGAGGAGGACTCTAGCAGTCTACGCAGGGCTAGCATACATGCAAATACGAGCACACCAACCATGAAGCTGGATAAGACATGATACCGACTATAAGCATGCCCTGGCTATTTGCCCGTTGCGCTTCCTCTCGTTCAATGCTGATCTTCCACATTTGCGTCGCGTTCCTCGGTGTGATCAAGAATCTTGTCGGTCGAACACCATTCAGGGACGGTCCTTTGACCCGGCTTGCTTCTTCCGAGGCCTCAGCTTGTAGACTGCAACATACACAGGTTCATCAAGCTGACTACCGCAACACACGTCAAGACATGACATATGAGGCTCGACTTGATGGTCTGGCTGCTTCCGCTTCCTCTGCAAGGGGGGAGTATAGTCGGCGTTGTCCCATCTCCGACTGGATTGACCCAGACTTGTCTTTGCACACGACGGAAGCGGGTTGTCGACTTTCCTCCCAGAACGAGTGACAGGTGGACTCTTACCTATAAATGAGACGGACTGGGGTTTGTCATATTATCGGTGCAACGCGGACATGCAGCTCACTAGTAGATATGCTTTGGACCTTGGTGGCAGGCTGGTAAGCATCAGCGTTGCCCTTGTCGTACGGCCGGTCAATACGGAAAAAGTCAATAGCTTGAATACTAAGCGCTAGTTACAGCAGCGCCGGACTTAAAGAAGCTTTTCTTGGAGCAGTCTCGTCTTTGTCCTTGCGTCCCAACATCACGAAGATTGTCGATGTCATTGTCGTCGAGCAATCGACCGCCGCTGTGGCCATGGATACCAAGATTCACACCGAAGATCCCAACCGTCCCTGTGTCAAGCGGTGTGGCCGACTGGTCCCCATCTTTTGCAAGGGATATGACATCCACAAAAACCTGGAATGCTTTGAATATTGGCAAAACAGCGGAGCGTCACCCAAAACTATCGCCGTGGCCTACAAGGCCAATAGAACTAGTATCCAAGACGTCCTCAAGACCTACGAGGATGGGAAGACAGCCTCGCCTGGCAAACAAGAATTCCACAAGGAGGGGCTGCAATATTGGCAAGAGATCCACAACATTCACGTCCCAGCCTATCTGAGTGTTATGGCATCCGCGGTACGCGTACCGAACACCCGCGTCGGGTAGTTTTACAGGGACCTCCGATGGGAGTTCCGTACGGAGTATATCTAGAACACCCCCTATGTGTTTACTGTAATGTAGTACCAGTTGTACTACATCCGTTATTACATTTATTACCTTACCCTTACCTTCTAGTCCCGTGTGATACTATTCCAGGCTTGCAGGCAAGCCTAATAGAATAACGGATCTACAAACTTCACCCCGACTAGAAACCCCTACGCGATGAACACTTCGTTCACCCAGTGTTTCCGTCCCGATGGGACCCCCCAAGGAATCCCGCCAGGGATCTCGCCTGTGCTGTCTGAGGATGGACAAAGCCAGCAGGTAGATGGGGAGGGAAGGTTTTTGTGGTTGCGAACGACGGACTCCGGAACGGAGACCACCGCAAACGAATTGCGGGTGTTTGCCAACCAGCAACCTCAAACGCAGGCCACGCCGGCCAACAACATGGGAACGGTCCCCCCACAAGTGGTACCAACTTCTCCTGCAAGCAACCCCGCAGCCACCTCGACCCCCGCTGCCGCCGCGCCGGACTTGAACGCCCTCTTTCAAATGATGGCCAACATGCAAATCCAGGTGCTGGAGTTGGCGAGGGCAAGGGAGTCGCGGCCGTCTTTGGACGAGGCCCGGGCCAAACTGTTTAAGTTTGGAACGCCGGACAAGTTCGATGGCAGCAAGAAGGAGAAGGTCCGAGGGTTCCTGGACCAATGCAATCGGGAATTCGAGGTCAAACCGGGCGTCTACGTTACTGACCGCCTGAAGATGATGTACGCGGAGTCGTACATGGAAGGACAGGCCGCCGACTGGGCTCGAGAGTACTCCACGGGCCGAGTGCCGGCTACCTGGGAGCAGTTCGAACAACTGCTCATCTCCACTTATGGTGGAGGACGAAACATCGTCGCAACCGAGACCGAATTCTATCACTTAAGGCAGGGCACCAAGAGCCTCGCGACGTACATCACCGAGTACAACGACCTCTTGGCCCTCCTCCCCAACGTCTGCGAATACTCTCGCCGGATGCTGTTCAGGGCCAACCTGAACCAAGCGTTCAAAGACGCCATCGTCCCTATGCCGGGCCAAGAAACAATGACTTTGGCGGAATTCCAAATGGAATGCCGCCGGTACGAAGATCAGGCGGATGCCAGAAGGCATATGTCCTCGGGAAACCGCTACAACTCGGGCGGTAACCGACAAGCGAGTAACCACTCCGCTCCCCGTAACCCCGTTGTGGTCAATACCACCGTTGCGACTCCTACCCCCGCCGCCAACGCTTCCACCGCTGCTCCCATGGAACTCGATGCGGGCAGGATGAGGCGGAACGACCCCTGCTACCGGTGTTTCCAACACGGGCATGTAGCCGTCAACTGCCCCAACCAGAGGGTCCCTGCCCCTGCTTGGTTCAAGGGTAGGAACAACGGTCGGATGAACGTCTCTGGTGCCCGAGTGCAGCCCGTCGAGACCGTCCCGGAGGTAGGTTGGGAGGCCGAGCTCGCTAGGCAGAACGGAGAGCAGCCTTTGCTCTGGACCCCGACTGATTAGACGTACGGTTGTGTTGTTATTGGCTCATCATTTGTTGTACCCCCACGGCAGGACCGGCGGGGATGTTTTATCACCATTCACTTTTGCAAGCACCCGACTTCACAGTTACTACGAGAGATACACTCATCAAAGTATACACCATCAAAAGGTAACCGTACAAGAAGTACAATACGAAACATGTCCCTCGCGAGGAGTAAACGCATACTACTGAAGAACACAACCTGAAACAAGTCCCTCGCGAGGAGTAAACGCACAAGTCCCTGGCGAGGAGTAAAACGCACAAGTCCCTCGCGAGGAGTAAACGCACATAGAGAGAAGAAGATGAAGTCGGGACTCTATTATGGTATATCAGAAATACAAGAGAAAAAGAGATCCCGACGTAAAAACAATCCGGAGAATACAAACACGACAAAACTCCAAAAGACCCGGAAACCCCTCACTCGTCGTCGTCCGAGACATCGACAACCTTCTTCTCCTTCTTCTTCTTCTTCTGCTTCTTACTGGAAGCGGCATCGGGAGTCGGGGTAGGAGGGGGAGAGGGGGTGGGGGTGCGGAGAACGTCGTCGTCGTACGCAGCGCCCGCCGGACCTTCCGTGGGCGCCGCGGGGATGGGCTCCCCGATGTCCTCGCCGTGGCCCCGGAAAAGGAACTCCCGGTAAGGCTCCTTTTGAGGCCACTCGTCGGCCTCGGGGATGGTGACGCTCCCATCGGGGTTGCGGGCGGCGTCGGGGTGGCTCTTGGCCCACTCCTCGTTGTGCTTCTGGATCTCCGCGTCCCGGTACGTTTGCCAGGCGGGGATGAACCGGTTCTCCACCAAGCAATCGGTCTTGTTGGAGAGTAAGGGGAGGACCTACGCAAGGTACAAACATCAGTTCCGAGAAGTACCTGCGTCGGGGGTCCAAACCGGAACAACAACTTACCATGCGATTCATGAGCCGCTGCAACTCGTCCCCGACGGCGATGGCGACCTCGTGAGGGACGTTGGGGATGGTCAGGACCTCGCACGCTGCCTCGTACCGGGTAACGACCCCGTGGTCCTTGTCGAAAACCGTCATGTAGGCGGACGGCAAAGGGGCGCACTTGAACTTGGTCCCGCGGCAACAATAGCAGGAGCTCCCGCCGCTGGTGGATTTCCCGGCCTCCGGGACGGGGTGGCGGCAGACGAACATGCCGTTGAACTCCATGACGTTGTACCACCCTTTGCCGTCCTTGTCGGTGTACCCGGGGACGTCGTTTTCGGCGGAGAGGTGGAAGCGGTCCTCATAACCGAAGCAGTTAAGACAACACCACTTCCAACCACCACGGAAGTTGGCCTGCGTACGCACAATCGGAGTCAATAAACCGTGTTCCCGATGGAGGGAATAGAAAAAGAGAAAAAGAACATACCATCATACCATCGAACGAGGCAACGTTCCCTTCCCGCCACGCCTTCGCAAGAGGCTCGATGAAGGCGTTACCGGCCTTGAAGTGGGTACGACCCAACTCCTCTTGGTGGATTTGTTCCTCTAGAAGATAGCCCGATATGTTATCCCCAACGGACTCAGCAAAACAAACACCACTCACCCTCGCCGGCGGACTGAGTTTTGGGGTAAACGAAACCCCGGCGCCGGTCCTGCTCGAGCTTCGCGGTCGATCTCGAGGGCGATGGTTGGTACGGCTTATCGCCGTGGTTCTTGGGGGCTTTGGGAGTGGAAGGCATATCGAAGAGGGCGTAAAGGTAGACGGGGGGTAGATAGCGTAGGGAGGGTAAAGTGAGTAGTAGCGAAGGACACCTACGACTTACTCCCCACCCCGCAATCGCGAACGCGAACCCCTTTATACCCTACATCCTTGCTGCTGCGGCGGCCCAAACAAAAGAAGAATTGCAATACTAGCAAAGAGAGCAACTAGAACAATACTATTGCTATGGATATGGGCATATGGAGAGAGGGTATCGTACAACAACAGCGGTATAGGCGTCAACATCAACGACGGTCTCCTTTGTTTACACCTCCCGAACAACGAGTCGGACATGCGCCCATACGGATGTCCGCGCAAGGACAAAGAAAAGAACAACAACGGGACGCGCCCCATCGGGCCCGAAATTCGGGTATCCCTGTGAAACAGGTAGACGTGTGTAAGCGGCGAACGCTTACCGGTGGGAAGAACGAAAGGAGAGAACAAAGGCGCCTACGTGAAACACGACCGGCGCTGGCCGATCTGGAATCTCGGCCTAGGGGGGGGATCCTGTTATGGCATCCGCGGTACGCGTACCGAACACCCGCGTCGGGTAGTTTTACAGGGACCTCCGATGGGAGTTCCGTACGGAGTATATCTAGAACACCCCTTATGTGTTTACTGTAATGTAGTACCAGTTGTACTACATCCGTTATTACATTTATTACCTTACCCTTACCTTCTAGTCCCGTGTGATACTATTCCAGGCTTGCAGGCAAGCCTCATACTGAGCAACACGGTTCAAGAGTCGGTGGGAACGTTGAGTAAGGTCGGTCGCAAGAACGGCAATCGTTCCGACTCGGACTACACCGACTACACCGACCGTATCATGTGTGGCAAGTGCCAAGAGAAGGTCAAGGCCAACCTGGAGGCAACTATCCGTTGCAAGGCCGCATCCCACGCGTCTCAGTGCTCGAATTGTGCTGACACTGGGGGTTGTGACCTGAAAGTGAGCAGGCTCTTGACCACAAGTTTAGCTTTCGAGCTGATCATGTTTGTGGCGTTTTGACTGTCAGTACAAGATCCAAAACCACTTGGAAGTAGGAATGCGGAATTTAGTCAACGCCACCGATAGGTTCCGTCGGGACGCTTTGGAACTGATGAACGTGAGCATACCATCTTTGTCTCGTTTCAGAGTCGAGCTCTTATTCATGGGTTTCTGTTTGCAATTGATAGCCGACTGACCCGGAAGCCGTCCTCAAGGAGCTCAAGGACTCGTATGATCGCGGAGCGAGGAAGTCGCTTCAAAACATGGACAAGGCTGTGGCAGAGGGCCAGGATCTGATTTGCGTTAACCCATGAAACAGACCAGGATCGACATCTTGAAACAAAGTCGGGGTGTCAAGGAGGACCTTGACCTTCAAGCGGCTGTTCGTCATCATGCAGTCTATTTGCAATTCGAAGCGGCGCATTATGAGCTGTCTGATTGCTTGTATCGAGTCCGGCGTGTCCATGATTGTCGCTATGATATGTATGTATTATATTGATTATTAGGACGTTATGACAGCAAGACCGATTCGAGTTTGGCGACTTTAGAAGAGTATCGACGTCGGCTTCCGGCTTGTACACGATCGACCCGCTCAAAGCATCTGCGTTAACCCAAACCCCAGGATTGACTTCAAACAACCTCTTTCGCTGTAGTGTCAGCATCAGCACATGTTATATTCATAGAACACTCTTCTGGGATATAGCCAAGGATGGACGCAACCAACACCACCACCAGACCCCGTAACGATGGGAACCTGAGTCGAAGGACACCGGTGGATAACAAGGATCCCGATCCGGTCATGTCGAGGTGCGATGAAGCAGCTACGATGTCTAGAATTTCTCGGCGGTATGCTGACTAGCGAAAGTACGATCATGTTGTGGACGTCAGACTGTTCAAGATGTTCAGCAACGTCTGGTCACCAGAAAACGAAGCTGGGATCGTCAACCTGGGCGTGGCCGAAAACTCGTTGATGGTACGTCTACGTCCTCCTCTGTTTTACATCCCGTTGTCAACTCCTCATATCAGATCGTAGAATAGACCTCTTGCTGATCCATCACCAGGTCTCGTCTCGATGTCCTATTTCTAAACCGTCTCAAGGCAGACGAGCTCGTCGAGTTCTACCGGACCGAGTTGGCAAATACGTTCGACCACACAGGGTTGACGTACGGTGACAACCTGTACGCTAGTAAACGGACCACTTTGGCCTTGTCCGGGTTTCTCAATAGGTAAGTACCAGTCGGGACTCATCTGTATCGTTAAAGGGGTCTATATTCTACATAGGAGTCGACGACTGACTCGAAACTCGGCGATATTTGACCCTCGCAGACACTTCAAACCTCACCTTCCCATCGATCCCGCCCACATAGTAACAGGCAACGGCGTCTACTCGCTCCTCAACCACCTCATGCACGCCTTGCTAGACCCGGGAGAAGGCATCATCTTACCCTCGCCTTATTACTTGGGCTTCGATACGATGTGTACCAAGCGGGTCGGAGGGGTCTTGGTCGGGGTCAAGATGGACGACTTGGTCGAAGGTCAGGAAGGCAGTGTGAATGTGGAGGAGACGATAACGAGGTTCGAGGAGAGGTTGCAAGAGTCTGAACGGGAGGGCGTCAAGGTGAGTTATTATCATCTAGCTGGTTTCTGCTAGCAATCTGTCGATATGATAAGATCGTCGCCGCTAATTTCGATTATACCCTATCGGGTCGTTTCTTGTCAATCGTTTCATCCAGATCAAGGTCTTGCTCCTAACAAATCCAGGGAACCCTATCGGAAGAACCCGTTCGTAAACCACCCTCCTATTCACACCTGTCGATCTCTTCCTCCCTCCGTCCGACGATCACCCTAATACACACCAAGCTAATTAACCCGCTCCCTTGAATACAGTCTCCCGGGAAATGCTCCTCGCCTACTGCCGCTTTGCCGAGAAACATGACCTCCACTTGATCTCGGACGAGGTCTATGCGCTGAGCGTGTTCGAGAACGACCGTGAGTATAGCGTCCTAGTCTGATCCATTTCCCTGGAGATGTCTTGTTTTGCCCCGCTCGACCGTCGTCTCGGCAAGTCTAGGCGAGCTGATGTCCGCTCCGTCTTATGGCAATTTGTGGTAGGGCTGCCGGATGCGCTGCCGTTCACGAGCTTGTTGAACATCGACCTCGAACGGGAACTCGGGGAGTCGTTCGATAAGAAACGGGTGCACGTGAGTGTCTGCCCAGGTCGTCGATTTTCCTTCGTGGCGAGCAACTTCGCTCGTGCTGATGAGATGCTGTTGTGCGATCGCTAGGTGGTACATGGGATGAGCAAGGACTTTTGTTCCAACGGCCTGAGGTGCGTCATGGACCCGACCCTGATCGGCTTCCTCGTGTCATCCCTCTCCCAGCAGCTCATTCGATCCTCTTCCGATTGTTCTCGGCCATCAGGTTCGCCACCCTCGTCTCACAATACAACACCGAACTCCACCGGGCCATGGCCTCCTTCGGCCTGTTTATCAAGCCCAGCTCTGTCAGTGACGCCCTGTTGTATGCCCTGCTCACCGCCCCACCCCCGACCGGCGATGAAGATCTTCAAAAAGATGGCCACGCGGGGTCCTTTGAATGCTACGCCGACTGGTTCATCCATACCAATCAACGACGCATGCGGGACGCCTATCGGTACATGCGCGATAGGCTCGAGAGGGCCGGGTTGGAGGTGGTCCCTTCTCATGGGGGGCATTTCATCTGGACCAAAGTCTCGAAGAAGGCAGGGTGGGGGAGTTGGGAGGGCGAGTTGGACGGGTTTGGCAAGATCTTTGATGCGGGGGTTTATATCGTGAGTCCCCCGTCCTTTTTCACCTCGAACTCAAAACTCAAACCCAATCTCGCTCTGACGTGGACTCGAGGCTGATCTGATTGCTCGACGATCCGCACCGAATTTTGTAGGCCCCGGGATCGCTCTTCCACGCATCCACGCCGGGGCACCTCCGATTTACGTTTACGGTCCCGCGGCCGTTGAGCGAGTTGGGGCTCGATCGGTTCGAAGGCGTTCATCTGGCGACGTCCAAGGGGTCGACGAGGGATGGCGGCGAGTGAGACGGCGAGAAAAGGAGGGGAAGCACGAGGTAGAGGGAGAGACGGGATATGTAACGAGCTGGGTGTATTGCGATTACGATTGTGATTGAGCGCCGGAGCGTCGATCGCCAGGATCTACGGGGGCAAGGGTTACTGGCTGGCAAAGGGTAATTCCTTCCAAGTAGCGCGATGGTTGATGAATCTCGCGTAGGGAAGGGGATCGGGGGGACTTGTAGAAGAGAAGGGTCTGGTGAATGGCAAGACGGTCGCACGTTGGTCATTTTCGGGGTCGCGATGGCATGGGTCGTACGATGATTCTTTCGTTTGTTCATCACGACGTTCGGAGAAAGCCGATCGGTTTCAATGGATCTGGGAGGTGATGCGTATTTTCTCGGTCTTGACATACTGATCGAAACCCGACTGTCGGCGCTGGGTGAAATTGTCGCCTAGCTACATTATGGACAGGACGAGATCGTAAAGAAATGCTGCAGGTACTGCTGTTACTGACATGCTGGTCGATGGCTATGAGCCACAATCCGAACGTTCGTTGTCGTCGTCGGCCATGATTGTCGGATTTGTTGTTGTTGTTATTTGTTGTTGTTCGCAATCAATTCCCCGACGTCTATATGATCCCGCTTCATCGGCGTCAGAGGCGGTGATGACATTCGGGTTACGTACCTCGATCCACCGATCCCGGGCCGGATTCGTGCCCTGGGGAGTCTGAAGAAGAACCCTGGGCCCCGCCAGGGTGAGGCTGGGGGCGAGGGCAACAAGGCAGGGCACGGGCGCAAAGAATAGATTTTAGCTGTTGTTGTGATGACTGACATCTCGATCGCGGAATGATTTGCGCCCGTTTCGAAACTCCGCGCTTGCTCGCTCATCGACACGTCGCTGTGGTCGCAAAATCACATGGTGGATCGAATATTGCGTCAGATTGAGGATCGAATAGAAGCTTTTGAAGGTTCATTCGCCGGAAGCTCGGGAGGCCGCGGCGATGGCAGGGAAGGGCAGAGGGACAGCTTTATGGTTTAATGATTGTCTACCCATGGCCCATTTACGATTGCGGGAGAGAAAAGGGTTGTTGTTTGTTTGACTTTTGTTGTTGTTGACGGATCGTTAGGCGCTGGATTTGGTCGCAGAAACAGTATATAGTCTGAACAAATGCTCGCCCATTCCTCTCCCTTTTCATCGTACTTTCTCCTTCTCTCCTCTCCATCAACTCTTCGCCTTCCAACATCGACATCGACGCTCCACCCACACTCGTTTACCAACAACAACCTTTCGACTCTAGTTCATAATGAAGTTCTCCATCGCCGCCATCGCCGCCGCCGTCTCTTTCGGCCTCGTCTCCGCCGCTCCTGCCGCTGTTGAAAAGAGGCAGAGCGCCGTGACCGATGTCACCGTCTTGCAATACGCCTTGTGAGTCGTCCTTGTCTTCCTCGTCTTCCTCTTCTTCCTTCTTAGTGTCCGATTTATTCACATCCTGACGCTGTTCTGCTCTTCCCGACACGACGCACTGTAGGACCCTCGAACACCTCGAAGCCGCCTTTTACGCTCAATACCTCGACCAGTTCTCTAACCAGGACTTTATCAACGCCGGGTTCCCCAACTGGGCTAGGGGCAGGATCAACCAGATCGCCGCTCACGAGAAGCAGCACGTCGAGTTGTTGGCTGGGGCTTTGGGCGATGCTGCTACCAAGCCTTGCACGTGAGTCCTGGTTCCCTCTGATATTTAACCAGGATCATTTGCTGATCATCGGTGTTGTTCGGCGTCCGCAGTTACAAGTTCCCCGTCACCGACGCCAAGTCGTTCGTCGCCGTCGCCTCGGTCCTCGAGTCGGTCGGTGTCTCGGCCTACTTGGGAGCCGCTTCGTCGATCAAGACCCCGGCTTATGTTACCGTTGCCGGTGAGTCCCGAGCGACGTTCCTTACGAGTCTCATCACGCCGAGCTGACCCCATATCCTCGTTCGCGTTCGACGACAGGCTCGATCTTGACCACCGAGGCCCGACACCAAGCCTGGATCTCCTCGGCCGGTCTTCAGGGCAACCCCTGGTCCGTCCCCGAGGACACTCCCGTCTCGTTCTCCCCCATCTACACCGCCGCCCTCCAATTCATCGAGAGCTGCCCGGAGACCAACCCTACCTTGCCCTTCACCCAATTCGCCGCGCTCACTTACAACGCCGCGGACGGATCGGTTAGCTACCCGGGTATGAAGGACGGAGACTTTATCGCCGTCTACCAAGGTCTGAGCGTGGGTACTTACCCTGTCAAGAACGGCAAGGTCGACCTCCCCGTCGTCTTCGGGTTCGCCTACTTGACTGCTACCACCGAGGGCGTTGCTACCAAGGTCGGGGATGACAACATCGTCGCTGGACCTTTCATCATCAACAACGTCTTCAACTCGAAGATCGAGGCTCCCCCTGCTCCTCAGTTCAGCTCGGCCGCCTAGATTGCCTGCTCGCTTGCAACGCATCGTGGATCGGTTGTGGAACTTTTAAATGGACATAGTTGTCATTTTTCTCACTACGGACGTTCGATAATAACAAACACACAACACGATTACTATTTTCATGACGACTTTTCATCTCATTTCCTTTTGAACCTGAACCTGTACGAACCTGTAGTCCAAGAAGATGTATATTTCTTACGACCCAGTTTCACATGTGGGACAACGAGTTCTGGGATGAGCATGTCGCGATTCTTTTCACTTCCGGTTGTGCTGTCAGGCATTCTCGCGATACAAGATTGAGGAGAGGGGAACTTTTGAGTCGACCAGGTCGGGGATAATGGAAGACGACCGCCTTCAGTCGATTCTGATGTGGTGACAACAGTAAGGAGGTCGTCAACGGGTATCGCCTTTGACTACTCGTCTCGATTTGTACGACGCGTTTCAGGTTGACCACCCATGCCGCCCCTTGACCCCTCACCTATCCTTTCTCGCAGTAGACAACTGGTATCAAAGGAGGTCCGCATCTGATGTCAGGTGGTCGATGTCGCGAATATGTTATTATGCCTTGATTTATAGTAGCCGATCGGATTGATCCATGGAAGAGGTTCCACAGTAGCGATCCAGAGCATTTACCTACCAAGAACGTTTTCGCAACCATGGGCACCGTTGATCCACGCCGACCCAGTCTCAAGTCGATATTGAAGAAGACATCCAAGTATGACACGCACGACGAGGTTGGTCCCGAACCTACCGATACGTCGGATCCACCGCCAGCAGCAGGACATCGCCACCGTCACCATCGCGACAAGCATCCACACGTCTCGCAACTCGCCTCGATGCTGAAACCGACCCACGACGAGGAAGACTCGGAAGACGAGGTGGACACCGAACCTCGGACCCCGAAAGTCCTCAACAAGTCCACCCCTGGCGTCTCTTCGGCTGTCGACTGTTTCACCGAGCCACCACCGACGCCTCTAGACTCGCCGCTTGAAGATCACGAGGAAGAGCTATTCAACTATCAGGGCCAAGTAGTGACCCGGTCCGCCATGGAGCTGCTTGAGATGGAGGACGAGATCGCCGCTCGGGGTGGGTTGTACGAGCGGGACGGGGTCGTCATGACCGCGAGCGCGTTGAGTCTTTTGCAAGCCCAAGAAGCGATGGCTAGAGCTGATACCGCCGGACAAGGCGAATGGGGGCGTGAGTCGGCTGCGAGGTGTCTCCATATCACTCCAGACGCCGCTGCTAATGCTGAAGCTCGTCTTGTCTTGCCTGGCGTCATCGCGCAGCCGACGAATGGGACGGCATCCGGTACGCCATCTTCGTCGATCGTTATTCCCCGCCATCCTAGCTGACCATCACCTCCTCTTCTGCACACTTCGTAGCGGCCAGTATATACCCAAATGGGCGAGTCTTCGTCCCGCCCACCTCGCACTTGCCACGTCTCCTGCTAAGCCCACCTTGCGTCCTCTCACTCGAACTGTAGGCCAGGAAACTCACAGAAGCCGACCGCTGGCCTCTTGTGGACGACGATGGCAAGCCCCTCCGAGTGAGTTTACGCGGTCGTCTGGCCTCTACCCGTTGTCCATTAAGCCAGCCTGCTGACCTCCACCTCCCATACGTCTGCTTCTTCTCGCCTGCCTGATCCATTGACCCCGACGCCCACGTCGTCAGAACGAAGACGGGACCCGCCAAGAAGACTGGTTCGAACCCGACATGGACCGGATCGAGGAGCGCAACTTGTTACGGTTCGGCATGGAGGGCGTGGTCGACTACAACTATTGACGGGGGCGTTCCGGTCCCGGTTTTGGTCCTAGTGTTTTTCCTCTCGTGCGCCTACTCCAGGGTTCGGTTGCTGCACGCTGCGTGTTGTATGTCTCCGACTGGCGTCTGCGCTCCAGACTTATCTCAATCTGTTGTTGTAAGACGTACGAAAAACGGGGATGTCGATATACGGGCTTCTCTCGTCGTCTTCGTCGGGTTTGCCCGCTGTTCGTTGCCTCCCGTCGAAATCCACTCCTTGAGATTGGGATTCGACTTAATGGATTACAGAGAGCGAATGATCTCCAATCGTAGGCGTGTCATCGCATCGCGTCCATTCATGATTCGTGATTCGTGAATACAGTCGAGTCCCGTATTATATCTACCGTCTATAGCCTTTCACCTGAAGATGAAAATAAAGATAAAGACGAGACGGTGTTTAGATCGGTCTCATCACGTCCGCCGCAATCGATTCGGTTGGGGTGTCAAAAGCGCATCGTGACTCACTATTCTACACTCCCACCGCTATCATCCGTAGCCTAACATCTCCCGCCTCCCCTCACTATCTCCCTGACACTACGTCGTTGTTCGTCCCCCCCGCCTCACCTCTACTACCTCGACCTCATCCTCACCATCCTCATCCTCATCCTCGACCTCATCCTCAACCTCATCCTCATCCTCAACCTCAACCTCTCCCAGCCTCCCCGGTAAGACCATACCCCGCCTTCAACTCCTCCACAGCCGCATCCCACTCTTCCCTAGTGTTCGTATTCCTCAACTCTCCCTCGGTTTTGGGGAGGACGCCGAAGCGTGTGATGATAGCGGGTGGGAGCTCATCTTTGGGCTTGGGCTTGTCCTTGGGGTTGGCTTTGTGGTTGGAGTTGGATTTCTTTTGGCTTTGACCACGCTCAGGGATGTTGAGATTGACGTTCGCTTGTTCATCGACTCGATTACTGCCTGTTTTATCCTCAGCTTCGAAGGCCACGATCTCCTTCCACAACTCCTTAGCTGTAAAACACGGCCCGGTGCGTCTCCTCAACCCTCCATCAGCCTGCGTGACCCCCTCGATAGCGTTCCTCCTCAACCTCCTTAACGCCTCCGGACCCCAGACGCTGAGCAGGGGTTCGGGGTGCATATCTAAGGGGTGGAAGTAGGTGGTCACAGGGGAAGGTGAAGGTCCCGGCTCCGGTGGGGTTGAAGATGATGAAGGTGAAGGTCCCGGCTCCTGGTGATGGTCGAGGAGGTGATTATGATTATGATGATCGAGGAGATGTTGCAAGGTATCGAAGGTGACGAAAGGGAAGTCTACAGCTACCACCAAAAAGGTCGCGGATGGGTGGGCTTGGTGGGCGGTCAGAAGGGCTGAGGCGGGGCCTAGATCTTTGTAGGGAGGGGCGTCGGGGAGGAGTTCGATATGAGGTTGTTTGTGTGAGGAGGTTGAATTAGATGGCGATGACGACGACGACGACGATGATGATAATGAGGAATCCTCCAAGAACCCTTTGAGATCCTGTTCCATCCTCCCACTCTGCCTGGAATTATGGCTGACAACGACGCCCTCCGGACAAACTCGAAGTAAGATCTTGAGTAGGTGGATCCATAAGCTCTCCGTGTGCTCCTCGATCCCCTCTTTGGTCGTGGTGGAAGAGGTGGAAGATGTGGAAGAGGTCGGGGAGCCAGGAGCCAAGGGATAAGGCAAGAACGCCTTGTCGCTCCCCATCCGTGTGGATTGGCCGCCGGCGACGAGCAGACCGAGGGTTTGGGGGGACATCTTTTTCCCTGTTTTTTTTGGATTGTCACGAACGTTGAGGGCGAGACTAGAGGCTGTTTGTATCGTACTGGATCGAAGATGGGACGGACGAGGTGTGCAGGTGCAGGTGTCAGGGGGGTCGAGGTAGATGTCATAAGGATGTCATTGGCAGTAAGCTCGAGATCGGGTAATCCGGTGGCTGACGTAATCCCAAGGCATATGACCAGGTCTCGGCAGTCAGGTGACCTATCTACACAGGGTCCATATGACACGTCATAGCATATCTACATCCGTGCCCATCAGCTTCCGGTCACTCCTCCAGCAGTTACGTCATCGTCACGTCATCGCATCGCAGCATTTCGGATGAAGCCGACGTTTGCGTCAACACCACGGACCACAAAGAGAGAGATAACAGAGAGACAACGAGACATCGACCTTGCTCACCCCTAACCCTCGGAGGATTACAGGCTTTGCGTCCTACATCATCTTGATATCCTGAACCTCGCAACAGGAACGAACGAACACGAATACACATACACACTAGGAAGAAACCATGTCCGACGTTAGTCCCATCCTGCCCTCCCGGCTCTTTTCTTGGCCGCAGGCGGGGGCGATGACGACGAAGGCTAACCTCTTTGCTCCGACATCCATCCCCCCCCCCCCCACACTTCCTCTTCATACCTACTTTACTCCCGCCTCCCATCACCCATCCAACCTCACCATTCAATCCCCAATAGCAACAACCCCGACAACAAACCTCGTTCGGACAAGTGACAGGCGGAGGCCTAGGGTCCAGCGAGATCGTCAAGAACCTCCCGAAGAGCAGTGGGGGGGAGGGGATGACGAGGGAAGAGTTGGAGGCCAGGCGGGCTGTTGAAGCGAAGAGTGGGGGGGAGGAGAAGAAGTAAGAAGTGGTATCGATGAGGAGTAGAGGAACAGGAGAGGTGTCGGCTACGACCGTCTGTGAGTATTAGTATTAGGAAAAGGGGACGAGATTCCGAGGTTTCGAGGTTTCGAGGTCGGAGACTTTTTTCTCTCTTCTCTCGTTCGAGGGCGAGGGAGGCGTGCGAGATCGATATCGAGCTGATTCCGCTTTTCGTTTTCCGGTTTTCCGGTTTTCGCTTTTGTTTTTTCGCTCCTGCTTCTGCTCCTGCTTCTGCTTCTGCTTAGGTGTAATCTAGCTGAAAGGGCAGGAGTTTGACGGGAATACTGTACAACGACACGATTTGGGTTTAGGAACCCTCGACCGAGAATTACGAGAATTGCGAGAATTGTGGTTGCGATTGCGATTATGAACCGGTATTGAATATGATAGACGACCATGATCACCATACCTGTCGTCGCGATCACCATTCCCGTCGTTACGATCACACCCTACTTGAGCAAACACCACCTTGAACACGATCACGATCACGCTCTCGAAGGCAAGACGCACGTCTCGACTTGAAGTCTACCTCGTAAATCCCGAATAGAATACGATTTCGGAATATTGGTCGCTTGTCGCGTTGTCGTAAATCAGTCGATCAACCGGAGGGAGGTGTAGGCTGTCCATATCCGTGTCTCATGTCTCGTGTCTATGTCGATGGCGATGTCGGTATCGATGTCGATGGGCGATGTGCACTCCGATGGCGATCTCAATCAATGGCGATGTCGGCGTCGGCGTTGGTGATAGTGATATCATTTTTGCTGTACGAATCCCGGGTCGCATTCTCAATCTCGCATCTCGCATCTCGATGGAGTTGCCGGCTAAAGGTAAAGGTAAAAGAGAAAAGCAAAACCGAGTGAGCGACGGGAAGGCTGTATACGATGTCATGTCATGTCGGAGGCGGGGTGAGACGACGCGAGGGATGGTAAGCCAGGACAGAGGCAGGACCGGGGCCTAGGCAGAGGCCAGGATGATAGTCAAATAATCAAAAGGCCTCTCGGACATTCGGATGTGATTTACGGACCCGAGAACTGTCATGAGATTTGAACGGTTGCGAGCACCACCTCGCCACTCGCCACTCGACTTGATCAAGGGTTTAGGTCGGATCGAAACGAGACACCAGCCGAGATACCAGCCTCCTTCGGCCTCCCCATCTTGGGTCTTGGACGTCTTTGGGATCGGTACTGGGTTGCGAGGCAGCGGCGGTATTGGCCTGTACTGGCGTGGGGGCTGAGAGGTGGTATCAGCTGGAGGGGCAGTAGTAGGGAGAGGACCGGTTTGATTGGTTCGAGAGGTACCAGTACAGTGAGGTTCACACCTAGATGGAACATGTTTGTGAGTGATTTGCTAGGGCGTGTGTTCCATCACGGCGCGACCCTAATTGTACTGGGGCTGGGCTGAGGGGTGGTAGTAGTAGTAGTAGTAGTACGAGAGGCGGTGGCGGGTCTGGTGTGCTGGGGCCGATTTCGACTCGTCCCTGATCCTTGAACACGATCGGACTATACGACTATACGATCATACTCTTTTCTGAACCGTCTGGCGGAGCGACATGCATAGGATCCGTGTGCCGTGCGCCGTGTGTAACGAGATCAACATGAAGTTTAAACCCCGTGGCGACCACAGCCACTCCCCCATCATAGCCACAGTCCCAGCCACAGCCACTTAGGCGGACGTTCTTCATGCGGGACGTGGCCTACTCGACCGTGGTATTATATACGATCTGACACCTCTGTCTAGCCAGCTCAGCCTGCTCCCCGACTCTCCCATGAAAACAGACACACCAATAAGCGCACTAAAACACCGAGACATACCAGACAGACGAACGAACGAAAAAGGAGAAGAAAAGGCATATATTTACCTTTTGGCAAAAAAATCATGTGCTACGTAGGCCGATCTGCAAGTCTTTTCTTCTCGTCTTCCCTAATCCTCTTCAAACCACCTCTCCTCTTGACCTATTGTTGATAGACAACGAGTACCGAGTACTGACCTGACCTGACTCGACTCGACATGACCTGACGTAATTCAACCTCGTCGATGATCCTCCCGGCGCGCACACTCGCGTTACACACGGACAGCCCGACCGAGGACCCCACAACTCTCTCTCCGACGACGGCGACGACAAGACTCACGGGGGCCTCTGGACTTCCGAAGTCGTCCGAAACTCGCCGAACAGCAAGAACGGGGAGGGGATGTGTAGTACCGACTTGGACGCCAGTCGAATCGAAGGAGTCGAGAGCAAGGTTGAGGGCAAGGAGGAGAAGAAGTGACGACCGAGGACGTCCGGTCGGGGTGGAGGACGGTTGAGCGGTACGTAGACGCAGAGCACGAACCTGATCCTGGGTGCCGACGCTGACTATGGGCACACAGAGAGATACACGACACTTGCGTACTTGCAGACAGCTATACCTATACCCAAGTCCAATTCGGGGCAATCCACGTCCACACTCGAGTGCGAGATGTGGTATCGCGTGGTGTCCATACGACCGAGTGCGAATCGTATGTCACCACTGTACTCGTACTAGACTTGCATGTTTGCATGTACGACGAATGAGAGGATAGAGTACGATTTCCGCTTCCTAAGCTATCGGCGCGAGCAGGCTCGAGAAGATCGACCCCCCGCCCGTCTGTCACACGCCACGTCCACGTCCATCTCGTTCCATGTCGTCCGAGGCCTGTCAGAGCGGGGATGAACCCAACCCATAGAGGGGATGGGTTTGCACACGGGTCCGAGGAAACCCGACGGCGTTTTCCGTAATCCACAACTTCCTGAAATCTCCCTGGTGTGGGTATCGTTACAATCCGTCTGACAGGTGATCACCGGACAACCTTTTTTCGTACCCACCCGCAAGGGGATTCTACGCTCTGCGTTCTTGCTTCTGAGCCTTCTTCTGCTTGTCGGCCTTGGCTTTCGCCTGGTCCGCCCTATCATCCCGCACCAAACAAAGCAACGCATCATCAGCCTCTCCCACTTTCCCAACCAGACCGGACAACCCCCGATGACCCGCATGCACGCAACGTACCTCTGCTTCTCCAACGCCGCCTTGTCCCTCGCCTGTACGCTCTGCGATTCCTGTTTCGCAATCTGTCTCAACATTTGCGCTTTGACTTGGACCTTTTCCTTGTTCAGGTTAGGTGCCATCAGGTCGACTGCGGTGTGCGCCCGACCAAACCACATTCGAAAGCGAGCAAGACATCATCAGCTTTTTTAAAACCAACGCCTGATTCAAAGGGGATATAATACGTAATAGAAAGATGAGATGATGGATAACCGAAGAAGACTCACCAGTCTCCCTAGCCCGTTTGGACTTTTTCTTCCGCTTCGCCTCCCCCCTAATAGCAGCATCGATCAACGCCCTCCGTTCCTTGGCTTCCTTTTCCTCTTCCCTCTTTCGCAAGGTCTCCCCCCGTGCTCCCCCAGACGTATCGTCCTGTACCACATTCTCGTCCTCTACATAGCCGTACTGAGCCAAGAGCGCCCTCCGTTGCGCGGCGGCTAGTTCTTCCGGGGAGAGAGAGGCTATGAGGGAGGTCTGGGCTTTTACTTTGGCTCGGTGGGCTTTCTTCTCGGCTGGGGTCGAGGTTGAGGGTTTGCGGGATCCTGAGTATGGGAATAATGTAGATCGACCAAAGGAGGAGGTAAAGAAGGGAGATAATTCGGGTCAGCAAATTGTCGGGGTGTGGACTGTTGGAAGACCGAGTTGGAGGTCAAAGCGAGGTCGCCAGGTCCGAATCCACCAGGAGCAAGATAAGACTTGCACCGACCCGGAAGAGCTCGATTTTTTCCGCAGAGTTCAGACAGAGTCGGACTCACCTCCCTGACCATCGCCGTCGCCTTCTCCATCATCACTTCCACTATCGCTCTCGCTTCCGGTATCGCCATCTCCTTCCGCTCCCTCTTCACCCTCCGCAGCTGCCTCCTGTGCGGCTGCCTCCTGTGCGGCTGCTGCTCGTCGGTCTCGCCAATGGTCGATGATGTTTGTTATCGTCGGATCAAGATCGAAGTCGGGGTCTTCGGGGGTTTGTCCGTCCTGAGTGGTGAAGGTGATCACACAGCACGTAGGGAGGAGAGAAGACGTTTTTCAGCACTTCCACATCCACATGTCGATGCACGTATCAGGATCGAGATTTCACTACCACTGAGACGAGATGCTAACCCGGGCTCGACTGAAGGGTTCAATAAGGACTCACCTTCATCGGCAAGAACCCCTCTAGCATCCCCTTGACGCCCTCTTTCTTGTCGTCATCTTCGAGTTCTTCCTCTTCGACGAGCCTGGCTATGTATTCTACCTGTTCCCCAGATCGTCAGGGTTAGTGTCCGATCGCGCAAAGATCACCCGATCACCCGATCAGACGTTGTCCTGTGTGGGGGGCTCGTATGAAGAAGAAGAAGAATGGTACGGCAAGGGGATCTTGACTCACGTCATCTTCCGGGATGGACAGGGCGAGGGCGGTGAACTTGGCCGAGATGAAGGATTCTAGGGTGTCGGGCTCGGACATTGGATATCAAATTCTGCTTGTGATGGTGGTGATGTGCGAGAGTGTGTGTGGGGTAGACCAACCACCGTACAGCTCGCAGTCCGTATCATTCGCAGAGTCGGTAACGACCCAGGCCAGGTTGAGTTGAGTCGATATTCGATTTTTGCTTCCGGATCCGCTCCCAGGCTGGGTCGTCGGTACCGATCATCTCCTCGAGCGCTAATCGCTGAGGTTTACCAATTACCGACGATGCTGCGGACTAATCATGCACGTTTGGTAATTGGTAAAGATTAGGAGGGTACAGACCTACAGGGTAGGATGAGCGTGCGGGTGGTCGGTCGCTCAGAATAACCCTGTCGTTTCGACGGCAAGGAGAACCTCTCGGAGTTGAAACGAGCTGCGGCATCCGAGTTGACGATCGCATGTGTCGAGGACCATGGGACCACGCGCATACACCATACGAGAGGCCGAGGTCGATTTCTATATTCGGATGAAACGCAGCATATCGTGCCAGTCTACCCCGTTATCTTATCCGCCGAACCAGCAGTGTACTCTCGGTCGGTCTGTCAGTAAATCTAGAGGGATAGCGCCTCGGTACCGACCATGGATGTGTCGGCCAAGTCGGGCTCGGAAGAGTCGCAACGACTGCGGCTGTTTGATGAACAGCCATGAGGACGACCATGAGGACGACGAGGAGAGCTAAGATGGGACGAACATGTATAAATATGTATCTGTGACCGCGATGGACAGCGAGCCACCAAGTACAAGGCTTGATCGTCCCAAAAATCACCAAGAACTCTAGATCTGATCGTACATCGTACACGAATCATCATCATCACGACTACAATTCTTGCAATCTTCCAACCACTATACTTCATTTCGATTCGACCTCGTCTAATCATATCTGATTATCTAAAAGGACATGTCTACCTCTACCTCTACCTCTGACTCTACCACCATCACCAACAACCCTCCGGAATTCGGGTCCATCCACTTGAGGATCGCCGGCGGACTGCCTGATCATACCGACCTAGCACCCTCGGCCGTCTTTCTCGTACTGGTGAGTTCTTAGGGGTGCTCAGGTCTCTCATCTGCATATCGTCCCTTTCGGGGAATTCGCTCTTGTTTTCGTTCACACCTGGACGAGACCCCTGAGCTCGAGAGTTCGATTTTGATTTTGATTTTGAAATCAAGATGAAGATGCAGACGCTGACTCGACGAGTCATTTCCTTATTCCTTATACCTCGTTTCTGTACTCTTGTACCCCCCCCCCCCCCCCCCCCCCTCTCCTGACCGCAATTACAACTACAATCCCCCGCAGTACGCCCTGACCATCCCCCTCTATGCTTTGGCCTGGAAGAAGAACTGTATCGGGAGATGGTTCATGATCCGACCGGCCGTGTTTATCGGAATGAGGATAGCGTTCTTCGCACTGAGGCTCGTTTTGGTGAAAGATGGGATCAGCGAGGGGGTCTTGAGTGAGTCCTAGCAGCAGGTCCTTTTCGATCGGAGCACGGATGGGGCCCGATTCGCGAACGGTATTGTTGACCATGACCGTGTTTGTTCTGGGTAGTCGCCGAGATGGTCCTCATCTCCATCGGATTCATCTTCCTCGTCGACGCTACGATCGTCATCTGGGAATATCAACGGGATCGTCAGCCCGAGGGGCACGAACATGCGGGCTTGTTGAGTCGGTTCTTGAAGTACGTCCACGTCCCAGCTCTCTCCCATTTTTCCGAGCATCGAAAAGGAAGGGGTAATTCGTAGACGCTGACCGCTGACCCCTGGACCTGCTCTTCTTGCTTTGGATGACGGCTCGGCGAAACTCAGATTGTCCAGGGTCTCGCTCATCGCTGCGATCGCTACCGGTACCGCCGCTGGAGGATTGACCGGACAAGCCCTGAGCGATCCGGATACGATGAGCACGGTCGTAGCGTTGAGAAAGGCGTGTTACATCCTATCCTTGAGTGAGTCTGCGCACTGTGTTGTGTCCGCCCTTTACTTGTCAGGATATTCGAGCGCTCATGGACTCTACATTCTTCGATATCGGTATCGATATCGATGTGCATTGCACGTCGTAGTCGTCGTCGCGGTGATGCTAGGCTTGCATGCGCATTCAGTCTTCCTCGGACACGCCAAGATCGGTTGGGGCATCAGTTGTTCGGCTCTGGTATATACGGCCGTCCTCGTCGTCATCGCCGTCTACCGGTTGGTGAGTTGCCCGGTTTTTTTCGTACCCTCGGTCCCGAAGCGAGTTTAGTCTCATGAACATGTCGCTTAATTTGTGGTTCGAACGTCTCTGTGGCAGATCACCGCAGAAGAATCCAACCCCCGAGCGGCAGTCTTATCAAAGACAGCCTTCTGGATCCTTCAGGTCGCTCTCGAGTGGGTGGCCGTCGTGTCGCTGCTCTTGATCACGGTGTATGCGGGGAATTATTATTCGAAAAGAGAGTTCGCCGAGGTCGACGAGAACGAGAACGGGAACTTGAAGATGGAGGTGCGAGGGCGTGGTCAAGGTCAAGGCCAAGAAGAGGTGTCTCCTCCGGTCTATTCATCTGACGTAGGGAAGGCGGGGTCGTCGGTTTGAGAGGTTAATAGAGTCGGTTTCTGGACAAGTCGGCAGGAATGTAGGCGATTAGCTCTTTTTTCTATGTGACGAACAGGTTGGAAACATACATATACCCACATACGATTGTCCATGCCGCTGTGCCATCTGACTCGTTCTTGTAGCTCACAGGTGAGCAGCTACTTGCTGCTTGAGGAGTTGATAATGTCCGTATCGATCGATCAGGCCAAGACCTCGTCCATCCGCAATAATCGTTCCAAAAATGGCTCCTCGTCCATCTCCGAATCCTTGATAACACCACCATCCACCTGGTTGGAGATCCTCTTCTTCCTGTCCATCTGTTCGAATGACGAGTATTATCGCAAATAGCATCAAGACACTAGTATTCAAAATTCTAGGCTGAGTATACTTGGCCCAGCTGTTCGAGGATGAGGTCGAGGTCCGATCGAAGTAGGTATATAGGTAGCCATATTCGGAAGCCTCTCCGGATACCCTACAGAATCTTACATGTACCCTACATCTGACGAAAATTGGCAAAGACGCGTGAGAATTGGTCATGCGGATACAAATTCACTATCTCGCGCGACGCCACCAAGCCACTATCAAGCCCACCGGTTCGAACCGGTGGGCAAGCGCGTCAGAACCAAACACTGGAATCGTTCGGATGTAAAAACATAAAAAAAGGCCCGTAGGCCATGATCATCGTAGAGGGGGGGGGGGGTCGAAGGAGGGGTCACCTCCGACGACCCCCCCCCCCCGCATCACCGAGGCGTCGATACACCTCGATGGCCACCACCGTACAAGAAAAAAGGCTCTAAAAGCCGTATCCTACCCAAGAAAATAACCTATGTAAATAGCCTAAGCATCCTCGACGGGGAACAAAGCAGCGTTGTAGACCGGAACGTGTTCTTCGTCGGCGTCTCGCCCTCCGTGACAAGCACGGTTCTTCAACGCAGCTCGGATCATGTCGTAGTACTCCTGGCGGGCCTCCTTCGAAGCAGAGTTCTGCGACTCAACGATAGAAAGAAGCCCGAGGGCCTTCTCGACGCCTTCCTGATTGGGATCGTCGAGCTCGTTTGCCTTGTCGGGGGAGAGAACCTCGCATCCGATCTTGAGCGACTTGCAGTGGCCACAGACGGTGGATTGATTCCCGAGAGTGCTCCCGAGCAAGTTTCGACAGATGTAGATCGGGCCGTACTTCACGCAGAGGGCGAGCGGGGGAAACCTGTCGACGAAGGCACCGCTGGTCTTGACCATCACGGTTTGCTGAGGGCCGGTGTAGACGGGGGGATCCTCAGGCCTCCAGAGGTAGCGACAACCCTTGCATGCGATCCTCCAACCGCCGCGGAACTGGGACTATATGCATACAAACGTAGTTAGCTTCCTATGATTCTGAACGAAGCAAAGAAACTACTCACGAGCCAGTTGTTAATCGCCCTGATGTCCTGAGTGCCGGCTCGACCCGGGGTCAACCAACGGTTGAGCCTGTCGAGAGGGGGGTCGATAGGAAGCTCGTCGATGCGTTCATCCTCTCGAGCGAGCTCGTCGCAGACTGACAAAGTAAACAAATTCGGGAATGAGCTCTCGGTTCGAACCGAGGGAGCAAAACGATGAACTCACTCTCGAGATCCTTCCTCTTGGGAAGAATATTGGCCCTCTTGCCCGCTTTGTCGACCTTGGTCATGATGCAAGCGAAGAAAGCCCCGGTTTCGCAACGGCAGACGGGATACGCTCCATCGGTGCCGAGGGTAGGGGGGTCGGGGTAAGCGCCGAGGTTGTTGGCCAAACGAGCGAGGTGTCGGTCCGGAGAGCGGAGTACGGTCGGGGGTTTGCCGGCGGCTTGGTACTCCTCGGCGAGTCGAGCCTGCTCTCGATGACAGTGGACCCAGTGCTCGAAACTTCCAAACAGGGTGGGCCACACCTTCATGTCGAGACGGGGCCAGTCGGCGGGCCAGGCCAATAGGTGCTCGATCTTGAAAGCGATACGGCTAAATGATAACAAGAATGATGACGTGTCAGATTTCCCTCGGTTCGAACCGAGAGATCGAACCTAAGCAAAAATTACTGACTAATTTTCCTCAATAGCACGCCTAACATTCTCGGCGATGGCGAGCTGATCGGGGGGGATCTCTTGGGGGACGGGCGGGGCGATGGGCATGGTGGGCGAGGGAGGGGGCGGTACACGGTTAAGTCGACTAAGTAATGAGCAAAGAACGTAAGCATCGGTCAAGAACAACGACTACAAACGTTGAACTCACGCAGAAAGGCTGTTAAATAGCAAGATAACAAGTATTACGATTCAGAGTCACGTAGCAGGAGATGGACTGAACAGTTTCGAATCCGAACAACACTCACGAGGTCAGGCTCTTCCAAAAAGTACCACGTCCTCGAGTAGGAGATTGAGAACGTCGATTAAACACACTGGGAATATCCAGAGGTCCTTCTCGAGGCATGCCTTGAAAGGTTGAAGGTGAAGTAGTAGAGACGAGAAAGGGAAAAAAGCAAAAGGGAGGGGGGGAATTGATGATGTATATACCCTCGTACGACTGACGAGTTTGCCTGTGTTTTTTTTTTTTCTTTGCAATCGTGTAAGCGAGATGACGACAAGGAATGTCACTCAACATCGCTCCCACGGTGGATCTCGCTTGGTGAGACAAGTCGAGACGTTTCATCGCCAAGCCACTCGCGCGCCACTACAATAGAACGTTTCATCGACTTGACGACCGGGATCAATTCTAAGCGATCAACCAAAGGAGTTTATTTTCAGATTGGAGCCACCGGTTCGAACCGAGGGAATCGAGTGGTTGCTTACAAGCTTGATCAAAGCCCTGAGTACTCGGCTGCGAGTGTGGAGCCAATGTACCTGACCATGGAACGTTCTCCAACAGTAATCTATCGTCGGGTCTCATCATTGATGCGACAGATAAGGTCCTTTCCATCTGTCGCTGTCTTTGTTCGGCCTGCGACGCCAGAGCACCTTGCTGTGAAGCAGTTTCAATTGCTCGTTGAGCTGTAACACTGGCTAAACGACAGTTCTTGTTGTTTTTGCGATGACCTGGGGTATTACACGCTGTGCAAGTGTCGATTCTTCTTTGCTTGCGACTGGTCTGTCGCTCTACTTCTTCAGCACGAGTCTCAGGTCGACCTGATGAGACTGTTGCCCTCGCAACAGGTCGTGCAGCAACAACCCCTTGTAACACTTCAGCTGTGTTGATCCCCTGTCGTGTTCCCTGTGATAAGGAATACTCGCTTAGACGCCCGAGGTGGGTCTCGCGTACAGGATCTAAGATTGTTTCACGTTGAGTCCGGTCTATGGTCATCGCCGAGTTATCCAGATCCACATAGGCGTTCCGCAGTTGTGGAGCTACGCCACCTCCCAACCTTATCGTGTTATAGTTTGGAACAACAGGATCGATTCGAGCTTGGTATCTCCCAAGAGTTCTAGCTTCGTCGATAAGGTCCTTTTCGTGACTGAGTAGCCAATGTGTGGAAAACTCATCTCGGCCGAATGGATGGCGTCGATGTCCCCGAATGAAAGCTTCACAATCATGCCTACAGGGCATTCCCATGTTACTAGACCAGTCTCTTGAACACTGGGGCAACTCGTCGTCGTTGCGAATGGCAGCTTTGGCCAGGGAGTATGGTCCATCGATCATCTTGCGGATGCAATAACGCGAGAGGATGCCACTCAACTTTGCATCCGACGCGCGCGTCGGTTCGAACCGAGGCATCAGCATCACGTGATCAAAGACATGGTCGCGCGCGACTCACCAGAGCAAAGGCAGGAGGTGCTGAGACGATCACCCTCGACTCTTCCCTAGCATGTTGGTCGAAGATTCGATGCTGTGTGGCGTTCATGAACCTCAAGACGTTGCTTGTGACATGGTACAGATCTCCTGCTCTTGCGTTCAGAGAGCGTTTTAACGCAGCATGTGCCCCTTCGACAATGGACGTAGCAGTGGCGCCTAAATGAAACATCCCTCGCGTTGCATACGTCGCAAAGTAGGGTGCGTCCTTGAACAGAGATGTCATGTAGGCGCAGGAACTCTTGGTAGTTCTATCATGACCGAAATCCTGAACAAACTCTCGACGCAGGAGGTCAAAGTCGTCTCGAGTGGGACTTCTTACGATGGCGTACCACCTCGACATCATCTCGTCGAATTTGTCCTTGGGTAGTCTTTTCTTGCAATTCGCCACGATATTTTTGTTCAAATGCCAGATGCATAGTAACTTATCTGCAGCTGGGAACACTCGGTCGAGAGCATTGCGCAAAGCCTTTTCATTGTCGGTAAGGAAGGTCTTTATAGGGACGTCTCGTAGGAAGTGTTTCAATTGAAACATCGCCCAGAGATAATCCTCCTCTTCTTCCTTATTCAGATATCCGAAGGCTACAGTGAACGTGCAGTTTGCTGCAGTCGACGCCACAACATGTAACAGGGGGAGCTTGTAGTAGTTGGTACGATATGTACAGTCGATGTATAAGACTTCTCCGTATCGTTTCGCAAGTGTGATTGCCATCGGATCTGACACCAAGAGACGTGTCAATTGACCATGATCACCGATCTTAGACGCAGCAGGAACTCCAGCGGCCTGTAACTGTTGGATAAGAGCGTCGGTTCTTGTCCTAGCTCCGCCATCTAAGCAGTAATACCTTGATCGTAAATTGTAGATCTCTTGCTTCGACACAAACGTTTGTCGATTCTCTTTGCTTGCCAGCTGCGATAGTTGTTCCAGGATCCTAGAAGCATTGATCCCTGCGTCGAAACCTGCCACAATAAGATCCCTCTCGGTACGAGTCGGTTTACGATGAACGTGGTGAGTTCTGGCAGATCTGTCAGGTGGATGATTGTGTTGCAAGTTTCGACCTTCAACGCGCCATGTGCCATTGACGGGGCATGTTGTATAAAGGGCAAAACCACAGTCTCGCTTCTTTGAGAAGGTTTCTTGGGCTCGAATCCTTCCATGTTCACCGATGTAAGGATGATTTGGTCGATGTTTCCCTGCATAAACACAATGAAACGTTCCCTTGTAGAGCCTCCCATTCCTGTCGGCTGTGGTACGCTTCTTGCAAACCGCATATCCATCTCTTTTGCCCAGCTCGTTCACTGCGTTCAAAGCTAAATCGATAGTAGCATAGCCTTCCAGAAGAGGGAGATCGATTGTGAACCCGACCTCATCAAATTCGCGCAGAGGGGTATCCTCGGTTCGAACCGGGGGGTCGATCACTTGGTTGACGATCGTCGTATCGACCTCCACTTCCACCTCCACTTCAGGTAGACCTGGAAACACTCCTGGTAGATTGTGTAGGGGGTTCTCGACGGCGGCAGGATCATCTAGATTGATACGAGGTTCGTCTTCTGAGTCGATTATCTCTTCTTCTGGGAGAGAGTTCTCGGCGAAGCCTAGTTCTATAGCTTTAGCTAGTTGGTATCTTGCTTCACGTTCTTGCCACGCAGTTTCTTCCCAGGTTAGGTCAATTGGGGGAGATGCGAGAGCTCGTAGCACAGGAGCAGATGAGAAGAATTGATCCATTGTTGAGAAGCTTGTGTGCGATACAACGCGAGGATACATAGGCAATACTTCTTGGGTTGTACGAGAAGATATGCTTCCTTGACAGATGCCCAAAGGGGTAAGTTCAAGGTAGTGTCCGGGTGCCAGGAACAAGGGCATTGGGAGTGGCTTGTAAGGCTTGCTCGGGGGGATTAAATTAGACATAAGACTGCTAGGAGACCTTGTAGGGTACATGTAAGATTTTGTAGGGTATCCGGAAAGGTTTCCCCATATTCACATAGCTAGATCTTACGGTGGCCGGGATGCATCGGAGGCTGATCGACGCTCTGAATCCCTGAACAACTTATGCCCATCCCGACGTCTTCGACTTCGACGGATACCTCGACTACTTGCTACGATCCGCCAACGAACTCCTCGTTAACCTGGCGATACAGAGCAGAACACCGCTTGCGATGCTTGCAAAGTGAGAGCCGAGCCGAGATCGCGAAGCCTACATCTCATCCCACCACTTCTTTTCTTGCTGACCATCCCCGATGTGTTCCTTCCCTGGCTATAGCTCCGCAAGACGAAATGCTCACTCTCCACATGGTCAAGCCCAGGTCAAGATCTACAGACGGCGATATGCGAAGGGTGTCGGAAGAGGAATATCGACTGTACCAAGGCGTTGTCGGAGTTCAAGATTCCTCAGAAGGTGTACAGCACGTTAGGCAGGTTGGACGAAGGGACGGTCGATGATCCAAGCTTTGGTAGTTTGCATGGGCCGGAGGATAGGATACATGTCCGTGAGTAGTAAGAAGCAAGGAGCGATTATATCGGTCATCGGGCAAGGGATCTTGCTGATGGATCAAAGCTTGGATCGAATCAGAACCGCCCGAAGTCGCTCCTCCTTCCGAACAACTACAACTACCCCAACTTGACCTTCCCTGGCTCGACGTCGATTTTCAGGGACTGTCTCAACTGGGACCCGCCGTACCATTCACACTTGACCAAACAACCACCGGATCGGCTTCAAATCGGAAGAGTGTGGATTCGGTGGTACAGGCAGGAATCAACGAGCGCGGTGCAAATTCAGGCCTAGACGTTTTGACCGAGGAGGAGACATGGGCGTTGTTACGTCTCATGGCTGGGCATGGTCAAGAACAAGCCGTCACGGAAGGCCAAGGTGATCTCGTCGATCAGTCTTGGCTGACTGACGGGATCTCTGCTGTTGATACCGCTGGACCTAGTACTGGGACGTCGCAGAGCTCGTGGGCCTCGGTCCCGGCCGATCGAGCGTGGTCCGGATACACCTCTGCCGGTGGGATACCTGTCGCAAACGGTACGGAGAGTGAGACCATCCGTTCTGGTCCCGTGGACAGACGGTCTGGAAAACGATCGTTTGATCAGCTCGATCAGAGCTCGTCCTCCGATCCAAACACCACTATCACCACTACTACTACTACCAATTCTGCCAACACGACGACTGGGTATACGGACGCAAGCACATCGGCTACTCCAAGTTCCGTGGGCCGGTCGGTCTGGTCGAATGATTGGTTAGACCTGACACCGCCTGGACGAGATTCGAAGAAGCCTAGGACCGGGGCGTCCTTGTCGTTGGTTCCTGTCGACCTGGGGTTCCAGGATCTGGGCAATCTGCTTGCTGAGACGAGCGAGCGGAAAGAATTAAGTCGGTCGCTGGTGAACACGTACCTAGCGGTCTTTCACGCTCAGTATCCGGTGAGTCTGTTTCACCGTCTTCTTCGCTCAGAGGTGAATATCGAATAGGCTGACCCCGAATCGCAGCTCTTGGATCCTCACCTCTTGCGACGCAAGTTTGACGCGGCGGGACAGGACCCTGAGCGGCTGGCACCGACGGAACAGGTCACGTTCGCCTGCATCGAAGCATGGGCGGCGAGGTCGAGCCTGCACCCTGCCGTTTTGCGGTCAAAGAAGGGCGGGCCGTTGTTCATCGAGCAGGCGATGAGTCAGTCGGACGGGTCGGTCCGATGTTATCGTTGTCGTGCTGACGAGCTTGTTCTATCGCTTCAGGTCCGGAACGGGTCGATTACGATGTGAGTAGCGGGGTCCACGAAGATGGATGTAAGAGTGATTGATCGTTTCAATCTGTACGAAGGCCATGTCACCCTTGCCGAACGAACGCGCTGCCGTCGGCCGTTCTCGGATACCAGTCTGCCAGGCTCTAAAAGACAGGGCATTGCGGCTATTGGACACGCACGGCATCATGCGACGACCCAGCCTCGAGGGGCTCAAATCGTTGTTGCTCTTGTCAAACCTGATGATGGGAGAGATACCGAAGGGCTGGGAGGAAGGGCAAGACGCAGAAATGGATCGCGAAGTGAGTGTTGCGACATGCTGCCTCGAGTATGATCGACGAGGCACGAGATGCTGACGTTGTTCCCCACCCATAGATGCTGAAGAGCACGATCGCCGAGCAGATCAAGCTATTGCATCGTCATAACAGGCTAGTGACTACCGACCGAGCCGCCATCCAAGAGACTCATAGGGTAGTTTTTGCGGCGTAGGTGATTTCCGTCGATTCTATCGCCCGACTCGACACCGAATGACCCTCTGGTTTGCTCAGCTGGATACAGGACGCTTTCACAGCTGCCACGACGGGGGTCCAGCCTTTGCTGTAAGAGCTGGACACTCTGCGAGGGTGCATGCAGATTCCCTGACATGCCGCCATTTGCCTGCCAGTCCCGCCGGTCTCCTCTCGGAGATCACTGCTTCTATCGAGCAGAGTGGCAGCTCTCCGCAAGGCGCCATCCTGCCTCGAGTCGAATCTGAGACCCGCTTCCACGTCGTAAGCCTGGTCGTTCCAATTCTGTTTCTGGCAACGAGCTGACCCGTCAATTCGCAGGCCTTTCGATTAGGCTGGATCGAAAGCGGGCAGATCGCTCGATACATAGCCAAGTTCATCAGTCAGCCGATCTTGGAAACAGACTCGGATCGTAACCTGGACGATTTCATCGAGGCAGTAGAGACGACTTGGCGGGCGTCGGCAAGTCGAATCGCGGTCGTTGCACTCGACGACGGACTAATGACTTGCAAGTACTGCAGGTCGATGGACAGGCTGCCTTGAGGTCGCGGTGTGCAGAGGCGATGGACTTGATCTCCATCAAGTTCTTCCCGGCCACGTGCGTCTATCAATGGATCATGGCAAGTACAGCCGACGCTATCCTCCCGTAGCCCTGGGCTGATCGAGGCGGTGCGCGACATTTGACAGACCTATGGTAAGCGACATGGTGGGTACAGCTGTTCACCGATGTTGATCCGCTGTACTGGGGGCGAAACCAGTCACACAAATCGTCCTCTTGACGTCCGCGAGCTGCATCGTGCACGGAGTGAGCCATATCCATGAGGCGTACAGCCACGCCATTTTGCTGACATGACGCTGCAGTGGATTACAGCTCGCCGCACCACCGAACAGAACCGGAAAAGTGGCGCTCAGATTCACAGCGAAAGCGCAGAGTCCACCCCGGAAGCCTCGCCACATTCCCCTCGCGGTGATCTCGAGCGTCTGTACGAGCGGAGCGCGATGGAGGTTTTAAAATCGGTTGTCGACTTTGTGCCCGTATTGCGAGTAAGTTTAGCGCCGGTCTTTTCTGCCATAACTATTCTTTGAGCTGAACGTATTGTCCTTCGTCTCGTCTTCAGAGCGCCATACCACTCAACCTGCTGCGAAGTGAGTGCCCTCGTTGACGTAAGCAGGCACGCAAGGCTAAGAGTCTTGCGATATCCCCTGTAGACCCGTCTCCCAACTTGCTGTAAGCCGCTCGTGGTGATCGTCATGCCGTCGACTTCAACTTATCGGACCGCCTACTATAGCACCTTGACGGCGCTCGCCGAGGCCGCGACCTCGATACCGACCGAGGAGCAGGGTCTCAACGTCGGCAGCTTGGAGGGTGTGCGATGGCGCAACGCAGAAAAAGGCGAAACCTTGAGCGTCTATCGAGAAGCACTCTCGCAGTGCACGTCGTCGTGGTCGCGTGTTCAGGACGACGTCGACGCTTTGGATGGTGCTCTGGCGAAGATGGCTTTGAGGCGAGAGGTTTCAGAGGCGCGGGATGACACGATAGAGCGACTGCTTTGCTATCGTGTATGATTATGATTGCATACTTGTGATCGTGAAATCATACAAGATAGCCAAAGTGTGTGTCAGTATATGTTCCAGCACGCTCTTGCACTCTGGCGTTATACGGCGGTCGGGTATATGACGACGTTTGCTTTCGATTGCGTCTCGAGCTGGGGAATCTTTTCGGGACCGGGTTGGTCGAGCAAGATGGGTGAGTGACACCGGGAAGCAGCACCGGGATTATAGGATTAGGGGGTTCCGACCCGGGGTATGAAGCACACTTTTGGGAACCAGTCGTCGTGCTTCGCCTCGCCTTTCCACTTGAACTTGCAGGCTTCCATCGGGCCGGGGAAGACCAGACCGGCGATCATACTGCAGAGACCAGACCGGGCTGACCATACCGGCATCACGTGATTGCTTCCTCCAGACCGTTTGCGTATCACCTGTCGAGTTCAAAGGGATCATTGGCAAGACGTATAACATTACTGGTTGAGAACATGCTTAATCCATCAGCTTTGGGGAGCAACATAGTTTGACTAGGTAAGATCCAACTGGGGCCAATCAAACCAAGTCTGGCTGACCGGGTGATTTGAACTAGAACACCATGCTCCTTCCATTTGCCGACACCCCTAGGGGCAATCGAGAATACCTTTCAGACCCCAATGCAAGATACCGGACCGGTTCATGGCCACCAGTGATGGAACTGCTGCAGGTAGTGCTCCTCGACAATCCACCACCGCTATGCCGTGTGTGCTGGGAGTGGCATCCATTGAACGAGGACCAGTACAGGCATGTCGAATGGCCTTCCTCGGCACAGGAGAGAGAAGTTCGACGGGAGTGGTTCAACAGGGTGAGTCTTTGTTACCAACAAGTCTTGAAACCAATCTGACACCGCTTTCAATCAGTCGATCTTTGACCTGTTTGACGATCTGTGTGAATTCGGTGCAACCGCTAAGCAGAACGCAAAGCCAAGGTTCAAGCTGCTTTATGCTCGCTTGCCACCCGACCCAGATACCCTCGATGGCGTCTGGAAGCATTACACACCTCGCCTGTATCGCCCGGATCAGCCCTTTCATGACACCAACCCCTGGCTCACCATGACAGAACTTCAGGATAAGATCGGTGCAAGATCCGGGACTGATCTAGCCACATTCCTGAAGCCGCTGTTCAAGCATCGAGCAGCAGTGAGCTTGACGTGAGTCGAGTTGACCGAGACGTATCCCAAGACACCTCAGCTTACCCGGTACCGGTCTCACAGCAATCTGTCAGATCAACCGGATGCGCAGGTCCTGCTTCAACAACAGCTCAATCAGGTAGGTAAACAGCTTGATCTGGTCTATCAACTCGAGACATAGCTGAAGCAAGTGACCCACAGGCGAATGGCAATCTCAATCAAGCTAACGAGCAGGTCAACAACACCCAGACCGCCCTTGATCTGGCTACCAAACAGGTCAATGAGCTTGAGACCGGTCGAGTGACAATCAAGGCCGAACTTGACCGGGCCACCAGCCGAGTCAGGGAACTTGAAGACGGTCAAGTGACAGTCAAGGCGGACCTGGACCGGGCCACCAGCCGAGTCAGGGAACTTGAAGACGGTCAAGTGACAATCAAGTCGGACCTGGACCGGGCTACCCAACAGGTCAACGAGCTCAAGGCTGGTCGAGCAACGATCCAGGCGAGCCTAGACCAGGCTACCAGCCGAGTCAGGGAGCTTGAAGACGTTCAATCAAACAACCTCGATGAACGGGTCAAGGAGCTCGAGACTGGTCGAGAAAAGGTTCAGATGGACCTGGACCGCGCTTCTAAACGAGTCAAGGAACTCGAGGAGCAAAACCGGCTGCTACAGGATGAGAAGAAGGCGGCGGCTGACACAATCGGCAGCATGCAGTCGGCACAGACAGGCCTCGACGCAATTCTCAAGAAGTTTCGCTGGCCATCCGATGACCCTCCTGCGCTGGAACAGAAGATACTTCGCTTCCTCAGCGAGCGGCAACAGGCACAAACCTCTGCAACCGCTCTGCACAAGCAGGTCGAGCAGCTTGAAAAAGAGCTACAAGACCAAAAGGACAAACTCCGAGCCTGTCGAGCCGAGTCCTCCAGGTTGAAGACGGAGCTTGCCAATCCCCCTCAACCAGTACCTGCCAACATCCCTCAACCAGTACCTGCCAACATCTCTCAACCGGTTCCCGCTGACGCCCCTCAGCCGATTCCCGCCGACGTCCCTCAGCCCGTTCCCGCTTTTGCGCCCCCTGTCACTGCCGATCTTGACGACGACTTGTCCCCCGATAAGGTCGACTATGCCATGCGATGTATCGCCAATACGGTTTCCAACAGTCTCCCTGACTTCAAGACCGGTTGTCAGCGGTTGACTCGACTGGCAGACATGCAGGCAATCGATGCCTGCACTCAAAAACCGGTCAATTTTCGCAAGATAGAGCGGTTCATCTACGATATTGCTCGGTTCAAGGAGTACGATCAGGATCACGAAGTCCAGTCTCTCATGGGGCAGTTCAGCCGCAAGGTCACGATCAGGGAGATTGACGACGGGCAAGAGTCCAAAGAGGCCCAAAACAACCGTGCAGACGCCGATGAGAGTGATGAGGAGGAGGACAGTGATGAGGAGGAGAGTGAGGAGGAGGACAGTGATGAGGAGGACAATGAGGATGAGGATATGAACGGATGAGCGGTGGATAGATAATGTAGCGAGTTCTTCCTTGTACCGTTAACGCGATCGATATACCCATGACCACGAATATGTTGGAATTCGAGATACCGCCTTATCAATGGCAAAGGGTTATAGCGGGTTCTGGGGTAGGGGCTCTCGCCGAATATTGATGTCAGGCTCAAACAAACTATACCACCTGAACGGCATCGAAAAATGCTTGGGGGACGTCAGTCTTCTTTTTCTGATAGCTCAAATATCGACGGAGATATAGGGCAAAACGTCCGATTTCAGCCCCCAGCCAAAATGGTGTGCGCACCTAAGGGACTTAGAAATGAAAAACGGATTTCAAAAAATAAAAGTTGCTAACTGTTCTGAAAGTTCGAGAACTTCAATCGGAATTGTCATAACGCGTTTTGTCGCGGAGATATCGCGAGATTTCCGTCGGGGCCGATTTTTCAAACTATTCGGCAAAATCGACCAAGACCATTTTTGTTGCATTTGGTCTAAAAGTGCAGGGAAATGTTACAGAAATGCTGTATCAAGCTTAGTTCCGGAGATATAGTACAATAACACGTCAAAAATCCGACTTTACGCCTGGTCGAGGGGACTATACAATGGAATCGGGTCTGACCAGGTTCTCATAATGCGACCCAGAATGGTAGAGCCAAAACCACTTGTCTGTCTCAATGTTCTGCCCATGGTGGTGCCAATATAGCCTCCCGTTGTCCAACGTGGACAAGATACTGATCTTGACCCGATGAACGTTGGCCAGGGCGATGATCTCAGGTTGACCACCCCACTCTCCCAGCTGCCGCATCTTGTGGAGATACAATGCCCATGCATCCTCCTGAGTCTGTCCTTCATTTATCTCAGCCTCGTGCCAGAACTGTGTGTCGTGTTCACTGAGGTACCGGCAGGCATCCATCCGTAGGGACTTGTGGTCGTGGAGGGGACTTCCTAACGCCTTGGCAATGGCATGAAACAGGCAGTTCCCGTCACCTCTAGTCCAGGTGGTCCGATAGACTGGGAGCATAGACCCTTCCACAAGAACCGCATTGCTCCGTTCCACAACCAAAGGCGAGTGTCTCTCCTCACTTTTGGGTACTGCACCTTGGTAGGATTTCATGCGCTGCTTTTCTTTTGTCGCCTTTGCCTTCTCCCTCAAGAGATTCTTCTGCATGGCATTGTGAAGAGGCATTGGTGCTGGACGACCAGTCCGCCTTTGAATGACACGATTGGTAAGCCGACTTGGCAAAGGCAGTCTATCCAGAGCCGTAAAGACAGGCTCAGCAACCGGAGAATCCACCCTTGGAATGACAGGTGTTGGCTGCAGCACTTGGGGCACAGGCCTTGCAACTGTCGGTGCAGGTGAAGCAGGAGGGACGTTGTGCCTTGTCGCTTCCGATGCAGGCTGAATGACATAGGGTCGCCTCATTTCAAGCGGAGCAGGTTGAGCAGGCACAGGGACACGGGGAGGAGCGATGGCCCCAGCCTTTCTTCTCAACTCCCGTTGCTTCCTTAAGCTGTTCAGTTGATTCACAGCAGGCTCGATGTACTATAAAACCACCCGTCAGCAAGTTGTGTTTGAACAGGCCAAACTGTTGTGCTCACTTGGATGTCGGCAACTTCCACTTCAATCTGTTTGAGGCGGACTCCACTTGGTCGAACTTGTCCCATTGCAACTTGAGCAGAAAACCACCGATATGCTTGGCCAAGTGACATGTTATCCTGACAGTCTTCACTGTTGCACCTCATGCGGAAAGGCGCATTTGCCAGTCCGTTGACCCGGATGTTGTAAGAGTGGTCTGAATTCTTTTGACAAGGGACACGCTTGAGCTTGTGATGTTCCCTCATGGCCTTGAATAAGTCAAGAGCTCCACTGGGTCCATGGTAACGTTCATTGAGGAAGAATAGAATTCGGTTTGTCTGGCTATCCAATCGGCTCAGTTCAGCAGCGGGACCTGGCCGCTGAGCACTTTGGCCAAACCACCAAGCAGACTTGTCAGACCACTCGGTAGGTTTCCACCTTCCTGCGTTCCAGCCAAGAGAACACAAGACGTCTGCCATTGCCTGCTTTTGTCTAGGAGTAGCGTTGTTGTTATCTCCGCGGAACACATTGAGGACATTGGCACGGTTCAAGACCCAGTTGGTGTTATCTAGAAGACCTTCTTTGTTTGTGATAAGGATATCCAGTTTGGCATCTTCAATACCTGGACATGCCCAGTGTTTGATATTGAGAAGGGGAGTGTTCTCGACCCATTGCCTAATGGTATAATGTCGCGTCCTACTCCCTTTTTACTAGCAGTTCGCTTCCCATCTCGCGCGCGAACCCCCCTCAACTTCCTACCTCCATCGCCAACCCGCGAACTCCCCAGTTCGCTCGCCCCTCGCGAACCGAACTCTCGCGAACTGACTGCTTTGTCCGAACTCCCCGAACTTCCCACCAAGCCCTCATCCACCCTCCGGCGCATGGCTAGATCCATTCTCTGCCATCTCACCTAACAACACCCCCTCCGACGCTGGGTTTGCGCTGCCGCTTCATATCCTCCGCCGCTCGCCCAGCTCATTTCCCACGAACCCCTCCGCCGCATTGTCTCCTGCACTCATACCACCCCCACCGCCGTTGGGTCCTCATTCCCAATTCTCCCACCAACGTTCATGGTACGTACGCTCCTTCCGCCATCGGCTGCACCTTCCTCACTAGAGACCACGGACCTCGTACCCGGCGCATCTGCCCATTCCACTCCCCACCCCTCCGCCGATGCCTATATGGCCTACCAATTTCGACGTATACCCATCAATTTTCCCATCGCCATCACGACGTCACTATTAACCGAACACACCCACTGCTTTACCTGGCTCGTACCCTTCATGTTATACCCACATCGACCCACCCCCTCAGGGTTGTCTGACGGTTCGCACTTCACTTTGTTAGCTCACGACTTACCATGGTCCTAACTCGGTCTCCTCTCACTCCTACTGCATTGCCCCTTGCGCAAAGCACACATTGACCCCGACAGACGAAGGGGCTTATGATGGAGACGAGGCCATCAGGCCGTCTCATTTTGAGAAATTGGTAAGCTGACATTCACACCAAGTCCAGCTGGCCACATCGATGTCGAGCTGGCTAAAGGGTTCTCGGCCGAGCACCAATGATGTCAAGCTATCACGTCTTCATCAACGGCCGTATGACGAAGAGATAAGGCCGAGCTGGCCGAAGTCTTCTTGGGCAAGCACCAATGATGTCAAGCTATCACGTCTCCATCCACGGCCGAACGACAAAGAAAAGGTCAAATAGAAGCTGGTGCACGGGGTCAATCTTCATCAGACAACCAAGTGCAGCACGAAGCACTCTCATGGCCTGCCTGGAGATTGCCTCCTGGCAGACAACCAAGTGCAGCACGAAGCACTCTCATGGCTTGCCTGATGATTGCCTCCTGGCAGACCGACAAGATGTGCATGGTCTCGGCAGCCCGCCCCTTACAAAATCAATCGAAACGGTCATTCTCCTACCTCATCAGGGTCAGACCCCTGTTACATGACGGTCTGGCACCAAGACAATTGCAAAGACTGGTCCAGCAAACAGACAATGCTGTATCCCATCGCCATCCCCTCTCCCCACCTCTCGCTAGCAATGCCTGGTAAAACCAGTTCTCTGGCCAGTCTCCAGGGTCAGGCCCGTCAACACCCGTCTCACGACCCGCCACCAAATCAAGAAGACGAAGTTCAAGGCAGACCAATATGAAGCTCAAGGCAGAGAAATCCGATCCTCACGGCAGACAAACGTGAAACCCTCGGCATCGAGGAGAAACCATTAAGAAACTGGAGACTGAATTAGGGCAGTTCAACTGGGAGCGGGTGCACGCCATCCGAGTTATGGCAAGCGACAAGCAAGTCGTTGTCAAGGCCCTTCTCGTCTTAAACGCACCATTCCAGGCACACATTGCAGGGAAGAAGAAAGGAAACACGAGCCAGTCGAGGGCATGATCCTTCTTCCTTGTAGCGTTTGCAGTCTCTCACCTCTTTCCCAGGTGATTCCCTGCTTTTCAAACTCTAGTAGAGCGGGGTTCGGATCCCGCCACATAGGACATTCAGCGTCAAGGATGGAAAGTGTTTCCAGAAGAGGACACCGCACCAACAGTCAACCTGACGCCTGTGCTCGATAGCAGTATTTGGAACTTGCAGGACCCAACGCTTTCAGCTAGGAAGTTCAACACCCATACTCCATTCTTACTGTCACTCCTGTAACCTGCCCCGACCTCCAGACAAGGAAACACTTCTGCCGCACTGTTGTATTCGGCCTCACCACCCAGTCATTCTTCTCCGTCTCCACAACCTCTCCTAGAGGTTCGCCTTCGTTTCACAACTAGTCGGCATGCACTCAGGCAACCAGCCATCTCGCACCAAACGCCCGTTACTCGAAAGCTATATTATGAACATAAGGCCGACCGCAACGCTAACGCACATACACCACAACTAACTATCGTCGTATCAACCCCACCGCCGCTACACATCGTTCCTCCTCCGTCGAGGATGCGTCGCTCGACTCTCCTAATAGTATGCCCTCATGCCCCGCTATAGCAGCGCACGTATTTTGTTAGGGACAGTTGTCTCGCGAGACACAGCGAGACAAGCTTTGCGCAGGGGGTCTGCGCAAGGGCACGCGCGACACACAAAGTAAACAGAGACAGCGAGACAACGAGACAACAAGACAGACAAAGTAAACAGAGACACGAAGCGAGACAGACAAAGTAAACAGAGACACGAAGCGAGACAGACAAAGTAAACAGAGCCACGAAGCGAGACAGACAAAGTAAACAGAGACAACCCATTCGTCATCCAGTTCTGCTTCTCACGTGATGCTTGTACTCTCCACGTGATTCATTAAACACGTCCTGACCAGTCGCGTCAAGCATCCTGCCATCTATGACGTGGACGGCAGCCTGGCATCACCCAGACAGACCGAGAAGAGCATATCCTTTCTTTGCTTTGTTACGATCTATATAGTATAGCCTCTGCACATATTGCACCCAACAGGGACATCAAGATGTAGTCGGTAAGTCCACATACGAATCAGTCTACCTTTACCTTACTTGCTTACACCTTCTCGTAACCACACACTCCATCGCACCATGTCTACTGCCCCCCATATCACCACCACCTACGGTCAGCTTCAGTGCTCGCTTTGCCGGGCCATTGCTTTCAAGGACAAGGCCGATGCTGTTAAACATCTTCATGTGCAGCATCAGACTAGTCCGGTCACGTACAAGAGTATGTTGCCAGCCTGGATGATCACCTCGTTTGTCACTGACCCGGCATTGATTGTCCTTGCAGAGCTTACGTTCGACCGGGAGGTTCCAGGAGATGCGACCAGTCCTTACTACTGTGGATGTGGCTTCAATGGCACCATCTTGACCAAAGCCTTCCGTAACCACTTGCGGTTTTGTGATGTCGTCCGTGCCAAAGTCACGGCTCAGAATGGCTCGTCGGGCTTGATTGCGAGTGAGTCGAGATAGAGAATAGAGTCTCCGTCTTATTGCGACTCGATTCTGACGCACTGTCCCTCTATCTCCCAGGTCCTCTCAGTCCAGATAGCTTGCAAGCGTGTGAGTGATCATGGAATCGAAGTCGATGAGCACGTCACTGATCATCTACTATGCAGTTCCGACTTCAACAGAGACACCGGATGTCCGCGCAAGACAGGTCGAGCCGACCATTGCAGCTCGGCAGAAGCGCGCTCGGGAAGATATCCAGAGGATCAGTTTTTCGTCTCCCCTCTCTACTCTATCTCCCACGCCTAAGCGACAGAGACTCTCATCTCCACAATCATCCGGAACGCGGGACAAGGATGACGGCTCTGAACAGGACCAGGATGACGGCTCTGAGCGGGACGATAGTGCGCCAAATGGTCAGAAGGCTTCTGGTCAGGATGATTCGGATGAAGACGCTGGCGACTACGAGGTGGAAGAGACCAGAGATGAGGGACATGCTGCCGGGCAAGGTGACGCCAATGCATCCAACGAGGAAGAGGATGCATCTGATGAGGATGATGAAGATGACGATGATTTGTCAATGACACAGACAGTGAGTTCTGACCAGGGAACTTGCACGTTCACATTTACTGATGTTCGTGTGTTAACAAACTGCAGTCATCACCGGTCAAGGTCTCGGCCAAGACTACTGGCTTGGCAAAGCTTCGTGCTCAGCGAGAGCATCTCCAGCAAAGACGGACTCGACCTCAACTCCGACGGACGGTGGTCTCGTCTGCATCATCGACACCAGAGTGGTCCTCCTCACCTCCAGTTCAGCCACGCCGACTTGTCGACCAATTCATTGATAACGAAGCTGTGCTCAGTGGAGAAGGGTCCGATGACAATGGGGAAGCTGGTCACCCAGAAGAGGACCGCTACGATGAGAACGACTCCTTTATCGATGACAGCCGGAGCGACCAAGAGGAATTGGAGGATGAGTCAGGCGACGAGTTCGAGGACGGGTTGAACGAGGAGGTCATACAATCCTTCATTCGGGATGGCTCAGCACCCAAGCCTGCTGTGATCGAGGAGTTGATCCTTGATCCTTCCATATCAAGTAGTCCGATTCGTCAAGCATCCATACGGAACAAGATTGGGATCGATGCCGAAGAGCAGGCTGAGCTTGTTAGATTGGCAACATTCAAGGACGATAAGAATGCTGGCGAGCCTGACTTGCCGTACTTGGAGCTGACTGGGGACTGGCACAGTAAGCCAAGATGCTTTCGCGGTTGATAAATGGATACCATACTGAATGATGGGTGCTGTGTAGCTCGTCACCCCTTCGACCAGGCTAGCCTTGCATACAACTCGGAGCTTGGCATCCTATACTGTCGATCACACGATCTCGCCATTCCCATCTCGGCTGAGCTAGAAGAGAGCAAGAAGCTCATCGGGAACCACTTCCGCAACTCACATCAATTGTCTGTTGATACCCAGTTGCGGGATGAGATATACAACGAGCTAGTCAGCCTCCATCCAACAATCGACTGGATGGCCCGTAACAGCTATATGGCAGCGACTTGGGACGCCCCAATGTCAGCAGTTGAGCTTCTGCCTTGCCTGCCAGCTTGGGCGTGCGGAGCATGTGGAAAGATCCGAACGAATTACAGGAGGATGGTTACACATGTGCACGAGCATGGCGACAGGAATGCAAAGCCGGTGCAAGTCACGGTTCAGACTATCGGATCCCTCCGCAAGAGCAATGAAGGTGTTCACCGCCTTGTTCCGGTACGAGATCCTATCAAGCCAAGGGTTGCAACCAACCAAGACGGACACGCCGGAGGGGATGTATCGGGTGCTCTGGACCAGGTTTACAACCTGATGAGCGATATCGAGCCAGATCTAGTCATCACCGGACAAGGTGCACGACATCTCTCCGAATTTCACCGGAGCGTGGATTGGGCAGATGTCATCGAGACGGTGGGACTACCATACCTTGC